TCGTCACCGACCCAACTACTAATCTGGCCCTTACTGGTTTATCTAGGGGAGAGCGGACGGGATCCCGAGCTTTCCAGTAGGTATGGTCGTATGTGTCATGTCACAACCTTGATTTAGCTTATATAGGTGCTTGCGGTAACCGCTCGCAACTTCACGCTAACTGATGTAAAACTAGGTACTTTTCGATAGGTAGTAGTTGAAATGGTGCACTACAACCGCCACCATCACCATCCTACATGAGGTTCTACGAGGTATGTCACCCGAAAGGACCTACTCCGCCATTTCCCCTTGGTGCCGCCGTGCCGTCATCATCGTATGTACGCTGACCGGGTGATCAAGACCGCTCCGGCCCGCACCCTCCTCCGTATAAGCATCAGCGAGGCAGTGCACCGCCTCCATGCATCAAGCTCAGCCCTATAGTTCCGCTGCCAAGCAGGAAAGAAGATCACTGCACCCTTCCCCACCTCCAAGATAATCCCTATAGGGCTGCAGTAGTAAGAAACAAATGGCTTGACGGCAGGTTCCAGGAGGGGGAACTACAGCGTGGCAGTCGATCCGTTCCGCTATGACAGCGAGCACTGCCACAACCGGCATGCATGTTTTACACTCTATTACCACCTAGCGCTGTAAACCCGTCCCAGACGATTGGGCCATCCAGCAGTCTGGACGGTGACATGAATGGTTGGAATGGGACGAGGCTTATCAAAAAATATTTTCACCGCCTTTCAGAAACACCACGAGGGTCGCAGCTTTAACGGCAACGGGGCTCAGTCGTTTGATGTTGTTTGTCATGATAGGCGCATTGCAGTATCAACGACGAAGTCTTGGGCTGGGCCAACAGCAAGTCCACTCTAATCGTAAGCGGAAGGGAAAATAACACGGCTTCGGACCGTACAGCAGAGAGTTCCTCCATCAGAATCTCCCAATTATGGCTGTCACTTCGTCGGGCTGTGATGCTCACATGCTCGGACTTTTAGGGGGATAAGAACGGAAACGTGAGTCGAGCATGACACCTAGAGGAATGACAAGAGAATCCATGCGCTTTGATATCAAGCCTCTGCGGTACGCGATCCGAAGCTACCCAGTTGCATCTGGAACCAAACGCAAACACCAATCTGAAAAGCAAGGCGTAATTGTTCGTAAGGCCGTTGGGAGGGATATCGCTGATAGGTAGACTGATTACTTCTGCATCATGAGCTGCACGAACTCGTTGTCTGAATTATGCGTTAGCAAGCGTTCAGGCTCGGTGGAAAACTCATGACACGCACAGTCAATACGCCCGTCACCATCCTGATCGGCTTCGCGAATCATCTCATCGACCTCGTCGTCAGTCAGCTTCTCACCAATCGACGTCATGACGTGGCGAAGCTCGGCTGCCGAGATGAATCCGTTGTTGTCGCGGTCAAAGACCTGGTTCCAGAGGTTAGCGAGTTAAGGGCCGCTGATTCCTGACGCGCACATACCTTAAATGCCTCGCGGATCTCCTCCTCGGAATCGGTGTCCTTCATCTTCCTCGCCATCATGGTAAGGAACTCTAGTGTCTATGAGTATCCGTAGCTGGCGCCTTCATGTGGACTTGGATCGTCATACCAGGAAAGTCAATCGTGCCATTGTTGTCGGCGTCAACCTCGTTTATCATGTCCTGTAATTCCGACTCGGAGGGGTTTTGGCCAAGCGAGCGCATCACGGTGCCCAGCTCCTTCGTTGTGATCTGTCCTGCTCAGGGTTTAAGCATCGATTTTCGGGAACGTAGCAGCAAGGCACCAACCATCGCCGTCCTTGTCCTGTCCCGGGATTAGCACGTTGGCTCGTGGGTGTGGGGGGGGGGGAGGATGGTAAAACTGTAACAGGGGCGGTAAAGGGGAAGCTTACAAAAAGAGAGAAGGCCTCCTTGAACTCAGAGACCTGCTCTTCGGTGAGGGAATCGGCCTGTTGTCGAGAGCGCTATCAGCCTGCTGTTGTCGTGGATGGAGCCCGACTTCACCTCGATCGCGGGGCTGCCTCCTATAGATCGCATGCGCAGCAATCACTGACCATTTTTTGATGTCTCTGCTAGGGGAACGCCCTCACTGGATAAGGAATCTTTGAAGAAAAATCAAGTAGCAATCCTGCACAACCGTTGCAGAAGGCTGTAGCAGGGAATCAGTCCTGATCTGATCTATGTATGCAGTAGGAAAGGCGGGTTTGAATGGTGAGGCGCAACCTTGGAGATTTCAAGGATGGGGAGCGGGCCCCCCCCTCAGCAAAAAATGAGGGCCCCCGGCGGCTGTCACAGGGCGTCAAACCGTCAGGTTGCGTTGCTGCCTCTCCCTTGCGCGCGGATCTCTGCCAAGTGAGCATTGAGCAGGCACTCCGCTTAACAAATGCAAGTGTGTTAAGGTTGTAGGTACGTACCTTTGCCCAGCAAGGTCCCACACCTGGCAAGCAGCTGGCTGCCGAGGCGCAGCTGATGAACCCCGGCTTAATGCGATTGACCATTGTGTCTGGTCACTGGCGCATCGTCGTCATCTTTCTCCCTCAGCCGAAACTAGAGTATCACCGAGCCAACAGAGCTAGGTCATCAGTCGGGCCATAACGAAAGCGGTTTACGATGTGATGCCTCACCAGAGAATTCACGGCAGCAAGAAGAAGAGCGCCCAATCTCTCCATAAGTAGCGTCCAGGGCGGGCCGACGCCCACCTGTCCTTCCTTTCTGCGTCCGCCATGTGGCGAGACCGCACGAACCTGTAGGGATTTTGAATGATATCCGCGCAGCTGAATAATAACGCTGACCATCACCCTACAGCTACATCTCCTACCGGCAGTCCTACGCCCATCACCCGGCTCAGCGCAACCGGTATGGGCCGTCTAACGCGAACGACCGCTTTGGCGGCGGTGGCGGTGGCGGGGGGGCTCCTGGGTTGTTGTTCTCAGCGGACGAGGACAGGCGAGGGCTCTTATCTTCGGGCGCATACGACGTGGACGACGGCGACGCGGTGATCGAGATGGACCTGTTGCCGCCGAGGTGGGCCGACATTTCGGACGAAGTTACGGAGCTGCTAGCCGATATCGCGAGCAAAAGCCAGATGTTGGAACGATTGCACCAGAAACATGTGCTTCCGGGTTTTGATGACGAGGAGACCAAGAAGGCCGAGGAGCAGGAGATTGAGCGGCTGACGCAAGTCATCACGCGCGGCTTCCATGACTGCCATCGTTGCATTCAGAGGATTGAGCAACTAGTGCGCGAGGGGAAAGCTAACGGCCAGATGACCCGCGCAGACGAGACCATGGCGAAGAATGTGAAGATCAACCTAGCAACAAGGGTCCAGGAGGCGAGCGCCGGGTTCCGCAAAAAGCAGAGCGCCTATCTTAAAAGTAGGGTGGATGTCCTACTCTATTGAGTGGTTTAGGGGACTAATTTCTGTTTCTAGAGCTCAGAGGCATGGCTGGGCTGGCGAGTCCAGTCGAACGTTCTTCGACACCTTTGGCTGGGGGGAGCTATACCGATCCGTCGCTCCTAGAATCCGACGCAGACAGGACATACTCGCAATCGACATTACAGGCCCCGTCCCACCAAAAGCTTCTGCATTCAAACGACGCCGCAATATCCCAACGTGAGCGGGAAATTGAGGAGATCGCCCAAGGCATTATCGAGCTATCGGACCTCTTCCGAGACCTTCAGACCATGGTCATCGACCAGGGCACCATGTTAGACAGGATCGACTACAACGTGGAACGCATGGCCACTGAATTGAAAGGGGCCGAAAAGGAACTCAAGACAACTGAGCGTTATCAGAGAAAGACGATTAAGCGAAAGATTATTTTCCTTCTTCTACTAATTATCGCAGCCATGATAATATTGCTGCTGATCAAGCCGAAGAAGCGCGGGGGCACTGAAGCTTCTGAAAATGAGAGGTGACGACAGACACATTACTGGAAGAATCAAGAGACCAGGTAACCTACATCCCCGGCATCCCGCTTGGAGCGCATGTCGGAGGATTTATCTAGAGACAGGAACAGGAGGGCTGACTTCGCGAAGGAGCGGCGATGGTTCTAAGCATGTATTGTATCCTTCATGTATGATATTGATGAATCAAACACGAGGGCTCTCGTAAATCGGGCTATATGAGCGTCGGTCTGTTGGACGATTTAGCCTTTAGGATCTCGAGGTTATAACAAGCCGTGGTTTTAGTAGACCGAGCCGGCTTCATCTGAAGCTTTCACGGATCGACCAGGGAACTGATTTCGAGTCAAACCCAAACCTAGGAGCGTGCATGTGCTTGATGGCTCCTTAAAGAGGGTTGTGTACGGAGTACGGTGGAAGAAACAGCAACTTGAAGTGTCGAAGCTGAGTCAGTTCTTGGCGTCGAACCAAACCTCTGCTTACTCAGCCTAAGCATTGGCCAATCCGGTTCAGTACGGTACCCTGCTCGTCTCGTCCGTCATTCGACAGGAAGCTCACACCTCACAAGCAAAGCACCACACTATCACCACATCCTCGGCCAGATTTGCCAAACCTCCAGTCGCAATCCCCACTCCATTCAATTCAAAATGGGGTAAGCATAGCAGCCCTTTAGGTGTCAAGACAATAACTGCCAGTCTCACCTCTGCCCCGCGCAGCTACAATGCTGCGAATTTCCCGCGCAATCGTACGATCCACCGAGCAGACCCGAGCAGAGGGCTAACATCTCTTTTCTCCCACAAATACAGTCTCGTCGACGCCCCGAACAAGGTCCCCGAGCAGCAGCGGATCTATCAGGCTGCGTACCGCGCTCACCAGCGCATCTGGCGAATCGTGAGTGTGTCCCTGTGTGGGAAAGGAGGGCAGGCAGAAAGGGGTTTGGAGACGAGCGGTGGAGGAACAGTGGCAGCGGAAGGAAGGGCGGAGATCATGATACGAAGAACCATGGCTGACGGATTCCTTCCTTCTTTGCTATACGAACAGCACCCTCGCAGCAACATGTACCTCCGCCCCTACGTGATCTTGCTCTGGGGCAGCACCGCCGGTATGTTTTTACATATGATTCCAATAATTTTCCGTTCGCTCGCTGATTGTTTTCGCCTTGCGGCGGTATAGCTACCATGTACGCCATGGGCCGCAGGATCTTTGGCTACAGCACCTGGTTCAGCAGCGAGGCAAAGTGAGGATGGGGCGGCAACCAAGGGACTGTGTTGGCTGGAGATGTAGGTGTTGCATGACGACTTGTATATCTAGAGCGGAAATGGTATAGAGGCGGACTCTGCTGGAGAGAGGCAATGCCGAGCCAGGCCAGGTTTTGTTGTGTTCCGTAGTCTTCACGATATCGACTCGTCATTCATGTGAACATTGAACTCCCATAAAAACTCGGCGCCTGGACTGCTAAATTGCCCAAGTTCCGATGCATACAAGTAGAAAGGCCCTCGTAAAAGTACATTAAACTCGCCCGCCGGGTGTCATTTGTCATAGTCTATGGTTGGCTTCAAGCATTCCTTTGGCAACTCATTGCCTAGACGCTTGCCAGTAGTCCTTCAATATCCCTGAGCGCCAGGAGCATTCTCATCCTTCCGTAGACTCATAAGAAGTTCACGGAACCGCTCCTTCCCCGACCCGGCTGCACCACCCTTTGCTCCCTTTCCACTGACGTCAACAAGCTTGGAGATGCGCTCCCAGCTCGTCCCGCCCGAGGTGGTATCCTCGCGGCTGGCGAGGAACTGCTCAGCCTCCTTACGGGTCTGCGCAATCATCTTCTCCTTCTTGTTGTTGTAGTTCTCGTAAAAGTCGTCAATGTTTTGCTGCGCCTCGCGTATCGTCTCGGCGCGCTGCTGGGCAAACTGCTCGGCTCGCTTCGCAATCTGGGCGTCTCGCTTCTCGCGCCAGTTCTTGATCACCTCGGGCTCTTCCTCCTCCTCGGTATACGGCGCATAGCCCGAGTTGTAGCTGATCGAAGGGCCTGTGCCTGTGATGGTACCACCAGGTGCGACACCCTGCGGCTCCCCGTTAAAATCATGCCCAGTATGGATGGAACCAGCCGTGTCTTTACGTACCTCGTTGGGGCTTGTGATGTCGGGAAATTGGCTCTCAAATGCGGCATTGTTGCTTGAGGAACTGATACCACCCCCTAGCAAATCGTCGTCTCCTTCGTCGATACCTGCATCCTCCACTGTCGCAAACTGGCTGGCGTCTTCGCCGAGAATGGCCCTCTCTCGCTCTAGAAAGTTGCTCGCAGACGGCGCATCCGATGCGTCCCGGATATCTGTCTGGGCTGTGCGCAAAGTCAGAAAACAAGGTAGTGGTCGGTGGGCAAGGAGGCGTCCAACTGACCGCCCGAGTCGAAGTCCTCCAGCGAAGGAAATCGGTCAGCCATGGTGACGGCCAGCTCAGTCAAGATTTGGATTTATTTTGTGACGAGATGGGTGCAAACTTTGGAAAGATACAAGCGCGTTGAGGAAGTAAATTCCTCAATCTCCTCACATGAAATATGACAGTAGCCGTTGATCGCGCCAGATTGCTGAACAGCGCTGGGAGGCTTGTAGGCTGGGTCGTTTGAGGTGAATCCTGGTGGGGCGCTGGGACGCTGCAGGGGGCCATATCGATTTATCGGGGCAGTCATGACTGTGTTAAAGTAAAGGTGTTCTATTATCGAGGGCTTCCATGCATGTAGCATAGATGCGCTCCACTGATGCCGCTAAGATAGCTCCAGTTTGGCTTCCTGCTTTCGCGGTTCACACGCATTGTTTTGTTCCCTTCTCAATTCTTGCAACAAGCAGACCACACATCATCTCTTGAAGAGCCAGGACATGCTGCCCAGTGACCTCATTAGATATTCTGAAAGCGGATGAGGTGCACAGTGAGCGATCTTGTGGCAAAGATAAATCTGCAGAGAAGTTTGGCGTCGCGCCAGCTTCTCATCAAGGTTCATCTTGAATTGTAATTGTATGAGCTTCTGATTGGGAGCAAGCACAAAACACCATAAATATTCATCTCGTCCATCGCTTTGCCGGCATTACTTTCACCAGGCATTCGACCCATCAGCACGGCTCTGGTATCTCCCGGGTTGTCCCATCGACCAGCTTCGCAATTCTTTTGTTAGGCTGTCCATTTACCGTTCGCCATGGCCTACACAGATGATGCCGTGCTCTCCAAGCTCTCGGCACTGAATGAAAGCCACGATAGCATCGCAACCACAGCCCAATGGATTATGTTTCATCGGTAAGCCTCAGGACGACCAGAGTTTCTTTTTGTTCATGTGTCCGCTAACCATGTCATCAAAGACGACATGCATCTCAGACAGTCCACCTTTGGTTAACGAAACTAAGAGACCTACCCAGCGCGAAGAGGTTGAATATGATCTATCTGGCAAACGGTCAGTACCCTTGCGACACATTTCAGATGTCTTGCTAAGCACAACCCTGTTTGGCGCATCCAAATTGTATCTGGATTTACAATCTGGTCGTGTATGTTCTGCTAACCCAATTTCCGTCAATAGAAGTGACACAGCAGTCAAAGGCCCGCCATAAAGACGACTTCCTCAACGCGTTCACGCCATTCATTGCGGATGCCACGGCAGTAGCATATAAAGGCGCTACAGCAGACGTCCAATCCAAGTTGCGAAGGGTTGTGGATGTGTGGAAAGAGCGCGGCATCTTCGACAGAGAGGTCTTACTGGATTTGGAAGCTAAGCTGGCCGGTAAGTGAGCGGATTGGTGATAGACTTTCTTTTCATCTCTTCTTAAATGTCGAACAGTTATGCTAACATGCCTTCAGAGATCGATAAGACACGGCCCGCAGCGAACGTCGGTGGCTTTGGCGGTCCTATGTTCAGCTCTGCAGCCTCGGCATCTTCGATACCCCCAGAGCTCGCTCCCTTGGTGGCGCCGCAACAGGCCGTCACGAAGAGCCTCCAGCCAATGAAGAGCGCACTCAATTCGGCCAACACCGAGTACGAGAGGCTCACCGACCCAGCCGCTACCACAGCAGCCCTGCCGGTCCGGGCCGCGCGTCTTAATGGGCTTCTCAAGTCCTTGGCCAATGCTGAGGGCGCTGTCACAGAATGCATCCGGGCGCGGAGGGAGCTGCTCCGGAGTTTAGAGAAGGTTCTTGCAACGAACCGTGAAGCGCTTGACCTCGAAGAGCAATTCATGAGGGAGCTGAGTGGTCGCAGGACTGAGATCGAGCAGAAGAAGCAGTCGGTAGAACTCGCCATTATCAGCGGTCTCCCCGCGCATAATCAAGAGCAGTCGGCGGGTGACCGCACTTCTGGAAGCCCCGTTCCTGAGCCTGAGCGGCCGCAAGTAGAGGCCCTCACGCCACCTCACGTCCAGGACCATGTTGGCGACATGTACGATCAGGCAGCCACCGCCTCCGAGCCTCATAATGGCCAGCCCAATTCTGTCCCGTTCCACAGCAACGCGGTTCCAATGAACACTCAATCTCCATTTGCGACCTCTGCTCCAGGGATAGAGATACTCTCAAACCTTGCGTCGCAATATCAGGCCGTACCATTGAACGGATCTTCTAAGAAACGCAAGATTGAGGCATCAGAAGATTTTCCTGATCTTGGCGGCGACGATGGGATCGATGCGGAGGTCAAGGAGATGCTCAGGAAGGACAGCCATGGCTCCTAGACCTTAGGTTGTCATTCTTCCTACGGGGGGAGTTGGGAGGTTAGTCTGGGATCGTGGCGTTTCTTACTTAACAGCTTTTTACCCGTGTGTACGAGGTTTCATAGCCTCACGAGTTGATTGGGGATGAGCTGCGCATTATTGGGTGACATAGGTCATTGTTTGGGTTTACTTTACCTTGGAGCAAGATGTCCCTGAGAGACAAGGGGTTGATCTTGGGCAAAACTGTCATTGATATTGTAGGGCTTCATCCATGAGGTCAAGGTATGCCCGTGAGAGCAGAACAGCCACTGAATTCAACCGCTGGAAGCTCACTGAGCCCCTATTGCCGGCCATATTCACAGAGCTGTGCGATCGCCAGGGGAGGGTGCACTGACCGGCCTGCCAAGCCACCACCAGAAGCTCGGCGATTCCACATGACGAAATCCCGATGTGCGTCAGGGATCTGCTTCTTGATTCGGCCGAGCCTTGGCTTGATCGGCCCGGGTTTTTCTTTCCTTCTCGACCTCACAAACCTCCGACAGTTCACAGCAAACTGCGCCGGCATGGGCGGTCAAGAACTCCCAATTCACCTCCGCACACCCGACATGACCGTCCGCCGGCGATCGAATCTCTCAAGGTAGACAAAGTCAACACTGGCATTTAGTTTTCCAACGACAAAGCCGAACGACGTGATGGGTTTGGGAGCAGCACCGGCGGCGATGCGCCGCGTCGCGCTGCTCCCGCAACGCGGCGTCGCCTTCGCCGTCGCTCATGGAGCAGCGCCTGCACCAGCGTTGGTTTCTTCTTCGTTGCCGCTGGGCCTGAACGGGAGACTCTCTGCGACTCGAAACGCCTTGAATCCACCTCTGCACCATGCATTCTCCTCGAGCCCCCGAGCCGGAAAGACGCCCATATTACCCCTTACCTCTGCGCCAGTCGCTGCGACAAACACCTCGCCTAACTTACTACCGCGTGGGCCCCGCCAACTAGCAAGGCAGCCGGTGTGGGCGCCTCCGGTCAATATCATACGGCAGCTCTCCACGACGCGGCCGCTTCAAGAACAGCAAGATGACACCACCGGTAGCAAGAGTAGCAAGAACCTACCTGCCCCTGTCGGCCCGAAGGAGGTAGACCAACATTTTGAGGCTCATGGGTTCCAAAGGAGCGAGAAAGCAGCCAAAGCAGCACACATCAACATGAGCGCGCGCTTGTCGAAGGAGGGCAAAGGCCAGGAAGGTAAGCCCGGACTGGCCGAAGTCTGGCGGCTGATCAAGATCGCGCGGCCCGAGGTCAGGTGGCTAGGCGCCGCTTTTGTCTTGCTGCTTATCTCGTCAGCCGTCACGATGTCGGTCCCCTTCACGGTAGGCCGGGTCCTCGATCTCGCGACCAAGGGTCCTACGGAGGAGGTGCGACTCTTTGGCTTCACATTGACACAGTTCTTTGTTGGCCTGGGTACCTTGCTTACCATTGGAGCGACGGCAAACTTTGGGAGGATTATTCTGCTCAGGATCGTTGGCGAGCGCGTGGTTGCGCGGCTGCGGACCCAGCTCTACCGCCGGACGTACGTCCAAGACGCCGAGTTCTTCGATGCCAACCGTGTGGGCGACCTGATTTCACGCTTGAACTCGGATACGGTTATTGTCGGCAAGAGCATAACCCAGAATGTCTCTGACGGTCTTAGGTCGATGGTCAGCGGCGCTGCGGGATTCGCTGCCATGGCCTGGCTGAGCCCAAAGCTGACGTCCATCATCCTCGTCGTGGTCCCGCCTATCGCTCTCGGCGCCTTCGTCTATGGACGCGCGATCCGGAATCTTAGTCGGCAAATCCAGAAGAATGTGGGTTCGCTGATGAAGATCGCCGAAGAGCGGCTGGGCAACATCAAGACCAGCCAGGCTTTCGCCGGCGAGGTCCAGGAGATTGGCAGGTACAACAAGCAGGTCAAGAAGATCTTTGCGCTGGGCAAGCGGGATGCGCTCATATCCGGGACCTTCTTCGCCTCGACCAGCTGGGCGGGCAATATGACTGTCTTGGCCATGCTGATCGTAGGGGGTAACCTGGTCCGATCTGGAGCCATGACACTGGGCGACCTGACGTCTTTCATGATGTATACGGTCTTTGCGGGATCCAGTCTCTTCGGCGTCAGCGGCTTCTACTCAGAACTTATGAAGGGAGTCGGCGCCGCCAGCCGCCTGTTTGAACTTCAGGACCGGAACCCCTCGATCCCGTCCACGGTAGGAGTGAAAGTAACTTCTGCTCAGGGCCCTATCAAGTTTTCAAACGTCACATTTGCCTACCCGACGCGGCCCGCCGTGACAATCTTCAACGGCCTCGATTTCGAGATTCCCTCGGGAAGCAACGTTTGCATCGTCGGGCCATCAGGAGGCGGCAAGTCCACCGTCGCTTCATTGCTACTGCGGTTCTACAACCCAACATCAGGCTCCATCACAATCAACGGCGTTGACATCGCCAAGATGAACGCCAAGTCCTTGCGCCGGCGTATCGGCATGGTAGCCCAGGAACCCGTGCTCTTCTCTGGCACAATCGCAGAAAACATTGCCTACGGCAAGCCCTCCGCCACACGGGACGAAATCATTGCGGCGGCGCGCAAAGCCAACTGCGGCTTCATCAGCGACTTCCCCGAGGGGCTTGAAACGCAGGTCGGAGCTCGGGGCGCGCAGCTGTCGGGCGGGCAGAAGCAGCGCATCGCGATCGCGCGGGCGCTGCTCAAGGACCCGGACATTCTCATCCTCGACGAGGCCACGTCAGCGCTCGACGCCGAGTCCGAGACGCTCGTCAACTCGGCGCTTGCGGCTCTGCTTAAAGGCCATAGGACTACTATCTCTATCGCACACCGCCTCTCGACTATTAAGAGGTCCGACAAGATTATTGTTCTGTCGAGTGAGGGGACTGTGGCTGAGATTGGCAGCTATGCTGAGCTTAGTGCAAATAAGGACAGTGCGTTCAGCAAGCTCATGGAGTGGCAGATGAGTGGTGCTGCTGGGGACGTGGTGATGGCCCCGGATCATCACCATCGTTTGCCTGCTTCTTCTGGCGCCACCCCGCACATATCCGAAGAGGAGGTGGAGGATATTGAGGAAGAGATGGAGCATGAGCGGGACGAAGAGGAGGAGGATGCCGTCCCTGGGGCGTCTGAGGGTGGTCGTGAGAAGAAAGCGTAAACTGAGGGAAAAGCACGGCGGTAGGGCGGGTCAGTGGGCGGCATGTCGATCTTGATTTGGGGGGTTTAGTATTTGGCTTGTCTGCTTGGTCATCTTTGGGAGGAGCGAATGAGGCGGTCTTCCCAGTCGTTTTGCCCCCTTCCTCGTTGTGTGCTTTTGAATGGAAGGGAGGGGTCTATGAAACCCAATAGAGCTGCATATTGGCGGCGCACGGAAAGGGAAGGGAACGCTACGCATTTGTTGTTTGTGCACATGTAAACTACAGGTTCACTACTAGATACTTGGGGATCAACAGGCTCTCCGCTCGTACAAGGAAACAGATATGGTAATGGACACCATACTACTACTGGGCATGGAGGGCGACTTGATGCGCCGAGAACATAGAGCACCCTCCTAATGGCCCAGGACAGGGTTTCAGATATGCCCGCTCCGAAGTGGTAAGGGCTTACAGCCCGATGCTGTGAGTAATTGGGCGCTTCACTGCGGCTCTGTGGACTATAGCTTGAAAGTTGGGGACGTGGGGGTCGGGGTTTGAGCCGTCGTATTAGGTTATAAGTCATGCTTGTCGATGCTGGATCTAGAGTTATAGGCCAACCACCTGCACGCAAGCATGATTACTTACCTAACTCTGCAGCGCTTTACTTACCAGCCCTGCGTAAAGCCTCCATCCATGGATGTGGTTCGGCGATCCATGGAAACGGCAAGAGTGAGAGGTGGACGCCCATGAGATCGCCACCCAACACCGATCATGTAGTAGGTAGGGGCAGTTCCTGGCTTCCTATGGACACACGTAGCAGCGCAGTAAGGTATAGGTCGTCTAGATCGAGTGAAGTGAGAGGATATTGGTTCTTGCACCAGGGCTATCCCATCACCGGGTTCACTGGTCTGAAAGAGTCGAAGCATCTCAGGCCGGAGAACACAATGCTAAGGTACGAAGGTAAGAGCCCTTCCTTTTCGGCTGAGAGTATGCCCCACCGTCCCGTCTTGGGGTTTTTGTTCGAGGCTGTCAGGGTGTGGCCCACGAGCTCGGTGAGTCCTTTGGGCCATAAGAGACTGCATCACGCGACACTGGATCTGCCCAGAGATGGCTGAAATCGCAGATGTCCAGGTAGTACTCCGTAAGGAAGGTAGGAGTTGGGACAACAGAGGAGTAATGTACTAAACGTTGTTACTTTATCACCCATCCTTCCTGATCTCATCGGCATAAATCATTCAAGACTCCTGTGAACGAGCAAATTGAGTATTATTGGTTCCTGGACTGACGGATGTCTTGGGAGCTTGGATTGTTATGGCAGTGGTCAGCCAAAAAGTGTTGGAGAGAGAGGCTTAACTTCATTCGTGAAATTTCACATGCACTCCATCGTGGCGTTCCGTAGCCACCTGGAAGGCTCAAACAGACCCCACAGAGCCGGGCTGGTGCCAAACTGCCACTGCCCCCACCATTGTAACCGGGCAGGGGTTGTGGCTGGGGAGCTGGGGTCAAAGAACACCGAATGAAGTCTGGAAAACCCTGCTTCCGAAGTAGGCGTTCCTGCAGAGCGGCGACACGAACGAAAACTTCGAGGTTGTGACTCGTAGGTGGACAGACAGGATGTGGGTTTACCCAGGAGCGCATCTGGTTGGCCTTTGGGTTTATTCCATGTAATTGATTTTATTTTCATCCTCCTTCCGCTTCCCATGTCAACAGCACGCCCTCCAATCCACTAACGTCTTGGGTTCAAAGTGGCTTGAGCACACTGCCCACGTTCGCAGTCATACAGCAACTGCCATCACTCTCTTTCACCATAAACCCCCCCGCAATCTCTCCGACGAGCTCTTGGCCTCTTGTCCCAAAGAGGGTTCACACATCGTTCAGATCCAGGCCCTCAGTCTACTCTTTGACACCCGCTTGACCGATTTCCTTGGACTACATTCGGTGACTGCTGAGTCCCAGTCCAAGTTAAAAGCAGCCCCATCCCCCCACCGACTATCGACATCCGAACCGGTCAATTCCTACCCCGACTGACTCTTCAACTAACTGCCTTCATCTCCTGATTGAGGTGCCATTGGATCTTGTCTCCTACAGTCCATCATCTTCTCGCCCCGAAAGACAGTTTTTGCAGCGTTTCCAATCGTTTCGCTGCATCGTTGTGCATCGCATTGGGAGTTTATTTGCTGCGAGTTCGGTGAGCCGGCAGGTCTTGAGTCAAATGAGCCCTCCGCATTCGGGGTTAAGATCTCCGGACATGGCCCGGGCGCTCCTTAACAACACCGGCAATACCGGCTGGATCGTCCAGAAATTCGGCGGCACCAGCGTCGGCAAATTCCCCGACAAGATTGCAGAGGATATCGTCAGGTGCGGATAACATTACCACAGTGAGAGAAAGACGAATTCAAGCTGATGCTTTGACTGTATCAGACAATACGTGGAGAATCACCGTGTAGTAGTTGTGTGCTCAGCTCGGAGCACCGGCAAGAAGGCAACAGGAACCACGAGCAGGTGAGTAACGGCGCCGTCGCTCATGGCTTTTTCTGTCTGGTCGTGCTGTCTCCTTCCATTTTGAGCTTGTCTCTCGGCTTTTGATTTTGCGTCACCGAGCTCCCCTCCGGCGCCTCCCCCAGCGCCTCCCCCACGCATCGTTTCATCCGCCTGTGCCACGGCAGTCCCATTAGTCAACCGCTGTGCGGGATGGCTGACAACGTGCAATTCCCCACAGGCTACTGGAGGTGTACAAGAAACTGCGGGCCATTGTCGCCTCAGCAAGTGACCATGATGCCCAGGACGATTTGCTGGAAGATGCCAAGCGCATTGTCCAAGACATCTGCGCCGACCATGTCGGTGCCGCCGACACTTTCATCAAGGATCCCCAACTCAGCGCTTTGCTGAAGGCTGATACTGAGATGGAGTGCCAGCTCCTCATCGAGTATATTGGGGCTGCGAAACGTTTCAACCTTGAGATCAATTCCCGGGCCAAGGATAGGGTCGTTAGCTTCGGAGAGAAACTGAGCTGCAGGTTCATGACGTGCCTCCTCAAGGACAGAGTAAGTTCTTCTGCGGGTCTCTGGCTAGATGGTCTCGCTGACTAGGATGCAACAAACAAGGGGGTGGATGCTGAGTACGTTGACCTGGCCGATATCCTGCGTCTTGACAGCCCGGCACGTCTTGACTCTGCCTTTTACCGGCATGCCACCACCGTCATTTCCAACAAGATCCTAAAATGCGGGGATCGGGTGCCCGTGGTGACCGGCTTCTTTGGAAATGTCCCCGGAAGCCTCCTGGATGGAGACATCGGCCGCGGGTACACCGATCTGTGTGCGTCACTAGTGGCTGTCGGCCTCAAGGCAGTTGAGCTTCAAATCTGGAAGGAAGTGGATGGCATCTTTACCGCCGACCCCTCCAAAGTCCCGACCGCAAGGCTTATCCCATCCATCACTCCCTCCGAAGCCGCAGAGCTGACCTTCTACGGCTCTGAAGTCATTCACCACTTGACTATGGACCAAGTGATCAAGGCTGTGCCGCCCATCCCGATCCGGATAAAAAATGTCAACAATGCCCGCGGCGAAGGCACCATTGTGAAGCCGGATCCATTACTGGCGCCAGATCGGCAGATCCAGAGAACGAGACAACCGTCGGATCCGTCCCTGCGCAAGAAACCCAAGAGGCCGACAGCCGTCACCGCCAAGGACAAGATTTCCATCCTCAACATCCACTCCAACAAGAGATCTATAGCGCACACATTTCTGGCCCGCGTGTTTTCCATCCTCAATCAGCAACGGGTGTCGGTCGATCTCATCTCCACCAGCGAGGTGCACGTCTCCATCGCGGTTCACGCCGCAAACTCTGAGCAATGCAACTTTGACGAGGCCGTGAAACAGCTCAGGGAGGAGTGCGGCGAGGTCAGCGTGCTGCACGACATGACCATTCTCAGTCTTGTGGGCGCCGAGATGAAGAACATGGTTGGCATTGCTGGCAGGATGTTTTCAACTTTGGGCGAAAATGGGGTCAATATCGAGATGATCTCGCAGGGTAAGAAAGCGCTCTGGTTTGCCTGTTTTCTTTTTTTGACACGAATTGCTAATACAATGCATAGGGGCTAGTGAGATCAACATCTCGTGCGTCATTGACGCCCGTGATGCCGAACGGGCCATGAATATTCTGCATACCAGTCTCTTCACCTTCTTAGAGTAACGCCCAGGCGGGTGAATCAACGATACGTCAGCCCCAAAGCAGCTCATACAGGCCTGGGACTGTTATTGAGAGGTTCTTTGCGGATATTTTCGCCGATGCTTGACGAAGCGAATCTAAGCGATCTCTGGTAGAGTGTTACCTTTTGTTAGGGCAGAGTAGGAGTTGTCGCGGTTGGGGGCCGGGAGTAGTACAGGTGGTTTTGTCTGATCGGCGAGGGGTGTCATTTCACGGCACATGTCAGGTAGACAGCGGAGTATATAGCGGCGCGATTCTGTACATACTATGTAGACGTAGACCATATGGTAGGGGATGTTACACGATCACACGAGAAATAAATGCTAGCAAGTCTCCAACAGGGTTAGGGTTCTGCCTCGCGCTGACATGATGTGCCGATAAGATAGTCAAAGGTGGGTCTCCGTCAGCCTTACCTACCGGCCTGCCTCAACCTCTCTTGTACAACTTCAGCCAATCCGTCCGCTGACGACCACCCATCGCTGCATCTTAACAAACCGACAAGGAGGACTCCCACTTGTCACCTCTAAATATCGATCTTGTATCTGACTCCGTCATTCCAAATAACCATTTGTCGCTCGGCTCCGCGCAGCGAGTCAACCCGTAGCGAAAATGGGCAAAGCCGAAGTCGGATCGACGAAATACCTCTCCAACAAGATGAAGCAAAAAGGCCTGACGCGCCTACGATGGTACTGCCAGATATGCGAGAAGGCATGTCGCGATGAAAACGCCTTCAAGATGCACTGCCAGTCCGAAAGCCACATGCGGCGGGCGCTGGAGACGGGTCAGAATTTCAAGACGGTCCAGGACGAGTACAGCAAGCAGTTCCTGCACGAGTTCATCTCGCTACTCAAGACGGCGCACGGCGAGAAGAGCATCCACGCCAACCGCTTCTACCAGGAGGTCATTGCGCGCCGGGACCACACCCATCTCAACGCCACGCGTTGGCATTCCCTGACCGACTTTGTCAAGTACATCGCCCGCGAGGGGATTGTGAGGGCCGAGGAGAAAGAAGATGGCATCTTCATCGCGTGGATCGATGATTCTCCCGAGGCCATGAAGCGGAGGGAAGCCGTCAGGAGGAAGGAAATGCAGGACAAAGGCGACGAGGAGAGGGAGCAGATGTTGCTGAGGGAGCAGATCAAGAGGGCCCAGAGGGATGCCGAGGCAAGAGGGTTTGCGGTGAATGGCGGGGAAGATGATGAGGACGAGGGAAAGGTGCTGAAGCGGGAGCAGGGAGAGAAGATCAAATTGTCGTTTGGGACGAAACCTCCAGCGGCAGGGTCGACGGTGGCAAAGAACACTACGCATGAGCCGGATGCGACACCGGCGTCAAGTACCGGGGAAAAGGACAGCACAACCCCTGAATCAACGGGGGAGGCGAGCAACGGGGAGCAGGAAAAGAAGCAGGATGCTAAGCCGGTATCACTAAAAGTTGCCGCCAAACCGCAACCGAAGAATGTCTTCAAGAATGCGTTTGCAGGTGCCCCGAAGAAGGTGATGGCCGCGCAACCGAAGAAGATGAGCGAGGCAGAGAGGATCATGAAGGAGGAGTTGGAGCGAAAAAGGGCGCGCGAAGCGGGCGGTGGACCTCCCAACAAAAGACCGCGCTTTTAGCAGCATCATTATCAGTCAGCGACAGACCCTGGCATGGTTGGCTACATGGAGCATTCATCGGCGTTGGGGGCTATACTTAGACGGGGCATGATACCAGGAAGGAAATGGAAAGCATGATCTGATTTCTACCGTCGCTAACGCTCCAGTCCGAGTAACCATGCGTTTGACCAAAGTAGATCCCACGATAAACCAGACCCAAGCCCCAAACTCCCACAACGCCTGCTACCCGATGCTGACCCTGTCTAAACAACCACTAATCCGCCTCGGTCGCGCTGCCATCACGTCTTGTAGTAGCCAGTCAGCGTAAAAACGGACGGCCAAATCATGTTAGGGCAGAGTAAAGGGTAGATTTACGGGATATACTGGATCCTGTACTCCTCCTCGAGCGTGGTCCGCACGTCGTCGGGTAGCTGGCCCGAGACCTTTGTGGCATAGACGCCCCGCACGTAGCCGTCGAGCCGCTGCCACTTTGCCACCCACGACTTGCTCGGGTCGGCGATGGTGATGAGCCCTTCAAAGACTTGGGACGTGCAGCTGTCGATCTGGTCCGGCGAGCCCTGGAGGTGCAGGAACTCCTCGCAGTTCGGGCAGCCCTCGTCCCGGAAGCGCTGATTGTATGGTTAAACAAATGAGGTGGATGGGCTGAGGGTAGGTTGGTTTGGCTTACAGCGTAGGTCATGACTATGGAGCACACCATGCAGGCGCGGAGATAGCGCTGTTGGCCTGGGGCAACGAAGTTTTCTGACATGGTTCTTCTTGTGTATGCTGAGCTGGTTTGAGAAGGGTAAGACACCGCTGGATGTGTGTGTTGGGAGTGTAGAAGTTGGCGAATAAATGAGCAAGCCTTTGTCAGTCAAGACTCCAGAGTTTGGTCTGTTTGTGAATCGTGAATGATACTGCGGCGGGTGAGTTTACAGCTAGACGCTCCCTAACGCTAATGAAGGTTAACTAACTGTTGGCCTAGATGCAGGTGCCAAGCCGATCGGGAACGGGTTCAGGGTGGCACGGTGCCACTGGATCGAGTGGGGTTGTCAGTGCTCCTTGCTCGCTGTCCTGGATCTTATCAATGCAATCCGGAGCACACCCAGTGAAAGAACATCCCGTCATCCACCCGTGGACGTCGACCTTGAACCGGCTTGCTTCCTTCATCAACGGCGTTTCCCGGACTGCAGATGGGCTGTATGCCATGCGCCTGCCTACCACGTCAATTGACTTCCCGACCACGCATACTTCGCTTTATTGAGCCCGCCGAGAAAATGAACTGAGTTTGCATGAAGCAGTAGGACTAGCAAAGTCGTTTTGATTCTTGGTTATTATTCTGCCCACTTGAGTGTATTAAAGAAGAAAAGAAGCCCGCCAAACGCCCCCGTGAATGAAAAAATGGGCAACAGCCCCTCCACATCCAAATCCGCGAACCAGTCGTCAGGGTCCAATTCGCAAACGCAACATGATCGGCCGGTGAGGCGCGACAACAGACATCCCATCCCGGTGCAAACCAGCCGGGTTGCTGCCCCGCCAGAACCCTCGCTCACTCAGGCCCAGGGCACATCGGTCCAACCACCGTCGACCAGCAACACTACCGGCAGCCGGACCAAGCCGCTTCAATTCCGACAGGCCCCCTCGTCCGCCTACTCGACCGCATCCTCTTCCGTAAACGCCGCCAGCTCCTCGAGCTCGGCAAAACCAGTTGAGGTGAAGCAGCCCGCAGCCGGTTCAAGCCACCAGCCTTCCAAGCCCGTAGCCGTACCCAACTACCAGAATTCACCCTCGTCGCCTCCGCGGTCGCTCCGGTCCGACGACACTTCCGAAGCGGCCATCATGCCACACAGCAGCCTGCAGGACATGTCATACCTGACACGTCCGCCGCGCCTGCCCCTCCCGATAGAAGAAGAAGTGCACACGCCTGGGTCGCCCATCATCGCGCCGGCCGACGCCGGGCAGCCGCTAGAAGACATCGAAGGGCTAGATAGTGCGAAGCTCTCTCATCCTGGTTCAGACTTGAGCAACACCTCGGCGCCGGGTGAAGAGGATACAGAGGAACTATTGGTTGACAAGACCAGGCCGACGGTGCCAACGAGGCTGGAATGGCGTCACGGAGGGGACAAGGTCTACGTAACGGGCACCATCTTCCAATGGAACCGCAAAACGCGGCTGCATCCAGTGTAAGTGGCGTGATTGCCAGTAAGAAACCAGCCGACTTGTCTGGTTTGGATCTCCTAACGTCAATGTCAAAATGCAGTCCGGACCAGCCCGGTGTCTTTGCAACAACCATCAATATCCTTCCGGGAACCCACCATATCCGGTTTCTGGTAGACAACCAGATGCAAACCTCCCCAGACTATCCGACCACGGTTGACTTCGGCAACAATCTGGTCAACTACATTGAAGTCAGCCCCGATGACGTTCCGGCTGCAGAAACCGAAGCAGCGGGGCCGACAACGGGCAGGGATGGCCAGCAGCAGGCCCAGGGGAAAGGAGCCTCGACCGAAGAGGAGGAGGATGAAAGGGCGCCCAGGTATCGCGAAGTGCCCCCGGCGGAAGCTTTCGTGAACAAGATTCCCAAGTATCTGCTCGATTTGGATCAGCCTGAAGACAGCCCCCTATATCACAGCGCATTCACGGCCACCGAGGGACTGCCCAACCCGCCCGCCCTCCCTGGGTTTCTCAACAAGCCCATCTTAAATGCGTCGACCCTGATGAAGGACGACAACAGCGTCCTGAACATGCCGAACCACACTGTCCTCAACCACCTCGCTACCAGCAGTATTAAGAATAATGTATTAGCAGTCTCGGCGACGACGAGGTATAAAAGCAAGGTGAGTCAGCACGGTCCTCAATTGCTCCGTCGGATGGCAACATTAACCGCACTTTCGCAGTATGTGACGACTATCATGTACAAGCCGACAACTGCAGAGGGTATCTGAGCTCCGCCATGCGCGGGCCACGGGACGCCCCTGAAGACATGTACAGGGGCTCCAGGGGCATCTGCGATGTGCTGCTACTCTACATACCTTAGTTCAAGGGAGTTACGGCTATCTGGGTCTTGTCAGAGGGACTACCCCCGGCTGTAGTGTCTGCCAGCCTTGGATTCCGGCGTCAGAGACGGGTTACAGGTGCCAGCCTTGGCAAAGCATGCCGGTGCATGGCGACATTAGATTGATATAAAGATTTGGGAGGAATAATTCAGTTTACTTCCTCCATTTGACGAGCACTTCATCTGTCCTGAACCGCTGGGTACATGTGCTCTCATTGATCGGGGTTCGAAACCCTGTCTCGTATGCCAGCAAGCCGGCATGTGCGATCATAATACCATTGTCGATGCAAAACCGCTCATCGGTCGCGTAGACGCTCCCGCCGCGGTCCGCCGCCATGGCACCCATCATCTCCTGCAGCCGCTCATTGCATCCCACACCCCCAACAATGAGCACCTGGCTGCTCCCCACATGGGCCATTGCCCGCTCCGTGATCTCCACCAGCATGGCGAACACCGTCTCCTGCAAACTAAAACATAGATCCGCCGGCGTAAACGGCTCGCCATCCGGGCCGACCCCGCCAGCCTTCATATGCGCCGCCAGCTCGTCAGCCCGCGTGAGGATCCCGCTGAAGGAGCAGTCCATGCCCTTGACGGCGTACGGCAGGTCCAGCAGCACCCTACCCCCTTGCTTGGCCAGCTGCTCAATGTTGTAACCCGGCGCCGGATCATTACTGATGCCCAGGGTGCGCGCAAAGCGGTCGAGGCAGTTGCCCACGGCGATGTCGAGCGTCTCGCCAAAGATGCGGTACCGCTGCTCGGCGTAGGCAATGACCTGCGTGTTTCCGCCCGAAACGTACAGCACAACGGGATGGGCCGCGCCAGTGATGGCCCGCCCCATCTCGATGTGGCCCACGCAGTGGTTCACCCCAACAAGCTCCTTGTCCCAGAGCAGGGCCAGCGTGCGCGCCGCCACGGCGACCGACGTCAGTGGCGCGCCCATGCCCGGGCCCTTGGTGTAGCAGATGCAGTCGATGTCGGCGATGGAGATTCCTGCGTCTGAGAGGGCCTGCTTGGCGACACGGACAAAAAAGGAACGGTGGTGCCGCGCCGTGTCTTTGGGTAGGAAGCCCGTCCCCGGCGGGGAGACGAATGTGTGGCGCACGTTGGACAGCACAGTTGCGGTTGCCAAGGGAGAGCCGACGTCGCCTTCGTGGAGGATCACGCCGATGCCGAGCTTGTTGGCTGACCCTTCGCAACCTAGGGCGATTCTGCGTTTCTTTTTGGCGATTGTGTTGTCCATGCTGTGGACGGTGTTTTGTGGATCGAAGGGACTCAGGTGTATTAATGGTAAAAGCGTTGCGTTAGGCGCGTTGAGGGCCTCTCCCTAATTATTGGACTTGTTTGTGCCTGGTTTGGACGGGCGTGTAATATGTTCTGATTCTCCCTGAGGTAGTGTCGCCCAGAAACCAAGATAGTTGGCGGGTCCCTGATTAGACGAGTTGGATGAAGACGGGAGTTGTAATAGTTCGTTGGCGGGGCAAGCACGAGGGGCTCTCTGTCGGGTTCTGACGTCGCGGGCTCAGGGTAGCTCTGTAGTGTATGTACCGGTATTGTATCCGTACCTGTAACTTTACAGTACAGTACAGCCCTGACGTGGCTCGTGCACCAGCCTCGTGGTTGTGGATTGGCATCGGATGCTGGGTGAGCTCCACCAACAGGGTTGTCGTCAAAGACCCCGAGCCCCCACCGAGAATAACTGTTGCTAAGCACACCAATTCTCCCACCACCTCCTCCCACTGGGCATATTCTCCCCTTACCATTGAGGCCGTGGTACAGAGAGGCGCTCTTGCCTGTCCTAGACTCGAGAGGAATCCTTTCACAAATTTACTCTACCACTCCGGGTTTCACACCAAGTCCCCTTCGTCTGAGGAGTGAGGACTAGAAAGCTGGAGCCATCGAGCTGAGCTCTCATGCCGCCGCTTACCCGCCCTCTCCCGCCCTCTCCCATAGTCACTCGGTGGCTACGAGCGGTGAGAGCTGTGATATCATGCCAGCTGCGCACCTTTCGGGATCCAGTATGCTCTTCTCCGCTCGTGCTTCGTCGGGCATGGGACAACTCCTCTACTCAAACCTTATCTGTCCGAGACTTTTCCTCCGGCGCCTATAACTCCGAAACTGACTCCGCTTATTTTCCTTTAGTCCTGAACTGCAAATTCTGTGCACGAAAAGGCGGCAATACCTTGGACAGGGCGATCTTCCACCTGGCAGTCCTTCCGGCGTCTTGAAAACATGAGCCTTTCGCACCTTTTCCCCTCTTTTCCCGCTTGGTCCACGGGCCGCCAACCTCATCCTCCGGGAACCGGAGAATTACGACAACACACTGACCGCCTCGTGCCGAGAGGCTTGTGAAAGTCGAGGCCCAATCAAGGCCTACTATGATAAGATGCTGTCACTCTTCTGCGCACTTTCTCGTCTTCCTTACCGCCAACTGCCTCTCCGGGAAATTGCGCGCTCCGAGCCATCATTTTGCCTTCCCAAGACAATTCTTCTCCCCTCCGAAACCACCACCTCGATGCCCGGCGTATACAACGAAAGCTTTCACGGCGCCGAGAACAAGGGAAGCGTCAGTCCGACGGTGCTTCTTAGTTCTGGATCGGCCTGCTCGGAAAACGCTCCACGTCAGGGCTATTGAATCTGAATGGAAGCCCCGCGTTCCACATGTGGCACTCTTTGCCAAGCTGTGTCCCCTTTGATCGTGGTAACCGGGGCATTTGAGAATGTTCGACTGAGGAACCACCACGAACTGAGCGGCCTCTTGCGGTCGAGGTCAAGCGACATGAACATGCAAACTCCAAGCGCTGCGGGGCTGACAGATATCCCGAATCGTGAGGTTATCGACGACGCAGGGCTCTGAGGGGCTCAGGCTTGGCCAGCTCACAGCTCAACCGAAGAAAGCATATTTGGATGATGTTCCGTGAACTATGCGGGTGGAGAAATCCAAGGGCCGGACGCCATGGTGCCTTTACTTCCTGAACCCTGGAACTAAAGCCGAAGCTCAAAAACACATTGCTCTCACTTGGGGAACCAACGATTCGAGCTAAACGACGTACAGGTTGCTGCGTGAATGCGGCTCTGTTTATCGGCATTGCTGTCAAAGCTACTGGGCTACAAGTTCCTGTGCCCAGTATGAGTCAAAAACTACTTATATATACATGGCTTTACCTCGGCCGACATTATCATCTACACGGAACCCACACGCCCGAACTCCTCGCCAGGCCGATTCCTTCTTTTTCCCGGCCTATCGCTAAATGCATCATTGGAGTGTTGAGAGGGTATACAGCGCAAGAGCATTCATTATCTTGCCCAAGCACGACCACGCGTGGGCAGACGGTGTTTGATTCCAACCGAATGTCGCAACGCACGCAGCTGATCTCATGTTGCTGGCGGTGGCTGTGGCGGCAGCTGCGTTGGCAGCTGCTGTTGTGGTATTGATTGTGGATGCTGTGGGGGCGGTAGCGGTGCCCTCGGGTTTGGTACTGCTACTCGCGTCGTCATCCACGGCGGCAGCGGGATCGAGGCGCGGAACTTCAAAGCCCGCATATCGAAGGGATCGACTTCGTATATGGGCGGGTCTTCCTCATCATCCGACGACTGATCATACTTCCACCGATCTGATACATCGGCGCTGACCTCACGGGGCGGACTTGCAAGACCACGACGGTCAATCCACAACCTATTAAGCCGGCCGATGCGCCGCCGGTATGCTGGTGGATTCTCCCTCGACTGCTCATCCCGGGCTACGCTCCTGAACTTAAAGACCGTCTCCGGGTTTTGCGGTTTGTCAAGGTCCATTGGTGTCGGTTCTTCCAGGGACGCCGACGAAGCCGACGCCGGCGGTGTCATCAAATACTGAGCCTTTGCGGGTCTAAAGCTAGCGTCCTTTCGAAGTCCTCGAACCGGCGACAATGGGCCTCGTGTCAAATCCACATGGTTCCGATTCCATTCACTATGGCTCTGCACCTTCTTCTCGATATCGATGCGGAGCTCATTCTCCTTCTCGGCCAATCGGTCAGCCAGGAGGGAGAGATCAGCCTCAGCGGGCCGGCCATCCAGCCGGATAGAAATGCGAAGTTGCGCTGGCGGTGGCGGCCGCTGGGTAGCAGAGGCCTCGGGAGCCTTTCTCTTTTGCGGCTGCGTATTGTTAGCATCAGAAATGGGGGCATGGTAAGCGCAGAATTGCTGTACTAACCTTCTGATTGATAAGGTCGTCGTCATCAGTTTTGATGCCCAAGCGGATCTTTTGCTCCTTGAGCTGAGATCTGAGCTCGAAGATAGCGCGGTCTGCCTTCAGCATCTCCGCCTTCAGAAGTTCGCGATTGTGAGAGGCCAGGACTAGTTGGCGACCCTCCTCGAGTTCTTTCCGCAAGCGCTTGAGTTTATCTGCGCTCTGGACATCTCTGGCCCTCGTCTTTCGAGTTTGACGAACTTCACGACGCCGGAAACAGACATAAGGATCCATATCATCACTCTCCTGGTGTGTCTCGAACTTGAGCGTCGGGTGAAGCGGCCGGTTGCCCGACGCCTGACGTTGAGATTTCCAGTACTCATAAAGCTCCTTGGCATGAGGCAGGATTTTGGCTTTTTCAAGCTCCTGCAAGCCTTGCAGCATGTCATCGTACGGAACTATGGTTTGGTCTATCGAGGCGAAGGGGGTTTTGATGTAGGCGGTGTCCTCAAACACCTCCATGACCTTCTCGAAGTCATCCTCCGAGAGTTGAGCCGATGCGGCTCGCTTCTGGTTATACGACTTGAGAAAGGCCTCATCATCCTCCGTCATGTCATACATGCACCCAATGCATTCTTCCACGGTTTGGGAGAAGCGGATATATGTTGACGTCTTGGAGAACGGTCGAGGGTAGAGCTCGTCATAGTTGAGCGTGCTCTCCTGGGGTGGCGGCACGGGGATTTCCTTATCGGCAGCGACCCCAGCACTCTGGAGGACCGCCTGAAGATGGTACTCCTGTGGGATTGAGGTTAGTTATGCCCCTTTCTCAGCAGCTGGGTCAATGGATGCGGGTGTGGCACGTGCGCTGGCACGTGACAAGTCGCGATCAATCAACGGTAAGTTTATCTTACATTTTCCTCAGCCTGTTCGACGCCGGTCGCGATTTGGCCCTCGTTGGTGAGCGACTCATACTCTGACGGATCGATTTGATCCTCTTTGAGCACGGGTAGAGCCGTTTTCGGGCTCAGTTTCTTGTACCGGACTTTCCTGGTCGCCATGGCTACTGGGGAAGGTGAGTTTGGCAACAAACCTCGGGAAACCCCGAGAAATTTTCTTTTTGTATCATTCAAGAGGCCATGCGAAAACAATCTGCAGAGTTTTTCGATGCAAAACCGGCGTTGTTGTTGATATTTTGATGGCTAAAATCTCAAGTCGCGATGGAGTGTCGTTGAGGTCTGGCGCAGAATTTGCTGTTTTGGCGGCGTGTTCCATCACTCCGATTCTGGTCATTGGCTCCTGAAAGAGAAGTGGGTCCCTCTCTGAGCCGATAAGGAGCGCCCGCACTCCAGCCCAGTTTTCCTCTCCCCTTCCCCATGCAGCCCCAGTAAAAACCCTCCTTCCCCAGGCCAGCAGGCAAACGCAGGGCAATCATCAGTGCCCCTCTATTGCATGGATCAGTCCTGATGCCTTCTTCTGGCTCGTCTGCGCATATTGCCCGGGCCGTACGTACATACCAAAGGGAGTCTTGACGTCAGCTTCAGATACCACAAGTCACTAGGCTTAGGCTCCAGCGGTTTGAAGCGCAAATCTCAATGTTTACTACAACGGCTTTGCCTCTGCTCTTGCAATTCCATCGCGTAGCTAGTATGATAAAAGGTATGCACGCATGTGGCACGTGCCTTTTCTGCACGCAGACAACAGCCAACAAAACGGTTTCTGCGCACTTCATATGGGAGCAAGTTCGTATGTACAATACCAAAATTGATGATATGGAGACTTTGTCACATTCGAGAGCCACCAAAGCAGTCTAGTGTGGCTGGTGCGGAGGGGACCTGAGTGGTTAAGCCGTAACTTGTCTGACAAGCTTGTGCACTTGGCGGTGGCGTCAAAATCAGGCAGGCCTGGCCGGGGCCGTTTCTGGATCGATCCTTGCTCCAGGCTCCAGCTGTTCTGCTCTTCCCCGCTATCGATACACTACCCCACCCCCGTTTTTTTAGTTTGAAAGTCAGCTCCAAACTTGTGTGTACGATTCAGAGATCGCGACACCGCTTGTCACTTACACGTCTGGGCATTGTCTGACTTGGCTACTCGACCCATACCTAATCAACTCGAAAGTTCCTTTGGGCCTGGCCATCGGTCTCCGATCCTGCGAAGAAGTCAACGGCCAACCTTCTTGACCGGCCATCCAGCGCAGGCGCACACCCAAGCCAGTCGCAACGACAAGCCTACGGTCTTGTCGCGACTCGCGAGGTCTCTCGGGCTATTATATTTTCGTGCCAAAAGGAACTAGAAAAAATAAACGGGGAAGCAACCTGTTGCTTGCTGCTGCCGGTTTGAAAATTCAGCCTCATACACAAGAGACTTCGCGCCCTCCCGGCCACCCGCTCGCCGCTTCACCCCTCGCTGTCGGCTCTTCTATTGTGCGAGGCGGTCCCCGTTGAGTGGGCGCGAGCAAGCAAGCACACAAAAAGCAGACCTTACACATATATAAGGAACCGGCACCATGGGCAACGCTTCAAGCACAGTGCTGGACGATATCGTCCAGGGGTCGAACTGTATACTTCCCCCACCTGCGTTCTCTTTATCTACGCAGCCGCAGAATGGTTGAGCTGACAAGTTGCTGTGTTTCCGCTTCTGCCATGCAGTCGATAGGGAAGAAGTCGACCGGCTAAGGAAGAGGTTTATGAAATTGGACAAGGTACGGCTGCTTCATTTTCCGTGGGCGACTTCGTGAAAAAGGACCAATCTGCGGCGTGTGGTGTTTCGCGCACGGGAAGGAGATGTCACCATGAGACAAATAAACGCTCTTGGACGAGTGCTGACATGGCTGTTTGTTTCACCTCCGCAGGACAACTCCGGCACCATCGAGCGTGACGAGTTCCTAAGCCTGCCTCAAATATCGTCGAACCCGCTTGCCACCCGGTCAGTTTGCATTTCACCTTCCCCAATGGGCCAGTTGAAAGACACAAAACTGAAACAGAAGGAGGAGGCTTAAGAGACTGACACCCACTAGGATGATTGCCATCTTTGACGAGGATGGCGGGGGCGACGTCGATTTCCAGGAGTTTGTCTCTGGGCTGAGCGCCTTCTCGAGCAAGGGAAACAAGGAGCAGAAGTTGCGATTCGCCTTCAAAGTCTATGACATTGACCGCGACGGGTACATCAGCAATGGCGAGCTCTTCATCGTGCTGAAGATGATGGTTGGCAACAATCTCAAGGACCAGCAACTGCAGCAGATCGTCGACAAGACAATCATGGAGGCGGACCTGGACAAGGACGGCAAGATCAGCTTTGAAGAGTTCACCAGGATGGTGGAGAATACGGATGTGAGCATGAGCATGACGCTAGGTGAGTGTTTGGTACAATTTGCTCCCGCGTCCGCGGACCCAATATCGGCTTTCTTTTCTGACTGGTTTGGCTCTGGTTTGCAGATCAGTTCTAGGCCACCCACCAGGGATCGCGGAGATCCCGCGCATGAAGTTTGGTACGAAGATGACGGGATCTCTTTCCATTTTTCCTCTAGTTGAAATGCGCGGGCTTGTTGCTCGGTCTTGTCTCACCGATAGAGTAATCAATACGTCGCGCGTTGAGGACCTTGAAGTCCAGGGGTCAGGGCTCATCAATTTCCCTACTCACCGCATTTCCTCAGTGAAATGTCACGGGTACTCGATGTGGTTCCCTGGCGTGATGAGTTGTCCGCAGTGGTGATCAACAGTCAGGATCTACGAAGCGGGCGTTGCCGCCGGAGATGATAGGCCGCCATCCGAGGCCAGTTCTCGCCGTCACGAACCCACGACCGACCGTTTTTTCGGAAGCTGCTGACGTCAATCCAACCACTTGATTAGGGACATGGTTGATCCCAGATTCAGCAGGCAGAGCCATGCCGCGACGCTGTGGGCCTTCGCCCGACGGTACGTTAGTGTATATACGTAGTGTCAAGATCCCCTGCTCTCCACAGACAAGTGCATAGTGTAAAGTCTGTTGGTCGGTTGCTATTCGGGGCAGTCAGCTGTACCTGTGTTACTGTATGTACAGTGCAAGGAGGAAGGCTGAATATGGCTTCCGCAGTAACCTGGAAGAGTGATGCTTGATGGACGACGTTCGAGACCGGCAGACCGCGTTGTGCGTCAGGTTGCCATGAGTGGCCAGCGACAGCGAATCTGTTTCAGCAAGAGTTGTAGGACGTGCTACATATGTGAACTTCAAGTCCTCTGTTGTGTACAAGTACATACGGTGTGCACATAAGTACACGTGTAGTTCATGGCCGTTTGTGAAGGCTTGAAGCCACAGCGGCACGAAGCGCAATGAGGAGCGTTGCATCCTGCAGAAGCCCGACTCCCTTCCCATGTCAAGCCAAGTGGGACCAGACCGCCATTCCTGAAGTTCAGGACAGCCATCTGTCTTGGGTCCATGTTAATGAGCAGCCGCCATGGTGCCCTGCAGCAGACCCTGTTCGACAGGTTTTGCTAACAATCCGCCGTGGTATGATACGTAGACGGAGTGTAGCAGATTCAGTTCAGTACCTTATCGTACTGTACTGTACATACAGTACTGTACCTACACTGAGGCAGCTAGTAAATGTTATGCCCTCCTGGTTTCGATTCAGCTGCGTTAAAAGTGAGGCTCGTCTGAAGGATGATGCTGCAGCCCCGTTTTTGGAGAGATCTGACAGGTCACCTGGTCCCTGAAATTGTCAAGAAACTTGACATGGGGTGTCATCCCTGTCAAATCGAGTGGTTGGCGGCAGATTTGCGTCGGCCGATGGCACGATCCGTGGTTCTGGGATTTTGGGGGGGATTGGTTTGCCTGGCGTACTCCGTACCACGGTACTGTACACGTGTATTGTATTATACAGTACGCGCATACCTTACATTCCAGTAAATCCGTTCTATAGCGACTTGGGTACACGATACCAATACGAATACGCGTGGGCGTGATAGACAACCCTGCTCATGTTCGGCGTGCCCGACTGATGTAGAAAAGTTGAGTTAACCTAGTGCGTGATCCGTGTCGATCCTGTTAATAATGTCTGTTATATCCGTATCTTACCGATCTTTTCGGGACGACATTCAAATCCATCCAGGCACCGCTGCCGAGCGCACTTTGCTTGCCGGCAGGCGGAACCGGGCGGCATCACCAGGAGCTGTGATTGGTCCCTGAGGAATCTGGAGATTTGATTGATCGGTGTGTCTTGCATTTCACTAGCCTCGCGGTGCCTGATCTCTGCAGAATTTCCTAAGCTGGAAGGTAACCAACCTCCCGGCAACCTGGCGATACCCTTGCTCTGGGCGTGTGCGTATACACAGTAGTTACAGTAGTCCCAATGGGCGATCTGCGGCTCTTGCAGATTTCAGATTTCTTTTCTCAGCTTCACCTCATCCAGATGGTACAGGCAAAGGCGCGGCTCAGTACTCCGTAGCTAGGCTTTGAAATAAGGGCAGATACTTAGCCATAGGTACAGTACACGTAATTAGATCATTGAGGGAAGTCGCACGCGGCAATCGCCTTGCTAATAAGCCATGCATCCACCTGGTAGCGCGACCCAGCAGTCCGGGTGTAATGTTACCACAGCATCCGTAGTGGTGTTGGTCTAAAGCCTTTCCACCAATTGGCTGATGAAATTGGCCATCACTCTCCCAGCAACCACACAAAACTCTTTCTAGCGGTTTCTGTGCGCAGTGAATTGGCCGGCAGGTCGCCGCTTGTGGTGGACATTATTGCGGCCATACGGACGTACAGTATACATAAAAATAAGAAGAGCAAGGGAGGGAGACAAGGGTTCAGCTGTGATGAACCCGAGAACTGTGAAATCTCGGAAGGAGCCGTTGCATCAGCTGCCAGTGCCCAAACCACTGAGCTGCATGTGAAGAGACACACTTTCTCTCCTCCCCTAGAAGGTTGTTTCTCATTAGGTGTTTGCCCAATAGGCCCAGGACAGCCTCTCATCACTCGAATTTATCCCAGCTGATACAACCTCACCCTTAACCTAGAGATCCAATGGATCAACCATCGCCGCCGTGTGTCTGGGCTCTCGTTACACAGCTTCGAGAGACCGCCTGTATGTATTCCATATGGACGACAGTGTACATTGGCGAGAAATCACCGTCTATGTGAGGCAAATGAACTATGTACAACCACGAACGGAGAGTTAGGCCAGCCAACTAACCTTCTATGTGAAATTCCGACCTAAACGCTGCCGTGCACCCATCCCTTGACCGATTCTGTTTACCCGCTATAAGCAACATGGACCCAGTTAAGCTCGTGCTCGTGTGTTTCCACAGCCCCGCTGGATTCATAATTGGACGGATTATGATCGCCAATTGGTCGTGCCTCGTGGTATACAGCCATTCCCATCTCCCGGGAGTGGATTCCGTCGTGGAACTCCACCACACCGCGCGAGGCTAAGCCAAATTCCTTGCTTTTCAGTTCTGATTGCACAAAATCGGTATACCCAAGAACTCCACGGTCAGTTACACAGGGCCATCGAGCCGTCATGTGGTGGCTGAGTTTCTCAAGGCCCTTTCACTCCGCTCTGCGGCTCAGCACAGGGTAGGGCAGGCTTCCCTTGTTTGTTGACTCATAGGCTCTGCCAGAAGCTGAACAAATCTTCTCACAAAAGAGAAAGCGGGGGCTGAGGAAAGTTTAGATCGCAAGGGTACCTGTGAGACTCTTACGGACACCCAAACAGACTCCGTAAGGCACCTATGGCGATCTTCCCACCTTCTTGTTGCACCAACGTGACAGTCTCAACCTTTTCACCACTAGGGGTAAACAGAAAGCCAAGAAAGGCACCCCAAAGGTGCCAGTGAGCGAGAGACAAGTAGGTGGTGGTGCATGAACCTGGACCCTGCGCCGTGAGGTTGCCGCTGGAGCTTCGATCTGTCGGCCAGGTTTGGCATTCCAAGGCTTCAGCGACGGTGGGAGCTGGAAGACGCCTCGTTGCCGCCAGCTGAGGCGTTTGATGCCTCATACAGATCCAGACATTCCTCAAGAACTAATAACAAGCCATCAGTATCGATGCGAAGCGGGCGGCGGGGACTAGCGGCTTACTATCAATGATCCGTTCCTCCCAAACCCCGTACTGGTAGTCGACGAGACCGTGACGCTCGATACTGTCGCAGAGCCTCACTAGTTCCTTGCCCATTTTTTGCAGTCCGTCTTGCGAAATCAAACTTTGCGAGCGCTGAAGTTGTTGTCCCGACTCCAGCATCTCTTTTTGACGTTGGAAGGTGCCTAACCAGGCATGGTTGAAGTCATTCCACAACTTGATCCGCTCGCCGTGCAGATTCTGATCGTCAGACGTGAGGCCTGAGGCACAAGTCCCTGTTAGCAAATGCGACCCCCGATGTGAAGATAGCGCTTTTCTCGCGACATACCTAATTCCACAACATGCGACAGAAGCCAGTCCGAGACGCTGAGGAGGGATTCACTGGCAGTGGCCAGCACCCCGTTTCGTATGTTTTGAAAGATCTCTTTCAGGGCCGATTGGTATGACGCATAGGCCTCATCAAGTCCTCCTGGGGCGGCGTACTCCTCCTCCATCCTGACGTCGGTAGCGGGAGTAGTCTGGGTGGTCATCCCTCCAATGGTAGCCATGCTGCCGGTGGAATACCCATGCAATCCGGGTTGTTGATATACCTGTGCTGTACTAGAAGGCGCTGCCTGCGACTGCAAGGTAGACGTGGCCGCCGTGTTGGCTGGCTCGCTTGAGAAGTAAGGGGCCGTGACATCCGTCGTCATCATCGGTAATCCTGCAGCTTGCCGCGAAGAAAACTGCTGGCTTGCATCGTACACAGCACCGCTTTGCGGGCCCGCCGGCTGCTGCACATTGTACATCATTGTCGGCGTGTATGTGCCCCCGAAGCTCTGGGCCTGTCGTGAATCTGGCTGCCCGTAGTCGGCCGTGGAGTGGTGGTAGCTCATCGCACCCTGCGGCATCGCCGTTGGCGGGAAACCCGCTGCTGACGTATCTTGATAATATCCACTGTAGGTAGATGAGCCGCCCATCCCCCGGGCGGCACCGGAAGCTGAAGTATTGAGTGGCGCGGGCCTGAACCTCTCCCCCTGAGCACCCACGAACGGCCGTCGTTGCTGCGCTTGGTCATGCAGCGACTGCTGATGCCTTGAACCTGGAGCGGGGAAGATTGGCGGTTCATTCTGCCTTCTCTGACCCCTATTGTCGTCCATACCCCTGTAGTCCGGAAGCCGGCCTGGTAACCCAAGTCACCGTGCCCGCTTTGCGTCCGCTTACAACTGGAACAAGCCTGCCAAACAGATATACGTGCTTTTCAGGGCGCGTAAAGTACGGGCGCGACGATCGTCGATAATCACTGTGTCGGAGGACTTCCCGTCCAAGGCCCTAAGGCTCGAGAGGACTATTCGAGGTTGCTTTGAGTAGCCTTGCTGTAGATTGCTCAGGATATTCGAGAGCAACGGATAAAAAAAACAAAAATAAAAACAAGATGTAATGAAATGGAAAGCACAGAAGAATGAAAGATGAAGAGGAGTGTCAACGTCGCTGGAGGATGAGGGGAGCGCGTGGCGGGGGCGTCTATCACGCCGTTCTGCTGTCCGGCACGGCGGTAGGAATCCGAAATATCGTCGCAGCCTGTCACGAATGTGAGGTGCCTGCAGTGCTTTAACGGCTTGTGATTCCGCGTCCGTTCCGTCAGAGACGAGGGCGAGAGCAGAAATACGGTTGATGTCTCGCGGATAACCGTTCAGGGAGCAGAAATGCCGCCACAGGGGTCTTGAGCGTTAGGAGACTGACCGTTAGAGGCTTGAGGTAGGTATGGAGGAACTCGAAGCTAGCCGGAGGACTCCTTCTTGGGAATTTCGATAAGGTCTGTGGGCAAGACTTGCGAGCGGGTTGGCTGGACGCAGACGCTCAACGACAGAGAACCGGACTAGGGACCCCGGATTTCTATGGGAGAAGCTACTGGCAAGCCTCTAACCTTGAAGATGCCTGTTGTCGCGATGGCGCAAAGTGAACTGCTCGCGGAGCTTGATGACGCTGCAGGAGACCAAAGCGTCGGAGTGACCCCAAGCTCTCTAGATTCCTACTGACGTATCCTCGCGAATGAAGCCAGTCGTGTTATCGGCCCAGTCAACTGACGTTGGCTGTAGGCTTGGGGCAGGTCGAGCAGAGTTTTTTTGGGGCGACAGAGAAGTCTAATGACAGGGGACCGCCGTCTTCGATGGCTCGTGGAGTTCAAATCGAGTCTCTATACAAGGCCAAGTCTTGGCTTGCTCGCTCGCCCGCAAGTATGAGCAACAATATACAGTCTATGGTGAGCCAAGAAGCGCCGATCTGGGAGGAAGAGAGTTATAAGGACGCCCGCCTCGGTCGTACGGCAGTATCGGACAGAATAGCGGCGAAGACCGACAAGTGCCGTTTGCTAGCTGACCAAGAGAGTTTTGAGTCTAAATCTGGGGAGCGCCGGGGAAGGTCAGGATTCCACGGCAGGACAAAAAGGCAACGGCAGGGTCGCGGAAGAAGAAGACGCAGTTCGCTGGCGACGAGGGTCTACATTCAGATTACCAATGAGGAAAGGTATCGTTATTAGTGCTCTCGGTCGATCCTGAAAGTATGGGCGGTGCTCCACACATCGACCATTTTAGTGTCGTTGGGGCCACGCACCTGGGAAATATGGCCGCTTGGCTTAGAGACATGGGAGGCGTGTATTGAAGGGAGTGAGGTGAGGCGGGCCGGGACCCTGGCAAGGCCGAGAGATCTACAGCGACACCCCCGCGGTGGGTGAAGCCTCACGGCGCAATCGCTGGATCGCCGGACAGGGTGGAGCTGGCCCCGGAAGTGCCGAGCTGATGTGTGTGGGTGCGGCGCGCACTGAAGGCCGAGCACGGTGCTGGCGATGGTGTCGAGTCTCAAATGTCGTGCAAGAGAAGATCGGGATCCAGTGGGATTAGCGGCAAGTTCGAACGGACGCGGTGGCAATGCTGGGTTTCTCAGACAGCTCCCCGGGTGCCCGATCATGACTACAGAAGGCTGAATCGAAAGAAGGAAGAGAGATTAAGAAGAGCGGTAACTGTATGCATTCTGGGGATGCGGGTGCCGTTGCAGGAAGAAGTTGCGTGTTGGCCACCGAGGCGCGCTTGGTGCTCCCTCTTCCCGGACTTCAGGGTGACCGTGTTAATGCTCTGCTAGTCAATCAGGGCCACGCAACCCAGTACGGCCGGCGATGTGTAGGTAGGTCCCACTGGCCTGACTTGTCCAAATCTTTTCGCCTTGCTGCTATTTCGCTGCTGCTATGTTAATTGCACTTCATGCGTCCAACGGGGCAAGGACGGCCGCTTGCAAGTCCTCCGGACCACACCGAGCTTCACTTTGACGTGCAGCAGCTCGTGATATCAGGCAAGAGAAACAAAGTCAGTTGAGGGACCAGGGAACAGGGATGCTGAAGCCCTTGCTGACAGGCGCGTGTTCGAGAAGAAGTCCATCAGAAAATGGGGGAGACACAGACAGGCATCGCTAGTGGGTGCCCGCTTTGGATGGAACACACAGAGTTTAATAGATCCACGGGCGTGGGACGCTGGATGCGGCATTGACAGTTGCTCGTAGCAGCATCAAACGACTTGACGGGAGGAGCAGCAACCTGGCAACAAACGGCACGCCATGGAAATCTCTTGTGCTTGGCGGGAGGCAGGTCTGACCAGGAAGGGCTCCATCCGCGGTCCCGGCTTCCCCGTCTGGTGTTCAGGATTAAAGTTGGAGGTTAGCGGTGTTGATGTGACGGAGCTTAGGCTCCTCGAATTACTGCAAGGCACCGCTCCTTTCCACCTGCCTGCAACCCGCAGCTCCGGCAAGAGCTTCCCAAAAGGGCAGGTTTGGCGTGCGCGTGCTCTTTTTAACTTATCTCAGAGCCGGACCAGGGCTCTCGGAGTCTTCCGGCCTCCTCCCTACCTTACCTTACAGGCAGTTAAAGGCCATTGATCATTGAATGGGCCAAGGCAATGCTCACCCAAACTGACCTGCCTTTTCACCCATGCGCTGTCAACCATGGGAGTTACCTGTATTGTATTCTACCTTTGGATGCTCAATGCTCTTCAAACTACTGGGCGGTATGATGTATCTCTAGGTGGCAGGCTCGAACTGGCAGCGCGCGCGTGGAGAACCAAGTGGAGGGCCATGCCATTGACTCTTGTTTCACCGTCAGCCACCGCTGGTCCGAGATACAGCCAAGGTAATGAACGAACTGAAACGAAAGACAGACCGAACCCAAGTGCCGTTTGGGGGCGATGGCACAAATCATTTAGCTCCAGAGCCTTCGGCCTACCCTGCAGCGCCGAGTCATGTGTGTACCGTTGTGTATGTGCGTACGGTACATACAGTCCCCGACGATTGCAGCAACTGCAACAGCAAGATCCGGCTCGACACCGCAGTCCTCTCGATGGAAGCCAATATCCCGTCGGGCCGCATTCAGGGGTCCAAACTGATGCCCAACCAACGACCAGTGGGAACCGCGTCGAATCGACAGCTAGAGCGTTGAAAAATTTCTTCCATTGCATGGGGCTTCCACTTTCCAGGTCCTTCGGCGCAAGAAAAACTTTTGTCGAGGTAATAAAAAAAATAAGCTGCCGCGCAGAAAAAGCCAGGCGCAAGTACAGGTACAGCTGTGTAAACGGGTTAGTGTCTCTTGTCATTGATGAACGAAGGGCTGTCCGAACATCCTGGATCCATGTCGTTGACTTAAGAAGCTCCAGGGGACGATGTCGAATGTCGTCAAACGGAGGCCCAGAGCTGCGCCGTAGATCCTTGTCTGTGCTTGAGAGTGGGCTGCGTCGTAATGACCGGGATTGTGGCTTGGGTTTCAGGAGGGCGACCACTGGCGAATCAATGGCTCTGTTGCACCAGCTTCTGGAACCATTTGCCGAAGCCCATGAGGTATTTCTACCTCATTGATCCAGCCAATATCCTTCTTCCTGGTTGTCGGTCGCTGACGCGCATGAAAGAGCAGTCGCAGAACACTGACAGACTGACTACCTTAGTTAGGGACACTACACTAGTGTTGTGGATTGTGCACGTGTAGTGCACGCCACGACGAACTCGAAATGAAGGCCTGCTACTAATGTACCTAACGTTAGAACCCAAAGGCCGTGTAATGCCAGCATGTAAGGTATGTACTGTACAGTATCGTAGTAGTACTACGATCGCACACACGCAGCTGCCAAGACGAACCCGACGCTGGGAAGGGGTGCGGTAATTACACTATAATTACAAGATGCTTACGGATACCACCGCACCCGACCCGATTCTTCAGGGTGCACTCGCCCTGCAATGCGAAGAGATTGCGTGTAATTGGCCAGCCGTACCTTGAATCGAGGGATTCTTTCCGCTCGGCCGTCGAACGACGGCACTCGAGCAACTGTATCGCTGGCTTGGTTCCGAAATGGCCCGGCTGATGCATTCCTAGTGTTCTGTATTTAGCTGGGGATCGGTACACAGTATGCATGTATCTCGTCGATGCATTGCTCGGGAGCGTTTCTTCTCCGCAGCAGCTTGACCCGGAGCTGGCTTCCTGCATGATGTCAGATTGCCGAACGGCGAGGGGGAGCCCCGAATACATACGCCAACGTAAGAATACGCGATCGCCTAGCATGTGCTCTGTTCATGATAGGGCAGCAGCACACACTGTAAGTGCGAGCTACCCGTCCGCATATCGATCTCAGCCTCGTGAAGCTATTGATTGCGGATCGTCTGCTTCACTACCGATCTTCTTCGGGGCGCTGTTCGGCAGTGCGGACGTTCCCCAGCTCGCCTGAGTTTTGTTCCCATACATACGCCCCTTCGAGGAGAAGCAAATCCCTTAAGCGAATCAGAGAGTGACCAGATCTAGACTCTAGAGAAATGGTGCACTCGACTAAGAGCTTCATACCGAGTGGAGCACAGCACGGGTAGGGCTGCCGAAATGTAGCACCGCATGCGAAGCCCAGTCAAGGAGTGTTCCAGTTAGAGTATTTTGTCTCGCGCAGGACGAGAACCGGCGTCGCACTCACAATGTGTCTCTCGGCGGTGGCTAGTCGAAGGGAGATTTCGGGTTCATTGATGCCTCTCAGGATTTGACGACCTTGGCTGCCTAAGATACCTCGGCCTCGTTTTCCATCCATGACTCCGTCCATACCTTGACAGCCGAGAGAGCCCATGGGAGCACAAAGCTGTGGGGAAAGGGAGAGCGTCGAGGCCAGATACCGGTACGCTTTTCGTAAGCTGACTGTCAGAAGCCGGCTGCTCCCGTTTGTGCATCGGGTTCAAGAGCTGGAACTGCACAAAGGATACAATTACCTGCCGAGAAAAAGTGTGGATGCGGACCCGTTTCCATCCATCCAAACGCAAGTTAGGGACGAAGTTGCAACGACGGTTAGCAAACTGCGGTTCTGACAGAATTCCTCGGTCGCCTCGTTTCGGCCAAATGCGTGCGCCGCATGAGGCTGTCTTTCCAGGCATTTGGCGCCTAGCCATTCATGCCGCTCAGGTCCCACTTCCAAATCCAACCTTGACTGACCCTGTAGTGGAGCGGTTGGATGTCTGACGCCTTGTGGTGTAGGGAAATACAAATTATAGGGGGAATGGCAAATGCACTCGGCCCGGCTCTTGGATGATTGGATAGTCCAGTTGTTACAGGTATGCTTACAGGAAAAGAAAATACACAGCGGGGAAAGACCCTCGGGAGCCGGAAGTTCATGCGTAGCCCAACACAGCACACTGGCCCATCCTGACCGAGCTATCTCTTCACCCAAGTAGGCCCCTTTCTTGCCTTGGGGCGCCCATGCTTCTTTCTCTCCACCGTTCTCGGGTCGCGTGTGACGCAGCCGGCTGCAAGTGAGACATGTTAGCAAACTTCTCGCGTATCCCGGATCTAGTCACGCGCGATGGTTCACTTACCTCTCCTTAATGCGGGCTTAAGAGCGGGCTCATGGGCCATGAGGGCTTTCGCGATCGCCAGCGTGAGGGCTTCCGCCTGGCCAGTAGTTCCGCCTCCTTCAACCCGAGCCCAAACGTTGTACTTGTCCATGCGATCGGTCGCGTGAAGAGCCCAAACCGCGCTTTCTCTGTCATGTACGCGTCCAAAGTAATTGGCCAGAGTCTTGCCATTGACAAGGACCTGGCCATCTCCCTCGACAACGAACGCCCGCGCGGTCGACGACTTTCGCTTTCCTACGCCAAGGGCTCGCCCATACCTGTCGATGAGTATCGGGGAAGGCTCATTATCAAATGCTTGAATATCACGCTTGAACTCGTCCAGCGCCCTAGTAACCTCCGGCGGCTTCAAATCCGGGTGAATCTGGTGTAATCTCTTGAGAATGATGAGGCAATTGGCATAGTCGGTCGCCTTCACAGACTCGCCCCAGGCCTGCTTGATGTCGGCCAAAGACATCCACGCAACTCGCCCAGCATCGGCGGCCGGGACCGTTGGAAGATTCCCGTACATCCTCATCAGCTTCTCGAGGCCAAGGTAGCGGTCATTGAACCTGGGAGAGCGCGAAAAGTATGACGGCGATACGGGTACCGCGCGAGCATGTTTAACGGTCTTGAGCTGGCTCGCCAGGTTGTCAAGGTCGAATTCCCGAGCTGCGCGGAAGGATTGCCTTTCGGTCAAACTAGTCTCGGTGGACATACACCTCCGGCCCGTGGTGCGAGACTGGGTTAATCGTAGCGACCGAAACTGCTGTTCTAGCGGCTGCCATTTCTCGCCTTGAATGTGTTGAAAGGCGCCACGCAGGGTCGCCTTTACCCCATGTCTTGAAGATGCCATCATTTCGTATGGTTGTCTCTCGTCATCATCGCGGTCGCGTCGGGTGAAGTTCGTGGGTCTGCCGAGCAGCGTTTTGACGGCAGGGTCCGACGGAATAATTCGCAGGAATTTTTCCAAAGGATAGAAGCTCCAGCCAGACCAGACACCTCAGCCGGCTGCCGAATCGGGAATAGCGCCAGTCTCTCGCTGTCCCCACCAGAACTACCCCGCCACATAAATTTTCTGTGTCAGTCATCTCTTCGCACCTTTGTCAAAAGCTTTCTTCCCGCTCCCCGTCCTGCCCCTCTCGACCTCTAATCCCCCACCAACCTCAAGGCAAGAGAGCAAAGATGGCGTTCGGAAAGCTCTTCACTTACGCGGTATGCTTAGTCGGTGCGCTGAAAGGCGCTGAGATTGAGTGACACCCAGTTGCTGACGTTTGTTTTGGCCAGGGCAACCCCCGCTCCACGGCCATCCGCGCCGTTGCGAAGGCCAACAACCTCGACCTCGAGGAGGTTGACACCGACCCAAAGAACCCGACCCCGGAGTTCACCAAGGCCAACCCTCTTAACAAAGTTCCGACCTTTGTGGGCGCCGATGGCTATGTCCTCACTGAGTGCATTGCCATCGCCATCTACGGTATGTGACGTGACATTTGCGCCGCTGCCCCGCTCTCTCTGCCTCTTCGGCCGAAAACCCTCCAACCCGCCCAAGTGATGACCTAGACATTTCAATAACAGTTATCCCTATCTGAAAACAAGGGTGTTGACTTTGGTTCTAACTTCTGACTGCGTGATTTTGTTTCCTTGGATCGTTGCCGCATGCATACATCTTCGAGGATCATGGGCTAACCAAAGACAGTAACCTCCCAGAACGAGAAGACTACCCTCCTCGGCAAGACCAAGCAGGAGTATGTTGTCTACACGCCATTGCCCAAAGTTCGCTCTAGGTGTCGCTAACCGTGCCGGTAGTTACGCTTCTATCCTGAAATGGATGTCCTTCTTCAACAGCGAGCTGCTGCCCAAGCTTGGCGGCTGGTTCCGCCCCCTCCTTGGCAAGGACCCCTACAACAAGAAGTCTGTGGAGGACTCCCAGAAGGCTACTCTTGAGGTAGTCTCCGTTCTGGAGGACCACCTCCGCAACAACACGTATCTCGTCGGCGAGCGCATCACCCTTGCTGATCTCTTCGCTACCGGCATCATTGCCCGTGGCTTCGAGTTCTTCTTTGACAAGGAGTGGCGCCAGAAGTACCCCAACGTCACTCGTTGGTACGAGACAGTTTACAACCAGCCAATCTACTCGGCGGTTGCTCCTGAGTTTTCTCTCCTTGATACCCCCAAGTTGACCAACGTGCCCCCGAAAAAGCCTGAGCAGCCCAAGAAGGAGGCTCCCAAGAAGGAGGCTCCCAAGCCCAAGCCGGCTGAGGAAGAAGAGGAGGCAGCGCCCAGCGAGCCCAAGCCCAAGCACCCCCTCGACCTGCTTCCTCGGGCCACTTTCCCTCTTGACGAGTGGAAGCGCCAGTACTCCAACAACGAGACTCCGGCGGCTATGAAGTGGTTCTGGGAGAACGTCAAGTTTGACGAGTACTCGATCTGGAAGGTAGAGTACAAGTACAACGATGAACTCACCTTGACCTTTATGTCGAACAACCTTATTGGCGGCTTCAACAACCGGCTGGAGGCTTCGCGCAAGTACCTCTTCGGCTGCTGCTCAGTGTACGGCACCAACAATGACTCTGTCATCCAGGGCGCCTTCGTCATCCGGGGCGATGATTGGAAGCCCGTCTTCGAGGTTGCTCCCGACTATGAGAGCTACACCTTCACCAAGCTCGACCCCAGCAACCCTGAGGACAGGGCCTTTGTTGAAGCCCAGTGGTCGATGGAAGCGACCATCACTGTCAACGGCAAGGAGTACCCGCAGGCCTGCGGGAAGACCTTCAAATAATTTCCAAACCGACGCGCATCAAAGGCCCCAAGTGGCGGTGTGCTAGATAGAGACTATGGATATGACTGATGAATGAATTGGGCGGAGAATAACGGGAAGGGGCCCGTTTGTTCATGTGCTTTGATATCAGCCGATAGTCCAGTATGAAATGAGTCGACGAAATAGACACCACCAACTGCTGGGTTTGCGGACGCCGCTGAAGACCTTTTGTGTTCATCATGTAAAGGAACGAGACTCGGAATAGTACATCTATATGTATCCGTAGGGTAAAGGGTATCGTACTTGACATGTGCGTCTACCTCTCTGCGCTTGAGAAACTAAGGCAGTTGACAAGTAACTCCATACAAATCCTAAACCTCCAAAACCAACCGTCATTTGCGCATCACGTCATTGCTCTACCTGTACAGTAAAGGGCCGAACCCTTATGTAGGTGCTAATATCCATCTGCCAAGCCAGCTGGTCGAGGTAGTCCAGCACAAGAGACAGGATGTGCGGCCGCTCATTTACGTTTCCCGTGAACTCGGGCAGAGTGACGGCATTGTGCGGCTCGCTGCGCGCCTTTTCAGGGCTGTCGTCAATGAGCACCGTGTTGCCCTGGTTCCAGACGCTGCCAAGGGACGCCTCCGGGTGGGACGCGCTGACGGCCGGGTCGCTCCAGAGCCGCGTCAGCCGCTTGTAGCACTGCGTGCGCCGGTTGTAGTCGTCCTGGGACAGCCCGAACCGGTCGCGGCCCCACACTGCCACCACGCGCGCAAGGTCCTGCGGGGAGAGTAGCTGGGCGCACATGCGCCCGACGTTTTCCGGTCGGGCCGACGACCAGATGGCCACCCGGATGTTGGGGTTGTCGAGGCACGCCCGCAGGAACTCCTTGGCCAGCGGCCGCTCGACGAACCGCGAGGGCGCCCCGCGCTTGTTGGGCCGGTAGAGAAGCGTCCCGTTGAGGTCCATCACGACGAGCAGCGGCCGCGGAACCGGTGAGGGCAAGGGGAGGAAGGAGGCGCGGAGGAGGTAGGCTGGTGTGGGCTCGGGGATTCCGCCCGAGGCCGGTGAAGGGGCAACGATGGTGTCCCGCTTCTCGGTGGAGCGTGAGGAAGGACGGTTGCCGTTGCGGGACGGGGCGGATGTAGAGGGCTCTTGTGCGGCGTCCGTGCTGCTAGACGATATCCCGGGTATGCCTTTGGCGGGCCCCGATGTTTGGGCGGTAGGTTTCAGAGGTAATGGATTGGTTGGGGTGGACTGCTGGTAATGTATGGGAGGCTCGACGGGCATGTTGGGGAAAAAGTGTTGAGGGAAGCCAAAAGGCCCTTGATTCATGAAGCCAAAGGGGCCCTGGTTCATGAAGCCAAAGGGCACCTGGCCCATGAAGCCAAAGGGCGCCTGGCCCATGAAGCCAACGGGGCCCTGCCCTGCGGAGTTCATAGGTGGGGGATTTGGGTGCTCTTCCGTTGCGGGGGGTAAGGGCGCTGGCGCTGGCGATTCCGGTGCCTGCGCCCGATCTTCGCCGTCCTTCTTGGAACGTCTTCGGCGTTGCCTGCGCTTCTGGGAGGAGGGCGTCTGATATTCTCTCTTTCCCCGGTTCGCGCCGCTCTGTGCCTTTTGTTGATTAGTTGGCGGCCGGACTGGTGCCTGAGGCACTGGCTGACCCGGAGGGATGTACGCCATGCCAAATGCGTTGTTGAAGGGTACGACTGCGGGACCAGTCCGCGCGGGTTGGACGGATCCCTCTGCTGGCGGTCGTTGCCGGTTGAATGGGTTTGGGTCCATTTTGACGAGCGCCCCAGTAGAGAAGCCTCCGCTGGCTTTGAGATCTTCCTCAAAGTGCTTCGTGTAAACAGATTCCCCGCGCAATTCTAGACGCGTCTCGGGCAGCGTTTGGGCTGAGAACCGGGTTAACAACTAGCCAGAGGTGGAGAAAGCCCGATCTGGTATGCCATACATGTCTTTTCCCGCACACTCAAGTTCTCGCTTTCAGTCCGCCTGGTCGGTTTAGTGGAACTGTATGCTCGCCCCGAAAGTGTGTGTTTTATGTAGGGTCCTTGGGATGATTTTGTTGGGATTACGAAAGGTTTTGGGAATGAAACCCAAAATCGAGCAAACTGAGTTGGCGATGAGAGAAGCGGTGTTGAGGAGTGCCTAGTTTTCATCTTACGCAGCGGCGGGCCGACTGCGACTGCCTGGGTTCGGTCCGATGCCGGCTTGGTCAGGTCTTCCAGTTGATAGGTAAGGGGAAGTCAAGAGTAGCCGCATAGGTAAGGTAGGAACTGAACGGCATGTATACCTTTATGCTAAAGTTGCAGGTAATTATTGTTTTCTTCCCATGTCCCTGATTTGGGCCTGTATCGATCCGACCCACAGGGTTAAGGTAAAGGTTTGGGGTATTGTTTGAGCGAGAGGTTCAGCATGCAACACGTGATGACCGCCAAAAATTACTGAACTTATCTTTTATTATGAATACCTAGCTGACCCGATCTAACCTTCTCAACACCACAAGACTTTGCCTACCTTCTGTTTCTTCAATTCTACACTTGGACCCTACCGGCACCAGATACCCTTTGCCATGATTCTGGCCTCCAATTAATACGCTGGACTAATACTTTTGATTGAAATTTGCCCATCGTCTCAGGATTGCGGGATTACACCCCTTTCTTGCAGTTTGCTATCCAATTTCTCTTGTTGGGCAGGTGATGCTAACCCTGAGTGCCACATTCAGACCTCGCATGGCTGCCGCCGAGGTTCTCCCTTTGCTCCGGGCAAAAAGTTTCAGCTTGCGATTGCGGAAGGGGAAATGAGAACTAAACATTAAACAACCCAGATCCCAATAAGAGCCTCCAAGTACGCCGACCAACTCCTATAACCCAAATGCGACCTTTAGACATACCTAATCCCCCTACCATATACAATCCTCATGAACTCATTTTGCCTCCAGACAGCGATAGCCACATGTTTACTTGGCATAAAACCAATATCTGTTTATGTCATTAGCGGGCTGTCTTCATCTTCTCTCTTCGACTCGGAAGCCCGAGGGACAGGTTAAGACTCACTCTGTAGCATACTGCACCTCAAACTGAGCTGGCATGCCTCGGCACGACGCCGGGGGGCTCCCTCCTATTGTCTCAACGCGATACACCTCCTCCAATCCGCCGGTGGCACCCGACTTGGCGAGCAACTTGAGCCACGCAACAGCTGGCTCATTATTCAGACCCTTTGGTGCACCGACGGGCGCCGGGATGCTAGCGTTTTTACCGCAGGGGATCTCGCCGATCTTCCACGTGGGGAACGCGTCGAGGTTGAAGAAGGCAGTGGTGGCGTCCTTGAAATAGTGGACTCCGCTGGCTCCCAGGTTGGACGGCACGAGCTGCTGAGTGACGGCGTTTTCGCTGGGGTTGAAGTGCATGGCGGCTTTGGCGAGTGTCCCGGCTAGGTCGGGGTTGGTTGCGACGATGCACGAGGCGTTGTAGAGGGTTGCAACGGCACCGACGGCTTGCGGGACGGCTGTTGCGTTGCTGACATCGCAGGTATAGTTTTGTGTGCCGCGTCCAATGGCAATATGCTTCAGGACTAACCCGGGCGAGGGTGGAGGAAGACCCGCGGCGGCTGATGGGGGGATTAGTCTTGGGTCACGGTGTCGATATGCATAGAAGCACAAGCTGGTCGTCTTACCTTCTGGGAGGGAGACTTTGGAGAGGTCGCACACTGGGGGGCTTGCAAGCCCCCGGCTCTCCTGGACCTTGCTAGCTAGCATATTCATGTAGTCGGAGATGGCCCTGATGTTCTCTGGAACTACCGCCTCAACCTTGGGAAAGGCAGGCGCAGCCCAGACCGAGGCGCCAAGCGCTGACAACAGCAAGAGAGAGAATTTCATGGTGATGACTGAGTGATGGTGTTGGATTGAAGGTGTTGATAGAGTGACCAGATCCCCGGCCGCAAATGGAGTATGGATGGGTCAACGTATTGGTGCCGAACCCGGAAAGAAACCCAACAAACCAAAGCGAAGAGAGGAAAAGAAACAGGAAACCTAAATAACAAGAAAAGGAAAAAAAGAGACGGATCCAGAGAGGATCTGAGGAGGCTCGACCAGGTGATGGGATATGGAAAAGGTGATGAACATCTTTTGATCTGACTGCTTCCGGGGAGGTTGGAGGGATATTATAGAACGCCACGGACGTGACGGCACGGCTAGCTTGCTGCAGGGTAACGAATGTAGGGTGTGGAAGTCCGGGGGCGGGAGAGCACATCTCGTGGCCAGCACCGAGAATCTACCGAATTGCTAGTCCGGCAAGCAGCCGCCGGAGGCCCAGCAACGACAGCGGGACAAGATGCCTGCTTCCGGAACCCAGCGATCTGACTGGCCATGGCCCTGGTCAAGCGATCTCCCGTCGACATTGGAGGGGTCGTTGACCCCTGTCTAACGTGTCTATCGGACCCTTGTAAGCGCCCCAAAGCCGTCTATTTCCCGCCCCGACCTTCTTTGTTCGACATATGTAGATGCTCGAGGCACACCCTTTCCGGGAGGGGTGTCAAGAAGTTCAGGACCCAAGGGCTACGATGCAGCAAGAAAGAACCAGTGATGCGCTCCTGATATATTGGGCTAACCCTGGATTTCTTGTAGAGCATGCATGTACATACATACAGGAACGCTCTTTAAGAAGTGTGTTGAGTATAAGGGAGGTGTGAAAGTAGAGATCCATGGCGCTCTTCTTTTCAGGCTAGGAAATTGGGCTAATTAGCCCGCTTTCCTGTTCGAATTCAACACTAACGTTAGGTAACCCACTTTAATTGCGCTTTCGCCATTGGTTTGTTCTATTTTTGCCCAAATTGTTTGCCGCGTCTAGTCTCCACCGATTGCCGAATACAACGGTTAGGCGCCAACCTGGGGCATCCCATTGGTTTAATCCAACGCTCACCGTCAGCGTTGTAGACGGACATGGGCTTCCCGGATCAACAAACCTTTTTTTCATCGCCAAGAGCTCTTGTAAGAACGTAACTATGTTAATCTAGATCCAAGGAACCGATCGTCTAACGCTCGTACCCGTTTACCGTGGGATCAAGTTGACTGAGATAAGCTTGGCTACGAGGGTAGATATCTGCTCCTCTCAGTGGCCACCTTTATCCTCTACACTAGGTCTCCAGACGAGGGTGCAGTCGAGGCACTGGCCGTCTTCTCGACTCGCCACATCTATCCTTCTACTACCTGCCCAAATCGAGTCCTTAAATCATCGTTACATCTCAAGTTCTCAACTCTGTCAGCGGCATATAATCCGCAGGCAAAACTGACCCAATCGCCAGCAACATGGGTCCGCTAGCCGCGGGAATGGAGAGTTGCTTGGCACTCTTGGCAGGCCACAGAACATCGAATCTCTTCCAACCACTTCCCAACCTTCCAAGAGAAAACGCACCACCTTTTCCCACATCTTCGACGGACCCATCTTCTCAATGGACCCAGCATCCATTAAACCCAGTGTAACCCAGCTAGGTCCCACAAATTAGACGCTGGCCGGCCGGCGCGGCCTTGCCTTCCCATCCTCGTACGTTAGTATCCGCAACCATTGGTACTCACCGCTCCATGTCCGCTTGACGGGCGCCTGGGACGGCTGCCCGGGTGGACGAGGCGAGCATGCTAGCGATGCAGGTCATCTTCCCCGGAACTGGCACCCGATTTGTTCGATTCAAGGCCGTGGAACCGTCATTATTGCTTGGTCCCCTGATGTGCTATATCGAGCTTGTTAGATGGCTCACTTTCCGTCCTACACAGATCTCTCTCTGCACGCCGCTGAGAAGGCAGGATCGAGATTGCGGCACCCAACATTCAGGTGTTGTGGATAGGCATGTAAGTAGCCTTCTTGTCCAATATCTAGCACTGTACAATGCGTTTCGACTAGTAGTACTTGGAGTCTGAGCGGGATCCCTTACGTCCTATGATTACGTGCTATCTCAAAACAAGCCCTCCACATCTGAAGATTTCAGTTGAACTGTGGTTCCCATTTGCTTCAAACACCCTCGTTCAACATAACTGTAGTCGCCTGTACGAACTATCAAGACATCGCCAATAGATATCGAAAATGTTATTCTGTCAGAACGCGACTGGTATTCTGTTAGAAGATGTGGCGCAGCACCGCGCACGCTCCTCTCCCCACCTATGTATTTTTGCAGGGCAGAAAAGCAAACCACATGACTACGTACATTTCCATACAATGTCGAATCTGGGTTACGTAACAGTGCCTCTGGCCCTCTGGCTTCCTGGCCCTTTCGAGGGCTGAAAAGCTCAAATCTGCAATAGAATTCAAATGCGTGCGTTTTGACGTGCGTTTCGACGTGCGTCTCGACGAAGCTGATGTAAGCAACCCTAACCCTGAAAAAAGGTCAACATCCGGTTAGCGGCTTCAACCCGACTGGATTCCGCTGTATATAGCCATCGCGAAGCCGGCGATGGCGTAGCTGTAGAATTTGTATGGAACTCAATTGAACATCGATAGCTTCGGTCAATTGTGATAGATTCCATCAATTGCTGAATACTGTAAGGAAAAATCGGTGTTTGGGATCGACGTTGACCGCCTGCAAGGTGGCCTGAGGTGAAGTTTGTAGTGGGTGGTGGGCTTGGCTGGCGCGTTGAGCCACATCTTCTAATAGAATACCAGTCGCGTTCTAACAGAATAACAGTTTCGAATAGATATGATACACGCCAATGCGTACATAGCGCTTCCATTTCCGGGAATGGGCACCACATCGGAAGGGAGGCCATCCAGTAGGCCAGCCGAATTCCGGGGCCCATTTCCGCAACCGCCCACCAAGACGGCTGGCCGCTTCCGCTTCAACCGTCATCCTCGTCAGACTTTGAAAGGGCCATCCATCCAGATGCCACTGTGAATCATACCCGTACACGCCCTCTAGGACATTCAATAAGCATCCAGGTACGACGCACCACGTCATCATGTCCTAGGAAAGAGAAGAAGAGAATAGGTCCCACCAACTCCGCAAGCAAACCTCTGCCCGAGCCCATCAAGCCCATCAACCAGTCAAACGCTCCTACTCCAACCCATCACCACCACCGGTACCAGCACCAGCGCCCTTGGCAGCGCCAGCGCCACCGCCGGCGGCCCCAACCGCAAGCGCCGAGACAGTCCTCAAGGTGTGCTTCTCGGCGTCGGCCGTGCCTAGCCAGTACAGCGAGCAGAACACTAGCAGGTGCAGCGCGAGGCAGTACAGGGCGAACAGGTTCCTGCTCGTGCGGCTGGCCAGCACCATGCGTGCGACCGAGTAGACGACGCGCTCGGGCAGGCTCATGCGCTTGTAGGCGCGAGCCGACTCGCGCCCCCGGAAGGCGGCAAACGGCGACAGGTTGGACTCGTACGCCTTGCGGTACCTGTCCAGCGCTATACCCGGGCTGGTGCTTCCGCTGCCGCTGCCGCCGGAGCCGATGGCGACGGCCGTCGGGTTGGGGTTGGCGGCGTAGGCCGACGAGGACGACGTGGTCGCCACAGCCACGGGCCCGCCCGCGCCGGCGCGGTTGTACGTTGAGACGTACCGCGTCTTTTCGTACAGGTTGAGGTTGTCCCGCTGCAGGGCGGCAATCTCCTGCCGGAGCTGCGACACGGTCCGGTGGCTCTCGGAGAGCTCTTGCTCGAGCTGTGCGTTGCGCTTCTTGAAGCGGTCGCGCTGGGCTGTGATCATGGGAAGGATCCCTGAACCGCCCCCCATCGGCCTGTCGTCGGAGAAGTCACGGGGGCTGAAGCCGCTGATTATGGACGAAGTAGGGGACGTCCTCCCCGCTTTGCGGCCCGGTGCGACAGACGGGGTGTAGCGACTTACGTAGGTGCCCGCCACGGAGGCGCCCGAGGGGAAGGCGTTCGGCGTCTCGGCCTGAATGGTGGAGAGCTCGTTTTCGAGCTTCTCGTTCAGATTCTGGGATTTTTCTAGTTCGGCGTTGGTTCGCGAAACCTCCTCCTGCAGGTTTTGCAACCTGGTCTGGAGATCCTGATGTGACACGCGGAGGATCGTAAGCTCGTCGCTCAGCTTCTTGTTGCGGGCGAGGAGGAGCTGCTCTAGCGTGTCGCCCTTTCCGGTATTCGCAGCACCATTCTGCTCGTCGAGGGCATCATGAGCCCCATCATCATCCCCGGTTGAAAATTCAATGCTCTTTAACACTTCCAGCTCCTGCTTGATGTCTTCGTAGTCGCTCCACTTTTGCACCTTGCTCTTGAGGCTGTCCCGCTCTTCCTTGAGTAGCCCAACCTCTCTCTCTAGCCCACGAAGCTTATTGTCAAGGTCTCTCTTTAAACCCTCCTTTTCCACCCTTGCCGCATCCAGCTTTCGGATGAGAGAAGAGTTCTCGGACCTTACCCGCATGTAGCCCGGATCGTCTTCCAGAGTCATTGAGGGTTGTGTCGGCACCTGCGACTTAGCCTGCGCTAACTCCAGACGTAGTTGTTCGTTGCGGGCTTCTACTTCGGCAAGCCGGGCGCTGGTGCGCTCGAGATCGGAATTCACCATTTCCAGCTCGGCACTCGTGACATTTCCTCGCTGACCTTCCTCGGCATCACCGGGCTTCCCCAGTCTCTGGTTGACTTCATAGCTCGCCTTAATCTCACTGAGCAGACGTTCCTGGTTCTCTAGCTTGTCCTCCAATGCTTTCTCCTTTGCCGCCCAATTGTCCTTCTTCTCCTCCAAAACAGCCGCCCAGGACGTCTCGACCTCCTTCACCTTGCTCTCGAGGCTTTCCTCGAGGCCTTTTCTTATACTGCGTTCGCGTTGTAACGTGGACTCAGTGTCTTCGAGCTGGGTAGTTAGTCGGGAAACGGTCGCCTGCAGATGTTGGTTTTCCTGGCTGAGCTTCGGTAGCGTGTCCTCCGAGACCAGCATAGAATCTACTGATGCCTCGAGTAGTGGGTACGGGTCTGGAGCCTCGGACAGTGACGTGTAGGCTTGTAGGAATGTCGAATTAACCGACTTGGAGTGGTTGGTCAGGAGGTCGATAAAGGTTTGGTAGGCTGTCGCATGCGTCAGTCGATCTGCTAGCAAGGTTCTGGGAGGGAGGCATACCCTTAAGCAAGCCCTTGATCTCAGTTAGCTTGCTAGTATCGTCCAGCTTTCTAAAGTCCTTTGTCTTCTGTGCCAGGTCCTTCCTCTGCACAGTCGAATCGCGCTGGAAGGCTACAATCTCGGCGGCCGTGTTATCTAGGTTGGAGACAAGAGCCGTGAAGTCGAGGCCTGGCGAGAGGGGATGTTAGACAAATTTCACACTACAAGGAATTGTAGACTAGACGTACTTCTCCATTGTGAGATGGCGCTTTGGAACTTGTTGACGGAGCCGGCTGTGGATGTCGCTTCCAGCGCTGTGGTTGCTCCTCCGCCCTCAGCGTCGGAACTGGGTCCTTCAGCCATAATTCTATGTCTGCCTACGCAGTCACTGGGCAGGCTACCGAAAGCGGCGAGAAACCCGGTGTTGTGGCGTGGATAGCATCGACGGCGTCGAGATGGAGTACGGAGTACGGAGTACGTTGCAGTGTTTTCAGCTGTTGGAAGCCGCGGGAAGCTGACGAGGTGGCCGCAGGCACAGGGACGCTGCCAAGGCCACTAGCCTAGCCTCAGTGGAGCGACAGCTGGTTCGTCGCGCACGTTGGCGCTGCTGTGCCCCACAGTGAAGAGCATGGATGCAGGGCTCGAACGGGCGATCTTGGCGCCTTGCAGCTCCTGCAGCTCCCTCTTCCTCTCCACGTTCCCACTCCCGTCGTCACAGGCGCCTTGTTCAAGAAGCATCATGACTTGAAATTCCCTTTTTCTCAACTGCAAAGTCGTCGACCGACGGACCCCAATCTGTGTCCTACTGAGCGGTCCCAGCCCCGTATTGGGCCCCCATAACCACGCTTGCGACCCGCAGCGATGGTGCGGGTTGAGCAATGGCATCCGACCCGCAGAGGAAGCAGCTGAGAGCAGCAGATGCACTCTATTCCAAACCAAACCCGTTCGAGCTGCGCCCGCTGCTTCACGACGTCCCGCTGTCAGCTGACGGCAAGAATGAGGATATCAAGATAAACTGCGTGGATTACTTGGGTATGCGCTTTATTTCAGGAGAAGTCTCTTCCTAAACATCGCGGTTGTTGACCATTTTTGACCGTTCCCTTCCCTCCAGACGGTAACCTCTATGTCGGCACCAGCGCCTCCGAACTCCTCCATTTCTTCCGCATCCCGCCTGATCCCAGTGACCCGAGCGGCAGCGCAGCTTTTATTCTTGCCTCTCGCCTACCCCCATTGTACTCTGAGCCTGCCGGCGCCCCCAATGGTTCACTGCCTGGTGTGCAGCAGATCCTCTTGCTCCCGCGCGTCGGAAAGGCTTGCGTGCTGTGCAATTGGACCGTCACTTTCTATTCGCTGCCAGAGTTGAGTCCGGTATTCGGTGCGACTCAGGTGCGAAACTGCAACTGGATCGGCGGGGTGGACTTGAACGAGGGTGCTGGTGATGCTAGGAATGAGAGGTCGAATGGCGTTACCATCCTCCTGTCGCTGAATCGCCGGATACAGGTAGTCAGAATAGGGGAAGAAGATGCTCGCGTCGTCAGGGTAAGTTGCGTTTCAAGACTGCCGTCTCGAGGTGGTAGTCTGACAAGCTTTCCAGAAAATCGACTTCGCTGGGAGCACGCTTTCGGTACGCAGGGATTCTATCGCATGCGTCGCCGATTCAAAAAGTTATGCTTTGCTGGATGTTGATCGCCAACTCAAGATCCCGCTTATGAGCATCTCCTCCCTGGAAGACTCACAGTCGGGCGTCACTTTTGGACAGGCCCAGAATATCGGTGGCGCCCCAGACAATGGGCTCTCTAGGAGTGCTTCCTCCTCCACGACGCGTGCGCCGGCCAACTCTTCGGGTCATTCTAGGAGTACTAGCTTAGGCGGTTTTATGACAGGCATTCGGAGGAATGACAGGAGGACAGGGGAGCCTGACGAACCTGTCTTTCACGACTCCGATGCGCCGCCGCCGCCGCCGTCGCGCAGTCCCGCGCCAGCAGACAAGGCCTTGCCTCCTCCTCCGCCGGGGGATTCCAGCGCACTTTTAGCCGCACAGGCTGCCGCTCCCCCAACCCGGACGGCGACGCCTCCAATTCGGGCAACACCGTCGCCAAGACCCGGCTCCGTGTTTTTGAAGCCCCATATAGTATCCCCTACTGCTGAAGAATTCCTTCTTGTCACAGGAACCGGTCCTCTTGATCCCGGAATTGGTATCTTTGTGAATCTCGACGGAGATCCGACGCGCCCTACGCTTGATTTTGATAGATATCCCCGCGAAATTGCGGTGGATGGAGGCGCGGATTCGTCGTACTCAGGAGCATCCCTTGGCGCCGAAGACGAGTGCTATGTTTTCGCGTCGATGACCAAAGAATTTGAAGATGGCTTGCATCACGGCCTCGAAATACAGCGCTCTGACGCGAACGCACGTGAAGGTGAGCCGGAGAAGTGGTGGCTTGAGGTCAGGGACAATGACTCCAAGAAACCGATGCCTAGTACTCCGATAGGTATTCGGTCGATGCTTCAGAGCGAGGAGATGTATTTTGAGAGCATCGTCAAGCGCCTCTGTCAAAGAAGGTTCTCGCCCTTTAGAGGACATCCGGAAACCCCAACCATGTCCCTGAAAAGCAACGACTCTCGCACTGCGCTTTCGTTACAGCGACTTTCTCAAGAGAAGGAGCTGTTTGACCGTGACCCCGAGTCCGATGACGAGCCGTTACCCTCAGGATGGGAGGCCACGAGGAATCAAGAGGGAGAAGATTTTGTGCGACGACTTGCGAAAACCTCATCCCGCCTGGCTGTCTGGGCGGGATGCAACATATGGTGGGCTGTACGGAACCCATTGCTACTGCAGCTAGATTCTGCCCTGGAGTTGGCGACCTCTCAGTATGAGGAAAGGAACTCGACCAAGCTAGAGTCACGGCGGCAACTACTGTCTCTCCTCAACGAAATCAAGCATCGCGAAGCAAAAACAGAGCTCGAATTCATGACGCTAGCTTACATAAGGCAGAAAGCAAGTGTTATGCTCCTAGCGACCTTCTTAAGGTCGCTAGAGCCGCCCTTCACAGACCCAGAGACCAAAGAAATGGAGGAACACCTGCTGGCCAGTGATTTAGACGCTAGAGTGGTCCTCTCCCTAATCCCAGCTCTTCGAAACGAAATCGTTGTGAACCGAAGAGGGATATGGATCTACGGCGGCATAAAAGACGTGGTCGAGGAGTACATTTCAGCCGAGCCAGAGAACCTAGTCATCCAAGGGGTCGGCTCCCTAAAGCCTCATACTCTCCAGTTCCTGAGGCGCTTTTTAACTGCCTGGAGAAAGAAGAAGGGGTTCGGCAGCATAGCCAACGAGGTATTTCGGACCGTAGACGCTTCCCTGCTGCTAGTTCTCCTCGAACTCGACCAAGAAACACCAGTGGGCCAGGCTGCCAAACCCAGCTCAGCCCGCAAGGAACTCTACGACCTAGTCGACCACGGAGTGGACTGTTTTGACAGGGCAGTAGATCTGCTCGAGACCTACCGTCGGCTCTTTGTTCTCAGTCGGCTTTATCAGCATCGCAAAATGGCCGCAGACGTGCTCGCAACATGGAGACGTATCATCGAGGGCGAGGAAGACAGAGGTGGCGAGCTAGGTGACGGCGAGCAGCGCGTCAGAAGCTACCTGTCAAATGTCAGCAACCAGGCCCTAGTGCAAGAATACGGCGTCTGGCTTGCCGGGCGAAACCCCAAGCTCGGTGTTCAAGTATTCACCGACGAAAAGGGAAGAGTCCCTAAATTCGAACATAGTCAGGTTGTCGCCCTGCTCCGCAAAGAGGCGCCAGACGCCGTCAAGTATTACCTCGAGCACCTTGTTTTTGGCAAGGGAAACACGGGGTATGTCAACGAGCTCATTGCGTACTACCTCGACATTGTCATCAGTGACCTGCAGACGTCGCCTGCTTCTCGCGAGACGGTCGCCGCCTCGTATGACGCTTACCGGGCCCTCAAGCCGCCCAAGCCAACCTACCTCAGCTTTCTAGCCGACAACGCGCCGGCCAACGACGAAATCTGGCAGAGCCGTCTGCGCCTTCTCCAGCTTCTCAGCGGCGGGCACGACTACGACGTGGCTACCATCCGCCGACGCATCGACGAATTACAAGCGGTTTCCCCGCCCCAACCAAACGGGCTGCGGCATGATCCCGTTGCCGACGGCTCCGGCGCGCGCGCCATTCGCCAGCAGTTACTCGTCCCCGAGGCCATCATCCTCGACGGCCGTGCGCGACGGCATGAGGACGCGCTCCGCCTGCTCGTGCATCGTCTCGGCGACTATGACACGGCCGTGAGCTACTGCCTGCGCGGGGCCGGCGCCGCCTTGACTCCGGCCGGCGCCCGCCGCAGGCGGGACAGCGACAGCAGCCTGCCGCCGACCTGGGAGGAGCAGACGCGCCTTTTTGGCGTGCTCCTAGGGGAATTCCTGGTCCTGGAGGACCCGGACGAGCGCATTGAGCAGACCGGGGCTCTGCTGGAACGGTTTGGCGGCTGGTTTGACGTGCTGCAGGTGCTGAGCCTCATCCCGGATGACTGGCCCGTTGAGGTTGCTGCGGGGTTCCTGGCCGCTGCGCTGAGGAGGCTGGTATGTGAAGGCCGCGAGGCAATGGTTGCCAGATCATTGAGCGGGGCCGAGAACTTGAAGGTGGGCTACGATTTTGTGGTGAAAATGGAGGAGAAGGGTTCGTTGGTGGATGTTGATGCCGGGGGCGGTAGTGTAAATCACATAGGTACCTGAGAGGCACCTTACACACAATGCTTCACGTATTGGAGCTGTGAGGTGCTTGTCTAGCTGTTTACCAGTGAAGCAAACAGTAGTAGGCCCAGTACGGTACAATCGTATTCGGATTGACCCTGCTTGTTCACACCCAGTAATAGTGCCTACTGTTTCTCGCCATTCAACCGCGGACAGAACTGGTACTGTACAATACTTCATAGTTCACACATCCACATACGCCGACATCCTCAGACCAAGGGGGGCTCTGGGTTGGGAGTTCTGGACCTGGTCCAGGAAAATTTTCGTTGGCTGGTTGCTTACTCCGTAGTTCGTACCAACTCCCCAGTGCAGGGAAAAGGCCCGATAGACCGACAATGCATTTGATGAGAGGATGGAACCCGGTGTGGGATTTTTTTGGCAGACGGCATTTTCTCCTGTCAGCAGTTTAACACACTACGGATAACGTTGGTTGCGTGCCCCCGTGGGAAACTCGATGCAAGGTGCCCTGCGACTCCTGCATCTCCTGCACCTCTCCAAAGGTCAGGAACGGAGTTGCATCGTTGTCGGCCGGCAAAACCGGGAAGAAGGGACCGGAAGCCCGAAAGGACGGGTGGCAAATTTCTCGCTAATGTAAGAATTACATGTAAATTGTAAGAGGTCTCATCATGATAATTAGCGAGAGCGGCAGAACCGTGTTGACGGAGACGACCTCGGGAGGGCTTGCGAATTGTGGTGTAATGAAAGTCGCATCTTCACCGTATGTAGCTCTGTACTCCGTAGTATACTTCGTACGAATACTCGTAATGCGTTACGGATTATTAACATGTTGATTACAGATTCTCCACCGCTTATTGCTGTACCTGGTAATCCATACAATACCGAGCCCTACGTGAATGCTAACTTTACTGAAAGCGGATGCGGAGCAGCGAAAAGGTCTGTGCCAGTGCTCTGCATCCTTTGGGAACGGCAATGTCACCTACCCCGAAAAACCCTCCCCGGTTCAGAGCAACGGCTCGGTGTTGCAGTTGGCACCTGATTTGTTTGACAGAATGCTTCCCGTCTCCTGGCACCATTCTAGGTAAGCAACCCCGTCTGCGCAGCTGCAGAGATTGTGTAAAAGAAGTCATAGCGCTGCAGCAGCCCAGTCAGGTTGGAGCTCCGGCTCGGCTTGTCACCTAAACCAAACGGGAGATGGACTAGTTTTGTGACTTTGTCTGTGCGGGAAGACAGCTTTTGTCCTGGACAACAGGGCAGGTGAGGGTGGCATCCGTCCCGAACGCGATTCTCGGGTCGGAAGCAGACGCCGTAAATTACCTGATAATGTCAGGTCCACGGTCCGGCTTTGCTGTTGCTCCTAGGGTTGCACCGCACTGAGCGGGGTATGTGGGGCTAACTAGTGTAGTGACAAGTGTGAAGCGGAGTCAGGAGCTATGAAACGGAGATGAAAACGGAGCTGTCACCCCTATTTTCACAATCAGATTGATGACAACATCATCCACTTGTCTTCACCAAGAGAAGCGACCCAAGCTTCCGTTCTCGCCAAGCTCCTGAGCTCGACGAACTATCAAGCAACGCTAAACTCTATACCCCTTCTGAAGACTAACGATTGCCAAGCGGTCTCGAACATGGCCTCCCGGTTTCACCCAGGCTCACAGTCACAATCATGTGAATGGGGAAAGCCAAGATCAGATAGACGGAGAACCCCAGATTTCCCCAGAATTTTGGAGGGGCGAAAGCTAACGTTTAGCGAAGAGCAGCCAAGCCAATGGACCGGACAGCACCATAGCATCACTCAGATATCATAGGAGGAGGCAGCAAATGCCAAGCTGGCCAACTTTAACCGTTATCATGGCCACTGAAGTCTGTCCTCCGAGATTCATTTTGTTGGTTGGAACTTTGGAAAGACGAGGCAAACAATACCCAGGTTATCGGCGAGTAGCGTGGATGTGCAACGAGGACTGCCGCCCTGGGACTCGAATTGGCGCTGCTGGCCCAAAGTCATTTTTGCCTACGTTACATGAGAGGCGAAATGAGCCTGTGGTCATGGAAACTGAGGCATCCCACAGTAAGAATTCAGCGCTGCTGGCCGTTGTTGAGAGGAAACGCCCCATGGCACTTCCGCACCCGCCGAGCGGTTCACCTACTGTACATAGGTAATTAGTTAGTTGCCCTCCAAGCCACACAGCCCATCAAGATAAGTTAGATACAGTACACCACAAGAAGGCAAAAGAAAACGCCCAACGCCCACACGGAGATCGATGCGCGTCATGGTCAATCAGCCGCGTGGCAAACCGTGGCTTTTCTGTTGCAGATCGTGTCGCATCTCACAACGGCCAGAAAAAAACAAAAACGAGCCCGAAATGCCGGGTCTGCCCAAGTTCGTTTCGGTCAAGAAAACTTGAGACGAGGCAAAAACAAAGCGAGTTGGAGAGAAAAAAAAGGCGAATTCATCCTTTCATCCGGCTGGCCAAGCCTATGCATACATATGTTTGTGGTTGGCGATACTGGCCGTCTTGTGTGAAAAGTAGGTGTGGGCGAAGCTTCAATTTGTTCTCATATCATATTTTCAAGAGGCTGTCCTGCACCGTTCCTGAATCCTGATCCACGCTTCAGTGTAACCTCGGGGAAGCGCTCCCGCGGCGCAGCTGTGTAACACCGGAAACGCACATCGTCCAGATGAGAGAGGCAAATTTTCTCTCGAGATCCTTTCTTTGGTTCAGTGCTGTAGGGGAGAGAGAAGCTAGCTGGTACCGTACAAGACCAAGTCGCATCTCGTTGACGTCCCTTCCTATCATAAGGAACCAGCCGGCCTCTAAGGGCAGGCTGGTACAGAGAGAATGGAAAGGAAAGGGGAATAGAGACAGGAAAAAATAGTAGGAAACCAATAAGGGGTATATTCACCAACTAGCCGTTGCCGCATCCATTGCCATTGTTGCCTTGAAACCGAAAGGAAAATAAATTAGTTGATATCACACGAGCCCATGCTCGGCAGATTAAGTTTGAGGTTGGTGTATGGATATTAGTTAGTATGTATGTATGTATGTATAGACGCTCTTCAAGTCTTCGCATTCGCCGTTGGCGCATCCATGGACGAACCCGGACCGGAGCTGGAGCCCGGTCGAGTACCGGCCAACTCTGTCATGCTCTCGGTCTCGAAGGCCTTATTGCCCTCGCTAGGCTTCGACCCGTTGCGCCCGCTACTCATCATCTGGAAAGCCGCCCGGCCGGGCATGAGATCCTCGGCGTTTGGCCGCCGCCGGCTGGACCATGAGCACACGTCCTCCCACAGCATCCGGCATGCCCCCCATGATGTCACGACATAGATGATGGCGTTCCAGAACCCCTGAAGCGGCAGCACAAAGGCCGACATGTACTCTAAAGGTAGCGACGTCTCGCCCGTGTGCACCACCGAGTAAACGCGGTTCGCGCTGGACGGGAGCCAAGTGACCAGCATGGCCGTAAAGAAGAGAATGGCGCATTTAGTGTAGGACCAAGTCGCGCTGTTGGCCTCGTAGGCTGCGCGCCGACGGAGCGGATTGACTCCCGTTCCGCCGCCATTGCCCCGTGAGCCTGCGGTAATGTGCGAGTCGGTGGTGACGTTGGTCCGGACGGCAGATTCAATGGTAGCATGGGGTTCGCGGTTGGCCTCTCGCTGACTGGAAGAGATGGTCACCGAGTACGCGGCTTTGGGCGGTTTCAGGCCGGAACCCCCTTGGCGGTTGTCATCGGTGCCGCCAAGCGGTGCGAGATCGATGGCGTTCTTGTCGACGACCTCGGTAGTAACATGAACTTCAGTTGTCTTGCTCGAGGAGAAGAGATCGTCAAGCGCAGCCAACGGTTCGGGGTCGTGGTGACTAGTGCTAAACTCCTTGAGCTGCTTGTGCTTCTTGTAGATCTCGCGGCCGGCGCGAATATAGATAAAGAAGGTGATGAGCATCACGATCCTGTATCACTCTTTGGTCAGTTTTGCCATTGATTTCCTCCTCATTTTTCCTCCCTCATCGAGCAAGCTGGGTCCAACTTACCAGACAGGTCCGTAGAAGATGGCGATACGGAATATATCCCATCTGGGCGAAATCCAGCACCACAAGGTCGCATTGCCGTACATACGACCCTTGTCTGGCGTCGACACGAAGATCAAGGTCAGGGCCACAATAAAAGGGACGCCATAGCAAATAAGGAAATAAGGGATCTCCATCTTTCTCAAGCGCTGGGCGTCAAACTTAAAGTAGAATGTAAGATGCACGTTCACGGCCATGGCTAGTGTCCAGAAAGCGTCGGCAGGCATGAACCTGAGTTATAGCGTTAGTGAAGGCCTGGGGGGTAGGGGAATGCCGGGTCGAGTATACATTTGGATAAGAAAGGCTTGAAACTGGCATCCAGCCGAGTTGATATCCCCGATGAATGTTTGGGCCATTAAGGTTGCTACATTTGTCATGAGGTTTCCGAATGTTGCGTAGAAGACGAGACGGTTGATGGGCTTGTGGAAAGCCTTGGAGGCGCAGAATGTGAAAATGACCAAGAGGGAGCCTAGGAGCGAGAAGACGGAGCAGGTACGCTCGATGATGCTGACTGTCTCGATTTCCGAGGCGGCCCGCGCCGGTGTTGGGCTATCCATCTCGTCGTCGGGCGCGTGGCGGCGCAGGGTGGCGGCGGAAGAGGTTCAAGTATTCGCCAACTTCCGGAGAGAAGTTGTGCCGCGGTGTCGGCCGTGAGGCATCGGCAGCCCCTTCCGAGGGAAAAGGCCTCGGTCTCAAACACACGGCTGCTCGCGATCTGTGGCCCCTGTCACTCTGAGAGGCGGACCGTTCAGAGACCTCTGGGCCGTATGAGGAACGTCTAAGAGGTGTAGAACCAGGTGGAGGGTGAGCGTCTGTCCCGGTCACAGGCAGAAATCCGTGAAATGTTGAATTGGGGACAGCGTCCAGCAACCCGGTCCTGCCCTAGGTAATGAGGGAAGTGTGGATTTCAAGTAGTCGGATGGGACACACGAGCAAATGGCAGCAGGACCGAAAACTGCGAAACAGTAAACCAGAAATGGCTAGCTGGATATCTGAAGCGTCATCCATTCCCACATCCTGCGCACAAAGCAGGCCAGGATAACCGGGGGGCCCCCATATCTGTGTTAACAAGGGGTCCAGTCCAACTGGCGACAGGCGTTCGAGCTGTGATGGTGTTTCATTCAATCGCATTAGATCGACACTAGCCCGACAGGGCATACTCTCCGTGTCTATTGTCAGCAAAAAGCCTGGGAAATGTTTGGGCCAAGAGCGGTGGAAGAGACAAGACACTGGAACCGAGAAATGCCCGGGCCTCGACGGCAAAATGCGAGCGAGGTCAGGATTGGCCGCGGGAATCGATTTCCCAACTGAACCTAGAGCTTTTGCCTGTAGCATCCATGTATGTCTAGCGTCATGTCGACCGTGTGATTACAGTGGCTTTGGCATGAACTTCAAGGCTGGCCTGAAGGTCTGCTCTTTCCGGAGGACACTGTGTTGCCTGCCGAGTTGTCAAGACTAATTTGTGCTTACATAGGTAGTTCCTGGCAAGGGCTCCGTAATGCGAACAGAGCAATGAGATGAAATGATGTGACGGCCGCTTTGACGTTAGTGGATACCCCAGCTGAGTGCGGGGTTACAGTATGTATTGTACGTGTACACTAGACGTTGACTCCATCTTTCTCCAATCTCCATGTTTACACGAGTGGAATTCGTACAGTACCCGTGCCTGAATTACCTCCAGTTAGCTTCAGTTATTCCTGCCAAGTCGTCCTTCGCCAAAGTGAAGTTAATTGGATTCTCAAAACGGGGCGCCTGCTGAAGGACAGTTCATACATACCGGTAAGATATGGATACACCGCGCAAATATACTACGGTACTGTACTGTGTGTATGTACAGTACAACACATCAGAAGCCCCTAGCAAGAGAGTGCGTCACTTACGTAAGGTAGCGAATTCGTGACAGGGAACTCAACGGAGGGTGGTATTGTGGATACGGTGTGCTTCATGGCAGGCGGGGCTGCTGGGTGGTCAATTGCCCAGGAAAATCGCAGCTGTTTCGATCAGTCATTGGAAGATCGATCTTTCGCTATGACAGAAGTCCATTCCCGAAGCGGTAACAAAGCCCCTTTAAGCTGACTGTCCTCTCGCTTGTACATAGTCGAGCCTCGGCGTTTGAGAGCAGCGCAGAGCAGGGTGCCGGGTACATAAGTTGTTGAATATCAGATCGTTCGTCCGCACGGAGAGCATGTAAGGCACCCTAGGAAGTTGAGTGGTTGATCGAGGGAGATGTGGCGGATCAAGCGGCGCTGTTTAAGTGTAAGGTAACCACGTGGTAGGGGCTCCACCTACTCGCTGCGTTTTGGCCACTCCTCTGTTGTCCTCCGCAAGGCCTGTTCGTTTCCGTTTCGGTTGGTTGTAAACGTTAGAGTTAGCACCGTTTCTTCGATGGCCGGTCCACACTCCGCAAGGATTGATATCCACATTTCGCGAACCTGAGAACGTATCCTGTAGTCATCGGAGTGTCCATCACCATTTTACCGATTTTATTATTACGACGGCCTCAATTTATTATTGCGACGGCCTACGGAGTACAACTGCATGTGCTGTACCTCCGCCCTACGCTTGCAAGCCACACCAACACCAACATCGAAGTACCGGAACTTGATGCATATACAAATTGAATTGGGTATCCGCCCATGAGCGAGCCCTGGGCTGAATCGCTTTGAAAATGCAATAAGATTTGAATCGAATGCACAAAAATACTGCCCGCCTAGACCGCCTAGCTCTCCCTAACTTGCCTACCCACAACGCCCGCGCCCGCCCTGCTTGGGCGGCTGCCACTGCTGTGTTGTATGCGAGTACTCTTCGCATCGAGTCCCGGTACTTCGATGTTGGTGGCTTCCAATTTTTGGTGTGGCTTGCATGTGTTGGCGGGAGGTACTGTACAGTACATGCAGTTGTAGGCCGTCGCAATAATAGAGGCCGTCGTAATAATAAAATCCCATTTTACTACCTAACATTCCACCCTTGCCAGGGCAGGGCTCAACATAGGTACTACGTACACATTGCAACCCCAAGGGGGTCTTTTAGCAATTACGGACACGGTGTGTAACCGCTTCATTCAACGAACTTATATAGGTCGCTGGTTCATATGACATTTCGCACCTATCGCCGTCTTGAAGCGCCAAGCTTTCAGGTTTGTATGAGACTTCACAGCGCATGGTGCGAACGTTACTAATCGTCCTGTAGCTACCAGGAAGTAAATAAGTCGTGTGTCACGGACAATGGTGGCAGATCCCTTTCCCTTGAACTGCCTGCTGCCGTCAGTTGATAGCTCCTACTACACTAGCCCCCGACTAGATCTACTCTTGAATGCTACACTCCGCTATTCCTCTTCTCTACACGATCGTCCCGACTACTCAATCGGGTGGCAAGATTGGGCAACGATTGGCAGCATGCTCCATGGTGCAGCAGTCACTCGATCCAGCCTTCGCCATCCTAGGGTTTTGGTGTGTGTCTGTGCTCAGGTCCAACGAGGCCAATGCAAGGCTCTCCCACGTCTGGGGCATGTCGGTGTCGCTCCGAGATGCCCGGAACCCGGCCACTGGATTTACAGGTACCGAGCCGTGTCTGTTGGCGCCTTTGCCGCGCTACGTATCCGTATCTACCCGAGAGGGCGTGTTGCTCAGGCGAGCCCCTGCCAAGCGACGAACCAGACCTACTTGCTGTCCTACAACCTGTGATGCCCACGGAAGGAGCAAGTCCAACCCAGCCTTTACCGTTCACGCCAGTATAACCCCCGCGCAACCAAAGGGAAGCTGAAGATCGCCACCTCCAGTATACGGATGAGAACTACAAACTGACTCCGTTGTGGGTTTTTATTTCGCTCGCTGTCCTGAGTTTTGTCTCTGAGCCTGTGGAGCAACCGACTTCCTCACGTCGACGGTGTGGTCAGAGTCGGCACCGCGACATTTTGTTGATTCAGTCAAGGGAAGGTAAGGATGGGGAATGCACTTGATGAACTCATAAACCAAATTGGCAACTTAACCCCATTTCATTCATGACTTTCGAAGACCAATTGTATTGTTTGGCTCTCTATAACCCCTATCCGAGGCTATGCAGGCGGGTACCATTGCCATCCAGGGCCCAGCCTCCAAGCATACCAATCGAGCGCCTAGCGCAATTCTGGCACTGTTCCCGAGGTCTGGACTGCCTTCTACCACCGTTGGTTGTATGGAGTAGAGATCGCCTCTCAAACACTGCTTCTGGTCGAGACTGTCGGCAGATAGGGGAGCGTTTTCCCTACAAGAGCCGAGCTCCGTCGGTGCTGTTGAGTTCACGCTAAGTGCGGGGAAAGGGGGTTGGCTCGCTCGCGGCAGCACATCCATGGATACAGAATCATCACTCTTCCACTTTCAAGAGAGGGTTGTGTGGACATTCCTGAGTCCTGAGTTGATATCAGTTGGTGAGCATACATATGCACATGCGGGAGGAGACGAAGGAGAACCCGGGAACTTCCCTGTCTCATTTCCTCAGGAGTCAGCTGTCGACTCTGTCTCCATTCCCCAACGACCCACGAATCCAAGCTTACAATAGTGTATGGGGTAGCAACCCGAGAGACATGCACGAGACACGCATCTTCACTGACCTGGCCATTGTGAATGACGGTTGGTTGCTTACAGGAACCATCGCAGCAGGCAACGGAGTAGATTACCACTTCAAGTGGTAAAGGGGTCGGTCAGGGGTCAGGAACCAAACTTGTGAGCCACCGCCGAATTACACTGCACGCGTAAAGTACACACAAGCCCCCGACATCAACTTGCATGCAGGTGCAGGTTGCCAAGAAACAAATCCAAACCAAGCCCGGTGATTGTTCCACATCCTGCATTGCTTTACGCGGTTGATGTGCCTTGGGACGAGCAGCAAGCATTGCATACATACAGATAGCGCAGGTAAGACACCACCTCAGTCTCACTCCCCCTCAACGGGAGGGATCCTCTGTCTTGCAGCTGGGCGACTAGATTTCAACCAACAAACAGCCGTACCTTGGCCTTCTTCTTCTGGGATTTCCCTTCCTTCGCCCTGGTTTCTTGCCTGCGGTTGGGCGCAACTGCATGTTGAACTTTGAGCCAAGAGGGCTCGGACTCTTGTCCTATGATTGACTCTGTGGGTTTTTCAACTGCTGCAGAAGGAATGTACCGGTATACCTTTCTTGACTCGAGGTCTCACCGATGACATCGGGAAAGCCTTACATTTCGAAAGGATAGAATGTAAATACGTATCGTCGCACTTGCTGGTTCAGAATGATTCCATATCGAGGAAGAAATCCGCCTTTCCTGTTTCACTCTCACAACTATCCTGCGATCTGCATGTTTACTATCCATGTAAGTCTCCTGGGCGGCGAAGCCAGTGTCTGAGAAGTGTAGTTATCAGCTACGTATCACAGTCACCGTCGACCATGGAACCAGGCGTAAGCAGAGAATGAGAGGAGAGTTGTGAAACAGAGCCACGGTATCTTGAATTATCTTGCAGACTATTCGACTCCTAGTGGAATGTCATGAATGCTTCGACACTGCCCCGCTTCGGCCCTATCCCTTGAATCCCTTGAGAAGCGACGTGGATTACCCTGCCTTGGTGATGATCACAAGCCAAAGCGAATCTTCAGTGAGCCCAACCTAGTGTTCCTACTCGGCACGAAGACACCTCCGGCACAATTGTCTCCCTGCTAACTGATGGGCCTCAACAGGAACTTCGTCATGCTTCTAAAACGCTGATGGCCGCATGGCAGCATCAATGGAGTATGGAAGCATAAGAATTCCGCCAGCGCCGGTGCCCCTTCGCCGCCGAGGTCTGCAAAATGTTACGAGGATGAAGCGGAAATCTCGGTCATACAGCACTCTGAATGCCGGAGCTCAGTTGTCAATTGGTAGTCGCTTGACTCCAGTCAGCAAGTGACTTCCAGGCATTGGGGTTATGCGCGAGGAATCGTATTCGCCCAGTTGCCGGCGGTGGAATAGGAGGCACGAGAACGCTCTCACTGCGGATGACTTGGTCGGAAGGTAACTCGGGCAGTGGTTCAGCGGGTGGTTGTAAGGCCGTATACCATGTATCGATCAGATCAGATGCTGTCTCGCCGTTGCCAGAAGATCCGGGAGACTGCTGAGATGGAGAGGCCTTAGGAGGCTTGGATGTCGCCGCGTTGGCTATGATTTCTGTACGCATCGTCTCCACGAGAGCAGTGATTGCACTTCTCCCGTGCTTGGGAGTGGTTTCGGTGGTCTTGGCTGTAAGTGACACTTCCACTTCGTTTGAGACCAGCACGAGCTTTGAATCAGCGCATGCTTGCTCCACGGCCAGCTTCTCGCCTGAAGATTCATCATCCGTCGGTATGGTCAAGCTTGTCATCTTGGATAAAATCGAGTCTGGGACTTGGGTTAACATTCGGCATGGTTCCACGGGAAATGGTGAGTAAGTTGGGGTCATACCCTTCGATAAACGGTCGACGGATTCTATCCAACTGGTATGTATATCATCGAAACTGCTGTCCACCAGGACAGGCGGCAGAAATTCGTAGGACTTATTTTTGACCATTATTGTGGGAGTTGCTGTGGGAAGTTCAAGAACAATGGTGTTGCTGTCGACTTTGCCGGCCTTCTTGTCGTTTTTGCCACCTTCGTTGTTGACTTGGACGTCCTTGTTATCGACTCTGCCTACCTTGCCGCTCGACTGTGTGGTTGGCATTTCATACTGCCCGAGTCCATAGGCGGATTTCTTTCGGCCAAGACTCCAGCGAAAACCGTCTCGCTTCTCCTCTGTCGTATGTGACACCAAACTGGAAGATATGGTCTTAGGAGCGACGGCGCCGTTCGACACGTTTCCTCGCCCTCGCTCCTTTTCCTTCCGAGCGCGCCTCTCGCCGACACGCTCAGAGTCGTAGGGGGACCAGTCAACGGTAAACATTTTGAAGGAGTTGACTGCGGAAATTAGGAAGGGTTGCAGTCGCGAAGACGGGCCTCTCCAGGATGGTCGGACCGGGATAATGCTCAACGGGGTGTGGGTGGTATGTAAGGCGATCCCCGCGGAGAATTCAATGCGATTCGGGGAATCAAAGCTATCCCTCACGAGAAGATGGGGGACGTTGGTAACCGAAAAGCCGGCGTAATGGAAAGTCCCGAGGTTTCCTTGACAGGCTTGGTAGAGTGAAAGAGAAAGTTTTGGTGATGTTTGGGAGAAAACAAGAGAAAAAGAGTTGAGAGGAAGAATTCGTTATGGACCCTATTGTGATCTATGCACATTCTCTTCTGGCTTTCAATACCAAGCAGGCACTTTGGGCATAATTCTGAGAAACGGAAGGAGCGTTGGAAAGCTCCCGGCCTTGGTCCCATACAAGCGAACCCAAGTCAACCACTCGATACGAGCAAAGCGCTTAACACCCACCCAGAGAAAAGGCGCTATTCTAATCCCATCACAAAGCAATCTAGAATCTGCCCTCACTACCGCTCCATTTCTTTGGGTGAACTTACGTTGAGGTATCTCGGCGGTTCGCCCGTAGAAAGTCTGTTCCCACATCAGCCGTTCTACGGGGTCACCACAATGCTTTTCTGAAAGGGTGAATGTCTCATTTTATATCAGACTTGGTTCAAGTTGTGGGTAGTGACTTTTCCGTTGTGTTGATGAACTAGTGTAGTGCAGGTTCGGCCGGCCGGGCCAGACCGAATGGAATGCCAAGAGCGCCAAATCCGGGGCCGGCGTCGATCCTCTCGACGCAGTGCATTCGGGATCGGCCCGGCCTTGGCACGCCAAGCGGTTGTATCGAAGTCCGGAACCTCCCTGCAGAATCATCAACAAACCCTAACCCAAAACCGGGTTCTCCAAACCACCTCGATCCTGGTTTTTGTCCATATTTCAGAGTGTCTGGTAGCGTTTACAGTCTATGTACAGTAGGATGAGTCTCAACCGACATTAGCATCTGCAATGCTACTGTAGCAGCCGCTGCAAGTGTTCCGCGGACCATTGCCAGGAGCCCTCGAACCGGGGCAGACCATGAAGCGGGACTCGCCGTCGATGTGTCGAGACTCGCCGTCGATGTGTCGAAATTCTAACAAGAATGCGAACGCCAGACGCCATAGGGCGATAAGCCATGGCACGGGCTGTAAGTACCTACTCAGGCTTTCGACTTTTAAGAGAGCAGACTTGCGATCTCCCACTGTTGCTCGTGGCTTTACCCCCAGCCCAGTGCCACAGCTTGAGGACAAGACAACACCGCAGTAGTCGTCGTGATACCGCATCTCTCACTCTCTCTGTTGACAGTATTACAAGGGGTACCTCTAATGTGCCCTCTTATTACGCTTATCCATCCGCCTTCCCTACTGGTCGACACAAGGTGGGCTTGTGTTTAAGTTGGATCTGGCAAAGGACCCATTGCCCATGGACGAGACGCTCTTGTGCAGCGGCTTTGCACTATTCTGTATCCCTATGTATATGGATAAACTGGGTCTGCTTCTATGGCTGAGCGTTGTCTGACTCTAGCATTGTTGCCCATGCTTCCACTCGGCAGCAAGTGTGTTGGGCAACAAGCGCTGAAGGGTATCCAGCGTCGTCGAGCACGTCACCTGCCGAGAGTAGGGTGTGTCCAGCAGCTTTGTAACTGGACCAACCTAACGCTTTATCTCAACTATCCAACTTGTGAGAGACTTCCCAGAGATTTCCTTCTAACTAAGAGATGTTCTTTATTTTCTCACTTGAATACTAGTACTTACCCAGGGGCAAGCAAATGGCATTCTGAGCAAGCGGCTTGTAGTCACAAGCCACAGACAGCCCTTTTGCCTCGAACCGATCCCAAATCACCGTCCAAAGATAACAGCAAAGCCGTTACCTGAAAAACAACTGGTATGTTTCTTCCAGATTTCAACTCCATCTCTTCGCCCCTCACTTGACCTTGACCCATCTCCCAAATCGCAGCGACCTACGATTCAAAAGTCGACCATCTTCAAACTTCTTTTACTCCTCGCTGCGACTGGACTTGGGTTTCCCACATTCTCAACCACGGTTGAACTACTACCTGATCACAATGTCTGGATTGTAAGTCGGCCGTTTTGATTCTATCGGTTTCCTAACGAACCCCCCATACTGCGATGCTTTTGCGCGTGCGAATGCGAATTCTATCGCTTGCAATCGTGGAAGAGCGAGAGCAGCACATCCTTTCTCCCTTCTTTCTTATGCTCTTATGCTCCATATGGACAGGCTCGATCCCATCAAGCGTGACCACTTAGTGGCGGATGATAGATTTGTCCTCTCTATTGCTTCGCTTCCCCCAACTGTTCCCATGATTTACCCTTTCACCATCACCGTCTTCATCCTCCGCAGCAGCCTCGTCAAGCTAACACATGCAGGGAACACATTGAGATGCATCCTGTCGTGGCTGGCCGCGGGCTTCCGGTCGACGGTGAAGACTCTACAGGCCACTTCGCAGGCCAGCCCAAAAAGGGGTCAAAGATCTATACGAACATTGTGAAGCGAATCGACAATTCGGTGAACAAGTCAGTGGTCGGAAAACTCTTTCGGCTCAAAGGAAGCGGCCATGTAAGTACTTATGGACTTAATGAAACCTTGGCAACTCAAAGGCGATCACTAACATGACCTGCTATGCAACCCAGTCCTCCGAGATTGGAGATGCCTACTTGTCGACCGAGATCCGTGCAGGACTGACGACCTTCGCCACGATGGCATACATTATAGCAGTCAACGTGAGGGTTCCCAATTTGCTACGATGCGTCTCACACTTGGAGTCGTCAAGTCTAATCAGTCGCAGGCCGCCATTCTCGCCGAGACGGGTTATGGCTGTCGCTGCGATAAACCCTACGACCTGCAAGGTAACTGCGCAAACAAGGCCGAGTGGACGGCCTGCTACAACGGTCAGTGAGCGACACCAAAAACACATGGGAATACATCCAGCTGACCGCTACGACACAGAGGTCAAGCTCGATCTTGTCACCGCCACTGCTGCCTTGGCAGGGGTCTCTAGCATCCTCTTTGGTCTTCTCACCAATCTGCCTGTGTGCCTAGGGTGAGTAAGAGTAGGATCATACTATCGAAACTGCCCCTAACTTAGTTGTCCAACAGGCCGGGGATGGGTCTGAATGCATACTTCACCTACCAGGTCGTCGGAGCAAAGGGTTCAGGTTCGGTGAACTACCGTCTCGCGCTTACAGCAGTCTTCCTGGAAGGATGGATCTTCATGTTCCTTGCTCTGACAGGCATGCGCCATTGGCTCGTCAAAGTCATTCCCGGCACCATCAAGACCGCAAGCGGCGTCGGTATCGGTCTGTTTCTGACCCTCATCGGCATGACGTACTCCTCGGGCATCGGACTCATTACAGGAGGCGTGAGCACGCCGCTTGCCATTGGAGGATGCCCGATAGAGAACCTCGGTCAAGCCGGGGCATGCATCTCCGGGTACATGACGAACCCAAAGGTATGTGCCGTTTTTCAAATCTCTGAGAATCAGATGGCCTGACGGACATAACGGGTAGATGTGGGTGGGCATCGTTTTCGGCGGGCTGTTGATAGCACTCCTGATGGCATTCCGGGTCAAGTCGGCCATCATCATTGGCATCGGTATTGTTTCGATTCTTTCATGGCCGTAAGTTCTCAGCAGGCTCCTGCAATCTGTTCACGGAAGCTGATATGGTGCCCCCCCTAGGCGCAACACTCCACTGACATACTTCCCCGACACTGTTGACGGCAACGCACGGTTCGACTACTTTCGCAAAGTTGTAAACTTCCACCCGATCAAGCACACGCTGGCACAGCAACAGTGGAATCTGGGTGGCAAGTCGGCAGGCCGGTTCGTGGCTGCGCTGTTCACTTTTCTTTATGTCGACATCATCGATTGCACGGCCACGCTCTACTCAATGGCACGATTCTGCAAGCAATCGCGCAAGATAGATGGCGACTTCCCCCGCTCGACTGTGGCCTTTTGTGTTGATGCTTTTTGCATCACCCTGGGCTCCATTTTTGGGTGTTCCCCTGTAACTGCCTTCATCGAGAGCGGCGCGGGCATCGCCGAGGGCGGACGAACCGGTCTTACCGCCATAGTCGCTGGACTGTGTTTCCTTGTCTCATTGTTCTTCGCCCCTATTATTGCATCCATCCCTCCGTGGGCAACAGGCGGCACGCTCATACTGGTGAGGACCTTTTGCTCAGTGCCACGGCTCGAGTACAGGCCAGGACTAACTTGACTTTGTTCAGATTGGCTGCCTGATGGTTCGGCAGGTGGCCAAGATCAACTGGGCGTACATCGGCGACGCTATACCATCCTTTGTCACCCTTATATTCATCCCATTCAGCTACAGCGTAGCTTATGGGCTGATCGCGTACGTATCCATCCCCTCTCTGTTGCCGAGACCAGGGCAGCTAACTGGGCCTTTAGGGGTCTGTTCACTTACGCTGCCATCAACGGAGCAATCTGGCTCGCCATGAAGATCTCATGGGGTTCTATTGCTCCAGAAGGATACAACTTGAAGGAATACTGGACGTGGAAGCCTCCCAGCGAGAAGCCTTGGATCCTCCGAGCATTTTCAAAGTGCAGCATCCCGTGGATGAAAAGACGAAATGGTGGAAATACCAGTCTCCCCGTGCACTCGCGCGGCGAGACGGCCGGCTCCCGTCATCACCGATCCCAAACGGACACCCCGGAGGACAAGGAATATGTGAGACTTGCAACCTCAGAGCCTTTTCGCCAGATGTTTTGAAACCTGGTACATACAAATTCAAAGCCACGTGCATAAGGTACCTATCATGGCAGGCTAGCCGGGGCTTAGTGAGTTGATGTCACCCACCATGGTTCGGATCCGCGCATGGCAAACAGGATCAGGGGATGGACAGGTGGAGCTGGGTCGGATACCTGGCGGTGGTTTCTGATGTGAATACTATTGTGGGGGCCAGCGGATTCTTTCTACCCGCGATGGAGCACTCGCCGTGTTGTAAACGGTTGAGCATCCATGATGGGTTGTTATTGAAACATCCACAGTTAGTCACCGGCGTTGTGTTGAATGTACAGTACTGAGTAAAGAAGGAGTCAAATAAACGAAGTAACTACCTGAAGTACTCAAAAGGGATTTAACAAGAATATTACATGTAATTACATGTTGTACTGAAGGGAGGTAATGTAACGTCGCTCAGTGACTTATCTTATCGCCAGGTCGACGTGCAGCTGCACCTGGGACTGCATCATCGCACTGAATTTTGGGTGGTGCCCCCCAAGCTAAATTCACTAGCATCCGATGAGCTCCCGTTACCTTATCGATTAACCAAAGCCGGACTTACTTAGCTCTCATACACAATAGCTTCATCTCAGAGAGCCGTATCCAGGTTAGAGAGCGGGCAGTATCGATCGGCTTCCCCTTGATCCCGCTACGTCACTGACCCAAGTCCATATTCCTGGGGCAAGCGAACTCTGAGCTCTCCCAGGCCACTTGGCTCCAGAGCGGTTCACAGCATCAAGATGAGCGGCGGTTGGAATACTAGTAAGGTTTATGCGTCTGCGCCCTGAGAAAGCTCTCCCCAGCAGCTAATCGCTGACCAATCAACCACAGTCGAGTCTGATGCGGTACGCAGATATACATGTGCCAAGCGATCTTGGTGACCGAAGCTCGGAGCGCTGCTGACGACGTGACAAAAATTCCTAGGGTGTCTTCACCTACCTGCTGGAGAACCTCGGCGTCAAGGATGTGCAGTTCGAGGAGCTCTTGTCGCTTGACCCGGACGCACTGGCCCAACTCTACCCCGTCTACGGCGTAATCTTTCTCTTCAAGTTCCCCACCGACACCCCGTATAGAGCAGGCGACAAGCCGCTCGACGGCTCCTTCGACCAAGATGCCTCGGAACGCCTCTTTTTCGCTGCCCAGACCATCCAGAACGCCTGTGGCACCCAGGCGCTGCTGAGCGTCCTTCTCAACAAGACGGGCGACAACACAACCGCAACCGCCGACGCGGACACGGCCACCATCGACGTGGGGCCGCACCTGCGCGACTTCCGCGAGTTCACCATGGCGCTGCCCCCCGAGTACCGGGGCGAGGCGCTGTCCAACTCGGAGCTGATCCGGGACGTGCACAACAGCTTTGCCAAGAGCAGCCCCTTTGCCGATGAGACGCAGCGGCAGCCCGACGATGAGGACGCCGCCGCCTTCCACTTCATCGCCTACACCCCCATCGACGGCGTCCTGTACGAGCTCGACGGCCTGCAGCCCGCCCCCATCAGCCACGGCCCCTGCGCCCCGGACGAGTTCCCCCTCAAGGTCATGGACGTGCTGCAGCGCCGTATCGCCCGCTACGACGCGGCCGAGATCCGCTTCAACCTGCTCGCCATGGTGCGCGACCTGCGCATCCGTGCGCGCGAGATTGGCGACGCGGAGCTGCTCGCCCGCGAGGAGCGCAAGCGCAGGGACTGGCAGTTTGAGAACGCCCTGCGGAGGCACAACTTTGTGGGGTTTGCCGGCGAGGTACTCAAGGGCGTAGTTGCGGCCAAGCTCAAGGAAGGGGACGGAGCGTACGAAAAGTGGATCGACCAAGCCACGCAGAAGATTAAGAGGAGGGCAGAGGAGCGCAAGAAGGGTAGAGGCGGTGAGGATATTGAGATGAGGGGATAGGGATAGGAGAAGAAGGGAGGCCTACTTTGAAAGGGGACCTTGGGGGAGGATACTTTGAAAACAGGGGCAAGTTCGGGTGAATTGGTTCCCTATCCATAATCACGAACATTGGGAGCCGGTATAGTCTGGGAGTAGTTGTGACGGCACAAACGACCAGACTTCTTGTGAGGATACTGACTGGAATCGGGAAAGTCTGCACCGCCATGTGGAGAGCTGCTTGTTTTGGTTCCGAGGCTATGATCTTACCCGCCTTGATTTCCGAAAGCCATGTGAATCACTCCGTACACTCTGGTCAACCGTGGATATTCACCATCAACGTCTGCTGGCAACCACAATGACCAAGACGACGCCTCCCTTCAGCCATCGCGGAGTCTGCGCAGAGCAAGGGCCGTTCGAGACAAAGCAATGATATTTTGTTTGACGCCCCTGTATCCCATCAGGCCTTGCATTCACCACTGTGGTTCTCAATGCTTATATTGAGTAATCGTGACCGACTCCGTTTTCTCTGGAATCGTAGCCTTGACCCGAAAAAATGCCATGCTCGCGTACACCGTTCCGGAAGAAAGCCAAGCCCTCAGTCAAAAGATCCCCGTCCCAACTCAACCTAACAAACCCCCAGCCTTACGCCGCAGTGATGGCCCGGCGGACACGCACACCACGCTGCCTTGAGCTAAGATGGGACTCGTCGCGGACAACCGCCTCCGACTTCTGAACAGCCTCATCAGCCTCGGTGAGGATGAGCTCGATGTGGCAAGGGTTGGACATGTAGGGGTTGATCTGTCAATTTTGTTAGTGTCTGGCGAATCCGCCCGAACTCGACCTGCTAAGAAATCCGGCAAAACGTACGCGGCCGTGGGCACGGTATGTCCGGCGGCGCTGCTTGGGGGCCTGGTTGACTTGAATGTGCTTGACGATCAGGTTGCCGGTGTCGAGGCCCTTGGCATCGGCGTTCGACTCAGCGTTCTTGAGGAGGCCGAGCAGGAACTCGGCCGACTTGACGGGCCACCGAGCACGGGAGACACCCCACTGCTTGCCTGTTGTCCATACCAATCAGCACCAGACTCAACGCCTTATTAAACTTCCGTTGGGTCCGTCCAGCACAAAGCGTTCACATGGCGACCAACTCTCCCATTCTTTGGTCCTTCAATTCCATATTCAACGGGGTGCTCGTCGGTTTATAATCGTACCTTGAGCCGTCCGGCCGATGGAGCCAGCATAGCGTCTCATGGGAACGGCCTCCTTCTTGTCGATGACGTTCTGGAGAAAGGTCTGGGCGCGCTGGAGCTTCCAGCCGTTGATCGCCTGGGCCGTCTCGCGGGTGTTCTTGAAGGAGACCCGGAGGTATGACCCGCGGGAGCGGGCCGACTTCGCCGGCGCGATTTCAGTCGCTGAGTACCGAACCTAGACGACGGAAACTCTGGTCAGCCTGGGCCTCAGGATAGCTTCGAACAATGTCCGGTGCTGCTTTTCAAGGCGTTTCCCCCTCCACCAGTCGCAAATCAACGGCCTGACACCTTCTTCCCTGCCGGAATCTAGTTCGAAGCGACAGACTGTAACATAATCCCGTAAAAGTTACTGACCATCTTGACGGCTTGTCGATGCGAGGACGGGATCGACCAAGTTGAGAGTTCGGAGTGATGATGGTTCGAGATTTTGGCGCCAAATCCGATTTTCGCGATTAGGGCTCAGTGGACAGTGATTGATTGGCTTGTGCGGGCAGATTGTGGCCTCAGGCAAAAACAAATTTATCGAGCCTGAATGGCAGGTGCAGGAGCCAATCGCTAGAGCGCTAACGCTTTGGCGCCAAAGTTTCAGTGCAGGATCATTAGCATGCAACTGGCAATCCGAGTCACGGGATAAGGGCCCACCCAAGCAGCCTAATTGAGGTGAAGGCAAAAGGTTGGCCCCGCTTTTTTTTTTCGAGTTATCGGGGAAATTTTGCACGTCCACTCCAAGAAACTTAGCCTTTTGAGGATCTTGACAAGGCCGTCATTCTGCACCCATTGCGCCTCGCACTGGAGCTTGCTCACAACAACTCGTCCGGTGGCGCTCATTACGATCGAGGAAAACCCAGTTCTACCCATCCACAAACACAAAACCAGTCATAATGGGCTTTGACCGTGGTGGAAGAGGCGGCAGAGGAGGAAACTTTCGCGGTGGTGACCGCGGTGGGCGCGGCGGAGCGAGAGGAGGACGCGGGGGCGGTAAGTCGTGATATCTTTGCCTTTAATGCTTTCGGCGAGTCTGTTGCGTGGTGTTTTCTACCTGCCTATTGTTTCGGTGGTTTCGGACGCGCGCAGCTCCGTCTGGATGGGACGAGGGTCCGTCTCGTCTAACACCGTATCCGTGTTTTTCTATCAAGTAAGGCCTGCCTGCTAACTGCTCTTAGGTCCCGGCGGCCGTGGCGGGCCGGCTGGTCGAGGGCGTGGAGGGCCTCCCGGTCGCGGCCGGGGAGGGTATGTCATGCTCTACCGACTGTGACAGGTGGTTGGCCAAGCTAACGTGTTGTTGCAGCGCTCCCCGAGGCCGCGGTGGTGCCAGGGGTGGTGCGAAGGGCGCGAAGGGCGGCAAGAAGGTTATTGTCGAGCCCCATCGTCACAAGGGTGTCTTCGTTGCTCGTGGCGGGAAAGAGGATCTTCTGGCTACCGCCAACTTGGTGCCTGGCGAGTCGGTCTACGGAGAGAAGAGAATCTCCGTTGAGAATGCCGGCAAGGGTGATGACGCTGTTACCACCAAGACGGAGTATCGCGTAAGTGTGCAAGGCATTGACGCTGGATCGTCCTCTTGTCATCGCTAACCTAGAGCTCTTGCAGATCTGGAATCCTTTGTCAGTCAAATCCATCATCTAATTCAGCGCTACCCCCTCTAACGAAGAAACAGCCGAAGCAAGCTTGCAGCTGGTATTCTAGGTGGCTTGGAAACAATCTACATGAAGCCCGGCTCCAAGGTGCTGTACCTTGGTGCCGCCTCTGGAACATCAGTCTCTCACGTTGCTGACATTGTCGGTCCAACTGGAGCTGTCTACGTATGTTCTACCTGTGCTGCTTCTGGCGTGTAAAAGTTTCTAACAGGAGACATATGCAGGCCGTTGAGTTCTCCCACCGCTCCGGCAGAGATCTGATCAACATGGCGGTAAGTTCACTCCAGCTGTCCACATATCCTTCCGCAAATCGGGTTTGAGCGCGAGACTGATTACTTTACAGACCCGCCGGACCAATGTCATCCCGTAAGCACTCTTATGTCAGAATCCGCCCAAGATTCTTACTTTTGGCTTACCCGGAATAGGATTGTCGAGGATGCTCGTAAGCCGATGGCATATCGGATGCTTCTACCGATGGTGGACGTAATCTTTGCCGATGTTGCCCAGCCTGATCAAGCAAGAATTGTCGGTATCAACGCAAAGCTCTTCTTGAAGCAGGGTGGCGGTCTGCTCATCTCCATCAAGGCAAGCTGTATTGACAGCACTGGTACGTCTTCTAGGCATCGTATCCCGCGGACATTGACTTATACTGTTACAGCCCCCCCGGAGCAAGTCTTTGCTAGCGAAGTCCAGAAACTGCGCGAGGACAAGTTCTTCCCCAAGGAGCAACTTACTCTGGGTGAGTTCACGGCCTCGTATTGAAACTGGTGTTTTGGACTATATACTGAATTCTATCTCAGAACCTTATGAGCGTGACCACGCAATGGTGTCTTGCGTCTACCTGCAGAAGGAGTTTGAGGGTTGAGTGCGAGTTCGGATGTACCATCGCCCTAAACTCTTTCATGGCGTTCTGAGACATTACTTGGTGTTCAACTGGACGGTTGGCTTGCTTTGAGTCTGGGTGGCGAACGGCGTTTTGGGACTGGGCTCTATCAGCATGGTGTGACTAGAGCATCGGGGTGTACCAATGGACCTCTAGGCGAAATCAGTCACTGCACCGAACCTCTCTCATCTCGACATGGTCGAGTCGGCCAGCCCTGTGGCAGGCAGTGCGAGTCATGCGCTGCAAACGCGGCCCATGAATAGCATTGGCAGTGGAGGGTGGATGCCAGGTGAAGGAACGATTTGGCCAGGTCACCCGCTGTAGCAATGGGATTAGACATTGACGCTTGTAAATAGGCAGCTGATGCTGTCCCTAGACGTAATGAGGATGATATACACAATTGCCTCGGGTGCTGGTTCCGTCGGCGTTCCAGAAGGAGCGCTTCACGAGTTCGAAGATGCCTCAACAACATTCAGAAGCCAACTCATGGAACGTGGCATGCGGCAAGACAGCAATTCCACGACCATCCTTTGACCCGTCTGTCAGGAACGAGCGCGGGTGGCGGGACGGAACCAATTGACAGACAAGCCAGGAGCCGGACTTGTTATGACTGGAAGCTCCGTAAAAGACGCCCGTGACACAACAAGCGCCCGGCCCATTCCTCTTTCATCTTGCCCGTGCCATGCCATTGTGGACGTGGTTCTCAATTGAGTCGCATGGAATACATTGTTAGCGGATGGCGTCTACACCATTTTGCGCCACATAAGGTGACTGCAATCCCTCTCTAGAGAATAAAATCTCGTTCTTGGGCATGGCGGTGGGAATTAGGAGGTCGGCTATACACGGGACTTCTACAGTAGATATGTACAGTACTGTATATATGTACTGTACATACATACAAGGAGTCATTGCACTCTTTCATTGTAGGTAACTTATGTGACAGACCGGGAGAAGTGCAGTGTGATGAGGTGCGTTGAGTGACGGGAATGTGCATCCCTCTGAGGTAGTTTGCAAACCACTTCGACGACATTGCCCCCCTCCCGTCTCACAAGCACCCGTGAGCTTGAATCGAAATGAGATCGACTCGCTCAAACCTACTTTTTCGCAACATCAAGGCCAATATTTTGCCCGAATCAGAAGCGGATGGGAAAGCGGACTTTTATTTTTTTATTTGGGGGCGTTGGTTTTGTTTTTCTTCGTGGGCGGATAATGATATTACCCAAGAGATTATGGTCGCCGACCACCCTGCAGCATTTCATCTCGGATGCCGACCTGGCCGGGCACGGCATGAGCACTGACTGGTCCATCAGCGCTAATCAGCTTTCTTTCTGCTTTCCATTTCACCAACAATACCTCTGTAGAGCTTGTTCCGGTCTGGGTTCTTGTCCCGGTTTTGTGAATGTCCCAAGGACGAGGGACGGCAAGTGCTGTCGTATCTCACCTGCCGCTCATTCTGGTGACAGACATTGATGAGAGCTCCGTTCGCGACTCACGAGCCTTGAGCGGTAAGATACCGACGGAGCACTTCCCCATATGTACGTAGGAGTGAGGGTGGGGTTTGATTAATATCTCTTCTCTGGATTGGGCGTTGTTATGGTCGATTGACTCGATTCCGGGTTGTTGCTGCGATGATGCAGAGAGAGAAGTTCCAGACCGCCCAGTGGAACCTGAAAGTGAAAGGCAGGTATGTACAGTACCTAGGTGCATCACTGCATACGGAGTATGCTAACAATAATAATCCACAGGTAATGTACATACATAAGTTTGTTTGAGCGGGATTTTCAACCCAGAAATGTTCTACACTTCCTGTAAGAATACGTGTATGTACGGTGGTTGGGGCCAAAAGTAATTGACACTTCCTCTTGCCAAGACTGCCAAGCGCCTGATACAGTGAGGTTCGCACAGCTCAGCCGAACCACCCACACTAGCCACTGTAATCCACTATAGTCAAGTCCACTTCCAGGGCCAATTACAGGGCCATGTCAGTGCCCACTCCAACGCCCGTTTAAGTGGGTTTTGCGAGGGAACGCTATCCCCATAGAAAATACAGTGCATTTCTCTGACTCTGGCTTCTCACACGTTGACAGGCTTGGCACCAGCAGGAAGCTGTCAATTACTTTTGGCCCCAACCTCCGTACATCTCAAGGTAACTCCACTATATGTGTAATGAATACACTCCTTCCTCAGTGGGCGAGGAATGGGGTTTACAACTGTAGTCATCCTGCCAGACTACAACTGTAGGTAGCCATGTTCTTGTCTCTTTCTTTTGTGATTCTTGCCCTTTCCGAAATGGTATCGTCGGTATCGTCGGATGACCAGGTACTATCCGTACTCCGTACACGTATCATGACCCAGACGATACACTCTACAGAGATATCGGTGTCCGAATCAAGCCAGCCAACTAAGGTAGCACACAGAAGGCCCAATCAGCCTTGCCATAGGTGAACAGAAGCAGACCAGTTCATCCAAGCTCGTCGGAAGAGACGAAGACCTGCCCCCAACTCGAGTTACGTGGCTAAGCCAGATTTCCAAGCAATGTCTGCCGAGAGAAACTATGTACCTTAGTTGGATCGCCAAGCATTCTGAACTGTTGACATGCAGATGTCGGACTCGTGCTGCATACACGTGTAGTGTCACTTGTCTGAGTGGGAGGCCCGCCACAAGCTTCTGGACCAGATGGCATGAAGCGTGATGGCCTGATCCCGCGTCGCCTCCTCTCTGGCTCTAGCATACTGGGCGCCACCTAGAGAGCTTTCAAATTAGTCTCGAGCAATGGCCAAAGTACCCTGCCTAACAATCACTGTGTCCATATCATGCATCTGCGCCCACTTCTCCAGCATTGTTTCGCTATCTCACCGAGTCCGCGTTAAGGGACCTAGCGAGGTACCTAGTCAGAAGAAGAAGGGGATGAAGAAGACGTAGGATAGATACAATGGATGGCAAAGCAGAATTCTCATTCGAAGGAATTGTGGCGGCGTCCACCACCAACGGATTGACCTCCAGTGCCTCGTGTGACTGCTGCGGCCACAAGCCGAAGAGTCTTTGTTGTGACTGGGCGGACATGGCACGCGAGCTTAGATACGTTAGGACCCTTGTGCTTGGTTCGTGCTCTGCGGCACTTGGGCGATCCCGAACCATTCTGCTGGTAACAAGCCAGCAGATCCAGGGGCTGCAAGCCCGCTCATCAGTTTGTGACCTGCCTGTTCTGGACAGGTGTAGGGCAGGACCTGGGGGAGCTTGTCGAGGGGGCGTCGCAAGGGTGCTGTAGCGTGCGCATCGAGACAGATCTGGTAATTCGAGAGTACCTGATCAAAGATCCAATTGTCAGCATCAAAGTTGGCGAAAATCAAGGTATAAGCAATTCCATTGACAAGCATTTGGTGATTCGCATGCTGAGCCGAATGACAGCCTGCAGGGTGTTGCAAATTAACTGTCTCAGGGTACAAGTATGTGTACCTTATGTACTAGTATTCGGGGAAGCAAAGTTTGAGCCTGTTCGCTAGGTGCTGATCCCAGCCAACTTGACAGGCAACGACGCATTTACTACACGTCGACTAGAATAGGTACAGTCACCACACATATCCAGGGGATATCGTGCAATTGCCCTCGACTGTTCATTGTTCTCGATTTCAAAGTTGGCGGTGGCTGCAAACGTCGAGACTACTACTACCCCGCGTTCGCACATACACGTGTACAGTACATACAGGTACCTATACGTTAGTACTGTATGTAGCCCACACAGTTAACACTCGAAAGTGTATAGTACACATACTACTTGTAGCTTCTGTCACCTTGGACCCGGGTTTCTCACGATCAGAGGCTTCTAGACCGCCTTTGCCAACGCCGGTCCAAGCCTCCTCAACGGTTGTTAGTCGGTACGAGTCTGGCAGATGCACCTGATGCGCGATACACGTATTCTGATAGGTCGTGGGAAGAAACTGTTCCGGGACCAGGGCAATTCCGCAGACTATCTAGGATTCTAGGTAGCTCTGTCACACCTCATTTCTGTTTCGGGACAACAGCGAAGCGCCCCGTTGATACGCCTTCCACTATGTTATTGAGACAATAATTATACGAGTTACTGACGCTAACCGCACTGCCCTCGGGATGCCTTTGGCTTGATATGTACCTATAAAACATACGGTACATATAGCACTCTGCCTACTATTTGCCTACCTACGTTGGCGGTGTTTGGCGTGCAACGCCGAGCAGATTGTCAAGACCCTGCGTTTTGTCGCCAAAATTAGGGCAAAGTTACACAAAGGTTACATTACATCAAGACAGAAGTTTTCATTGCCTCAACCCCGGGCGGCCCGCGGATCAAGCTCCGATTGAAGCTCGAGCATTTGCGGGGGCGGTCACCTGCGCAACCTATGGAAGTACAGATTGTCTACAAGAGGCAGAAATTAACGAGAAACATGCTGCGATATGATTGAAACCTTACGTTGCCTAGGTATATTTCGATGTATTGTACATTACCTTGAGTACAGTACCCCCAGAGGTTCAAGTGATTTCACTTGTCGCCGACTAGGTTGGGCGGGTTGTAGGTAACCGAAGGTATTGTATAGTACATACCGTAGCATCAGAGCATCACCTCCAAGCTCACGATATCGGATAGTAGAGTTCCAACAAAGCTACCCATCTTACTATACAGTACCAACTTGTCAGGTTTGGTAGGATGCTTTCTTGCGCCACAGCGGCCCGCGATGTTGGAACATTACGGACTAGGAATTGAATACTATATTGATTTGGTTTATTACCTGTTCCGTTAAGGCTAGAAGTGTAATTACATATGTGCTCAGATTTATAGTCTTGGCATTACCAATGTCGGGGATGCGTTGATTCGATGTTCTGTTGAACTTCGGTTGAACTGTGATCTCTGATCTGTATCGATAGTTATTAGGGTTACACTGCATCCCATTTCAAGCTAGGCCTGCTGCAGAACTCCAGGTTTTCGCTCGTTTACTTTTTCCCTTTTCGGCCGAGTTGATTTTTGAGGTTTGGACTTTGGAGATCTGCGGCGCAGTCCAGCGAGGGTCAAGCATGAAATTCCACAAAACCCAGCGCTTACCCCGGCTTATCTCTACACTTTGAAGGAAGGATGAAGACGTTAATACGAGGGTAAAGAGCCGCCCAAAACAAGCGCTTTAGGAGGTAACGTATGTGTATTGGCTTCTGCTCTCCCACGTCAACCTTGAGGCCTGGCGGGGCCGCCCGAGTTGTTGAGCCTGTCTCTTTGAACCGCTCCCGAGGCTTTAGGCAAGCGAGCCTGGAGCCGGCCCGTCGAGCATGGGCCAGTCTTTTCCATTGAGATGCAACTCGAAGCGGGTGGTGATTTCACTGGCTCGATTGGGTGCAGGTCGACCCCTTTTACATGCAGGGTCTGCTTGGCGCTTGGTGGTGTATCCTGTTAGGACACTGATGAGATGATAATCAGCTTACCATGAGGTTACCTTATGGCAGGACCAGGTCCGGCGCGCAGCGCCGAGGGTGAGTCCTTTGCCGGGCGAAGGCCGGAGCTCCGGCTCTCCGGCGGCCGGATCTGACGCTGTGCCTGCCCGTAATTTCGCAACGGAAAGTTTCTCGAAGTTCGCAGGCGAGGAGAGCTTGTTGGATTCGTGGCTACACTAATCAGGCCCAGTCTGTCGAAGAGGCGCTCTTCGGGGCCGATCCTCGATCCGGGACAACTGTGTGGTGTTGGTGCACTAGCGCACCCAGAGTGCTGGAAGGGATCTCCGCTAAGGGATCGACATTTCACCACACCATCAATCGGGGAGGCCGCCTTGGCGACCTCTGACCGTAAGAGGAAAAGCGTGATGTGCACGAACCACCAATGGGAACAGCGCCCTGATTCCCGTCGTTGATGACGGCGTTTGATGGTTCAATTGCAAGAAGGCGCCCGATTCTGCCTTGCCTGGCGGTTGCTTCGTACATACAGTAAGAGCCTTGCTCCGTGCTTAAGGCACAAGTACCCATGTGCCAGTACACGCGTATTTACCCCTTAAACTGGGGCTTTCCACTCGGTGTACGCATTTACAGTATATTACATACCATACGTAGTATACTTGTGTACAGTACCGGACGGATGTGTAGTACGATCTGCACAGGACCCAGAGCCTCAACCCAAATACATACATAGCAGGGGGGGTAAATTATGCGGGGGTCATGAAACTGTCCAAGTCCGACGACCCCACTGTTTCCTTCGGCTTTCGCAACCCTTTCCCAAAAGGGGTCACGTAAGATAAGGTAGCAATTTCATCAGAAACAGATACCCTGCAGGCTCACAGTTACACCTGAGCTACTCCGGACAGGAGGGCAAACACACGCTGTGTAAAATGCATCAAACTACACTACACTCAAGCATATGGGATTCGGTGATGATGCGATCGTGGTAGGTAATTCATGTTGATGTGGTGCACAGCAACTGTGAAGGATGGTCTAGGACTCGCTCAACTTCAATCAAGTCTAATGAGATGTGTGGCACAACTTGTGTCTGGAAAACGCTGGGCTCCGAACCCATTCAGCCCTATCCGTACAATAGAATAACAAGATAATAAGATTCACTTATGGAAGTCTCAACCGGTTAATATGTGATGTACTCCGTATGTACGGAGCTACCTCCGTACACAATCCACCTTTGAGAATATCAGAAAGCGGATCGATGCAATGGCTCTAGGCCACGGTTTCGTATACCTGGTCTTAATTACCACAAGACATTGCCGTTTCGAAGCCCAAGCTGTGAAAATCGGCAAGTCGGCGAATTCACCCGATCTTACTCTTCAAATGGGTCGCTGTGCCAGACGCCAGTCATGTTTGTCCTACGTGAACCACTATCAACCCGCCCGAATCTCACACGTGTCTGTGCCGGAATACGACACGACCCGGGCGGGAAATCTTCCATGGAAGCCAGCGAATGCTTCCATTGCGACCGTGGTTACGTAGGGCATTCTTGTCTGGCCTTCTCCCCCTTCCCCAGCAATTCGCCAGCCCGTTCCTGCATGAGTCGGTACCCATCTGACGTTTGACATCCATTGCGGGTGCCTGTCCCCCTTTTCCTCGCATATCAAGCATTCAAACCGGGGCCAATCACGCTCCAAAGACAGCAAAGCATGAAGACGGATGCGGCCCGCACAATCAAGGCCAATGGCTTCAAGAACATTGGGGCTATCGATTGCTCATACATACCAGCGAAGCAAGGTGTTTCAACTAGGTTATGGAAACGCCCAGTTTGACAGCTCAACCCCGTAGATGTATCCTCTCGAAGTACTCGTTGCATCAGCCTGCGAAGGCACCTAACCGATATCGTTGAGGGCCGTGACGAGAAGAACAGAACACTTTGAGACGTCGAGACTCGGCCTACAACGAGTAAGGTAGAACAAATGCCGGCGGGGGTGGCGGAGCATTCGCGACCTCCATGGTGTATTTTGTCCATACAGTAGAAGTCTAGAACTGATGAGTCCAATCGGAAGCTAAGCCAGCCCAGGCGTTAGTTAGACTCGATGATGGCAGCGGTTAGCCAACGGGCCGGAGAAAACCAGAGATTGAACACGATGGACACTCATAGGGCTGACCAGACACTTCCGTCTCATGTGCCCAACGAGCTAATTAGATTTGCTGCTTGGTTAAGGTTGCAGATTAAGTACTTCGTACATTGTTAATACGCATTGAAAACAATATGGTGTACGGAGTAAAGCGCTGTAAGCCCAGGGCCAACGTCCATGGATTGGTTGGACGGTGTGCCATGGAAACTTGCTGACCACCACCACCGCAATGCTGGTGCCCGTCACGGAACCCTTCGATTGGAAAACGGTCGTGGCTGGCTCGGCGCCGTAAAAGTGTTACTACTCCGTGATGTCAGTTTGCATCCGACAGTCAAGACCGGGGATCATGACTGTTGATGTAATACTAAAATTGCGCACAAAGTGCCTGCAGCGAATGCCGCTCCGCAATCGAATGCAGAACCGTGCTACGCAGCACCACATTAGATTCCGGGGATGGGTCTTGACACCATCCCACACCCAGTGAGTTGCGACCAAGCAGAGCAAATGCACACAACATCGGCTCTCGGCGCTTCGGGGAACTGCCCTCGCACAAATCGGCGATCACTTTTCAATGATGCCTTCCACGGATGCCTGCATAGCCGTTAATTCTGCGTCGGTGGGCCAGCGAGCGGAATTATGTTTGTTGATATCTGATCTTTTGGTGTCACATCTCATGGGGATCGTTCCTACCGCGGAAACACAGGACGATGTTCACTGGCGGATTTAACTACTGGAATCCTGCGGCAGCGTTTGATTGGGCGGGGCAGGCACGCAATAATTATAAAGACGCCAAACGCGCCAAATTTCTGGGAGAATGAAGTGTCATCACAAGTGTAGTGTAAATACATGTTCCATAGCCTCATGGAACACACAGATGATAGGCGACGTCGAAGTCGTGTAAAGAAGAGCGCGATGCAACGATAACCTAGCCCGCCTCGCCCGCCCAACCCATGAGTAAGGTTGCTCCGCCACCCTTTTGAGGCTGTCTGGTTCTTTTTTTGGATTTTAGGTTTTCCATCTCCACATCGTCTGTGCGTAGGGCACTTGCCAGGGACGATCAGTGCCCCACATGGCCGTAAAGAAGCCACTGAGCGAGGCGGGAACCATCTGCCAGCTCAGCCACGGCCAGTCTCCTTCTGGCATCTTTTTTGTCAGGAACTTTCACAACATATGTAAGGTACATACACACACTACCGGGCTCCATCGTAAAGGCAGCTAACGTAGGATATGTAAAGTCCATATGGATATGGATGCTTCGGTTGCCCTCCACACTAGCAGTCGTCGAGCTTAATCACCCATTGGGACAAGGGCAAGTGACAGGGTTCTATCTATCACACTGGAGTACTGTTCACCGCTCTTGCTTTCGTTGTTTCCGTCACGACAGCAAGCCTGGCATACCAATCTCCCGTAACCAACATCTACCTGAACTACGTAACGGAAGGAAGTCCGCTTCAATTGCTATGACATCCTTCCCCGCCCAATAACCAACCACATACGTACATACTACCTAGTATAACGGCACAAATGCAATATCAATCAGAGACACTCTGCCGTCTGGGTACGGTTGGCGCGCCCGAGACTTCAAGAACGATTGACAAGCAATGACATCTCCCGAATGTACAGGACACCCCTGGTTTGTTCGCTAGCGTGGTACAAGGAGTGGATAAGAGCAGGGTGTCAGGCCAATGCATTGATTTGAAGCCCTGGAAAAGGCCTGGCGATAGCTGGTTTGAAGCCCTGTCGATTGGAGCGATCTTTGCAACGTTGAGAATGTATAAGGAATAGTCAGGTCCAGGAGGTTGAAGAAAGAGGAAAAGTTGAAGCTAGGGTCGATGCCAGGGTGGGAAAACCGTAGGTTATGTAAGCGAGAAAATGGGTCAGTGAGCCAGATGCGCGCGTTTTGGTTGGTCGAACTCCTTGAGTTCCTGGGCTGTGGTTGGCTAGAAAAAGCGGGGCAAGTCTTACGCTAACAAACAAACAAGTATTGACCTGTAATTTAACTACCCGGGGAGCCCGCTTGCTAATGGCAGTGTGGTCAGGTCTGCCAAGGCCGATTGCGATCGTCGACACACTAGAACCTGAGTTCACTGTAGGTACCTATCTTGGCTTGGAGCCCACTGCTTGTCCATACAGCAATATTTGATGCCAGCTATGTACATACATACGTACCATAGTAAAGATTATACGTAGTCGACTGTATTCACTTTTAATTTCTTGGATTTGCTCTCCCTTCCGGGCGGTAGAGCTCCGTCGCTCCTTGGAGTCGATGAGTTTAATTGTCCGTTCCCCGGGAAGCCCCCCTCGCTAAAGTGAAAAAGCTTGGTCTGGGATGGCCCATGCTCTTCGTGCCAAAAAGATGCTCACCCGGCGGTCACGTTCTTACCGGCCCCGTCGAACCCCACCGATCTCCGTAGCGGGCAACGAAGATGGGTCAGAAAACTGGAGACAGGAAAAGACGTGGTTGACGAAGACGCCGTAAGAGAGCTCAATGCCCGTCTTCAGCCAGCAGCAGATGGCAAAGCTGATTGAGCGGCGGAACGCAAAGTTTGTCCAGGCGGTCGGCGAGTTTGTGGACAGACATACAAAGCTAGTTTATTAACCCTGCGTTATCTTACATCGCACATGCACAACGTCTTGCAAATTTGTTAAGGGAACTGGCAAACTGACTGGATGAGATACGGGAGATTATCGCTAGGTAAGGTAGGCTCCGGATATTAGTGTAGTCAAGGTCTAGTTTGCCCCATCGACTACGGACTAGTAAATTGCGCTATCGGGAGCAGTTCCTATATGATTATCAATTCCACGGGAGCCTCGCAGAATCTTCTTTCTTGAATTGCTTCTGCCGTTTTGTATCTTCTCAGTAGAATTGTATGCTAGTGCTGACGCCTCTCACATACTTTGCGCTCGGGCTTTTCGAGCCAATCGTTTTTCGTTACCCACTAATCCAGGGGAAACATGCCGGTATGCCTGCTGCATCAGACAGAAAATCCATGAAATCGTTTTCGTCACGAGTCATATCGACATGTCTGTGACCGTGTTAGCAAAGTGATGCAAGTTGCAAAGCGTTGTGGTGTGCTCAGAGAGACGTTCCAGGTAGCGCGGCTGCACACTTTGTTGGAGTAACAGTAGGGCGGATGATACGTAGTCCCAATGCAGCCGTCGATAAGGCTGTGCATATTATTTCGGGGAGCAGGGGCGCATCATCTCCTGGGCCTTTGATTGGCAAGAGAGGGAAATGTCAAGCCACCATGCCGAATGAGACGAAGTAAAGTCAGGAACTGTGGGCTTTTGAGGCTTAACTAATCACCACCCAGCAAGTCGGGAATGCGCAGCAAGCCGAGGTGGGCACTGCACAAATTGTGAAATAAAAATATCTTTTTCGGAATCTGGCATGCAACCAAGACACAGGATCATAGGACCTGCGGGACCGCCAGAGCCTCCACAATCACCAACGTTACGGATAGGGCAGTCAACGTCGGCCTGCTCTCCGACCGATTCTGATGGCGGTCCACTGTACTGTTTATGGCCATTTGCCTGTCCTTCTTGACCGAAGCCCACCATTGTGGGTGGAGTAGACTGGGCGCCTGGCGTTGGTCACCCAGGCCTTCGATGGGCGTTGCCATGCGGGGAGAGAGGAGAGGGAAGGGGGAGGAGGGGAAATGGGCGGGCTCTTGTCCCGCAAAACGGGCGCCACTGTGAGACATGTATGTATTGGCAACCCCGCTAACAACCCAGGTAACTTCCATATACGCTATCTTGCCGACCTAGTTCTGAGTCCTCAAGGAACTATACAGTCATGGCGGTTTGTAAGAGTCCAGAGACTACTATAAACGCGCAACCGAGGAGTCGGCATGTATGATACACTCACTGTTGCTTCAACTTGCTTGTCCACGAACCCGAAAACTCGGTGCTTCCTGGCCGCGGTCACACCTGCATGACCATTCCAAGTCAGGGGGGAAAAAGCAAGAAAGCCGCGCAAAATGGGTACCCAAGTAGTACGCTACGCACGCTAATCTCAGGGGTGAGAAACGATATCGCGCCTCTCTGGTTTAGAGCAACCACTTGGCAGCTCAGGGGTCAATGTGCGCGGTATGTATTGTATTGTATGTATGCCCGTACATACAGGAAATAAGGTACGTAAGTCACAGTTCAAGTAAACGCCCAAGCCCCTTGCGCCGACAGATGGCAATGGACAGTGCAACAAAGAGCCGCAGATGGCGGTGGTATTAGATACTGAGGTGGTTACATAGTTAATAGTGTAAAATACTTATGACACTCTGATGATCCTGCACAGCAAGGATCCGACGAGCAGAATGCCTAGCTTGGTGCCAATAATCCAAGGCCCAGAACGAAGGGCATCGGACCAGCGAAGGGTGTGGGGGAAAGTACCCGACCTGGGACGAGTTTGTTAATTGTGGTCACTCAGTCCAGAATTTTTCCTCTGATACCCTAATACCTAGGTAATCAACTACATGCTGTTGCATCGTCAAACTCATCGATCAATCTGTTTTGCAGTTTCTACTTACACTATGCTGCAGTCCTAGAACTTGGAAGCCCGGCAGCCAAAGACGGAACACCAACAAAATTCTCAGTCGCTCCCGCGGGAGAGAGCATCCAAGGAGAGACCCACATGCCAATGCAAGCACCAAGCCTTCGAGGTCTCCGCCCACTCGCTTACCCTTGTCTCAACCCCATCCACACACACCAACCACAAGTCACAGCACACCTTTGTCTTTTTTCCAAGAGGACGCCAATGTACCGTAAGTACCAAAGTACAAGGATGGATACCCACTCCACTCCCTTGTCCACTTTGAGCCCAAAGACGCAAAGACGCAGCCCCATGTCACCCAAGGGACAGGCCGGTATCCCTGTACCGCCCGCTCCTCCCCTGTCGACCCTGCCGACCCTCCTGCACCAGCCCATGCAATGTATCGCCCTGAGCCTCTCTCCCACAACCGGGAACCCTACACAGTACTGTGGACCACGAGATTGTCCTCCACCAGGTCCCGGCCTGCAAGATGCCAATCCGGGGGTTATATAGAAACCTCACCCCCCCGGGAGCATTTGTTGCTAGTCCTGCAGGCTTTCATACCATGTCTCAACACCACCAAGCCAATAAGTGACCAAACGTCTCAGTCCACATCCACTCCGCTGGGCCAGCTTCGACAAGGACCTGCATCAAAGAGCAGCCCGCAACCACACGAGGCGCAGCAGCAGCCGCCTTCCGCGTCCACGACCACCGAAACCAGGACAAAGCCAGAGACGCGGTATAAGTGGCCGAGTTACGGGTCCGAAGAGCGAGAAGCTCTGCTCCGTGAAGCCATCGGTCGCCATATCCACTTGACAAAAAGGTCTAGTTAGAGACCTCGCGACCCACAAGGCTCCCACCGACCCGGCCGAATCTGCCACAACAAATCACAAATATCCAAAGGGAAACGCCCGGGTATCAAGCAATCGTGTATTGTACATACAATAGCTCGACCCCAACGAACAAGCGACTGATTTTACACCCCTTGGCATGCCCGTGTGCAAAGGTCAGTTGACAGCGGCTCCCATGGGCTGCCTAATCGCGTCCCGCCGTGACTGACACGTCCCATTTATTCAGTCCGAGGTTGAGTTCTCGCATACACAGTCGTCGACTTAAAAAGCCTTCTGGCCATTGCACATGGCTGGCTCCGGCCCCCAGGGCCCCAAAGACTACATCATGAGCTACCCGGAACCGCCCCGGTATTCGTCGGCGCCAATCGACTTGGGATTGTCGCCTGAGCCCTACAGCGCATATCCGCGATCATCACACGAATACCCGACAACCATGGGGTACGAAAACGGACCCGTGTATGCTGAGGCGTCCTACATGTACAACAGCAACGGGAGGGCGTCACCGGGAATGTATCCCGACGACGGCGATGTGCGCGGGCCGTCGTCCGACTTGAGCATCGCCAGCACCTCATCGTCCAACATGGGCTCGCCACTTTCGAGCCACGACCACATGGCACCGATCCATGACTGGACCGCGGCATCCCACGGACTGGGTGTAAACCCAGGCATCGTCGATCAGGGCGACCTCTACTCCAACGGGGAATACTCGACCTTCGCGCCCAGCGCGATCGAGGGCTTCAACAACTACGATTTCCCTACCAGCAAAGCCCCCGGATTTGTCGGTGAGTTGTCACGTATCCCTAGGTCTTCTCCTCTTTCTCCTAGCCCGCGCGGCCACCGACACGCCTCGCGTGGCTCCATTTCTTCGTCTTCTTGCGACTCTGGATCTACCGTTGTACCCCAAAAATCCTCAAGCCCCGTGCTAGCCGTCGACACTCGGTTGGCGCGGGCCTCGGTGTCTGCGTCGCCGGCATCGACCCCGGTTTCTTCTGCCCCGACCTCGGGCCTTGTCTTCACGACACCTGCGACGTCTGCCTGCTCTTTTTCTTCTCCTCCGCTGCCAGCGTGGAGCAGCCCGCCTCTAGGCGGCAGCCCCGCGCCCCGGCCCAGCACACCCAGCCCTCGACTGGGTCATTCTTCTTTCTTTTGTCAGTCTAGCGGCCATTTTGTTCCTCCTCTCGAGACGTCTTGTTGGTTTCCTCTGTCTGAGCGCGAATTCTCGTTGCACGGTCAGGTTACTGACATGGACCTCGCGCCTCCAGATCCTACTTTAATACACCCAGACGTGAGATCGATTGGGATGCCCACTTACGAGCGGTCGTATCCGGCACCGCCCACAACGTATCCCGCTTCACCAGCACTATCTGCCTCGCCACAACTCCGGAACGGCAGCGCCTCTCCCTTCATACAGAATCCTAATTATCAGGGGGGCTACTCACCATTCCAGCCTCCCGTCGAGGCGCAACGGCGAGGGAGCCTCGGGTCCTATTACTCTGCAGAGCCGCCGTATAGCGGTGACGAGTCGAGGGAGAAACAGCGCTGCCCGCACCCGGAATGCGGCAAATCCTTCAAGGACCTCAAGGCTCATATGCTGACGCACCAAACCGAGAGACCCGAGAAGTGCCCGATTGCGACGTGCGACTACCACGTCAAGGGCTTTGCCAGGAAGTGAGTTTGAACGGCCCCCCGTTCCTGCGCCATGCAACAAGAAATCTAGCAAGGTCTAACATGGTAACGCCATCTAGGTATGACAAGAACCGGCACACCCTCACGCATTATAAAGGCACTATGGTGTGCGGCTTTTGTCCGGGCTCGGGCTCTGCCGCGGAAAAGTCATTCAACCGGGCCGATGTGTTCAAGCGGCACTTGACAGCGGTACACGGAGTCGAACAGACCCCGCCAAACAGCCGGAAGAAGACGGCCGGTGTGAGCAGCAACAGCAACAAGAAGTTGACTGGCTACGCCCCGGACGCCACGGGCAAGTGCTCGACATGCTCGCAGACATTCAGCAACGCCCAAGACTTCTACGAACATCTGGACGACTGCGTGCTGCGTATCGTCCAGCAGGAGGACCCGGCTGAGGCGATCAACGCAAAGCGACTGGCTGAGGTGGAGAACGACCGGGAGGTGCATGAAACCCTCGAAAAGAACAATCTGCCGACTACCACCATGACCACCACCGCCACAGACGGGGATGAGGAGGATGAAAACATGGAGGACGACGAGTTTGACGACGAGTCCAAGGCTCGCGGCGTCAAGGCGTCGTTGACATCGCCAATCAGGAGGACAAAGGGCAGCAACAACCCGCCCAACGGGGTACAAAAGTCGCGGGGTATGACACACTCGCGTGGTGGTGTCCCCCTTCAGACAAAGAGTCGGAGCCGCAAGAACCGGCGCGATTACCCGTCGTCGTGGGGCTTCGACAAGGGTCAGATGACCATGAAGAAGCGGGTGCTGGCCGTGTTCGATGGCCCGCGCCGGCTGGCCAAGGACGACATGATGCTGTCAACGGAGCAAGAGGTGCGCATCAAGCTGCAGGACGGCAAGTCGTACGTGACCGACTTTGACTTGCAGACCATCAAGCGCGCAGAGGGCTTTCTGAACGCGACCGAGGAGGAGAAAGGCCCCTGGGTCTCGGATGACCCGACCGACGAGCAGATCAAGCAGATGCTCGAATTCACCGCTGCCGATGTGCCGGTTGCGGCCGCGCAATAGACGTCACGGTCGCCTGCGCTCAAATGTCGATATTTGAAAGATACCCCATATATACCCTTCCACACCTTGTACTTAATGCCCTCCTCTCCTCCGCCCTCCAGTGGTACATTGGACCCAGGGCTGGAGTGTTGCCATCACTCGATGCACAGAATCTCAGCTACATACCGAAATTACAAAAGGCACATTCCGTTTTGGCATGGCGAATTGGTTACACCAGCGTTGCAAACTGGCAGAGGGATTTCTAATTTTTATTTTCATTTTTCCTTTTATTCTTCTCATTTTCTTGTTTTTCCTTACTTCTTCGCCATTTTCTCTCTTCCTACGTTGCGTACATTTCTGTCCCTCTTTGACTTCTTCGGCGAACAGCGGACGGATCTAATGATGTGAATGACTTGCAACATACTTGAGTTTAAGGTTAGGCGGGATTCAAAGAACAGGGTAGGGCAATGGGAACGGGAATGGGGATAAACAAGGGCCAGGGCGTGTTGATATTCGGAGCTGGTTGCTTTACATTTACTCTTACCTATTCTCGATCCCTCTTCTCTTTTCTTCTTCAAATTCACCGCCATGCCTCCCCCTTCTCAGGCCGCGGAAACGATACCCTGTCTCATCACCTTCTTCTATACGCTTACGCTCTTGTTATTTTGCCCGTCTTGTTTCGGGGATCCATCAATCGACAGAGAAGACGTATTTGCGTGCCTGCTTTTGAAAGCCTACTGGGTGTGATGTTAGGGTAAATAACAGGTGTCTTTTCTTTCTCCTAATATAAAGAGAATCTCTATTTGCACCGTAGGGTTTTTCTTCCCATACCGTAGCCCCACCCATTTTCGCTCACCGCCCACCACGCCGCATACACATCGTCGCATACTGCAATTAAACGCATTCGAACCTATACTGCAATTGAGCTCAATTGAGCCTATACTACGATTTTGCTCAATTGAGCTGAATCTGGCATTTGACACCATCTTTGCGATTTTCTTGCCTGACTAAGCTGTGCCCTGCTCTGCGCCCTACCCTCCTTTGCTAGCGACGGCGTTGTTGTTGGCTGGGGCTGCCCTGCTGGTGCCTCTGGTACGGGTGCCCTCGGGGCGAACCCTCTCCCACGCCCATCCTGCTGACTGGCGACGACGGCGTTGTTGGCGCCGTTATTGGCCTACGAGCCACATCCTCCTGATCCTCCTCTTCCAGATATGATCGGGCAGCGGGTTCGTCAATGGCGTAGGCGGATCTTCAACCTCTGGAGAATCGCTGTCGCTGTGAGAATCGCTGTCGCTGTCGCTGTGAGAATCGCTGTCGCTGTCGCTGTCGCTGGTCGCTATCGCTGTCAAGTTGGGCGGTTGCCATCTTGCAGTAATGGAAGAATTGAAGAATTGAAGGTGGATGAATTGAAGGTGGTGGAAAAGTTGTGATGGGAAAGTTGACGTGGTGGCAGTACTGATGGAAAAGGAAGGCGGTGGGCGATATGTGCGGCAGTATGGTGGGGCTACGGTATGGGAGAAAAACACTACGGTACGAATAGAGATTCTCAGTATAAAAGACTGAGACTCTGCATTTCTGGGTTAAATAAGGGGGAATTCGGTTTGTTTGTGTGTAGTGATGAAGCGAAACTTGATCTACTCCTTTTATCGACTGCATCGTCTGCTCTCAATGCGAAATCCTCATCGAGTTCACGCTAGATGTGTCACCTGCAGTCTGCCTTAACTACCGTTACATACGGTGATTTCCATAACGTTACGTTACATACATACACTAGCGTGACGAGGATTGAACCGAATTAGCGTTCATGCAAAGAGGGTCTGATGATTCTGATCTTCTGTCAGTTTCGGTGGAACCGCCTGTCCCGCGTTTGTCGCGCGACATCAGATCAAATCAGGCACAAGGTGTCGTCTGCAAGTGTATGTAACTGTACATTATGAGGGAAAAACCAGTTGATGTTTCAGCGCACATAATACACAATAGACAACTTAGCCTTGACGACGAGTGATGTGGTTACAAATACAGAAACAGGACAGCTTTACTGAACCTGAACTCACTCTTCCACGCACAAGTTTCACCGTCTACTCACCTTCACCCTCCCAGGTCCGGCACCGGCACACAGTTGGTGTTTTCACCGCAGCCCAATGACCCTAACAGCTCGGCTTTCCCTCAGCGGCCCGGACACGCCCGAGCCAGAGGACCTGCTCAGTTCCGCCCTGGGCGTCATCTTCCCGGACGACGTGACCAACCAGCACGGCGACGCCGACCATGGGCTCGTCTACACATCGCCGCACCTGCCCCATCCGCTAGAACTCGCTCTGGCCGAGGTGAAAGCCGAGACAGACCGCCAGCTCTTCAGCCACTACCTCTGGAACTCGTCGCTTTTGCTGGCCGAGCTCATCGAGGCGGATACGCTCCGACTCGGACTCGGCGGGGGCCAGGAGAGCCGACGGCCTCGTGTTGATATTGATGCTGGGGCACCACCACCACCACCACCACCACCAGAGCCGACGGGGTTTGACGTCGCGGGCCTCGCTACCATCGAGCTCGGCGCCGGCACGGCCCTGCCGTCCATCATGGCCGGCTTGCTGGGCGCGCGCCGCGTCGTCGTGACCGACTACCCGGCGCCTCCCATCCTCAAGACGCTGCGGCACAACGTGGCGAGGAACATACAACCCCGGCTCGCGCCGCCCTGTCGGTTCGCGGCGGAGGAGGTGCTCGTCGAGGGCCACGAGTGGGGCGAGGCGGGGCTGGACACGCCGTTCGCGCGGGGGAATCGGCACGCGTTCGATCGGGTGCTGGCGGCCGACTGCCTGTGGATGCCGTGGCAGCACGAAAACCTGCGCAGGTCGGTGGCGTGGTTCCTCGGCGAGGGGGAGGGCGCGCGGGCGTGGGTGGTCGGCGGGTTTCACACGGGGCGGGACAGGATGAGGGGTTTCTTCGACAAGGAGGCGCTCGGGGCCGTCGGGCTCGAGGTGGAGCGGATCTGGGAGCGGGACTGCAACGGCCAAGACCGGGAATGGGTCTGGGATCGCGGCATCGAGGACGTGACGGTGCGGAAACGGTGGCTCGCGGTTGCGGTTCTGCGGAGGATACGGAAATCGGCAGGGGAGAGCGGCGGGGTTTGTCAGTGATGTGGGAGGGAAAAGGAAGTCCAAGGGGGCGGTTTGACGTGATTATATAGACGGGAGAGCTGTGACCTACCCCAGGGTAGTGTCTTTCAGCTCTGGCCGATCCAGGTAAAGCGTGTCGAATACGGAGCATGAGCTGAGCTGAACTTGCTCCACTCAACAACGCCCAACTATCGCCGTCAAGGAAACCACCCCGAAAGCCAGGCGACCAGACATGACACAGGGGCTGGCTTCTAGACCATCAAAAAGGGTTTATCAGGGGCCAGAACCATCTCTAAACTCCATGATAGCTGTGATATCCTGGTTGTGCTTCAAATGGTGCATTCAGCTCGCGGGCCGTTCTTTGCTCGATTAGGCAATGCCCATGTTCAATCCGTATGTAGCGTCGTCTGCCTCTCTTTTCTGTCCATCACATTGACGGGCGAATTCGGCTCCTTGCTGACATGGCTGTGGAGTCATGCAGTACTGTACCAAAGTGAGTAACCCAAGGACCGACGATGGCACGTTAGCTTAGGCGAGGTGACTCGGTAGCCTGGGAATGATAAAGCAAAGAAAGCCAAAGACGATGGTCCCAGGTCTGCCACAAGTTCACAACCGAAGGGATGTGCCAAGAGAATCAGTTGCTGTAGTGTACTGTAGGTTACCCCAGTAGTAGAGATCTGGATTAGGTCGAGTTCTCTCTGACAAAGTTCACAACTTACCTGTAGACGGTCCAAACTGGGCCAGCCAGATCTCTTGCAAGCATCAGTGCCAATGACTAGCATAGAGCAACTGCTACATACGCAGTACTGGTACAGAACATACGGCCCCATGGACACGGGCTTTTCAGTTCCAGATTCAGCCGCATTTGAGTGTACCAAAACAGTCCGAATCCAAAGCTGTGTAGTTGTGAATCGGTGAATCCAGGTTTATGTACGGATATGAGCCCGGTTCCTGTAAAATACGTTATGGCAATGTAGTGTGTATGCACGAGGTAAATACATTACAGTAACATACCTCATTTCCTATGTGCGGATCTTGATCACTTAAAGCCAGTTTGCACCGCCACACTTCACATGATGTGCATTCGCCACGCCCACGCAAGTGTGGCTGATGCTGCTACCGTCTTTGACTGCGTCACTCGCCCAGCTTTGACTGACCTAAGCTAAACTTACTAACGTGGCAACAAGTGAGAACGACCATCATCTTGCCTACTTATCGACCATTGCGACGGGCTATCATCGCCGCGACTCGCAACACCATGGCTACATAGTTTTGCCATCGTACTACAGCTTCTACCACCTGGTGGAAATTATTTTCAGCTCGACTGATGAAGATGCGGCTTGTTTGGTATGCAGGGGTAAGTCACTTTGCACCCATTGGTTTTCTCCCTGCTGGTGAAGCCATCGGGAGCTACCCGAGACGTACCAGACACCGTGACGACGCCCAGTGCTGACATCCTGACTGTAGGCTTCAACGGCCCTCGCGGCCGCCGTGGTCGCGTCCGCATTTTACCAGCGCGCCAACTTCTACTCTGCCATGGTGCATCTCGCCCAGAGCAGCCTGTCCCTAATGGTCCGCTCCCTTCCCAGCCCACCACCCGGCAGGTCCCGCATTCTCGACTTACTGACAATCCATCTCGTTGCAGGTTCTGGTAAATCTAGTCTTTGTCGTCTACGGCTCATTCATGTACGGCCTGCAACGTCTCTGCTTCGGCCCCCTCCGTCCTTCCGAAATCGAGCAGCTGTACGAGAAGGCATGGTTTGCCGTCACCGAGACGTGTCTGGCTATGACCATATTCCGCGAGGAGGTTGGCGCCTTCTTTCTGGTCATGTTCACCGCCCTTGTCACCGGCAAGGTCTGGGGATGGATTGGTGAGGGCCGCGTCGAAGTGCTCGAGCAGCAACCCCCTCCGAATCCACGCCTGTTTCACGCCCGTCTTGGCATTTCGCTCTTCGTCAGCGTCGCCTACGATATCTGGCTGCTGAGCTACGCCGTGAACACGGTTGTGCAGCAGGCACGTCCCACCATGATGGTCATGTTCCTGTTCGAGTTCGCCGTCTTGACCGTGTGCTCACTCCACACCAGCTCTCGATACATCATTTCGGTGGTGGAGCAGCACGTGGTGAAGACACAGACGCGTCAGCGCTTGGAGGATAGACGGCGCCGTATCAGGGAGCAGCGGGCTGACATTCTGCGGCGGCGGGAAATCGGGGGCGCCGCGGAGAACGAAGAACTGCCGGACGAAAACGACATCGACGAGATGGACATTGAGGTGCCAGGCTGGGAATCAAAGGGCCAGTGGGTTTTATCCTTGGACCTTCTTGCGGGTGAGTTGGCTCCATGGTGATTTGGCCGGTGCAGGCATACCCGCTGACCTCACTCACAGACTTCGTCAAGCTCGGTTTATACACAGCGTTCTTCTGTGTCCTCATGACCTTCTATGGCCTCCCCATTCACATAATGCGCGATTGGTTCATGACCACAAGATCCTTCTTAAAGCGACTGCATGCCTTGGTCCGCTACCGGCAGGCCCTCAAACACATGGATCAATACCCGGATGCGACGGCCGAGGAGCTTGGCAGAGAGGACACCTGCATCATCTGCAGGGAGGAAATGCGTCCATGGGACGCTGCCGACCCCACCCAAGTCGAACGTGTCCGTGCAAAGAAGCTTCCTTGCGGCCATATTCTGCACTTTGGGTGTCTCAAAAGCTGGCTAGAACGCCAGCAAGTGTGTCCCACCTGTCGGCGCCCCGTTGCCAGGGATGGACAGCAACCACCCGCCAACGGTGGAGCTGTTGTATTCAGGTTGGGACTCAACTTCCCTGCTGCGCAGAATCAGGCCCCCCAGCCGCCGGATAACGGCCAGGCCGCTGGCGGCCAGCCTGCGCAAGCAAGGGCGGCGGATGAGCAAGGAAACAACCAGAACCGCGCCATCCGAATGTTCAATCTTGGACCTCTTAGACTCGGCTTTGCTCAGGGTAGAGTGGGTGACATTCAGGATATCGCTCAACAGCTGCGGATACCGGCAGATGTTGCAAATCCGCCTGCCCCGACCCCTGCAGCACCTCCTACGCAGGACATCACGGGCAGCCTTACTCCTGCACTTGATCAGATTCGTGGGCAGCTCCTGGCTCTCGGGCAGCAGGTTCGACAGGAGATGGCCAATGTACACAACGCCGCATACGAGCTGCAGTTGTTAACGTCATTAACTAATGAACTTGTCCGCCTGCGCCAGTTCCAGCAGCAGCCGCAGGACCAGCAGCCGGCATCACAGCAACCCGCGCCCGGTGCAGTTAACGGTGGGCTCCACGAGCCCTTACCACATCAGCAACCTATTCCGCCATACCCCTTCATGCACCCACCCCCTCCGAGCCATTTTCCAATCCCGCCCTCATTACATCCATCTCACCCTTCTAGACCCACCCCTACGCTCACCAGACATGTTGGTGCTGGATATGGAGCTGCCATTCCAGCTGGCAGCCCCGAGCTACCAGAAGGTGTGGTTATCCCCCCTGGGTGGACGCTGCTGCCGCTCCAACGGTGGGCGCCGGGTACGCAGACAGACACAGTACAGCACAACGCACAGGCGCCCGCGATGGGCCAACCAGAAATATTCCAAACCTTGATTGCCCAGGCTCAAAATAATGCTCGATCCAGAGGTACCAGCCCGGCGCCTGGCACTAGTACCTCTAGGCAAGTCGAAGGATTTTCAGTAACAAACTTGCCCACCGGGCGTGATGCCTCGGTTCCGGACGCGGCTGCCCACAGGCAACAAGGGATAGCACCGCCTGTGACAGCCCCCATTCCTGTCGCGCCAACTCGGGGAGGACCGGGCCAGCTCTTTGGCGATGGAGGCCGCGGCACAGACACTATCTTTGGGTACCAGCTCGAACCTACGGCTGACCGGCAGGACGAACCAGCAGAAGGTACTAATGTCTGGTCGACAGCAGGGCCGTCGACAATGAACGGCGTTGCCACGGATAGAAGCAGTGGTGGGCAGGCAGAAGCTAGTTCACGTGCCGGGACCAGCAACAGGGGAGGACCTAGAGCTGCCACTGTAGAGGAGGCAGCGGATGATGATGATGATGGGCAGTAACTAATCAGATCTCGGTCGATGCCTTTTTGTTTTTGTATTGTAAAATTGGCGTCTTTGAGGAGTTCGGGTGGCACGTTAGTAGAGCCGTATGAACAATCCAGGGAGCGAGTCATAGAATATCGGACATGATGCGGAACAAAGCCATCCCGGTATTTCACTCATCTGGAAACCGACAGTGCATGCTTTTGGGTGCAACAAGGTGTCGACTTGAAACCATTCGTCAAAGGCAGCTTGGATGTATGTATGTGCTGTAGGTGCTGTGACTGGGATTGGGACTCCACTGCTAGTTCTGTCGCTGTATTTCCGTAGCTCGAGGCCGGCAGTTCAGGTAGCATCCGGAGTAGTTCAAGCCACTTGCTGCCTTCTGCATCTCCCGTCTGGACACGCAGCAGAAGCGATGATGTGGAAGGTACTGTATGTACAAATACATACACACCTACATAAATTTCGGTCAGTCTTGCCATAGATCCCTTCTTCCCCTCACACAGGGAATTGTTACTCATCTTACTTTTGACCTCTATGATTTAGACGGATGGGTAGCTATTGTTGCTATCACTACCTTATCTCGCATTGTAACATACGCATTGCACGCATATCTTGAGCCATCAGAAGAGCAGCCGGGAAGCAAGATAGAGAGAATGGCTCTTGCCGACCTTCCCGACGAGAGTAACACTGGCATAAGTAACGGCACCGCTCGGAGAACGCGGGCCTCCTCCGTCTTTGCATTTTTCAGTCCTCTCCATATCGGAAGCCACCAAAGGGGAGAAGAGAAGGTGGTCTGCTCCTCACCTCAAGGACGCGCCCCGGCCTTTGACTCTACTGCTTCGAGATAGGGCACTCGATGGCAACGGTCACTGCGATTGCCTGGGACCAGGGGCACCAGCATCAATTCCAAAGAAGTCGACGCGCACGAGGACGACGATTCAAGCTCCAGGGCACGCAAAGCCGAGCAGGCAGCCAGAATCATAATCGCTTCATGCCAGGCAGGACGGACTGTCGGGAAGAGAGGCCTTTTGGGCCGATCGGTAGCCGACGATGAGGATGAAGCGAATCAGTTTAGGCTCGGGGAGCAAAGTTGTGTGAACACAAAGGAGGGCTTACAGGCACTGTCTCTGAAATTGTTGGCATTTATGAGACGGCTCGGCATAGACCAGGCTGGAGGATGCGAAGTGGGAAGTGCTGTAGTGGATGGCGAGGTTGCTGCCCTCCCAAGCATGCCCCGACGCATCGACGGAGTCGACGATGGCTTCCCCGGAAATACCAACGTCGCGGTCGAAGCAATGGAAACGCAAACATCCCGAAAAAGTGAAGCAATCCGTGGCGTTCAAGCAGAGGAGCATGGCAATGCCAACCCACGGGAAGAGGAACGAGGAGACTGTACGCTCGCCGAGGCGCCCTCCTGGTTTGACGACAATCAGGGTAGTGATACGAGGGACAAGGACAAATCAGTTTGCAGAGAGCAACTCACTGTGCCAAAACCCCTCCGCACCGCGCGCCGGCGGTACTGGTCCTCGTCATCATCCTCTTCCCCAGGCCTCTTACGCCCTGAAGGCTTGCAATCATGGCGTGGGACACGCCGATGCCAGCCCAGCGATGAAAGCGGTCGCGCTGAGGTACATGAATACTGCCATCCCGTCACACAAGCTGGTTCTTCACGCTCTCGTCCTCGTTCAAGCATCTCGAAACTGGGGCTTTGGGAACAGGCGGCCAACATAGGTTCTAAACTTAGCACGTCCTGGGCTGGACTCTACCGTCACGGTGCTACGAGCAGTAGCAAAAGCAACAGCAAGAACAACGGTAGAAACGGCAGCGCGAAAGGGCAACAACAATCAGGATAGGGGGATCTTACGCTTATAAGTTGCTCAATAACGACGCAGAGGAGAGATTGATTTGCTTGTTCTTAGTAAAATGAACCTAGGCACAATAAAGCTACCTATAAGTATGGGTGGTACAAGTGTCCCAAGGCCAGTTGGGGGAGAGGTTGCTGGATAACAGAGGATCGTCGTACGGTGCCCAGTTCCTTTCCGAGCAGCACTGGACTCAGTATAGCAGCCGATAATGGTCAACTATACCGGTATGGCCCCTGCCCGTGTTTCAATGGTGTGGCTGTGCAAAGCGTGCTACCACATCTGTGATATTTGCTACCGATTCATAAAGAATAAGTCGGCAGCCATACCGTTACGCCACAGGGATAGCCAAGTGGTCGGTCTTGGGGCTGTAACACACATACAATATGCTTGCATACCCAAATGATGTTAGAGAGCCCAGTCTGGCCAGTCAGTTTGGCAAGACATGACCTCCGAGTCTGTGGTAGAATCGGCACCGGACACCCGAGGCCATCCATTTCCATCGGGTCTCACCAGTCAGGACGTCTAGACATAGCTTGGCTGGATTGCGGTCAAGCTGATGTTCCCATCCCAAACTGTGAATTACCGGCCTGTCCCTACGTCCCCTCCTTATCTACCCCCAAGGCTCTACTTACGTACGGTATTCTAGTTACCAGTCATTCTATTGAGATATCTGATTCCCGGGGTCAGCCCTACCATGGGTGACATGTAACGAGATATAGTGCGCCTGCTGTCGGCGAGGGAGAGTTCTCGGTTGTTGGGCGCCAGAAGACCAACAAGGAGAATAAGGCACCGGTGCATAGTCTTGTGACACATTGGTCTATGCAGCCGGTCCAAGTCATAGTTTGATTCCCTCGGAAAGGAGTCGAACACATACCGCATAATAAGATAGCGCTGTGATTAGCAATGGAAGATATGCTTTCCAATACCATCCGTGCTTGACTCACTGAATCTTTGTTCTGTCTCTGATGCCCACGTAACTACAACCCGCCAAGCGCCATGCCAAAAGCCCCCCTATGGTATCCCCATGCATCAACCCAATTCCAACTCCCGTGGTATCTTGACTCTCCGCACCCAGGTATTCTAAGGCCAAGCAAAACTATGAAAATGATATGACAAAACCGGATCGATGCTCACACTTAGCAGAGCCCCCTGACATCCGGCAGAATCCAACTAACCAAACAACCCAGAAGTGCTCATACAGACATCCGTGTGCTGTTGCTTTTGTTTTCCAGCCAGTAACCAAGAAAATCAATCCAGCCTCTTGCGAAATATATCAAAACCCGCTCATGCAAAACTTCCAATGCCGTCGCAAACTTAACAAGTCCCTGTGTACGAGAGAAATCGCAATGAGGAAACAGACAAAGGAAACAAGCATCCCAGATGCGTATGGAAGCGGAGGCTTGAGAGCGCCCGCCCGTCGTATAGAACGGCCAAGGCTCAGAATCGTCATGCACCCAACCGCCCAGCTTCAGCATCAGCCCACACTCCTCGCCGACCTAGCCTTGGCGGCGCTAGCTTCCCTTTCCCTCAGGGGAGTAGTAACCGCAACCCCGGCCTCGGCCGCATCGTCACTCTTCACCCTGGCCGATTGCTCGATAACCGAGTTGAGCTGCGACCGGCTCCCGTCCTCAGCGCCCAGCAGCCCAAACCCGTGTACTCCCAGCCCCAGCTCGTCATCTTCCCTGGGCGTCTGAGCGCCCTGGAAGACGAGGGGCGACAGCTTGGCGGCGTCGTCCAGACGCCAGTAATACAGAACTTCCTCCTGCCAGCGGCGCAGGTTGACCACCTTGAAGACGGACTCGCAGACGGCCAGCATGAGCTCCGCCTCCATGGGGGAGGTGCGCAGCCGGTGGATGAGCCACTGGTTGATGTAGTCGGGTATGTTTTCCACCTTCTTCATGAGCGTGCTGATCCCCAACTCCTTCATGCACTCGGCCCGCCGCTGTGCGCTCATGGGGTCGTCCTTGGGCAGTTTGAGCGCTTGCTCAAGGGCTTCGATGGGCGAGCGCAGTTCTAGAACGTGCGAAGGGTTCGACAGCAGGATGGGGAATCGTGGGTGGGCGAGACCGCTCGTGGCAGGCATAGGAGCTGACTCGATGGCAATGTTGCCGTCTGCTGGCGTTGGCGTCCAGTTGCTGCCCGAGAAGATTGCCACCTCTTCGTGGTAAGACGCGTGCTTGCGCATGACGCCCTTCTCGATGCACAGCTCTCGTAAAAACTTGAGGTTTTTGGAAGCCTCTTCCAATTCCTTCTTCGCCCTCTTTTGCACAGTCTCGTAGTCTCTCAAGAATTCGAGATCGTCCTCGCTGATTGGAATTCCAAAAGCCGCCTGGAATTCTGCAGCATCGGCGGGGACGTTGGTGAGCGAAGACCTCAGGGACCTCAGGTCCGCTTCGCTGATTAGATTGCCTTGGTTGCTGCGCACTCGTTTTCGATGGAGTTCCAGTTCAAGGTCGTACAGTATCTTCTCCCGATGCATCTCTAGGTCTTCGCAGTACTCAGCGGCGAGTTGACGATCGCCAGCGGCTTCCAAGAGTTCCTGATACAAGGGGTGGATGTCCTCATGCAGCTCTCCAGATATTCCCAGAAGTGAAACAGGCGACGGAGGCCTGGAGTCATTCCTTTCCGGCAAGCCGTCTTTCCGTTCGGCCTCAATGGCCATGGGTTTGGTAATGGGCTGTGGACGGCTTCTGATGGGGCCCGGGCGGCGAAAGCTCGCGCGGCCCCGAGGGATACGCGCGAAATCTGCTTCAAGCATTTCAAGCGCTAATTCCTGCTTGTCCAGCTCCAACTCCATGGCTTCGTAAACCGACTCGGCTGCGTAATACTCGTCCCGAATGCTTTGCATTTCGCGAAACCTTTCGCTCAGCAGATCCGTAGGGACAACAGCGACGCGGGTTTTGGTCAAATACGGCCTAAATGTCTGCATAAAAGCATTGTCTATGTCGTCTTTTCGACGCCTGAGATCTCGTAATTCTTTTCGTTTCTTGGCCATAGCTTGCCTCAACTGCCAAATGCTTCGCCGCTTAGCCTCTACCAGTTCCTCCAGTTCGCTGCTTCCGCTGCGTTGAGAAAGGCTTCTGGTACACCCATCTGAGTACTCGGATGGGGACTCCGACTCGGAGGCGGTAGAGGGAATATCATAAGGCAGCCGGGAAGGCGGACGTCCGCCACCAGCCCCAGAGCCCGGGTGCCACGATGTCGCTGGACGAAGGTTGGCGGTGCTGTGGAAGGGCAACGGCTGGGAGGGAGGAGGGGGAACGAAACGCGTTTGAGGGGATGCTGGCAGCGAGACGTCGTCCTCTGAGCTGTCGTCGGAATAACCCTCGTCGGACCAGTGATCCGAAGACTTGGACAGGACCGTGGAATCGGCCGTGTTGTCACGGCTTGACCGCCGATGGTTCCCTGGCCCACTTAGCCGGCGTGCCGCGCTTGAGGGGGCGGCAGGGAACGGGTTGATGACTGAGGCTCTGACTGCATGTCGGGCTTCAACCAGCCCGACGGGCCGTGTTGGAGCCAAGCTCGTGTCTCCATCATTATCTGACCCGTTCGCGTGGGTGGAAGTGCGTGGAGATGGCGCGACCGGCCGGGGGATGTTCACGGTCGCCATGGGAGTCGAAGCAACGCGTCCACTCTTGGGCAGCTTCCCACACAGCCTTCATGTCATCAAGAGCTCGAGCTTGACGGAAGCCGCAGACACGCATGCGAAGTGACCGGTTGGGGTGAACGAGGTTAGGGCCGACGCTCGAGTTTGCGCCACGCCACGCCAGAGTGTTTTGTGTCTGTCGCGGTCTCACGGAGTTGTGGCAGCCTCGGGGCGGAAATTGGCTGATCTTTCGTATCATGCAGTGCCTCGTGGCACCTACACTGCGGCGTGTATGCACCAGAACGCGAGCCGCCGTCTCCGAGTCAGAGCTAGGAGCGAGGCGGTTAGCTGGAATATAGGTGTCGGCGCTCGGGAGGTCGAGTGGGCTTCAACGGCTTCTTTTGTCGTTGTTTGTGAAGTTGGTTGCGTTGGTCTGTATCCCGTATCCATGGACCGTACCTAGCCACAATTCCAATGATCCCTTGAATCCCGCGGAAGGTAAATTACATTGAATTACGGACACATCAGTGAAAGCTGGAATTTTACAAAGAATCACAATTTCGTTACACAAACTTGTTAGCTGATTGATTGCCTTGGATATCAGTACGTAACGTAGGTATGGCACTTGCCTACCGTTATTTTACCTTACATAACTACCTACATACCCAAGTGCCTGGCTCACCGGTTGATGCGGCTCCGTCTCCTGCTTCCCCGACAATCCACCTTTTGTCGTTGAAATAATGGTTAGTCATAACCAGCCGTCCCGAATATCTACCAGGTAGTCCTGGCAAGCTTGTGACGGAGAGATTGGGATGATTTGGGGTGGTTTCCCCGCCTGCCGCTTTGCTGGCAGGAGCTTTGTGCATATATCCCCACAGTCCCCCAGCAGCCATGCATGCGCTTGTCTGATTCCGGGAAGTGTATTTTGCGATCCGCGTGGCCGCCAAGTCAACCGGCCCGCAAGACCTTACACCAGACTTGCCTGCCTCACAGCCTACCAAAATGCGCAGTGTACATACATACATAAGCTACCTCATCAGGGTGTTCTGCACTCTCAGGCTGCGTTGGGCCCAGTGAGGTGGAGTGCATGTCACCACCCCACGAGAAAGGCCACCCAGTTGTCTGCCAAGTATGAAGTGTCGGCTGATGGGGTGCCTCGAAGCCTGTCTACATTGGCCGTCGATGCCGAAAAGATAAGAGCATCATAGGCAGCCACAGCGCCGAGGAGGGGGAAGCCCAAATGCACGGCCTCTCGCAGCTTTTCCATTCTTCCTCTCGGGTCCACTGGAGTCTGGGAGCCTGAGATGCATTGTCGCCATATGCTAGACAGCGTGTCGGCAAAGCAAGGCCCTTCTCTTCGCCTTTTAGCTCCTCACAACCTAACAGTCCTAACTTCATTCTAACTTGCCTCTCAGACTTGCGGCCGAGGCGATTCAGCCGGCGACGACGCTTCGGGTGACAGCGCGAATGAGCAACCCGCATCCTGTGTCACGAGCGTAACCCCCACCAATTATAGCTGCATTTAATATATTCCCTAAGCAGAGCCAGCCGCTTGCAGTAGCTCGGGATCCCTTCGCTACCTTTGTCTGCCATCCCGAGTCAAGTTGTTGCTGGTGTTCTTGGTGGTGGTGCGGCTCTGCGGTTTCCCCCAAGAGCCCTATTAAGAAACCGTCTTCAACTGCGCTTCCGCGGATCGTCTCCTCGACGTTGCAGCATCCCCTGAGACCGCACCCAGGCGGCGGGTTCACGTTCCGTCCACCAATTCATATCGGCGGACCGTACCGACGGTTATCCTTCCCCTGAATTGGCGCGCTTCAATACCAAGATGATAGATCGCCATGGATCCCAGTAACCAAGACCGATGGAGCGAATGGAGTCCCTGGCATTGGGACCCGGCTCAAAACCTTCACTGGAGGGCGAGGCAAGACCCCCAAGGTATGAGCACTTCAGCGATCTCCTGGCGTAGGGCTCGATGATTGAGCACAACTACCCCCTAGGCCGATATCATTACGACTACTCTTACCCAAACACGGCCACATCTTATCCAAACACGGCTACGCAAACCGCACCCCGCGGAAGCGACGTCAACGAGCTTGCCACTACGTTCTCAAACGTACATATAGACGGCCAGGATGTGTCTTACAATCCAGGAGGGGCATACACTCATCAACCAGGAGTGCTAGAAGGTTGCATAAGACGACTGCGCTAATCATGTGCTGAGGCTAACCCTGCTACAGCCACAAACCCTGGATACGGTTCTCATTTTCAAAGCCAAGGCTTCCCGCCCAAGGGCAAGGAGAGGGTTGCCGATCAACCGCCAAGACCCAGGAACAGGGGCTATAGAGAAACGCCAAAGGACAGGGGTTATTCATCCAAGAAGCACAGGTCTAGGGGAGCCAGGAACGCTGCCGACGCCGACGCAGAAGGCGCTGCTAACGACACGAACCCTTACGACCCATTTTACCAGAAGCCTGGTGCCGCACCCGACACGGGGTATACACCCGCATCCGATAATGCCTATGTCGACTCACAGACAGCGTATTCGGGACAGCGATACGGAGTGCCATCACGTGAAGACGCCTACGGATCTGGTCGCCAGGAAAACTCCGCCGGCGGCGATGGTTTTTATACCCAAGGTAAAGATGCTATCATTCCAGTTTTCTGGCACCCCAGCTGCTGATCCAGATCAATAGAGGAGTCCGCGCAGCACGAGGTTGAAGAGCCGCCATCCGAACATGGCCATTATGCCCAGCACACACATGCTCCTGACGACGGTTCGGGCCTTGCGGGATCCATCCCTGAGGAACCCCCAGCCGAGGAGCATGCCTCAGCGTATCCCCCTCCGGAATTCGGTATGTGTCTGGTGTTGCGTGCGGACGCCTGCGCGACTGTATCAATTGCCCCTAACCAGTGCTCAGATGGCTCGGAAGTTCCCGTCGACCCAGAGCCCCCGAACGAGCTACTCCAGGCTATGTCACAAGCCGACCCCTATCTAACTGGCGCACCCATTCCGGAAGGAGATGCCTCACCCCTTTCCCCGCCCCATGGCCACGCATACGCGGGGTATGAAGAGGAGGGTGGCCATGGTACGCAGACCCAGTTACAGGCTGGCATGGCGGAGGTTTACCCACCCCCGGATAACCACCCTGCGCGGCTCAGTTCAACGCGGGAGTTTGAGTTGCACGACGGTAAGTAGCCATACGTAAGTCGCATGTGAGGCAAGTTCTGAGTGATCCGTCCAGGTTATGCCGTTCAGCATTCTAGCATGTTCAGACCCGGCGAGGTAAGCGCGATGCATGGCTTTCTCTCCTTTTCAATCTGCTCCCCTCTGACACTGACAACCGGCAGGTGTTCAAGATTCTTTGGTGCGAGCCTCTTGGCGCTGGAGCTCATAGGAGCGAGGTAATCACGAACTTTTTTGGACTGCAAGAACAGAACGGCAAGCAGTTCTACCAAGGGATTCGACGTTTTATTGTGGTCGCCAATGACGAAGGACACTGTACCTGCGTGTAGGTGTGCCCTATTAGCTGAAGCCGACGTCTTACTAACGTGCATCAGGCCGATCCTGACGTATGAACACAAGGCGTGCACCAAGAAGGGAGTGAAACCCTCAAAGCATGGAATTGTCTACCAGCTCGGGAAAAAGCCCCGAATGGTCGAGAATGAGCCCAAATTGGGCTTTGAGCCCGTGCGGCTCGAGCTTTACGAAAGGACCGAGAAATTGGACAAGGAGTCTCGAGTCAACTACGCCAAACTCACCACCGTGGAGCACAACTTCAAAGTGTTCTTCATTGGACGCATTGTTCCTCAGGACTTCAACAGGATCGTCAGCCCGGCTGTTGAGGAGTGCTGGAGCAGGAAAAGGAGGCACAACCACTAGGTTTGCCATCCTAGCCGGATCGGCCGCCGTCTGCAGCCGTCCAGAACAGAACCCAACGTTATTTTCATGCCCTAAACCACTCACAGGGCGCGCGAGGGCTACTGCCCGACATCGGCTTAGGACTGGCTGATGTTATCTGGAAGTTGTTTACGTTTATATTTAGGTTGAGACGCCTTCCCTTGCAACCGCGAGACCCACTACTGTGTCTCCTTCACCTTGCAACGAGGCATGGACGCTGATATTTGTATTCTCCTGATGACTGATCGGAGAGTCTGGGAGGGGGCTGCATTGTCAAGGACCATGTTTGCAGGATTGTGTTCTGGGGGGCGAGCAACTCACCCCCTCTTTTTGCTTCTTTCCTCTTTCATACCTCTTGCCTCTTTTTTCTCGAAAAGATTCGCCTAAATCTCATGATGTCTACGAACTCGCGGGGTTTCATATGTTAAGCCTGTATCTGATGGTAGAAACCGTCCTCCAGGCTGTTGAAACCCGGTTGGCAATCTCTAGGGCAAGAATCTCATGGGGGATCTCACCACACTACAGAATGACAGACTACGAGTTCACTCTTTTGACGACATAAGATCAAGCCAATTGTGCAGGCGGCCAGAATTTTGCGTTTGCGGTCAACAGGGCACTACTGGCTATGATGACGGGGCCTAGCTGCCGGCACTCTGAAGGACCAGCTTCGCATTGGTGTGCTCACAGCGGCGCCACCTGATATGAAGCAGCGAACCCGAAACCCATATGCCCCATAGATTTGCCTCTCATGCTTTCCGCCTGACAGAGGAGTAGTCTTTGATTGGGCTGGCAGAAACTATGTGGACAGAACAATTGATAAGACCGTGATGTTGCTGAGGGTACTGGCTTCACGTGTTGTTTTCCTGCTGTGGCTAGGGGCACTCATGGATGAATGTATCACGCGACACATCATCCTGTGTATCTATGGGTATGCAGGCGAATAAGGCAGTTGACGGGTCAGGCTTGGGAACCTGCCGATACTGTACAGTTTGCTTCGGCCCGAGGCAGTGGTGCCCTTTCGGGTACCTAACAGCTGCCTTACTTCACAACCTTCACGTATCCCTCGATGCAAGATTCCCAAGCCCGACTAAAAGGCCGTGAATGAGTTACTTCTCTTTCAATTCAGAATTGGGATATTTGGGCGAGACATTAGGCCGGATAGAGTACTTTGCTAGCCTAGACCTTGGAGATGCAACTGTAACAGAATGGCACAACCCTCTCCTTATTGGCGATGGAACCCACAATGCTTGCAGTTTATTGTGAGTATTCAATGGATCGGATGTTTGCAAGGAGGATCTAGACCTGGCCATCCACAGAGTGATGAGAAGGTTTTTAGTACACCGTAAGCCTAACCCAATAATCTACCGGCCAGTAACAGGCTTGGAGTAAATACATACCTATCGGCGGGCTTGAGTGTAGGTGGTAGCAGAGAGGTGCTGTATCTTGCCAATGGCTTGTAAGTGTCTGTACGTACTCTCCGAAACTCCCGTCGTGATGCCCAATCGTATCCAATGCAAAGATTGGGTCCAAATATTACTCATTGCCGATACACAGCATGATACACAGCATGCTTCACTGCGGCTCGTCTCTTCCCCCCACTCGTCCATCGATGACAATGGACTGTACAGTACAGAATACATTTTTTTTTTTTTTTGTTGGATAGAGCGGTTTCCGAGGAAAAGCCCTCAATCCATGACGGGAGGTGTTGCCTCGTAAGCTGTGGCCGGCAGAACACTACCTTAGAACGTCGGCTTGTTCCGGTTATAGGTACATGCACTGCCTGGATTAGGATAAGAGCCAAGAGCTGCTGCCTCTGGAAAGTTATGATTGTTTCAAACCCCCGATTGCGTTTTTTTTTTATCTGACCTAAAGAACCCGACCGGGAGGAATCTGACACGAATGCAGAAAGGGAAAGCTCTCGCCGCGGAGTGACCGAACTCCAGGCCCGGCCAACGGCCCATTACTTCTTCATCAAAGTTATGGGGGACTGCCAGGGGCTTGAAAATTGCGGTCAGGCTTGCGGTGTTTTTTCACCAGTCTGTCCTAACCTAGATTATCAGATGATCTAATCTTATGTAAACAATCTGATAGACAAAGTTGCCGGTAATGGTGGGGCGGTATTGATAAATTTGATTGATTAGATATCTCGGCGTCATACTGTGTTGTTTCAAAGCCTAAACACAGTGTAGTGTGCTGTCCGCATTTGGCGTCGAGAGTTTTGGAAGCGGCCGAACTCGGAGATGGCCAATGATACGAAGTACCTTGTATGGTTTGCCATACCGACGCTTCCCATAAAACGATTCGTGGTGCCTCCTCGTCTGTCCCAACAAGGCCGATGGAAGTTGGAACAACTCCGCTGACATGCCGGCTGGTTGACCCAGCACTTTGGCCCGCAGGCTTGGCGTCGGCAGCCCCAGACTTGTTGAGCTGAGATAGGGGCGAGCCCGGTCTCCTCCAACCCCGGAAGTCCTGCGCGTTTCCAAGGTAAATGGCTCGATATTCTCAGAAAAGTCTCGGCGGCCATTACAAATCAGTAAATACAAGTACCGTACCATACAGCGCAATGAGAACGGTGATGCTCGGACTCGAAGTGTGGGCTGTTGATGAGATGATGTAAAATTACGGTGATCTGAGGTTCGGCTGACTGCAGGTCGACCGCTTCCATCATCCATCATGTCAAGGGCGATTACACTAGTGTACTAATGGAGCACCTCCAGTAACAAATACCGGTCGATGGAAACGGCATTGGTTCTGAGCCGGTCCATCCCGTAACCCTGAGAAGATCACGAAGACCTGGAGGTAGAAATTTCCATGATTTCTGATGCGATGGGACGCCCATATTGCGTAGTGCGTTTATTACAGTCAAACCTGCAAATAACGATTGGGTCCGTCATAGCAAATCTGACCGTTATTCCCAGGTTATCGTTAAACCCAGGGTAAACCACTATTTACCTAGAATAGAAGGTCAGGGGCTCTTATTCGCTCTATGAAGCTCAGATACAGCCGAATTACTTGATTTTACTGCTTTCCTAGCGTTGAGGATGGCTAGATACTGATCCAATAGGGTCTGACTGGCTAAAGCTTTGGCCTGTAGGAAAAGCGAGAATCAATCGTTATACCGTATTAGCCAGGGAATATCGGTTTCCCATACATTTTACGATGGGTACGCGATAGTCTAACGCTATTTGGAGGATATCGTTATTTCTCGAATCGCTATTTGCAGGTTTGACTGTATATGGTCCCGGATTCGGCACATATATAACTCCTTCTTCAATCCCCGAGTATTAGCAACCAGCACGACCCATAGGGTAATTCTCACGGTTCCTTGGAAAAACGTTATATGGGTACATACATAACGCGCATGTACATACTCCGCAATGTAAACCGTAACAACGGCGGAGGAGGCACCCGTGGAGCTGACGGCTGATCGGAGAAGCACGTCAACCTTTGCCCGGCGAGCCCAAGACAGCCCAGTCCGGCTTGCACTGTGGCCAGGCCCACACTTGCCCCCTTGAAAGAAACGCTAGCTCGCTCGGCTGGTTCTCGCCTGGCTTTTCATCCTCAACAGTTGCTTGTGCAATGACAAGGAAGTAATTTCTTAAAGATCACCAGCCTCCCCTCAAGCAGATATTTTGCCCCATGTTCTTTCTGCTAGCGCAGCTTGCTAAGCGGTCCTTTCCTCCTCGCCTCCCATATCCTACTTCTGGACACTTCGAGGTATTGAATCGTCCGTGAACTTTTTAACTATGCAACTCTGATCTTTACTGTTACTCAGCGGCTTCTCACCTACAATTCCTCCCACTCTCCGTTTAGCGCCTCAATTGCCACCGGCTGCCCTCGACTACACCCGACTACCATGGCCACGCAGATTGACCTTCTCCTCGCCGAACATTCGGCGGGGAGTATACCGGAGGAACCTCAGCCAGGGCCGTCCGCTGCCCCCTCGCTTACATATTCCGAGTCGTCTGACGAACATGAATTGGAAGAGCCCCACCACCCTGTGCCGCGTCCTCGGCGCGCATCGACGCGCTTGATTGCGCAGAGCCCGGCCGACGTGCAGCGCATCACGGGCGAAACCACGACTCAATTGATTAGGCGTTGCTGCGGCGGCGGCTGCTGTCTCGGCCTTGGTCCGAAGAAGGAGGGCATCGAGTTCGAGAGCATAGATTTCCCTGATAATGACGCCTACCGATCCCTGCTGCTCAAGATCGACCGGATACCTACCACCCTGACAGCTGTGTGCGATCTACCCGAGCAGACAGCTTTTCTACAACCACTCCGGCGGCCATCCAATCTGCCATCTCCACCCGAATCAAGCGTTGCACTGGACGCAGATGCTGCCCCAACCTCGCCCTTGGGCAACGTTGAAAAGACGTTGCAAAATTTAACCCTCGAAAAAACCGACACACGGATAGAGCCGCCTTCATTTGTGCAGCCACATCCGCCACACCACGTCTTCGCTGCGCGGATTCACAACACACGCGAGCTAACACGGCCCGGCGCCGAGAAGCGAACGTTCCACTTTGATCTTGACGTCACAAACTACCCCGAGGGCGAAGGTGTTGACTTCAAGGTTGGGGGTGCCATTGGGGTCGCGGCACCCAACGAAGAGTCCCTGGTCGAGGAGGTGCTCGATCTCCTTCTCGTGCCCCGTTTCCTGCGCGACAAGCCTGTGCTGCTCCGGACAACCAAAGGGCGATGGCCCACGGTCTGGGGTAGCGACCAGGCGCGTGAACTCGTCACAACTCGTCGGGACTTGTTGACGTGGTGCTCGGACATCCAGTCGTACCCGCCAACAAAGCAGCTTCTCCGTGTCCTGGCCGAGCACGCCATCGACGAAAACGAGCGCAAAGTCCTCCTGTACCTTTGCTCGGCTGAAGGCCAGGGTGTCTTTTGCGATTTCCGGACGGGTCCTCATGTGACGTTGGTCCAGCTTCTGCACGCCTTCCCCAGCGCCAAGCCGCCGTTGGATTATCTCCTCTCCGTCTTGCAGCCCCTTATGCCCCGCTTTTACTCCTTGTCAAACGACCCCCATGAGTCGTTCCTGACACGCGACGGCAAGCAGCACCGGCTGATTGAAATCGCCGTCACCGTACATACGACGACCGACTGGCGCTCGGGGAGTCGGGATGGCGTCGGCTCGGGCTTCTTCCAGCGACAAGCACTCAAGTTCCTCGAAGCCCAGAAGCGGGGCGAGAAAGACCCCGAGTTCTACATCCCCATGTTCAAGGGCCTGATGGCGAACCCTCTCGCTAAGCAGTTCGTGTCGGACGGCCCGATGCTGTTGATTGGAGCTGGCGTTGGTATTGCTCCATTCCGCGGCTTCGTACAGCGCCGCCTCAAGACGGCCAACTGCGCGAACAAGGTCTGGGTGCTTCAAGGCATCCGTGACTCGTTGGTTGACGAGCTGTACAGCGGCGAGTGGGGTGTCCACGAAGATGAGGTCAAGAGGGTTGTCGAGAGCCGCCGCGGTGAGGGCCGCTATGTGCAGGAAGAGGTCAAAGCTCAGTCGGACCTTGTTTGGTACATTATTAATTCCGTCGACGGCCGCGTTTTTGTATGCGGAAGCACCAAGGGCATGGGCGAGGGTGTTGAGAAGGCTCTCGTCGAGGTGGCGATGGAAAAGGGCAATTTGCAGCGCGAGGAGGCCCAGGAGTTCTGGAACCTGAAAAAGGAGGCCGGGCAATACATCGCCGAAACTTGGTGATATTTGCTCGCTCTGAGGGATAGCACCCATCCATTTTCTTTTCCTGGAGAATTGGCAACATAACTGGCAAAGAAAAAACAGTAGACCAGGGCGTTTGGGCACATGCATTCAAGGCGAATCGGGCGTTTCTGACATTTATACCGTGAACCCGGACAGGATACTACATAGAGGAGTCGAAGACAGGGCAATCCGACCGAGGGCTGTGACTGTAATAAGTAGATTGAGTTTTATACCAGTCGTGTTATCGCGGGGTATATTTGCTCCTCACGTCTGCCGCCGGGCATTCCTGTTCATATTCTAGTTTCATTGTCAATATATACCATCCCGGGGTTTTGTTATGATTGAATCACAGGCATAACCCGTACTACTGTATCCTGCACCTTAGCCATGTGGGATGCTTCTTCCTTTTTGAGATGGATGTACTGATCCAGTGATTGGCTCGCAGATGGGGGAGTACATACGTGCGTTGCCATTGAGCCTCAGAGCACATTTCACAGTAGAATTGCTGTCGCGGTATCAAAACATGTCGGCATAAGGAAGGGCTCCAGCCATACAGTACAGTACGGCCAGCCTGAGGTGTATGTACAAGTACATACATACATCGGGATGTTGGGTACAGTGCCTTTTGAATTCCTGGAGACAGAGTCAGTCTCCTTACCTACTACCTGTGGGCTCTTCCTTCATATGCATTCAGGAGACACTATCTAGCAGCGCCTTGTGTAGGTGGGGGGAACTGATCGGGCAGGGGGTGGCGTTAAGATCATCAGAAGAGTGAACTACATACCTTCCAATTTCCAAACTGATCACGCAAAGTGAAAGATAAAGACAAATAAGTTGGGAGGACATTGTACGTTTTGAACCAGCAGATTCTAGCATTACAAAGATAGCGGCGTTAACGTCAAATCCAGTGAAGGATAACGTAGAGTCCTGGAGTCTTGGAAAACGAAATCCCCTGTGTCGATGAGCAATTGTTGACTCGGTGGAGAAGCGGTAGGGTTCAAATCTTCGCTTCAGATCTGGTACGTAAGCATTTGAAATACATGACATGGACAGGGGGTGTTCTTCCCTCTTTCGGATGTTCGCCGAATGGCCATTGGACAATTGCAGTGTGACGGGGGTGGAGTAATCCTGAGGCGCTTACACTAGCTTACTCACACGTGTACGTTATACACTACCCCAAGGTGAGCCTTTCCGAATTCGCGGCCCGCGCGGCCTGGCTAGGATGTAGCAGCTCCATAACAGCGTTGATGACACCGCTCAGAGGAGGTAAGTGGGGAAGCAGAACGTCGAGAAGGCCATGGAATCGCAAACACAATTTGTGCTACACGTGCCGCAGCCGTTGAACCGGGGCGGAATGTCCCCGAGTCGTCGCGACTCGCAAGTCTCTTGTCCAGCAACTGCCGGGTTAACCCGGCTCGGCTTCAGACAAGTGTTTGGAGATGCCGAAGGGAATGGAGCACTTGGTGGCTACTTCCCAAACGACGTATAAATAATTATACCATGGCTGCTCCCTCGCTGTGCTTGACTTCCCATCTCGACCACCACAGATACCTCGGCCTACCTTAGCTACCTTATATGCAGCGACTGCTCAGAATCCCTTCTCGTGCCATTCCAACCATCTCACGAACCATCACCCCGTCGCATCGTCTCGTACCTTTCCCATTCCCTAAATCAGCAAGACCAGCCAGCAACATGACGGTCACACCAACAACTCCCCTCTCGGCCGACTCCTTCCTGGCCCACATCAAGAACCGCCGGACCTACTATCCGCTCAACAAGGAGCTTGCCATCCCGCCTAGCCGCATCCAGGAGATCGTCAAGGAGGCGCTGCAGCACGTGCCCAGCAGCTTCAACTCGCAGAGCAACCGGGTCGTCGTGCTGTTTGGGGCCGAGCACGACAAATTCTGGGACATCACGACCGAGACGCTCAAGGCCATCGTCCCCGTCGAGCAATGGGAGAGCACCGCGGGCCGCATGGCCATGTTCAAGGCCGCCGCCGGGTCGATTCTCTTCTTTGAGGACCAGACGGTCGTCGAGGGCATGCAGGCCAAGTTTGCCCTCTACGCTGATCGGTACGTTTCCCTCCCCTTTCAACTAACCTCCGCGTCATTGTTTACTTCCCGGTCGGCACTATTCTATGGGTGTATCAGGTGGGAGTAAGGAATAAATGGCTGATAGTTGCGATAAACAGGTTCCCTGTTTGGGCGGCACACAGCTGCGCCATGCTGCAGTTTGCAGTCTGGACCGCCCTCGAGGCCGAAGGGCTCGGTGCCAACCTGCAGCACTATAACCCCTTGATCGATGCCAAGATCGCCGAGGAGTGGAAGCTGCCAACTACCTGGAAGCTCAGTGCGCACCTCGTTTTTGGCGGCAAGACGGCTGACGCCGGGGAGAAGGTATTCAACCCCGTCGAGGAGAAGTACAAGGTCTTTGGTGCGTAGGCGGGTCTACGAGGGATATGGTTTGTTATTCTATTGGGCGTTTAGGAGGTTTCCGGTTTAGCCTTAGCATCGCTTCTAGATTCTCTTCTTTTTTAGAAGTTTTAAACGGGCAAGGCTCGAGTCCAATCGAATTGAGTACCGTACTTACCGGTAGACGCTTCCGAGATTGGTGACCGGTGGTGACACCTTAGTAGACGATCAACAAGCCGGCATTAAGTATTTCGCATATTGGACATTATCCAACCCTGTTCTTTCTGTACAGAGTACATAGTCTCGCCGACGTACAGGTTTATCCGGCCGACACAAGTAGAAGAGACGGCAAAGTCACGTATCGACAAACCCCAGCGCCTGCCCGACTTTGACTCTCTGCCCCTTTTCCACGTTCCATGTCCACCCGCGGGTATGGCGGCCCGTGTCGTCGTGCTCCGCTGCCGGGGCCTCAAAAACAAGCACAATGGTGCTACCCAGTTGGAAGCCACCCATCTCCTCTCCACGCCTGAGCGCATGGCCTCTCAGCACAGCGCTTGCGCGCTCGTAGGTCGCCTCGGCATAGCCCAGGTATGGCTCCCCGCGACGGGCCGCCTCTTCGGCAGCCTTGTCCGCCTCCGTGTCCGTCGTCAGGCTGTTGGTCCTCAGCTCCCTGTCGAAATTGATTTTGATCGAGCCCACATTTGTGGCGCCAACAGGGACGTAGGCGAAGAAGCCCCAGCGCCAGCGACCCAAGAGAACGACGCGCTCGTTGAGCGTGAAGAGTCCTGGAAGCGTGCGCTGGAGGTAGGGCGACACGCTAAACAGCTCCCCGGCGAAGTGGCGCCGCCGCTCGACCACCCAATTGGTAGGCGAGTGGAAGCGATGATAGTCGCCCGGCGCGAGGTATATGACGGCGTAGTAGAGCTTGTGCGGGCTGCCAGGGGTGAGATATTCGTACCAGGCCTTGTCGCCTAGAGCGAGCTCGGCGCGAACTTCGGAGACGGACGTCTCGTTGGGTGTGACAGATCCGTCCTTGGGGCGCTCAAAACTGCCGCCCTTTTGATCCTTCCCGGAGCCCGAAAAGAGGTCGGGGAGCGAGTATGAGATGCCGTTGACACGGGCGAATTCCTCGTCCTTCTTGACGAGCTCCTCACCACCTTCGAGTTCGCGCTCACCTTGCTTGGTCAGCTTGTCAAGAGAAATCTGACTATTGGAAATGCTGGGACTTGGACTGCTTCGCCCTAGGAGTGCATCGATAGTGTAGGTCATGCCCTTGACTTGCTCAATGTCGCCACCTTCGATCTGCCCAAACTGCAAGACTCGCCCGTCCGCTGGTGACAGAAGCGCATTGGGGTTGGGATCTAAAGGTCGTGCACCAGGCTTTAGGGTGCGGTAGAAAAAGGCGGCCAAGTTTGGAAACTTTCGAAGGTCGGGTTCCTCGATCTCGTCTAGATTGACACCAAAAATGAAGGAATAGAGGCGGAAGCCGGGTGCTCGGAGGTAATATGGGATGGTTAGCTCGTTAAACCTGCCCCATAACCGTGACATGGCCTTTAATGGGAGCGTCGACATGATCTGCACCTGCCTAGGTGCCCGTCAGCCCTGTGTTGCCAATACCAAGTGTCAATGACCATACCATGGACCGTCAGTCCGGACCCGTGACCGCCTCTTGGCCCGCTTCTCCAACTCATCTTCCTCTGCCTGCTTCTCTTGCTCCCGAGTATAGACTTTATAGAATTGCACCAGACCCAGAAACCCAACGCCGAGACCGACGGGGATCGGATACCAGCGGATCCTGGAGTCTTGCACCTTGGAGGAGGCCCCGGGCCTGCGCGACTGCTGGGAGAAGGGACGACGACCGAGGAGCCGATGTGCCGGTGGCGCACGTGCTTGTTGACCGGCTGGATAGGTTGGATAGGTGGGATAGATATGCCGGCAACGGCAAGTCGTCGAGCGCCGTCCAAGTGTCGAGCGAGCTAACCCGGCGATCGAGACGGGGCTAATCTGGAAAGACGCCATATTTCCTTCGCCTTAACAACTTTGTCTACAAAAATGGTCGAGGAAAAATGGCATTGTTTCATTTGTGACGAACCTGCATCATTGACCTCGCTGCAGATCGCAGGGCTCTCGCAGGCGTTGATAAAACGCCGTGAAATAAACGAGCGGGATTGGATTGTTTAGGGTGGTAGCTCAAGCCTCGACGCTCATGACGCAGGCTTGCATATTCAGACGGAGACAAGAGGCGGACAGCCAGTGATGCTTCGGCGTTTCCCAGCCAGGTCCGGCGTTTTGGGACGGAGCAGTTTATATATGGAGGTAGTGGGCGGGTTGTGGATACCCGTTGACCGTCTATTTCATGCGCCTGGACGGGAAATCATGCGCTTACTGTAGCGGGCATGTGGGCTTGTAGCAGCTATTTTGTAGGGATATGTGGGGCGTGATTTTCTCCCAAGTACTTGGTACGCAGCGCTACCCCATGTTCAATGCTTCTGAATGCCAGCGTGGAACTTGCCAGCTGATTAAAGAATCCGATGTTTGTGGCATTTTCAGAGTCAGCTTCCATCCTCCATGGAGTGAATCGAAACTATCTTCAACCTCCTCAAATCCCCGCATCGTTTCAGCCCTTGCAAGGGAATTCGGCCTCTGCGAAAAGATTCATGTTTGTTGCCTAGCATGCCTTCGTGATCACGGCCCGCGCATTAAGGGATTCAATCCAACATCGTCAATAATCTGGCAGCAAAGCGATAAAACGACCACCGTCTGATACCGATTGAGCAGGATCCCCCGGCACTGCGCGCTCTGAGTACAACACCGCTTGTACTATTCCGTTGTCTTGCCATTCAAGCTAAACTTGGGCAACCGAGCGCGATGGCGGAAGAGCAGCCCGCCCCCTCTCGGCTGGCGTCGCAGGAGAATGCTCCGTTGGTTGTCAACCTACATATCGTGTCGCCTTCAGTTGGTGTCGGAAACTTGCGGTTTCCCGACCTTCCAGCCACAACGACGGTACGGCAGCTGAAGGCAAAGATCCGGGAGTCATTGGAATCACGGCCCGCAGATGACAATCAGAGATTGATCCACCGCGGCCGCCTCCTCGCATGCGAAACCGACACCCTCCAGGATGTGCTGGGTGAAGATGCTGTATGGTTCCTTTTGGTTCCTGTCATTTCCTTGAGGTGCGAGTCATTAATCTGTGTGCGCGACAGATCCGAACGGGCGAGCAACAGACGATTCACCTAGTAGTGAGAGATACTGGAGATCACGTCGCTCCCCTTTCTTTCTCAGCTCAAGCAACTCCAGCGGCAAGTAGGAGTCCGGCGCCTGGAAACAATCCGTTCCGAGTGGATGCTTATAACCCCCAAACCCATACCCGGTTCCTCCGAGGCGTAGGGCCAGGTGCTCCCCCTCCTGTTGTGGTTCCCAATGCTTCCGTGATTCGGCCCGGGTCTGCCCCGATTGGCATCCCGCAGGCCGCGCAACATCCCTCACAGCAGCAGCAGCACCAGGATATACTTCAGCGAATGAATCAGCTCCAACAACGTGAAGCACAGTTTCAGGAGTTCTTTGCTCGGCACCGGGCCGCCCGGGACTCTGCTAGCCAGGGCCAGGGGAACCCAACGGACCCTGTAGGGGGGAGGAACAGCCCGTTTAGACCGCCAATGCAGACTGTAATCCACGAGGGCATCGGGCCGGATGGCCAGCAGTACAGTTTTAGGATTACTGTTAACGAGGTTCTTGCGCGGCCCGCAGCCGCTCCCCGCCCTCCGGCACCCGCTTCCGAGCCCGTTGCTCACAGGCCACTCTCGGCAGCCGATGTCCAGAATATCTTGCATGGAGCTGATGCTACTCGGGCCACTCAAACCATAACCAACGCCATGCAACGCAGTGCGTCGGGTGCGGGGCCGGCGAACGTAGCAGCGGACATTGCAAATATGAGTTTCAATGCTCCCGTGCAGCCAATTCCTCCTGGCGTTACAACGCCTGTCTTCCCGGGGTTGTCGAGGAATGCCAGCCGGACCGCTACTCCCGACTCGTCAGTGAGGCCCATCAGCCGTGGTAACGGGGCTCTCCCCGGTACCGCGCAGTCTCAGTATCGTCCCCATGCGCAGTCATCCCAACGCCGGCCGGATGTCTATATTCTCTCCTCTCCTACTGGTCCTCGGGCCCTCCTGATTAATAGTGCCTCGGAGATTTACGCTAGCCCGGCCGCCCGGCCGCCATCCTGGGCTCCCAGTTATTACAGGCCGCCGTTCCCGTACGCGCCGTCAGTACCAATCCACGTAGCCCCGCCTGCACAAGGGCAGGTGGCAATTCATCTGTCCACCCACAGGCAAGCGCCGACAGAAGCGCGGCAGCAGACTGCACCCGGGGCTCAGCAACAGCCCTTGCCTCAAGCACTCAACAATCAACCGCCAGTCCTTCGTCAACGAGTAGCAGAAGCCCCACCGGCTCAACCGGCCGCTCCTCAAGTGCACCACCCTGGAAACCCTGGAGCTGCTGCCCTTGGGGCGGCGATTTGGCCGCACATATGGCTGCTAATTCGCCTGGTCGCCTTCGCCTGGTGGTTCTCATACAGCAACCCCTCGTGGGAGCGATGGCTCACTCTGCTGCTTGCTTTCCTTGTCGTATTTGCGATCAACACGGGCTTGTTCACTGGCATGGTTAATGATGCATTCCACCCTGTGAGGGAGCAGCTAGAGGGTATGATCCCCTTTGCGGATCCCGATCGCCAGCGAGGCCAGCGAGGACAGCAACAAGCGCACCCGCAACACAACCAACAGCCGGGGCCTGGTAATCGAAATGGCGGAGATAGAGATGAACCCGACCCAGCTCGCGTGGCGGCGAGACTAGTCGCACAAAGGAGAATTGCAAATGGGAACTGGCTAGCCGACCAGCTGAGAAGAGTGGAGAGGGCAGGAATCCTGTTTCTGGCGAGCTTTGCTCCCGGGGTGGCCGAGAGGCATATACAGCAGTTGGAAGAACGGGAGAGAGCTGAACGGAGGGCCGCCGAAGAAGCCCGAGCAGCTGCTCAACAGGCCGCCCAAGAAGCTGCTCACGGGTCTGCGGGAAACCAAGAGGGTCACGAGGAGCAGCGGACTAGGACCGAGCCCTTCACGGAGCGTGATCAAGTAGCGGAGCAGCAGCAGCCTCCGCCTCCCGTGGTCGAAGTATAGGTTTACATAAACCAACGAGTCCAGCGGCGGCAGGACAGTGGTTTGACTCTTACAGACATTGTCCCTTTTTAGACCTCGCTGCTGCTCAGCTGGAATCAGGGTCGATAGAGCATGGGCGACGTGGGTGCTGCCTTGTATTGGCACCAAGGCGCACTAAATACTGCGTGTCCGGAGCAAAAAAGCACTGCTCCATGAAGGCGACGATTTGAACTGTTTGTATTGTAACTCTACGGGGGTTGACTTCTAACGGCTTTGATGGAGAATGGGCATGTGGCGCTGCAGAGGGCTGGGCGTACTATGATTGACTTCCTCAATGCAGTTATACCCCATATCGCTCTGTTCTGAATCCTGCCGATATCTTCATGAGTCCTATCCACCGCGCTTGCATGTTACCTAGTAGTTGCCTTAGGTATCGACAGTGCCAAGAAGATTTCGAGCCTGCATGCGAGCACTTGTAGCCATCCCAAGTCCAAGCCCCTGGAATCCTGGAAGCCTCGGGGTACAGTATGTACTGTATACACTTCTATGCGGCGTTGCAGTGGTGTTACCCGACCAAAACCGACACGGAGCCGAGTGACGACGCTAATGCGGCGCCGATGCCGAGGCAACTGCAAGTCTCCACTGCACCTAGAGCAGGTGCGCTCCGGCGTATGTATGTACCTTAAAGCACTTGACTATCAAAGTCAGAACTTACAATCAATGATCAATGTCCTGCCACTTTTCCATTGCACTTCGTAGTAGCTAGCACACGCCGCCCTTTCTCACCATGGCCGAAACACAACTCCACGACTTCCCCTCGCTCTTTTCCCTCGATGGCAAAGTTGCCGTTGTAACAGGCGGTTCCCGCGGTCTCGGCCTCAGTGCCGCTTCTGCGTAAGGATCCCCCCCCCTCCTCTTCCTTCCTGCCATAAACTGGAAGATATATCTTGAATTGAGCTAGCTGCCACGACCCAAAAGGCTGACCAACCTCCTCCCCCCCAGTCTCCTCCAAGCCGGCGCCGCTAAAGTCTTCATCTCCTCCCGCAAGGCCTCAACCTGCGAATCGGCCTGCGCCGCACTCAACTCCCTGCCCAACCTGCGCCCTGGCGCCGTCGCCGTACCCGTGCCCGCCGACTGCGCCACGCTTGACGGGGTCAAGCACCTGGTATCCCAGGTCTCGGCACAGACGGAACACGTCGACATCCTCCTCGCCAACGCGGGCGCTACCTGGGGGGAGCAGTTCGACTCGCACCCGGACGCGGCTTTCGCAAAGGTCATGGACCTCAACGTGCGGGGGGTGTTCAACCTGGTGCGCGAGTTCGCCCCGCTGCTGGCCCGGCGGGCGAGTGTTGAGGACCCCAGCAGAGTGCTCATCACGGCTAGTACGGCGGGGTTGGGGATCGGTACCATCGGCAAGCAGGGTACGTACGGGTATAGTGCTAGTAAGGCGGCTGTCATTCATTTGGGCAGGAATCTCGCTGTGGAGCTTGGGCCTAGGGGGATTGCGGTTAACAGCATCTGTCCGGGGTTTTTTCCTAGCAAGATGAGCAATGGGTTGTTGGAGATGGCTGGCGGCGTGGAGCGCATGGGTAAGGCTAACCCTATGAGACGGCTGGGCCGGCCTGAGGATATCGCGGGTGTGGTGGTCTACTTGGCGAGCAGGGCTGGGGCGCACGTCAATGGTGCGGCGATCGAGATTGATGGAGGGGCGATGTGGTCTAGAGGCCAGCTTGATGTTAAGCTCTAATGTTATTTTTCCGTTTGAATTTGAGTCCCTGTTTACAAATCCGCTTGAAGCACAGCGATGCCCTTACCATGGCCATCCCCGAAATGCTAACTGTTACTCTAGTCTAAGGTATACTAGCAGACGCTGGCTTCCTGGCCACCCAAAAACTCGCCTTGTACACCGTCTGCAGCATCGACTCCGTGTCTAGGATGTATGGAGCATCGATGCCCGTTTCTCGAGAGATAATCTCGAATCCAATCTGGCTCACTAGTGCCATCACTTCGTCGTCTGTGAGCTCAAAGTTTCCCGGGTCCGCGATGCCTGATGTGTCGCCGCCGCCGAGGGCGTCGGCGGCGTCGGCATCCTCAGATTCGTCCCGCTCGTACACTCGGTTCTCAAAATGCCACAGCAGAGGGCCAATGTTGACCAGGATTCCACCTGGTTTCAGACAGTGAAAGATGGTTTCGAGATAACGGATGAGGTTGGGAGCGGTGTCGAGGAAGAAGACGCTCGCAACCACGTCGTAGGCAGCGGCCCTGTCTTCCTGGCTGTACAGACACAGAAAATCCGCAGCGCTCATGCTCATTGTGCCGACCCGCCTGGTTTGCTCGGCTTTGGTGAGCTCAGTGGCGCAGTGCACGTCTGGGATGGCATAACCGCGCAGATGGTTGGACCGGGTCTGGTGATTTGAAAAAGTGTGAATCCAGGGGTAGATGGTGTGCTTCCCGGGACGGTCGCAACAGTTGAGTATGTACGACGATGCGAGCAGCTGGTGATACGATATTTCATTGCCTTCAGTCTCGTAGCCGTGGAAGCATAGCTCAAAGACGAGGCGGCCCAGGCCGGCGCCAGGAACCAGGACCTTGAGCGGAGGGTGGTCGGGCCCTCGAGCTGCCTGCTCGGCGCCAATGGCACGCAAGACAGGCCCGAAGCAGGCCTCGCGCTCGCGAGCCCCTTCGGCGGACCAGTCGCGGTAGAACTGGCGGAGGGTGCTGCGGGCCTTGTCAATGTCGTTGGACTTTGCCGATTCGTTCCATTGAGGTGGTATCCGAGGCTCTCCAGTCTCGGAGGGGACGCCGACATGGAACATCTGGAGGCCCGTCTTGACGATTATGTGGGCGAGGTCGGCATTCGACCCAATGGCATCGTCTATTTTATCTAGGGTGTCTAGATAGTTGAAGGGAGGCGCGGCAAGTCGCTGCCAGTGAGCCTGTGGTAGCGCATAGAAGGCCTGTCTCCGCAGGTGGGTGCACTGGAAGTGAGCAACCTTGGCATATTGCCTGGGAGGGAGTTAGTAATTCGAGGTGGCAACGAGATAAACCATGTCGATGCAAGATCGAGCCTGTACGATACAGCAGAGGGTTTGAGCCACTCGCTCAAATCAAGTGACAGAAAATAGAGTCCACTGGGACGTCCTGCATTCCTTTTTCTCGTTCCCCGTGCAAGCAGAGACCAGAGACCAAGAGGAACTGACAAAAGGAGAAGCTTTGGATGTGAAGAGCAAGCGCGCGATGCCACTATATCACCAAAACGGCGAAGATGACGGAAGCAAACAGACAAACCGCGAAGATTTTACTCACTGGAAGGAGTCCAGGGTGCGATAAATGACCTGAAGTTCTTCGGGATCGTCAATGCCATTTTCGATACCAGCCCATTCCGTCTCTTCAGCCATTTCCGCAGTTTGCTGATGGTGTTGTATCGAGATCAAAATCTGGGCATGTCAAATCAACAAAACGTAGCCGGGACCCGGCATGTCTGCATCGGCTAGCTATCGGGGAGCACTCGCCCTTCGGTGCCTTCCGTTGCTGACCATTGCTCCGGCCCCGCCGACCGCAAAACAGACAAGCATCTTGGATCAGGGATGGCTTCCGAGGGTTGCAAGTGACAGTGCCCGTTAGTTTCGGCCGAAAGAAAAGAAAAAGGTGAAAAACAAAGTCAGCCAGTAATGCCGAAAAGTAGAAGAAAATGTGAGGGAAACTGCTCAGCGCCCATTTGTGCCCGCTCGAATCCCACCAAGAAATTCCTCCTCAGTACCCCTAACCCTGGGCGCTGCTGCGATGGTTTCTTTACCTTCGAGCCTTCTAACTTTACGGACCTCTCCTGTGCTTTGAACATCCAATAGGCACAGCATGTCAATCTCAGGAAGCACGATCTGGGGCTTTGAAGTTGTTATACGTTAAATCATTTAGCAACCTCAGGACCCCGGAAGAAGCATGGAAGGACCAATACAGCTGTCCGTCCCTCTTCCGCGCTCATTGGACTCGCGCATCTACATCCACTTGAGTGTCAAATCCAAGGCCATTGTTCTCTTTCTCACCACTGCTTCCGTGGAAGAAGCGTCGGCGCCCACCCCGCTGGGGTCATTCGTATATGCTCTACCTGATGTGCGATGTCCCTTGTCCCCATCCAAATCTCAAGTGCGCTTTGTTTTCTGCGTCAGGAAACCAGCACTAACGCCCGGCCCAGAAATACAACCCAAGCCAGCCACTGTCGACAGCGCTTTGCACCGTGGAGCCAACATTGGAGTTCACAACACGTCTTGCAAAGTTGCTGGCAAGGAAAACACAGCTCCCGACTTATGTGGGCAATTCGATGAGCTTCGCAAGCACCGGTCTCGGTGGAACTGTTGAAGAGGAAATGGAGGCCTTCAAGACGGTCGTTGACATTACCTTGGCCCATCTGCTACCTGTCATCCAGTCTCCCAGCCAAGCCATTTGACGTCGAGAACCATCAATCGTTGGAATATTTGTGGAATGCCATCTTTGTGGAATGCCATCACGGCCGGTCCCTCCGTGGATGAAGACTAACTGGCATCCCCAGCCTCTCAGGGTTACTGGGGTGACCCATCGTCAACGCCCAAGGTCATATTTGTCTGCACTTGTAGTAGACCCTTGGACAGAAGCCGTTGACGGGGTGGTGTATCCCGCAATTGCTCACCTGTGATCCTGCTTGGAGGCCGCTACGGCATCGAGCTTCTTGTCTTCGTATTGTACATACACTCTGGCATAACGTTAGACATCAGTCGCCATGATCACCGTCAAGGGGCGAAAGCAATACGTGTATTGTGCCACAGACGCCTCTGACTCTTGAATATAGTTGGCCGCCCACAACATAGCCCCCCACCTAAGATACCAGTTTCCCGCCGCTACGCGGCCAGTCCAAACTTCAACTTTATCCGTATGGGCTAGTTAACGTTACTTTTCATCGTGATGGTGGCACAAAGCGAGTGTTAGGAAGAAGAAACAGAACCATGCAAGAGTTTGAAACATTCCATGTCAGCCCGGCAACCTGACTGAAGAGCTCTGCTCTTACAGCGGGTAGTACCAACCGCAGTAACAAGTTTCAAAATTACTGATCCCTCAACTTCACGGTTTTGAAGGCCTGCTGCCAGGAGGTGCACCGCAAGTGACTACATAGGTATTATCGCACTTAAGGGTACATACACTGGGCTGCTTTAATTTACTAACGGTCCAGTAAGGTTTAAGTTAATATGAGTTGGACGTTGTCCCCTCATTGAATTTTGTTTTGTGCAAGGGCCACAGCGGGCCTGAAACCCAAAGGGCTAACTTTTAGTTTACTACAGTAACTTCTATCTGGCTTCACCCCACTTTGCGAAGCAACAGCATGCCATACATCACCACCAACCTTCAGCGCTTGAAACCCGAACACTAAAAGTTGACCAGGCGAAAATCTCGATCAACCCGCGGCGTGGTGGCCGCGATACTTCCATGTCAAACGCGAATTGACCGCCGTATCCGTCGCTATCAAACGCTCTGTTTGAAATTCCAGGCGCCCCAGCCGCCCTCTCCAAGCGCACTCAATAGCCCCGCTCTGCGCTTGTCGCATCGTTGGTTTCGTCGCCATGGATTGGCAACCTAACCACGAGTCGTTGAAGACTCTCGCAGCATGTCTCCGGGACTCGCTGAGCGGCTTCGACAAGGCCGCGCAAAAACAGGCCGAGATTGTGAGTTGCGACGGAGCCCTTGCCTTTTCACTGCGTCACTGCGATCGAGGGGAGCTAGCTAACTGAGGACCCTGCGTATAGATGCTGGCTCAAGCGAAAGCGAACCCCGACATCAACAACTACTTGGCCTACATTTTCTCGAGCGCCGAGCCATCTCCCGGTCTGACGCTTTCCGCGAGCGACTGGCACATGGTTCGCTCGGCCGCCGCTATCATGCTCAAGAACAACGTCAAGTCAAACTACAAGCAGATACCTGAATCTAGCCTCACTTTGATCAAGCTCGCCGTTCCCTTAGGTATTCAGGACAAGAACTCGCAGATCCGCAGCTATGCGGGCAACATCGCGACCGAGATGATTCGCCGGGGAGGCCTTTACAGCTGGCCCGAGCTCTTACAGGAACTGTTGAAGCTCCTTACCAATCAGACAGGCCAAGTATCGAACGAGGCCCAAGAGGGTGCCATGGCGGCTATGGCCAAGATTTGCGAGGACAACGCCAAGTTGCTGGAGCGCGAACACAATGGACAGCGGCCCCTAAACTTCCTCCTGCCTGAGTTTATCCGGGCGACCAAGAGTCCCCTTCCCAAGGTCCGCGCCCAGGCGCTGACGGCTATCAACGTCTTCACCCCCCGGAAATCCCAGGCCATGCTCAACTCGATCGACGATCTCCTACAGCATCTCTTCTACCTCTCTGAGGATTCCGTTTCCGACGTGCGGCGCCAGGTCTGCCGCGCATTTGTTCGTCTCGTCGATGCCAGGCCAGACAAGCTTCTGCCCCACCTCGGCGGACTGGTCGACTACATAATCGCACAACAAAAAAGCGACGACGAGGATCTTGCATGCGAGGCGGCCGAGTTCTGGCTCACCGTTGGCGAGCACGATAGCCTATGGAAGAATCTAGAGCCTTACATCCAGAAAATCATCCCCGTTCTGCTCGAGTGCATGGTGTACAGTCCAGAAGAGATCGCGACACTAGGCGGGGCATCGGATGATGAGGATGAAGAGGACAGGGAAGAAGACATCAAGCCTCAGTTTGCCAAGAAAAACCTGAAGCGCGGCGCCAACGGGGACATGTCTGAAGGTGCAAACCAGACAAACCAGAATGACAACGCGTTCGAAAGGCTGGCGAGCATGGACGAAGACCTCGAGGAAGGCGAGATTGACGACTTGGACGAGGAAGGCGACGAGAACCCGGACGAGAAGTGGACGCTCCGCAAGTGCTCGGCAGCCGCTCTCGATGTTTTCGCTACCGACTTTGGCGGTGCCGTCTTTACTTCCATCCTGCCCTACTTGCAGACAAACCTGAAGCATTCAGATTGGCCGTACAGGGAGGCTGCTGTCCTGGCGCTCGGTGCGGTAGCCGAGGGCTGTATGGACGTCGTCATTCCCCACCTGCCGGAGTTGATACCCTATCTCATCAGCTTGCTCGAGGACCCCGAGCCCGTCGTTCGCACAATAACATGCTGGACGCTCGGTCGGTATTCGGCGTGGGCGGCTAACCTGCGAGAGGCTGCCCAAAGACAAACTTATTTTGTGCCCATGATGGACGGTATCCTGAGGAAGATGCTCGACAAGAACAAGAAGGTGCAGGAGGCCGGCGCTTCAGCCATGGCAAACCTTGAAGAGAAGGCAGGGAAGCGCCTCGAGCCGTTCTGCGGCCCCATCATTCAGCAGTTTGTCTTGTGTTTCAGCAAGTACAAGGACAAAAACAGATGGATCCTGTATGACTGCGTCCAAACGTTGGCCGAGCACATCGGACCCGTGCTGGCTCGGCCAGAGCTCTGCAACCAGCTGATGCCCGCCCTCATCGACCGGTGGCAGAAGGTGCCGGATCAATCCCGGGAACTGTTCCCGCTTCAGGAATGCCTGTCCTATGTCGCAGTGGCGCTTGGAGACGCCTTTACCCCATACGCCGAGCCCATCTTTGCGCGCTGTGTCAATATCATCCATCAGAACCTGGAACAATCCATCGCCGCCACCAACAACCCCGACTTTGACCAGCCTGACAAGGACTTTTTGGTTACCAGCCTCGACCTGCTCAGCGCCATCATCCAGGCTCTCGACGACACCAAGGCCGTCAAGTTGGTTGAGAACAGCCAGCCAGCCTTCTTCGAGCTTTTGAGCTTCTGCATGGAGGACCCGGCCGATGAGGTGCAGCAATCAGCATACGCCCTTCTCGGCGACTGCGCGAAATTTGTGTTTGAGCAGCTGAAGCCCTTCCTGCCGTCTATCATGACCATCTTGCTCAAGCGGCTGGACCTGGAGACTACATTGGACGAGGAGGTTGAAGGAATCTTCAGCGTCGTGAACAACGCCTGTTGGAGCGCGGGCGAGATTGCCATGCAGTACAAGAAGGGCATGGCACCGTTTGTGCCCGAGCTGCTCCAGCGCTGCGTCGAGATCATTTCCAACCCCTCTGTGCCACCCGGCGTCAACGAGAACGCTGCCATTGCGCTGGGCAGGCTAGGTCTAGACAATTACGATATTCTCGCGCCACACTTGCCCAAGTTCGCTCATGAGTTTCTGACGTCCATGGACGATGTCGACCCGTCGGAGGAGAAGGCGACAGCGTTCAAGGGGTTCAGCATGGTGGTGGCGCAGAACCCGCAGTCGATGGAGAAAGATCTTCTTCATTTCTTCACTTCGATCGCAAGATACCAGGATCTGAAGTTGAGCAACCCCATCAAGAGGGAGTTGCATGATGTTCTCCAGAACGTAAGTTTTTGCAGTCCGCAACTTCCCGCCAACAATCTCAGATTTGAGCACTATACTAAACCTTCTTCTTATGCAGGTCATCAACATTTACCGGCAACTGATCCCCCAGTTCAACGAGTTCGTTGCCCAGCTGCAGCCCGAAGATCAACAGGCGTTGAAATCGACCTATGGGGTGTGATAGCGCCCCGTGGCCTTTTCTTCTTCCCCGTGTCTTGGTCGATATCGGGTTGAATCTAGGAAGGCCGGACCCATCTCCCCCAGACCAAGCACAAAGCATAAGGTACACAACCAACCGCTCACCTAGCTAGAGCGCTCGTCTCCATTTACGTTCATCTTTGCAAACCCTATGAAATCCATCACGCAAATCCATAGCAAGTAGGTAGCTGTCCATCGTTGGCATCAGGAAAAAACATAGCCCATTTGGCTCCTTGGTATTTTGACAGCATGACATGACGGCGAGGCTTAATCTAGTCGAAAGGATGGAAGGATGCTGAGTGATGAAAGGTCGGGCAGTCGCCCAACGTTGGCCATTTATCTTTTGCTTTTCTTGATTCCCGCTTGTTTGCTTTTTCTGATTTAAGGTCGTGGACGCGCTAGACTCCAACTTCCTCCATGTTGTGTGGGCCTGGATGAATGAAGAGGACTTAGGAAGTAAGGGGGGGTAACGGTATGAAACGTGGCATGGTATGGCATGGTATGGCATGGTATGGCATGGCATGATATGTGTCCAAGGCAGATAAGTGAACGTAAATGGGATTTCTACCTAATCTTCCCCCACTTGCGGGGGGAAGACGGGTGATTGTTTGGAGGAAGATGGCTGCTGTGCGTCTCAGGGCCGTTTGCTGAATCTTGACGGAGAGTCCGGAGTATGTGGATGATGATGTTTTGAGGAAGGACTGGACTGGGGCACTTACGGGAAACGGAGCTGGAGAGGGAAGGGAAGGGAAGGGAAGGGATGGGATGGGAACTTGGTCGAGATGGAGCTATCATGAGCTAGCGGTTGCCGGGATCATGGTTGGGGGTTTGCAAAACGGTCTCTACTGCCTTGTCACTTGTTTGCTCCGGCACACTTGATGGCAGGCAGAGGTTGCTTTGTCTCATGGGACACCGGCGGGAGGGAAGGGACACCACTGGACATTGAGCAGAGGGCGGTGGAACATTTGAGCTGGCCAGTACATAGATATGTGAGGGATGGATAACGTTCTAGATAGGTATGTAGAGGTATGTAGATAAGTAACTAGTAGCGGACTGTAAATTCACGGTCACCTCCTGGTACAATGTAGATAGATAATACAATAGGGTCGCTTGGTAGGCTATGTATGTAGTATGTGTAGCTGTCTGCCATCATCAACGAGGTACAAGTACCTTATCTGTAGTATTCTTAGGATGATCGTCGTTTTCCCAGTTCTAGTACTTTCTTTCCCAGGGCCACTTTTAAGGCAAGGCAGGATGACCTGCCCGATGGAGCCCACGCTGGTTTTTGTCTTCCACTCTCATTCTTTGGTTGGTCTGGACTTGAGTAGCTGGAGAAGTGTTGGAGTTTGGCATGATTATGACGTTGGTTGCCTGCCTTTTTCCATTGCTGGGCTGGCAGGCAGTGGTTGACTTTTGACGGGACCCGGGCCGTCAAGGTTAGGGCAAGTATACCCACCGATTCTCAACATCCAGTTTGGTACGTAACGTTATGTCCAGTTGCTCTGGCTAGGTATCTACCTACGAGCTGCCGGATAGCCCGGCGCTTTCAAATCCCCTTGCCCCGTGTTCTAAGGGGCAGAATTGAAATAAATAAAAAAATAAAATAAAAATAAAAATAAATGGGAAGGGCCGACAAGCCCCGTGTGAAAGTTTGTGGCGAGCGAGTTAGTAAGTACAGTAGCAGATCTGGCTTCAGGAGAGATTGTCAGCTGTTGGAGAGTTTTAATGAAGCTACCATCGTGACTCACTTCGGCGTGAGCATGTTTTTCGGTTCATGCTAGCGACTGCCTACCTATCCATGATTCCACGCTACTAATGCTTCCCATCTCTTGGCAAACTGAACACTCGGCTATAACGAAGTTCAGGACTGGGAAAGAGCAACATCTCCCGGCTCTGTGACAGTTGCTAACCCCGCCGGTGTCGGTGTGTTTTCGAACACAAACAAGCCTCTTAGTTTGGTTACCGAGGTGTCCACTGTTCTGTGTCTCCCTGGTATCATGTCAGCTGCCGGCTCGGATCTCTACTCTACAGTCTAGACACATGATTTTAGGGGCGTATACTGTAACCGGGGCGGTTTCGGGGCGTCGGATAGCCACAATCTTCTGCCATGTTTTTTCCGCTGAACCAAGTCGCTTCGGGTCTTTGTGTGGCCCCCTGAAAGTGCTCCATAAGCGCCACTGGACCTTCCATACATTCCGGTCACTGCGACGAATATCAAGTTGGTCTTCCAACTCTCTGTACTCAAGTTCGAGGGAATTGCACGCTCCCAAGCTCGTTGAACCGCTGCTGACAGCCAGACTTGATGTCGGATGGAGATCTTAGCCTGGATCTCAACCAGGCACCCACTCAGTGGTCGTGTAATGCCGCGTAATCCTCAGCCTTACCAACGGCTGTGCCAGACTGGGTGACTTGTACACTTTGACCCCTATAACGACTGCCTCAACCATAGCTTAAGGGTCTAACAGGCCAGCGGCATGGAACGCATTGCAGGAACCCGGTGCTATGGGACGCTGAGGGCTGAGGCTGTCCAATGAGGTAGAGGGGATGACATGTAGGTTGCTGCTACTGGTGTGAGTCGCATGTTTCTTACCTTTCACATCGCCTCTGTCGGTCAGGATGTTGCATAACGAAATAATCGAAGCCACTGATGGCTCTTGGTTGTAATGACCGTAGCCCGAAGCATGATTTCCAAGCACATTGGCCGGAGAACGAAACACGAACACCGGAGTTGGCGATAGATGATGGTGTTGACTGGACAAAGGGGTGTCGCCAGCGGTAGATTTGATCAGACGTGACTGAAGCCAGTCAGATGATTGGAACGGTTGCCCATGGTGTAGCGCGTACCTGCTGCCAGAGAGAACGGTGTTCGAGTCTCTTCAGCCGCTCTCTCGGTGCCAACGTCACATGGTCCATCCAGCGCATGCAATTCCGGGTTAGGAAAAGCGGATAAAGCCAGCTATATTTAGAGGGGCCAAACAGATCACTGATCACTGATCACTGACTGCAACAGAAGCCTGAGGCTTCGATCGCCCTGTGGCCTGTGGGTTTTTCCCTTGTGGTTTGGTAGCGAAATCTGTCCAGCATCTTCGACAAGAGTCCAACCCGCATGATTTTGCGCCATGGCTTGTGCTGTTTTAACGTTACACTGGTAGTGTAGGGCTGCTACCCGTCGGTCGCCAATCCTCCATCCAATCTTCTCGATCCCAGGGAAATGGGCTTTGGACTGTCTTGGCCGGGAAGGCGTGGTCGAGGTCCTGTCCTGTAAAATTAGTACCTGAGGTATTGTACATACCTTCTTTTGCTTACAATACAGCACATACATACAAAATGCAGTCGATGAGGTGAAGATGCGGGTATGTAACCCCGCGCCACCCGCTCAGATCAGAGACTCATCTGCGATTCCGGGTGAAGGCTTGACACCTCCAATGTTACATATCTCTCACCGCCTCTACGGTAAACCATTCCCGGGGCGAGCTGCAGTAGCCGTCCGATGCCCTAGTGTAGTGTAATGCCAGGCCACACTAGGCCAAGTGGGACGACAGCGCCTCTGCGGGCGGCGATGACGGCATGACGGCCGTTCCCGGGACTACTAGTACACTAATGGTCCATGAGCGCCACCATCAGTTCATCGAGAAGCCCTTCTGCCATGTTCGAAAGGAAGCAAATGGCGGGGTATGTAACTATATGCACCCAAGCTGCCCTAACGAAGGTATGGATGCAGGTCGACCTACACTGCATAGGGCCAGCTTCCCGATCGGAGCAGGGCGAACCTCCGCCAATGGACCGGGAATAGCAAAGAAAGAAAGAAAGAAAGAAAGGGAAAAAAGAGAGAAAGAGAGAGAGAGAGAAAATCACCTCTTGCAACCATACGGTATAAATGAACCTATGAAGCTATCCCGCGGTAGATGTCTATGGTGATGGTTTCCGCACCACTAGGTACAGTACAATACCACGGGATTTCTCTGCCAATGCCGTGGACCCTCCAAATCTTCAACTCCCCAGGCGGCGACCCGGCGCTTTGGGAATGGATATCGTAGTGCGCGGCACAAGGCCAAAGGCCCGAAAGAAACACCACGGTAGTTAGAGGCTGAGGCTAAGTTAACATTAAAGGTAAACTTACTCATCTCAAAACCTTAATCGGAAACTCCGTTGTGAGACGGCGTTACGGCGATTGGCGGGAAATGACAGCTACCTTGTAGTGTATCCGTACATACATACAGTACTGTACACATCAGAGGGAAGTTGGTGCGTGTAGAGTGTGTATGGAACTCTGCTTGAGGCAAGTGAGTGGTGGAACGTTGTACGTGTATTACACGAAACCAAACAATCATTGGGTCGGCGACTCGGCTGCCGTCTGTTCGGTCGAGTCAACAGAAGGTCAAAAAGCGGACTACACGTCAGCGTGGAGCCAACGACGGACATCGAAAGTTTAAGTTCAAAAATAGAAGCACACTAGGCCGTAACCAGCAACGGGATCCCATGCCATCCTCAGACGGCACGGCAATCCAGGGTTATTTTCCCGAAAGCTGCGGGGACCGACTCTGACCGCTCTGCTCTGCCCTTCAAAATTTCCCACCAAGAGGCCCTTGCGCACATTATTGTAGCGTAACGTTAACGTTATCCTGGCAGCCCTTTGCACAAGCAAGCGCATGCTCCATCATCAGCAATTCATCCCGCTCGACGTCCAGTCCATCTTGCAAGCGACCTGGGACCTTGTTCGTCAAAATCGGCCGATTTTGCAGTCTTGGCAGGTCAAACCGAGGAGCAGAGCTTCTCCAATGAGGGGAGATGAGGGGGAAGTTGCACCTGTGCCAGTGTGCATTGTTGCAGGTAACAGGGACATGAGACAGCTGGTGGGCGGGCCCAGGTTGAACACGAGAAAACGGTCGCTCTTTCATCCAACCAGGGATGCCAATGGCCGAAAGACAAAACACCTTAACCCCATCAAAACAGGTGGTTTGGACAGGGGTCCTGCACGACATGGGGCGCCAGGACAGTGGGGAGGACGGTGCCCCTGGTGCTTCTCGGGGTTCACCAGGATGCGTGCGAAGCGCGAACAGCGATCTGATGTTTGCACTGTTCTGTTTATCTTGATCGGTTGGGCCCAGTCACTTTTTAAACGCTGTTTCGCACTGTTATCCTCGCCTTGACACCTGAGACACCATGGTGCGCGAGATTGAAGAGGCCAAAAGTTAACTCACTCACATAGGGTATTCTCAATTCTCTGCATCCGCGGTGCTACCTAGTCTGTTAAGCCAGGGAGCCGAGGTGGAAGCGGGGCCGTGAGCCTGCCCCGAAGTAGTATAACCAAGCGCGACTCGGACCCAGGGCCTGAAAGGAAAGAATGAGCTCGAGCCGAGTTTCTGCGGAAACAAATGACATAATGGTTGGGGCAGCGGCTGCAAAGTCGGGCCTCGGTCCTGCTACTCGGGCCCGCGGCCGTCATGGTACATGGATTGAGAGACCGGCAACATCACCAAGCCTCTCCCAGTTGGCGGTGGCCCATTATGATTCCTGCCCGAGAGCACTCGGCACTTTCGAACCGGAAAAAGGCATCGCGGACGCGCTCCCCACGGACGCGGACCCAACCGATAGATGGGGTCTCAGTCTGATGCGGTCTAAGCCCCCCATCTGAACCCGTTCCGCTGGCAAAACATCTGTGCGTCACATTCGCACAATTAACATAGCGAGGTACTGTAGTGTGCAACTGGGGAGAGCCATAGACGGAGGAAAGGGCTCCCAACGAGAAATCGTCAGAACACTAGACGCAGTCTTCGACCATGGACCCCTCCAATCTGCACATATACCTACCTATCTGCTTTCATTCGGGGATTCTGGACCGGCCAGAGAGGAAAAAAATCGAGCACGGTCCGGTAGGGTAGCATCCATTTAGCTACAGAACGCAGCATCTGGAAGGACTACCTGCAGCATGCATGACCCAAGCTGGCCGGTGACAGGCCGTTCAGATGCATCCTACTATCGCACCCGGATGGATTGGACCCTTTAGGGTCATCTCCCAGCCACTCCGCTTCGGAATATTGTTAAATGACCTTGATAAACAGCAAACAGAATAGAGCGGCGGCGGCGGCGGCGGCCCCCCTCCTTTTTAGTAACACAAATCATAAAGGATTCGCTGCGTGTTCAGTGAGCCAAACGAGACTGTAAGGACTTTTCAAGATGGAATGGCAAAGTGTCGACTCCGCCGCACAGAGGCGGCGGCAGTTGCGTGTAAAAACTAGTAGATGGTCAATATGCGAACCAGCCGAAAGGGGCTATTGTTTGGGACAGGAAAAGGGGTTTGTCACGGTTGGGCAGAGTTCAAGTTGTCGGGCACTCCGCCTCTAGTTGCTCTGTTACTCGGCCCGGTGTGATGACAGTCTAACTTACGAGCTTACCAGATGACATGCCTGGTTGGACTCTGGTTGCCACTGCTAGAGCGTGCCTGGTCAACGCAGTGTTTTGTAGCAGAGTAAGCACAAAACAAAACTTTAGGGCCTTGGGCTATCCCACGGATGGAGAGGTTGGGCTGCTCCGCCCCAGTGGATTCTCTGCTCTAGCGATGCGCTAACCCGGGGTTTGTTGGCTCGGACGATTGCCATTGGCAATTGGCAGGCAGCGGAAGCAATTCCGACGTAGTTAACGTAGCCCATAAGGATCCATACTTTTCGGTCACTTGTTCGCGGGCTCAGGGCTGCGTCGAGAAGCTAGTGTAGAAGCGAGCATCCAGCACTAGGGCCATATCTGGGGTGTAAGGTAAGGTAGGTATGTATTGTACTGCATTACGGATATCATCAGCGTTATGGTACGAGTAATATCGATACGCTGAACTGTTGATATATCAACTTGAAGTTTCTCTTGCGAAGAGTCTTAGCTTCCATGACATCTCGTGCCGTCTTGATGCGGTTGTTCTTGAGATGACAGCCAAGATCTTAGTTTCGGGCCCATCCGAAAGATCGCCATCTGTCCTGACAATCGGCCATGGCTGTATGTACATACATACGGTTCGTATGTAAAGTGCTGCCCGACGGTGCACCAATAACAGTAATTTACATACATACTCACTCTTGCCTAACATGGCAGGGCTGCTGCGTTAACAGTTCACAGCAGTAACGTAACATTGGGCAAGCCCAGGTCAGCTGTATCCCGTCACTGCGCTGCAAAATCGGCCGTCGTTGGCCAGCCCTCAGCAAGCGAATAGCACCTGCATGAACCAGCACTCATGCCGCACTCGCAGAGCAGTAATTCTCACCTGCTGGCAGTTTCCACGACGCTTCGACGGTCACGGTGGATTGGGCCATTTCTTTATTCTCTGCAGACGTCGGTAGCAATCGACAAACCCGTCCTCGTGCCGTCTATCCCAAGATGTTGCATCGCCTTCTGGATTGCAACGAGTTATGGTCCAGTAAACCTGACGGGATGTAATTATTCTTAGCACACAAAGAGCGAGCATCGAACTCTGCCCGACTTGTGGTGTCCTGACGGGATGCAAGTGTCTCGCGCCTTTTCTTCTGTGGCTTTTGGTGATGCAGTAGAGATCCCAGCCGCTAGCCATTTGGGGATTGGATTAGGGCCGTCACGCTCAGTGGAGCGCCAAAAGCCATGGGTCACTCTTGACCCTTGTCAGTTATGGCCGCCATGCTTTCCCGATGGGGTAAACGCCCGCTTTCTTTCCCCACGACTCTCGCGTGGTGCAGTAAGCTACAGTAGCGCAGAGCGGTATTTAACTTTGCAGCTCCCCCGAACGCCGCCATCCTTCCCTCCTCTCGGTCTTGCATATACATCATCCCAACGCTGCTTCAGCCCCGTTGCTGCACCTCCACCACTCACGTTCGCTTTTTGCAACTCCCCAAGGAAGTCCTCGTCGACTCCTGTCATTCGCTTGTTTCCTTTATATTTATTTTTTTTTGTTTTGTGTGCTTGGAGAGCCTCGAGACCAGAGAAGTCGCTAAACCCCTGTCCACCCTTGGGTCCCGGTGTAATCACAAGTTGCTCTGCAAGATCTCACAACAACCATCTGCAAGGCAATAACCCCGGCAGTTCAAGAACTCCTGGGAACGAAGACCGGATGCTTGTCTGCAGGGTCTAGTCGCTCTCAGCCTGTACTCTCGCTCAACTCTCTGCATCTCTCCAACGCAAGAAGAAGTGTTCCACGATCGCTACTGTCAGGGAAGGGGAAAGGAAAGCTTCTGGAACGACACGAAGACGGACGGTCCCAAAGAATCGAGTATCCAAGGGAAGAGGAGGCTTTATATCGCTCGCTCGGCTTAGCCAGTTACTCATCTCGGCCCCCGAGGCTGCTTCGGCTCGTCACCAGCCGAGAACGTAACGTCACTTTAGTCTATCTGACTCTACCCCGTGTCGGACCTGCCGAGGGAGGCGGTACAGTCTCGTCCCCGACTACGCTTTGTCAACATAGTGTCAGCTCGATTCACAGTCTCGCGCCATTCCTGACCGCCAACCCGCTACTTTCGTTCTGCCGCTCAGGATACGTCGTGTGTCTACTTCATGTAAGGACCTCAAGCTCAGATAAAAGCCAGCATGTTTCGGGTGTTGACTGTGCTCCAGTTCTCTCGTTAATCTTGTACCTCTCCAACCCCTATTAATAATAATGGCTGGTCCCGGTGGTGGTCCCCCTCGTCGGAGGTAAGTGCTGCTTGCTGATTCCGTCTTGCTGCCGTACTTGTATTGTGCTCTACTAACCACGACAATAGCCATACCAAATCCCGAAAGGGGTGTGATACTTGGTAGGCTTGTCCCAACACCCAACCAATTGCACCTCCCTCCCATCTCCCTAGCTATTCTCAGTGCCTCTTGTCTTAACACTGCATTACAGTAAGCGCCGCCATATCAGGTGTGACGAGAACTTCCCCCAATGGTAAGAAGCTCCTGAAGGCCCTTCCCCAAGCACCTGACAGTTCTTAGCGGCTAATCATACCTTCCAGCCGCAACTGCACCAAGCACAAGATCCGCTGCCCCTATAACGACATCACGGTCGCCGAGGACAGGGCTGGTTCTCCTGATAAGCCAGACCTGATGTGGACGCCTGAGATTGAGGCCGAAATCGAGCAATGGCAGCGCACGGGCATGTTTCCTTTCCCGAGCCTGGGCGTCTATCCTGCGCCCGCGCCCGAGCACCTGACCCTCGAGGACCTGAGGTTGATCCATCATGTTGCTTCCATCAGCAATCAAATGCAAGAGATGGGTGCCAGCGACTTCACCCTCTGGACGCGACAGATCCCAACGTAAGTCTGCGCCAAGCTGCCATTGTAGGGGAGCAATGCTCATTGTCTTTGCAGGATCATCAGGATTGGTGCCACTCACCGTTACGTCTTGCATGCGCTGCTGGCCTTCTCTGCCATGCATGTTGCATACCTGACCGACTGCCCATTGGTTGGGAACATGGCATATGAGCATCGGGGAATTGCTCTGAAAGGCCTTCAGGAGGCCATCGGTACTTTTTCCAGGGAGACTTCTGACGCTATCCTCGCTGCATCCCTGGTCCTCTCATGGCAAGCCACAGATTGGTAAGCAATAATATGCATCTACCCGGCCTACACCGGTATTGGGCTAACCTCGATTGCAGGAAGAGCTGGACCCAGCTGATGCAAGGAACCTCATCCGTGAGTGACGTGAAGGGTGGAAACTCAAAAGCGTTGGCTAGTGTTTTACTAACAACAGCCAGGTTATTGAGGCCATGGAACCCTGGAAACACGAGTCGCAGTTCGGCGATTTCATTGCCGAGAGCTGCACATTTCCAACTGCTCCTCCTTCTCCCACTCCGGACCACAAGCCTAGGGAGCCTCGCGAGGACGATATGGAGGCTTTCCAGCGTGCTCTGCAGCAGCTCCAGAAGCTCGAAGCGTACCTCAAGAAAAACCGCTTGGACACGAAGCCGGCCGCTCAGCTGATCACTTTCATGAAGGGTTCTCGCAAAGTCACTTCAGCCCTGCCAGTATGTAAGCAGTTTGAACGTCTGCGGCCTCTGCGCACCTGGCTCTTCTGGCTGCCAGTGATGCACCTGCAGCGAACCCATGGATCACCAAGCGCCTTGGTCCTCATTGCCCACTATTACACGGCAGCCCTGCTGATGGAGCGTCTCTTCCCCGAGATCGGTGCCGCGTATTTTGGGAGCATGACCATTGGCCCGGTTGAGGCGATTGCCCGCCGTCTGTTTGCGTTGCATGGCTCAGGACAGCTGGAGGAGGATCTTCAAACGCCATTGACTCTCATGGAATTCCCCATTGACACTGTCAATGAGTTCCGCTCGCGGATGGGATGGACTCAGCCTGTGCGCACACCCTCGTTTCCCACGTTCGACCCGCCCAATTTCTACATGAACGAGGGCTCGCCATTGGTGATGCCGGCGGCCATGTCTTCTGAGTACCTGCCCTACGGAGACAACCTGGCCTTCAGCTACAGCACTGAGGATCTGTCCGTGCCTCCCGAGACCGGTCCGAGCAGCGCCATCAGCCCGCTTCAGCTGTCGTCGCCTTTTACCAATCCACAATATCTGAGCATTCCCAGCCCGTCGTACGGGGGTTATAGTCCTGCCTCGAGCACGTATGGCGACTTCGGCGACGCGTCTCCGGCTGTGTACAGCGACACTGAAGACTCGGGTCCATATGGCGCTGGTTACGCCGCCACCTCACCCATGCTGGGCAGTGCCAGCCCTTATGGTGTCGGGTTCGTTCCTCCAATCCAGACCGTGTGGACTTGAAATTAGGGTCGCACGGAAAGGGCCGCTGCCCAGCTGCGCAAGGGCATTCATAATTAACAATGGCGACCAGGCCTTCGTTTCTGAGCACATCTCCCAATCACCCGCCACCTGAGGATCCTCCTTCATGGCTACCGCTTCGACACCAGAGTTTCGTCCCCTCGCCTTTCCTGAGCCCCGAGCAGTTGTCTTCGCTCCCCGTTCCGGAGCCGCCCGTCTCACCGCTCTTGTCGCACTCGGAGCACGAAGAGGCTGGCATGCCGGGAAACACCACGATTTCCCCGCCACGAGCATCGGAGGGCCATGTCAAGGGTGAGGGCAAGCAGATCTAGCAATATACCTTGCCCTCACCCTCTCCCCACCCCCCGTTCCTGGTCACGGATATTTCGAGCTTGTCCCTTCTTTGTCAAGCATTCAATCTGCTCGCCACTTTCGCTACCTCAACACAGACGCCATTGTACACGACGCTCCTTTAACGATCATAATCCCGACTCGACAGCAGCAATCCCACAGCATCATTACGCTGTGTTACACTCCTTTATGACTGCGACGATCTCACCTAATATCGCAATTTTTGCAACGACGCTCCTTTGTCAAACAACACCCTGAAGATACCCACTATTACCGCTCCTTTGCACCGGCTGGTCCTTGCGGCAAACTATTAGACGTTCCTTATTCTCGGATCAAACGGTTATGACCAACTTTATAGACACTCCTTTGACGACTTGTATCATGATGAGGCATTCATCGGCATAGATTCACTCCTTACGGACTCACTTCGGATGATCATGATACCCAACTGCATAGCGACTGTTGTTTTGGTTTGCTTTTGGCATTTGTTTTGGGGGGAGCCTTGGCTGTCGACGCATGTCCAGCCCTCTGTTTTTTTGGCTTAATGGTGTTTATCGGCTGTTTTTGTTGCATTGGGCGGCGTTGATTTGGATTTAACTAGGTGTTGTTGCATAGTGTGTTTTGTGGCACATGTTCAAAAAGGGAGGATAATCTTGGGTGCTCAACGGAACTCGCAGGGTAGTAAGCGCTTGGTTTTGGGATAATATTAATTGTAACAAAGGGATACATAATAGGCTGTGAGCCTGGATAATCCAATTGAGAAATTTGTTCAACGATCAATTCCAAGCAGAGCGGCTGTCGAGAGACGGTGATGAGACGGTGTTGTGTGGACATCGTTGCTCGGAAGTCGAACCTTCCGATGTATTGGCGTTGATGATTAGAATGCAGAGCGGCGAGGGGGAGGTATGTTGATTCGTCCCGGGAGATGGCCAACACCACCAACACTTGGTAAGATACAGGGCCTCGAGGGGCCTAGAGATGTCCCCGTCGCTGTTCGTAGTCCAAGCAATTGCTATTTCAAGTTGAGATGGCTTACAGTATGTGACCCATGATCCAAAGTCGATTCAGAAAGACGGGAAGCTGCTTCCGGCATCAGATCTGGTAGTGAGGCTAAGTCCGGTCAAGCGAACAGTTGAAGCTCTACGTAGATAGGTACCGTATTGTACAGTACATACACTAGAGGGTTATGTGATGTAAGTGTATAACAGTTTGGAATTGTTAGCCGATGCCAACGCCAGCCACCCGAGCGTAGCTAGCAGTTATGAATCTCCAGTCTCGCCGCAGAGCACGTGTGGAAGGAGGCCATCAAGGGCATTTGAGTCAATCATTGTAGCGAGAGAGGTATACTTTGGAGGCTGAAGGCTTGACATCAAGCCCCTAGGCATATCCTGTACGGTCTCTGAGAACGTCTCATGGACGAGCTACGAGACGAGGGGGTTCTAAGGACTTTAGCTACCGGTATCACATATGATGTTGATGTCTACTTGAGGGAAGGATGGAAAGGGGTAAGTTGGTGACTGAGCTATTGTCTCCTTAAAACAGCGGCGGGTTTTCAAGCTCACCACTAGAAAAAAGGCGCGCACATATATACGTCTCTTCATTGGTATAGCACGTTCCCGCAAAAGATATCAACCTATGGACCGCCCACCCTTACTCCAGACACCGCTTCCGAGGAGAAGAAAAGAAAAAAAAGCCAAGTCTTTTAGGACAGCTGTTGCCGAGCATGAGAAGTGGTTACAACCTGCTCATGATACCCTTACCCATGCGCCATGGTATCAATCCTGCGCGTCCGACCTCCCATTCGCAGATTCCTAGAGCATTCAACCAACCCTGCTTGTGAGAATGCCCACACACAGTCCCCCACGGGGTACAATTCCATTTCATCGCGTAGAGAGACCACGACTTCTCGCGTACCGTCATCGCGCAGACCTCACGGTCCTCGCACTATCACTCCTTTCCCGGCCCGCACCTTGCTGGATAGCATCCTGATAGCTCGGAATCGGCGGGCTCGGCGGGCCCCGCGAGGGTGACGGCCTGTTGTTGTTGGCGCCGCTGTTTGCCCTCTCCCGCACAGTCGCTAACGACCCCCCACGGCTCCTAGTGAGATGGATCAACGGCGTGTTCTCACTATCACTACTATTTCTTCTGCTTTCCGTCTCCGCATCTGAGTGCTCAGGGCTGGTGTATTCGGGGGGTGGAGGATTGTTGGCGTCATCTACACCGAGGATAACGGACGGCTGGTTGGGGCCGTTCGCGGCCAGCACCAATGCTGCAGCGCTGCTGCTGGCTTCCCCAGAATCGTCCGTTGGCGCTAGGTGGGCGAGCGAGATGTCAGTTGGGCTGCGGAGAGGCCCTGGGCTCGTGGGGGAAAGTACGCGTATGTTCCCCGACCTCGAGCGGGCATGGCCAGGATCCAATGTGTTGTGGCCGTGTCTCGAGTACAACTGGACTGAATGGCTGTGACGGTGACCGCGAGCCTGTGAGCTTGTGAAGCCGTCTTTGGTCCCAGCTTCAAGAAGGATGCTCCCTTGTTCTGACCCATATGGCGGCGGCGGCGCCAAGGAGCCCGTCATCGGCGCAAGGCCCCACTTCTTCACGTTGGCCTCGATAAAGACAAATCCAGCTTGGCCGAAATTGACATGGACAACGCATGGTCCGTTTGCGCCGACCGCAGGGAAGAAATTCTGCGACTTCAGTCCGTGAACCACGTCTTCCAATTTCCTGCCGTTGCGTGTAAAGAAAATCGTGCCAGTCCGGGGACGGTAGCCAACCCCGATGACATCGCCCTGCACGATCTGTGGCCCATAAGGGGTAGCTGTGAACGGTTGATTGTAGCGTCGTGTGCCGTTGGACAAGTAGGCCACAGAGTATTTGTGGAAGCCTATACATTGATTAGCATCAATCTGGATAGCAATCATGATGGTGGTGCCATCTTACCGGGTAACCTGAACAACGGGTACGGCTTGGTGGCCATGCCTATGCTTATCAAGGAGCTTTCGGGCTTGTCGTAGATTTTTGCTTCCCAGTAGTAAACGTCGTTTTGCTTTGGAACTGGCAGGTTGCTCATCACAGTGCACTCCGAATCGAAGAACTCGATCTCGGTCCGGGCTTCAACAAAACAGTTTGCAATCTCTAGCTCCGGCTCGAACTCCCATGCTGATACGCCCTTTTCTTGGATGGCCAGGTACTGGGACAGTGAGATATCGGTCTGCACGGATTCGGGAGGGTTCGCAGCGATGAAAGCTGCCCGGCCGTGTCAGCATCTGCAGACAGCTTATGTGTGGGATGAGCGTGGCCTACCCTTGGCCCTTAAATACTCTGTCCTTTGCATATCATCCATAGTCTCGAGGGCCTCGGCCTCGTCCCGCGCAAACGCCTGCTCATCATCGTATTCACCTGGCCGGCCGATGCGGTCGAGAAATATGCGTCCGGACGCTGTGTATCTGAAGAAGTAAAACGCTAGGAAAATGCAGAGGATCAAGATAGCAGATCCAAATGATGATAAGAGGCCGATGACGACGCCGTTCAGCCCCGGGTTATAGCGGGCCATCTTGGAGGATTAGCGCACCCGACCGGGGCGCTCGTTGTTTGTGAATCGCCGAGTTGGAAGGGCGAACCGATCGAGGGCGGTCGCCGCCCAAGCCGTGTGACGGCCTGAGAACCCCAAACTCTCTTCCTTCCCGTTCCTACAATCCTGGCGGTACCCGCGATGCGGCTTTGGGGCGGTTAATATTTCCGTCGTCGTTTCCCACGAGTCGAAGTGAGGAGAGCTGTCTAATTCGAGCGTTTGGAAAGTAATGATGAGGAGGGCGATAGGGCAAGGGTCGGAAAAAGAAAATCGTAATCGAGTGCGTCGATGGTAGAGCTTATCGCGTGTGGTTGGGTTACCAGCCCGTGAGAGCCTGCAAGTGCGCTTGGCTGAAGGTGTATGGTGTATGTCAGGTGGGCGATCAGGACATTGGTGTGTCACGCTGGCGGGGACAACGCCGATATGACGAATGACGAACGCAAGCAAAGTAACGGCGAGGAAAGGGACGGCGTCGACCGGCTCATACGGAATAGAGATGCGTCAAAGACAAGAGAAGCAGAAGAGGGTTAACGGGATGCAATAGATAGTCAGCAAAAGGTATTTGGAAGGAAACCGCACAGTATTTGATCTGCACTACTAAAGATGAAGGAGGAAAGCGAAGGTTGGATGGAATGCCATCGAGTGCCCTTGAATGCTCTTGTTGCTGGACGATGGCTTCAGCATTGGGGGCCCTGGCCCGCAGCTCAGGCCAGCGGGAGAAACGGGATTAGCGGAGTTGGCACGCTATCAGCAACCCAGGAATGGCATGGCGGCAACACGATTGAGCACTAACTTATCGGGTGGCGGGGGTGCCTGAGCAGTGAGCTAAGACATGAACAAGGTTGCTCCAGTGGATGACGCTGCCTGGGCCCCGATCTACTGTAACCTTCAACCTGTCCCGTAAAGCTGGTCGTGACGGCCCAAGAAAGATATTCGGCATCCCATCCGTCATCGGCGACGTTTCCAGCAGCGCCGACGCCGATTGCAAATGATTCAGCCACCTTTCCATCGCATTTCTCTTTGCCCTCGGACCCTCCTGGGTGCGCTTGTTCGTGGTGCATAACAATCAACGACACATCCCTTCAATGCGGCGCCTCAATTCAGCGGGGCGGAGGGGCTGAACCAGTTTCAGAACTAGCACAGCAGGGCGGCACAGGTCCAGCTGTAGCTCGCAATGCTGTCCGTCGGCCAACAAAGACAGGACGCAGGACGATCTGTTTCGGGTTTGCTGGGTTCTTTGGTTGTTTCCAACACCGTTGGCCGCTATAACCGCCCAGCAGTTTTCTGAAAGCTATACTTCTTATACAGGTCACGCATGTCGCTATCACCAACTACACCATAACGTCGATTTCTCAAGAGATTTTGGGACGGCCGACTTTGTTCCCGACTCTGGAGGCTGAGAATAGACTTCGGGCCTGCGTGCGCGGCGTACGCGCCATTGTCCGGGACCATTTGGGCAGGGAGGGAGACCTTGACCCAGCACCACAACCTTAATCACCACAACCTTATCCAGTGCAGTGCCTATCTACAACCACTTCATTCCAGATTTCCAGTCTTATCGGGTGGCTACTTTATCACTGAGTAATTATGTGGCTAGCCAACCAAGAAGAGTGGTGAACAAGTTGCATGGCAGAACTTCCATGACCTATTTGCAATCTTCTGAGCCGGGCCGCTGGAAACTCACACAGGCCACATCTGCGCGGCAATTCCATCCCGAGCTTTCCGACAAGATGAAGAGCATTTGTAGCAGCAAGATGCGCCGGCGATGGCGAAGGCATGGCGTTTATTTACCCTACATAGGTACAACGTGGAAGTCATACCGGTACTATCGTCTCCTGCAAATCGTACTCTTCATCAATGTGAGGACCATACCATAATTGACGTCATCAACCAACAAATGGGGATCGCCCGTACTGTACCACCAACGCCAGCCCATGATCGCGAACCATCTCACACAAACCCTATCATTGCTCAATTTCCCCCCATCGACAGCGCCACGATTCACAAATGTAGCCTCATCACTCATTGCCATCAAGCCACGCTACTGTCCCCATCACCCCCACCGCGGTGCCTTCTTGCCCCGGCACCACCCCTCTTCTTCCTCTTCTCCTCGGTGTAGGCAAAGTCGCTCACCGAGGACGCCGTCGGGATGTGGTGTGGGTGCTGGTACACCTTGGTACCAACATCCGTGCTGCCGACCTCGCTCTCGACCCAACTTCCCGGAACGCGGGAGTCGGTGGCACCGCCGCCATGCCTCGAACGCGAGCGTGCACGCGATTGGGACTTGTCATTGGTTGACGCAGTGACCTCGCTGACATAGGACCCGCCGCTGACGACGCTTTCCGTCTGCTCGTCGATGCGGCGCAGCGCCACCGTCTCGTCGGCGCCGCGCGTGAAGCTAAAGTCACGACGAATCCGCGACGCCTCGCGGCCCTTTTCCTGCAGCCGGCGCGCCTCGGCCCGGATGCGCTCGTTCTCGCGCACCGCGTTCTTGTCCGCCGTCGAATAGACTTTACGAATGCGGCCGCCCGAGCGCTCATTTCCGTCTTTCTGCTTGGTGGGCGTGCTGGTGGGCGTGCGCTCGCGATTGTTGAGGAGCTCCGACGTGACGGTGCTGCCGCTTTCAACCGTGGACGCTGCGACATTGTCGTTGGCATGGCTTGGGCTTGCTGTTGACCAGCTGGGGTTTGTGGAGCCGTCCCAGGTCGACCCGTCGGCCTCCCGGTTGATGCCGCCCACGCGGGCAGGCTTTTCGTGACGGTAGCTGCGCAACTGCTCCTTGGCTTCGGCCTCGGCCTCCTCGTCGACCAGCACGCCGTCCTGGCCGACCTTGCGGCGCGATTTCTTCTTCTCCTTCTCACGCGCCTTCTCCTCGCGGCGGCGCTCCTTCTCACGCTCCTTCTGCTCGCGCTTCTTGCGCCGCTTCTCCCGGCCCAATATGTCCGACACGCCTCCGGTTATGCCCGTGATGCCAGTGGTAGCGCTCACAACCGTGGTCAAGTCGTCGCCGGTCGTGGTCGTGCCGTCATCGACATCCTTGTAGACACTGCCGCCGCCGAGGATGGTGCTTGGCGTCGCGTTCGAATAGATGGTGCCGTTGGGCCCCTTGCGTCGCAGCACCGTCGACTTGTAATCCTCCCAATCGTTCTTCTTGAAGTAGAAGCCGCCGTTCTTGGCCCAGAAAAAGAACCAGATGCCCAGTATGACGAAGCCGGCGCCAATGAGGCCGAAAACGGCAAAAACGGCGTTGTTATTGATTTCGTCTGGACGCAGCGCGCCCGAATGAGGATCCCTCTGTGGCTCGGCCGGATCGCGCGCAAGCAGGACAGAGCGCGCGCCCAATGGTCCAAGAGAGATGGCATCAGGCGCCGCACGAAGGACGGGCGAGAGGATGTTGCTGACAATCGCAGGAGCCATGGTGTTGAATGGTTGTTTTTTTTTTCGTTTGTATGGTTGGGCCTGTCGGGAGAAACAGTGAAGTAATCGCACGTTTTCTTGGGTATTTCCGGCTGGTCAACCAGCCGGAGGGATGTAAGTTGGATTCACGCAGTCAGATTTGTTTGGTGCGTATCGATGCGGTTGGCTGTGGTGACAGTGCAGTGACAAGAAACATGAAGGCTCTAGGATTCGTAGGTAATGGGTGAATGCAGACTACCCACCGCAAAAGCCGACGCCAGATTGGAACCTAAACTTAGGAGGGTGAGAGAAGACGATTGCTTGTTGATTACGGAGCAGTGGTGGTTGACCCAGAAACTGGGAGGCTGGGCTGGAGGGGCTGGGAAAACGACCAAAACAGCGGCAGGGGAGCCAACAACAGCCTTGTGGATTGCCCAATCAACATTGATCACTGCCTACCCTGCAGGAAACGGTTTTAAATGAGGTTTCTGTGGAATTAACCAACTTACAGAAGTAACTAACTTTTCAGTTCAACTGTGGTTATTCTCTGGGGATGACGTACGTAAACATCTTCACCGCTGCCCGGCAACGACCAGGCAACCAAGTTGTATCCAGTCCGGTGGCACATCTCTGCCAAGCCTTTCTATCCTTCCCCACTTCTCCGTAAGGCAGGCAACCTCCTACCCGCTCCGACGGAGCGGCTCCGTCGACTTAGGCCCTGCTCCAGACCACCACATTATCATAACGCAAAGTTGGAAAGTGACCTTTCTGATCTGCAGCACTAGTGTGTGTGGGCATAGGGCAAGCCATTGTACTGCTGGGGCGCTGCCCATAATGCTTTCCAATTGGCATTAGCGTATTTGGGTGGTTTTTTCGGACTTTTGCTGCGAGAAGCTTGGCAACTAGGCCTATAGAGGGAAGGTTCTGTGGGTATTTTGGCCTGCATTAGCGCGGTACACTGCCTCTTGGCAACTTCGCATTATAGCGCTGGGTACCCGAAGTCGCGCCAATTATTATGGCCCAAAAAGGAAAGGCGTGAGCGATTTTCCCGCGCACGCGAATTTTTCGGTACATTGGCCAAGTTGCCCAACTTTGCGTTATGCTAATGTGGTCGTCTGGAGCAGGGCCTTACACGCATAAATCCCCTCTCTTCCCGCCTTCGCTTGAGAAGCCGGCGCGTTAGAGAATAATTGGCCGTCAACTTCATGTCTGGAACGCCGTTACCCCAGTTACACATCCGTATATTTATTGGAGAATATCCAACAGTTTCGCCGCTCCGTTCGGAAGAACGGAACCTAAGTTATGAGCTAAACGTATCGGGGTGATGGGCTTCCTGTTTGGGGGATGTGCGGCAAGGACAAAAGCTGCCGTCTAACTTAGCGTTAGCATCATTAGGCAGTGTGTCTCCATGTCCATTTGCTTTCATCGACCAGTCCTTCCTGCTACGTCGTATTGGATCGCCATCTGCGAAGTTCTCTGGCATCCCTTGGGATATGCTACACATCTTATTCGTCGAGAACCCTCGCTCCCGCCTCGCCTCCCACCCCTCTTTTGGGGAGCCGCCACACCGTGGCAATGAAAGTAAGTAGGATATGCGATATGGCTATCAAATGTCCACCCCCGTTTATCGTCTCGGAAGTGTATCACGAACCTCCGTGGTCTGTAACACAGAGCAATGTGGGAAACCATTGCCAGCGAATATGTCCGGCAGCTTGGGCCTCGGGCTGACATGCCCGCAAATCTCCACCAAAACAAGTATGTGTACTTCGTGGGGTGGGTAACAGCTGTAAGTAAAACAAGGTTTCATTATTATTATTATGACCTATTAAGAGATATGAGAGAAAGGGCTGCCGAGACGAGTAAGTCGACGTATATATGAATAGGTAGACATACATATCGAACACCCACACATGGGGTTTGGTTCAACTCCAGGATTTTCGGCTGGCGCAACCCAGCTCTACCGGAGGGAGTCGAACCCCCTTGACCGAGTTGTCGTTGCCCGTGTTGTGTAGATATTCCAGATAAAGAAGTGTGAGCTTCAATCGCGAAGTCATAATCTATTGTCGCCTAATCTTGGGGAAGTGCTTCCTGCCGGCCATGAATGAATCAACCGATCCAGATGCGAATGCGGAAACAGGTTTTGTGGCTTCAAACACGGGGCTATGTGAAGAGAGGACAGTCTGGCGCAGCCGGATCCGCCTCAAGAACACAAACGTTCGGCAGGGATATATCAATCTTGCCCTCAGCGACAATGAGTTAAAGTAAGCGACAAACAGGGACCAAGGAACCATGGCTGGGATTACACCCACGCCCAAGAAACCTCCCAAATCAAGGGATACTGAAGCGTCAAAGCCAAAGGGAAAAGCAGAAGAATAACTGTCCAAATAGTATCGTCGGTATAAATGCCAGGTTGCTTTTCCCGTCCCGGTTCGGGGTATAGACCGTCCTCCCGCTAAGCCAAGACTCGACCCAACACTGAGAGCCTCCTTGTTTAGGAACCGAGGATACAATGAGAACAAGAAGCAAAGTGGTATAAAGAAAACAAGATAGACCAGCACCCTTATCCGCAAAATTGGGCACTATAGCCCGCACAAAATAGAGGATCAATGAACAGGAAAGATGAAAACCATCGCTTGCTGAGATGTAGTCCAAAGAAAAAGACATTAGAGAGTTGGCACACAAATAAACAACGTCATTATCGTCATCGCTCAGCGTCAGCGGGTCCAGAGACCCATCGTCATCAATCTCATCATCGTTGTTGTCGCATTGCCATCACCGAACTTGAAATCCTATTGGGGTACTCGTGCAAGGATCTCAAAACGCGCCGCCATAGTACCCGTCATCCGGTCGTGATGAGTAGGCAGAAGGGTATGGAGGGTAGGGCGGCGGTAGTGGTTGAGGATAATCATAAGCGTCATAATCCGAGCCAGCGTCATATTTTGCGAAATTCCGTGAATATGATCTCGCTCGAGAACTCGCCCGCGCTCGTGCGGATGGGATGTCTACTCGTGTTCGACGATCGTCCTGGTCTAGGTAGCTCGACCGATCGCTACTGGCCCGGATATCCGCGGTGCCACCCCTCGAGCTGATGTTGATCTCAGCCCCGTCCTGGCACTGAAATTCTGCATTTCCAAGCTTGAGCACCGTGCTCCCCTTTACCCGGATCGTGACATCTTCGTCGTTGTTGGCGCTCGATCTAGTCGTCCGGGTTGTTGCCGACTGTCTATACTCGCTGCTCTCGTCATGGCTTCCAGAACTCTTGGTGGACCTGCTGCTGCCGCCATTCCTGACCGCCTTGCGGAGACTTTCGGCCGTTAGGGGCAGCTGAGAACCACCGGCAACGTCATCTTGATAGCGTGTAGCTTGGCGCACCTTCTCCTCGTATGCGCTTCCGGAAGAAGCAGAATGGCCACCATAGTATGAATGACGTCGATGGCCTTTCCCTGCTACTTCGGTGCGGAAGTCGTGGATATCAAACGAGGCTTCTGTCGCACCAAAACTTGGCCGTGGCCGGAACGGCATAGGCGGTGTATAGCCGTAGCTCGCAGGTGCAAGTGGGGAAAGGTCACGGAAAAGAGGGTCATCATCATCTGGATCGCGATCCTCAAACCCCACCGTCCTCCTAGCGGAAGTGGATGGAGGTGGACGGAACGCTAAGGCAGTTGGGCGAGCCGAGGCAGGCCTGGGCGGGGGAGGCATTGTTTTCCTGTCCGCCTCACCCTTGGATACCTTGCGAGTCGTTGATGGCCGCCGCGCTAGAGTTCTCTCGGGTGGTGTCTCGTAGTCGTCATACTCGATGGCGGCACGAGATGGACGAAATCCCATAGAGGACTGTGGCCGAACAGATCCAAGAGATCCAAAGCGAGCTTCCAGAGGGCGAGCTTCTGGAGGGCGCGTGAAGTAATCGGGATGCGGCGGCGGTGGCTGTTGCATAATCACGGGGGACGGTGAGGGCGGCGGATACGGCGGCAGGGGGCCCGGCCCTAGCCACGAATGAGGCGGCAACGACCCGGTCATGAGGGGGGTTGGCGGCTGGTTTGCATAAAACCTGGCATTCGCTGGGGGTGGCCTCGAAGGGCCATAATAACTCGATGGTCTTGAAGTCTGCGCTCGGGGACGCGAGGTGGCAGGAGTAATGGTAGTAGGGTCAACGCCGTAGTACGATGCTTCGTCCCTCTTGGGAATGCTCGACGTCGTCTTTGCATGTTTCACCGGAGGCCGTGAAGCAGCCATGAGCGCCTTCTTGGACACAGACTTGTCCCGGTCTTTGCTCGACTTCTTCGAATCCCTTTGAGGGTGTACGGTAGAGTCGGAGTCGGTGAGGGCGCTGGTGGTGATTGGCGACGAGGAGCTTCTCCTGCCCTTATTTCTCGCTCGCCCAGTGTTCGGTTGTTCCTTTGCCGGGCTGCTTGGGGCGACTGAGGATGCGTAGCGATCGGTTCCTTCTACCACGTTCCCGTTCTCATCAACGTCTTCGACAGACGCAACTATTGGTCGTTCCCCCCGCCTGGACATTGCGGTACGAGCAGTTGCTCGCAGTCAAGAAATGGAGTTGAGACTTCTCAGAAGTCAGATGGGTATGTCGTTACAGAAGAGGCAATGATGCCTCGGGCTTCGAGTAAGGGGTGCCACTCTGGCAAAAGGGCGACCGGTGAATTGGCGAACACGCCTAGATGCCGTTGTCGTTGGGCTGCAAAAGCAATCGGCGGCGGTAGCAGTGTTATCAGCTCGAGGAGAGGACTTTCGGACGACGACAGATAAATTCCAATGAAGCTGCTGGCGAGGTGCTCGGCTTCCGAGGGCGCCTGCAAACCCCGGACGTTGTCAGTTTGGTCACTGGGACAGTCGGGCGGGATAGAGGTGGTAGTCTGGCTGTCACGAAAAAAGAATGGGGGAATGGGACAGTGACGAGTTTTATTCAGTGCGGGGGGTGCGCTGGCAGTGGAGGAATGGGCCTGGAGCAAGGCGCTGGGGAAGCGCTGACAACGACAGGACGAGACGGGACAGGGGTGTGGGAAGCCGTCCCCAGAGGAGGGGCGACCCCGGGACGCTCCTATCGATAACGAAAACAAAAAGAAGGAACCCTGCAAGCGGGAAGTGACCGGGTGACAAACTGGCACCACCTCTAGGTAGTAGCCCTCTCGCCCAAGCTCTACGGTCCCGTCTCTTGGTTCGTGCAGGATTCGATCTCCAAGCTCAACAAGCACTCAGCCGACGCACCGGTACGGGCTGACGGCTAACTGGCCGGGTGGCTAGTATTTACTGGGAGTGTTGCTCAAAGAGCGTGGGGGGAGCGAAGCCGAAAAGGCCATTGGAAAGAACGACCGCTCCTCCAAGTCCAACCCTGCAAACCATGCAGAGATCCCCCAAGACTCATCCAAGACCTGCGAGCTAGACACTACCTAGACACCCATGAACTGCCGGATCCTCAGCAGGGGAGAAGCGAGGCGAACGGGTAAGTAGCGTGAGTCCGAACAATGGGAGACCGAGGACAGACGATTTACACCGACAATGTATCCTCCTACCTTAGATATCAAACGCCCCAGTTCAGACGAGATTTCGACAAAGATGAGCTGCGCAGTACTCAGCACCCTGTGGCGAGCCTCTTACGAAGCAGTGTAAGCAAGACGGCTGCCGGGGCAGACTGCAACTTGGGATGATGTGTGTGGTTGATGTTTGTGTTAAGGCCTCAAGAGTGGATCATAGAGTGGGGCTGCAGGGCAGCTTGGGATGGCAATGGCCTGGACAGCTTTAAACACTCTCACTCATTCAGTAAGAGGCGGCAAAAGGAACAGGTCTGCAGCTTGACAAAACTTGAACCAGGCACCCCGTGCGACGATTGAACAATGGGAACCACTGACCATTTGCCTTCCCAGTAACTTCCCTCTCCATATTGCGAGTTTAATGCCCGATTCACTCTTGGGTATCAATCGCACAGTAACGACCTCGCAACGGTCTTACGCTCGGGCAACGGAGCACGGAATTCGGCGCTCCGATAGAGTGAGCCTTTGTGTTGACGATATATCAAAATCAGTCTAGAATCACAACCGTATTTGGTTGAAAAATGGACGCAGGGGATAACTATGCACTCTACATACCTACATAGCTAAGTTTGAGGCTTAAGCCGCGGACCGCCATGGAAACCTGGAATGTTGCCTTGGGCAGGTCGAACAATCAGCGGCTTCGCAACGCTGCAACGGTAGGCAAGTAGCACGCCAACACACCATTCTGGGTATGCTTGTGGCCTTGTGCAGCTCCGTTGTCCTCATTGGGCAGTCGGGCATGGAATGCAGACTTGTTCTGCAAGCCAAATACTGCCTGATGAGTCTTTCAGGGCAGTCCGAGGGGCCAACAAGCCCAGTCCTCCTGTGAAACTGCGGGACGCTTCCCTTTCGGTCGTAGTCGTGCAGTCATAGGCCGTGGGCTCCCATGCTGCCACCATGCTGCTGCCCAGACCGCCGATGATATCGCCTTTCCAGACAGGCCGCTCTTCATCATTGTTCGCTTGACTACAGCAGCGATGCCTGTCAGATATTCTGATCTTCTGCGCCAAGGCCTATCCTCTGCATATCCATGGATAGGTTGCTAGGAACCTCCGATCACCAGTTGAGGGCATTCAAAATCCTATACGCCGCCGATATTTCATAGCAAGATGGCTTTCGATCGAAAAGTCCCAGGGTGCTCAACGTCCCATATGTGTGACACGGGAAGCGAGCAGTCTTCGCATGTAGCAGTTTGTGTCCGGTCAAAAGTTTGTCTAATCCCCATTGGCCTCAGTGGGTTTTGTGTCGAGTAGCGAGCACCAATGCTTCCGGCGTTATACCCTCCAGTCCGGCTGAAGCGGTATCTGACTTGACTGATGGAGTCGGGGGAACTTAGCACGCTCTTCTCCTGCGACGAAACAAAAGTACGCCATGCGGAGAAGTCTCTATATTGATTGGGCAAGCTGCGGCTACAATGGTCTTTCTGGTCGTCGCAACCGCACGAGAAGCTGCATGTCATGCCGCATTGCCAATATCAAAGTGCTCTATTGAGTGGCTGATGTTGGCTGCCGGTCGCAGGCCGGCCGAATGCTCTCGTAGATTCTCAAGCAGGCCGCTTGCTGCCGCAGAGCGTTGGGTCGAATCTGTATTGTGGGGTGCCCCTTGCACCAATTCAAAGTTGATCTGGTGATTCTCTGCATCCTGTGCATTAATAGCGGGATCAATACTGGGGCCCTTTACAGGAGACAGAGAAGAAGCGATGCTGATGCGGTGCGGGACGTTGTCCACTCCTTCGGAGAAGCTTCATGCATGCTGCATGAAGCTCGTTCACTTGGTCCCGTGACATCCTAGCAAATCTAGCTCTTCGCCAAGTACATACTATATAAGTTTGTTGCTTTTTCTTTCCCTCGAACCAGGCCGATGGGGTGAGCGGGAGCTGCAGCGGCGGGGACATGGCCCGGCCTCACGGGCCGTTGAGGGCGTCCCAGAGACCCAGCCTTCCTGAGGGCCGAAAGAGCCCGAAGGTGCAAGTCTCAGATGGACCCAGAGTTTTGATGCAAGATCCCTGGGATACCTAATGTATGACTATGCTGTGTGGGCGAGGTCGACTTCGTCTACATTGGTCTCAGAGGATGACCAACGTACCTGGCGCTTCCCCTTGAAAACATGGATAGGTTTCGTTCGGCGTATGCCCATCTGCATCATCAGGAGCAGAATGTTGGCTACTCTCTCAATCTAGCGGATGCATCCAGACTCCCCGTGCAGCACTGAACCGAGGCTCGTAACCGGTTGTATATTTCTGCATTGGAGAAGCGAGCGAAAGCGTCTCAAGGTAGACCTCCCAGAAAAACTGCAAGAACTTCAAGTTGGCTCCTGAACGGAGATCAAGATCGCGTCATCTGGCCGCTGGGACAAGGGATCTCTAGGTCCACAACCACCGGCCTATGGTCCGAAAGGTAAATCTGGTCGTCGAACTGGTTGGCCAAAATGCTGAACCCCAGGAAATTCAGTCTTTCCGGGTTCAGGACAAAGAGGAAATCTATCTGTTTGGGTTCCTCTCCTTGCTCTCCGAAGGAAGTATAGGTTATCTCCTGGTTGCCGTACTTGAAATGCTCCGGGACGAGAGTGGATATATCCTTCATGCCCTCGCCTGGCTCAGTCAACACCTTGTACGCACCACCGTCTGGCGTGCTGTTAAGGTCACCGCCCAGGAATAAAGGGGCAGGGACTTCTCTGCCGATAACCCATGTCCTCGCGAGTTGGAGCAGCAATCGAGCGCTTTGCTCACGGGCGACCTCGCCTTGGTGATCAAGATGGGTGCTCATAACAACGGCAGCGGTCTCGGTTTCCTTATGGCGGAACGACCCTATCGTTACAATGCGTTCCAAGGCAGCATCCCAGCCTTTAGATGGTATGTCCGGTGTTTCTGACAGCCAGTATGTCCTGCTGTTCTCGCACAGCCAGCGGTCGGTCCGAAAGAAGATCGGAGAGTACTCCCCGGCCTGTTTCCCGTCCTCGCGCCCCTGCCCAATATGACCCCACGACGGGCCCAAGCATGCTTGGACGTCGTTGAGCTGAGAGTGCAAGACTTCCTGGAGACACACAAACACCGAATCGTGTCCTAAAGTAATGAACCTCAACTGCGCGCAGAGCTTTGGGCAACGGATCCGCCATGGCTCCTCTCCAGGATCAGGGCGCTCTGTGGCATAACGAATGTTTAGGGTGACTATGCGGACGGGAAGAGGATGCGAGGAGGAGGTTCCGGATGCGCCTGTCGATTCCATAGCTGGTGGTTTCTCCAGAGCCTGGAAAACTTGAGACAGATCCAAGAACTCTTTGCAAACTCTCGTTGGCCTGTAGCAATGACGTCCTCTGGCGGGCAGCCGAGGCACCTTTAAAATAGTGTAGTCGAACGCTAGAATGGCTCTGAGGTTCCCTCGCGTGTGGATCGACGAAAGATCGACAGTGCGAAGGTGCCCGAACCAGAGTGTACACTACCACCTAGGTACTAGGAGGTAGGCAGTCGCGATGCGTGCATGGCGATGCGTCATCGCGCTGAGGAGTGGGCCACCGGCCACTCACAGGACAGGCTTCAAGAGCTGCCTGCAGTCCAGACACCTCCAGTCTTCAGGAGTCACTGGCAGCAACTGCGTTAACCCGACGTTAGGTAACGCCAGGCACTACCGGTAGATTAAAAGTCCACGCCTGGTTTGTTGGTTAGCCCGGTACTTCAAGCGGAACAAAATGTAGAGTATAGAAATGCATAGGTAATTTCGAAGCATCGATCTTAGCTCACTACCCTTTTGCACCAAGCGCCGAGGTTTCGAAAGCTACTAAGTATTCAGTTTGTATTGAAGTCGAAGGATGATACGGATACGCATAGGACTGTTTGATACTCGCAGCCCTGTCTTGGGAGAGAAGTCGAGGCCAAGTCTGATGTACCACACAGTAGCTGGAGTTCTAGCTTTCGCACTATACCATAAAAAGGTAGGTCAAGTGGGGCGGAGTATCGAGGTTCGAGCATTTGTCGATCACTTTGAAATCTTCAAACAGAACGAAGTGCATTAACAAACAACTTCCAGGCCGAACTTGAACTTTGAACCGAGTACCTACTTTAGCGTATGCCAGATCCATTGGCGCGCTTGCTTCTCCAAGGTGATTTTGGCCCTCCGGAATTTTTCGGAGCTCTCGAGGCATCGCGGTCCTTCCACTTCCCTTCATCCGCGACATGAGCTGCTTCGTTGTGACCCGCTGGAAGGATGGTGGTAGTGGCAGCCTGAACATCTGCTTGGATGCTGCTTGCCCGCACGATGCAGGTACAGTACATCTTGACTTCCATGGATGGCCTCCCCTAAGTTGAATTGACCGGCAGTTGGTCGTTTCTCCCATCCAACACACACTGCGGTGAGCAGTATGACCTTGCTCGTGCTCTAACTTGATTGCATACAGCGAGCACTGAAGCATTCATCGGCTGCTTCGGCAAGGTTGGTGTCTCTTCGATGGCGCAGCAGACAGTCAGATGTCGGAGCAGGTGGTTGCCTTTCTCAGCGAAGGTCTCAGCTAAGCCCGCTAGGCTCCGTCACACGACGTGTTAGTGCCGACATGCACCCGGATTTCCCATGGAACTCTCTTAAGGGAGATCGATCGTCCCCCGAGCCGTTGATCAAAACCACCCATATCAAGGATATCTTGGGCACCATTCTGTCGTCTATTCCCGCCCGTGACGCACATTTGGTCGCGATGTGCGTTTGGTCCTTAGAACATTCCTCTAACATGGCGCAATGGTGCAGCAACTGTCTGGCCCACTCACACACACGTCCTCAAGTTGGAGGGCAGCCTTGATATTGCCCCGCAAAAAATTGAGACTAGTCAACTCGCTGACCGGTGACTTGGCCGAGGTGGTGACCATAACAGCCCTTTCCAAGCTGATGGTGGGAAGCCGGGGGCAGCAGGAGCCTAAGTGTGCTTCCTGAGCATGCACATATCTTCATCAGCATGGCCGTTCTCAGCTGGCCGCGCAGCTTACACTCTTCATTTTCTCTCGTCCAGTCTGACAGCTTTAAGGGACACTGAGCTTTCCGCTCTTCGACGCTCGTTTGATTAGTTTGAGCCGGCTAGACCGGCGACAGTGGCTGTTCTTTGCGGCCATCAGGCTGCACTTATTTAGTTCCAGCACCTGCCTCATGCCCGCTGCTTTTACTTCTGGAACATTTGGATACTTGAGCAATCCTGTCGCCGTCCTGTGCACCGGCTACCTAGCATCTCAGGTTGGGTAGACGATAGGATGCCAATGCCAAAACCACCTGGACCACATCCTCGAAAAGAATCCTGGGCGCCCACGCAGATGTTCCTTCACCCCACCATTGGAGTTGACGATACGGAGATCGAGGAGCTGGATCTAGCCAGGATGGGCGAGGACCCTCTTACCTATTTTCTGACGCCGACTGTTTCCTCTTATGGGGAGGATGGGGAGGGCATGGACTTTGATATGGAGTTTGACGCCGGAATTGAAGATGTCAAACACCCGCCACTGATTGTGAGGAGCGTCAGTCCATCCAGCCTGGAAGGGTTGAGCCGTCCTCCGCCCCGGCCGCCTACACCACCAAGGTCTCCAGCAACCCCAGACTTGGATTATAGCATGTCCGCAACGCCGGACGAACAAGACGACTATTTGGAGGCGGCTGCGGCGATCAAGCCTTCTGGGCCCTTAGCCCTCTCTCGTCGTCTCAAAGGCCTTGCCCATGGAAAGCTGAAGGCCTCCTCGAAGCAAGGAGCCAGTGCCATGGATGCCCCTCTTCCGCTGGCGTTTCAACCTTCCTCGCATGCGTCAAACAGAGGGCGCGCCATGACCCGACCCGCCCTTAAACCTGCGGCGGCTTCAGGAAAAGCCAGTGTTCAGATTAGACGTTCTACGACTACACCAATGCGTCTATCGCCGCATGCGTGGCGTGAGCCAAGCCCGGATGTATGGTCCATCGAGGAAGAAACCCAGGAGGAGCTAAACGTCGAGATAATTGAGGACGGGGAGGATGATATCGTTGCGAGGGCGGGAGCGGTAGACATTCCGGCTGCAAAGCCAAAGAAGAGGGTTCGATTTGCCCTGCCTGCTGAAGGTTCTGGCAAGGCCATGCATTGAACACAGATGATTCGACGCCATCATACGAAGTATAAATTGCTTGATTCTGCCTCGTTCTGTTTCTGGGTTTCCTGTATTGTACTCGTATAACAGTTACGTTGCATCGATGGGCGGATCAGGAGGGCACCCTTACTAGTGTATATAATGTACCTGGTCGTCTTGTACTCCGTAATTGGCTTACAATTGGAGAACGTGGCTGTTCTGCTCGCGGCCCCCTCCTACTTGGATTCTCATCCTTCTCATGTGCTACATTCCTAGGGTGCATAGACTAAGCCAAGCGATGTCTCTAATCGAACTTCCACCCACTTCAAACCCTAACTTCGAGTTCGCATCGCATCAGCAAGGTTGAAGCGCACTGCAGAACACAAGCTTAGGATTGGTTACTGAGATAGTGCGTGCAGTAGAAGTTGTTCACTTCGTCGAGATTATACGGTAGTACATACACAGACTCAGCCTTACATATGGATTTCAAGATCCGTCCCAAGAACGGAGCCGTCTCTCTTTGATATTAGGTACACCGTCTCTGGGGGCGTCTTACAGAGCTCCATACCTGGTTTTATACTTGTGGCTCCTACAAAGGGCAAAGCCAGGGATGTTGCCAGTAAATGTGTGTCTATCTGGGCCTCGAACAGAGTGCACCACATATGTGGGATACTCGTCTGTACTGTCTGCAGACTTTTCGAGAAGCAGAGATCAAAATCGTGTCAGGAGGGGCTGGCCATATGTATCTACACAGTACCACAGTATGTACTGTACACAGGTGACCGTAACTTACCAGCAGCCCTAGTGAAGATCTCCACAAGGAATTCATCAGTGATGTCAGAGCGCGGCGGGCCGCGCCCTGGGCCCACTGGTGTTGAGACGGTAAACTTCTTCAAGCGCTCAAAGATCCTTATCTGATTGTCAGTCAGCGAATGCCTCTGGCGCGAGATTGGCCCAAGCACAGACGTTATCAATTGAAATCACATCCCACCTTCGTAGCAGGAGGCAATCACCTGGGCTGCCTTGCGAGCCTGCTGATGATTACCTTACTAGCTTGAGATCTGGCAATCGGAAGGAGGCCTGCGCCGATGCGCACTTGCTGGTGTGGGCAGCTGACAGGTTGGACGGAAGATCTTGGTGGGCTGAGCTCCAGCCTTCCATTGGCCCACATGGCCCCGCTCGGGTCCGGGAGGCTTCGGACCAAAAGAACAGGGTGCTGATGTTGAGGAAAAGTGGAAACCCTCGATTTGTTTATGTTCCATCCATTGTTTATCGTCATTGGCGCAGCCTGCGGCGCCCTTCAGCAAGCTTCAGCTTGCCATTTCTGATGGCCTTTTTCTGGCTTGTTTTGGACCGAGAGTGCAGGCGGCGCAGGTTTTCACTCGAGTCGTGGACCCCAAGCAACTCTTTCTGTTGACAGTTCTTCATTTCAATCTTCCACTCTTTTTTGATTCTTCGCTGCATCTCATACACTGCTACTTACTTGGCGCAACTTGAGTGACTTGAGTCTCCTGCAACATCCCGACTCACCTAGTGCACCTCTGATATCTCCAACCCCAGTGCATCTACCCATACCGCCGTCACTGCTTTCTTTAACGGCTCTTGGCTGCGCACCATCTCCCTAGCTTCCGGGCCTCACACCAACAACATACGGTGCTCATGAGCAGCTTCAGCTCATCACATTACGCAGGGCTGTCATTTGGGTTCTGATCTGCCTGGTGTGGTGCAGATTCGGATCTGGACCGCAGATCACCAGTATGCAGCTCACCTAGGTAAGAAAGGTGGGTTAAGACCGTTTCCGTGGTTTTTGTTTGTTGACTACCCCCAAAACGTCAGCCCAGTCAGGGACTATACAGCATCTGATTGCCCTTGCGCACGGCACTTGAGATCGACTTGGATGTTGCTTCGATCGACAAAAGAATTTAATTCCAGCTCCAGACCTCGTGCCCATGTCAGAATCGTTGCTAGGGTTGAGAAGAATGAGGATAGCTAACTTGGTTCCATCTTGTGCCTGTTCTCCAGAACCATGTCACCGGCAAAGCAAGATGAGATACCTCCTCCGAACCCAGAGACTCCGAGACGAACCTCGGCCGCCAAACATGGCGTACCTACGACGCCAGGAAATAGACGACCTTCGGCCCAGGCCGCCACCACGCCCAAGAGCGCTCCCGCTGCCGCCGGTCACGGCTCGCCGCAGAAGAAGAAGACTGAGCCAACTCTGCTGGCCGACTTCCTGCTCGGTCGTCCCTCGCCGGCTCGCCAAGCAGCCCAACGAGATGCCTTGAAGCAACGGCGCAAAAGCATGGCGGCAGATGCGGCGAATGTGCGGGAAGAACTACGCCGGGAGATGCGCGAGGCTGCAGTTCGCAGGCTTCAGCAACCAGGAGGCGTAAAGGATCGAGTAAAAGCATGGCAAAAGGCCAGTGCAGCCGCCATGAAGGAACAAGGGGGAGGGGTGCCGTGCGCTGAGGACGTGCGAAGTGAGCCGACCGATGTTGCCCTACATGTCGCGGCCGAGAGTGTGACTGAGGAGGACCGAGTGCGAATCAAGATGCGGCAAAAGCCCAAGAAGAAGAAAGTTAAGGCTGAGAAAGCCGAGGTGAGGGACGACGTGGAGGAGGAAAAGGAGGAGGACAAGGAAAACCACGATGCTCAGACTGGTGACGATACGAAGCGAGACAAGGCAGGTCCCGGACCGGCGCTTGCGTCTAAGGAGCCGCGAGCCGCCAAAGACGCCCCCAAGAGGAGAATCGTTAGTGACGATAATTGGATGAAGCGTAGGAAGGGGAAGAGCCCGCCTCCCGCCAACTCTCCGAAACTGAGGACAGACAAAAGCCCAGCTCCAATACCGAAGGACTTCCTGCAAAAAACAACACAGAATCCATCTGTACAGAGCAAGATCAAAGACTGGGTCGAGAGAGTTGAAATTACTGAACCGCCCCGGGTGAAACACTCTCGGCATGAAAAGGCCGACGGAACAATTACCATCGAAGAAGATATTCCGAGCACGGTGGAATCTTGTGCAGAAGAACGGGCAACGCCCAAGGCCCGAGTAAATGATGGCATCAGAGTTAAGCCGATTAAGCCAAGGAAGCCAACGTCGGATACAGATGACAGCATCCGATTATCCTCAGTGCGAAAAAGCGACCGCACTGATGATGATGGAATCCGAGTACGGCCCATGGAAAGCGGAGTGCCAGACGATGGGATCAGGGTACGTCCCATGAAAAGCAAGCTTCCGGATGACGGAATCCGAGTGCGGCCGATTGACAGCCCGTCACCGGGTGACGGAATTGAAACTTGCCTCGGGTCTCAGAGATCTGCCGATGAGTTACCTCTTCGGTCCGCATCATCCAGACCGACATTTGTAGGGAGGGACTCTAGCCTTCCAAGCAGCCGGCGAGGTGGTTCTTCTGATAACGTGATTGAGGTCATCGAGGAGAATGAGACTGAGCTTGACACTCCAACGAAGAGGAAGGTCTCTCGCCGTCGCTCGAGACGGGCACCCAGTCCTAGTCCCATCATACAGAGAGCTAGCCCGGCCGATGACCAACGCTCAGATTATCCGGCGACGCCTGTCAATCCTGAACGTGAGGGGTCAGACAACGAATCCGAGAGAGTCCCGCCGACTGTATTGGGAAACAAGTCGCTTGCGGATATTCCATTTGGGTATTCAGCGTTTAGTGTTCTTGATTTGCCCCTGGGGGCAGAAGCGAGGCACGGGACGAAAAAGCCGAAAACTCAACGGAACCCGAGCTTCAAGGCGATGCCAAAGGTGCTCAAAAAAGTTGTGACTGGTGCCAAAGAGATCATCCAAGAACGGGTTGAGCCTCCCAGACCGGCCGCGGCAAATCAGCCGCAGAGTATAGAGTCCTGGCTGAATGATACGGTCGATCCCTTCGTAGAACCCATTGTCAAGGATCAGGTATGCGATAGGCAGCCAACTCCAGAATCCCGGGGACAGGCGCTGAATAGCGGGAAGCGGCCAACATCGCGGTCCCCATCTGGAAGTCGGCAAAGAGAAACAGTCAGTCCCGCACCGGCGAAGAAACCCGAGCCCCGAGAGACAGCTGAGCAACAGCAGGAAGATGATGGTGCCACCCCCAGAAAACCGAAAAGCCCTGTTACCCCAACGACCGGCTTGAAGAGAAGGCGGGCAACCAGGACCGCACCATCCCCAACCAAGTCAGGGGGGAAAAAGCCGTTCCGAGATCTGCTGAAAGAGGCTTTCCGGGGCGAGTCTGGCGGTCACAAGCTACCACCCACAGTATATCCCAGCTGTGAGACAGACTATGAGGACGAAGGCGACTATGCGGAGGACGACTGGGAGTCAACCGATGAACGGCGACGATCTACGGACAGAATCAGGAGGCCGCCGTCTCCTAGTTACTCATCTACGTACGACTCTACTCTCTCCTCTGAGCTGTCCAGCCATGGCCCTTTACGAAATAGACCGCCGACTACCGGTGCGCACGAGCTGTCGACTATTGTGTCGGAAGAGTCTCGCATCACAGCCGGTTCCGAGACGATCTCCACCGTGTCCGAAACAACAGTCACTCAGACAACCGCCTTCACCCAGACTACTGATATTCCCCGACAGAGGAGCCAAAAGTCTGGTCTCAAGCGGCGTCTCACCAAACATTCAGACCTCGTATCCGTCCTGTCACTGCCAGACGACGGCCAGCTAATCCCACCGAGAAGCTCGAAGAGCATAAAATCGTCGCGGAGCCTGCACCGCAGGCCCAGCAGGGCTAGCAGGGCCAGCAGGGCCAATAGGAGCCAGGCAGATGAGCTGCTTGAGGAATTTGCCAATGATGAACACTTCTACGGAAGGGAACTGAAAACTCTCGTCGATGGCGTCGTTCCGGTGCTTTTGAAAGATGTTCTTCGGGGTGGACTTGCCACGCGCAACGGGCCAGGCAGGGATGCAGACGCGACGGCCAAGTCTGTGGTCAACATGGGCATGGCGCTCGAAAAGCTAAAACAGTTCCACCAACGAGCGCCACTCTCGGATATCAATCAGCTTCTGACTTGGCTTGAGGCTGTCTCCCAGGCCTATGAACACTACCTGGACGTCTGGCAACTCGGCTTTCAGGGTTTGATTATCAATCTCGCTCCAAAATCTGGCCGTTTCAACGACGATGACTCGCTGCTAAATGCACTTCCTTTAAATGAGGATGGCGATGTGGTGGGAGAAAATGGGGAGCGAGTGGATGTCGCGTACCTTCTGAAACGGCCCCTGATCAGGGTCAAATGGATGACCAAATTCCTAAAGGTAAGTGTCTTGTCTGCTGTTCCATACTTCGCCAAACTTATGCTGATCTCCAATGTCAAGGCTGCCGTCGCAGTCACCGGAGCTCCGGAGGCAGAGAATCTCCTCGCAGTTTTCGAGACTCTTCAGGAGAAGGCCCGCAAGAGACACAAAGAGGAGACCGCCCGCATGACCGATGAAGATGCGAACAGCACTGACACGACCCGCTGCCGAGACTTGAGAAACCTTCTACCGCTCAGTGGCGTCTTAGTCAATCAGATGCGTCAGGTCGTTGCCTTGGATGTCTTCGCCCTCGATTTGCATCATTCAACCGGCCAGAGGCTAGAATGTCAGGTTGAGTTGATCTATAGAGACAATCCGAGTGTCCCCGCCGACCAGGGAGACATTCTCATCAGGCAAATTGGAGACGACGCTCGATCATGGCTATTATTCCCTCCGGTACCAGCCTCGAACATATCCGCCCGGAAAAGCGATGTTGAACAGTCCTTGGTCGTCATGGTACGCGGCACACACAATGGAAACGAATGGTTTGAGCTCCTCAAGCTATCATCGAACAGTGAAGAACAGCTAGACTACTGGATGTCAGTTCTTGGCAGTCATCCGGTGCCGCCCGCCGTGGGTCGGACACCCACCACCATGATCCCAGAGGCAACGTCGCCAAAATCGGACGGTATCGATATTCCGCTTGGTGAAAGCAGGCTTAGCACGCCTGGTTTGGAGTCACCAGGGGTCGAGCAGTCCAGGACCCCATCTCGATACCACCCAAAGCCACTTCCTCCTTCTACACCAACTTCACCGTCACCAGATCCTTGTGCCACCATCTCGCCAGATAGGATGCCCACGCCCACTCGAGAAACTTATTCTCATAGCTGCCTGGATGAAGGTCGAAGCCTGCCCCCATGGAACAGCCCCTCTCATGAGCCTGTGAAGGCTTCAAGACCGCCTCCTAATTCAAGACCTTATCGTGAGGATGGAGCTCCTCCACCGCCTATCCACCGTACTCTCGGCTCGAATAGTCCAGGCATTTTCACGCCTCCCGTTGATGTCAGCCCACATACCAGAGTAAAGCGCCGAATGTCATCTCCGCTCAAGCATGAATACCATCCATCCGACATCTCGTCTGACAGTTCAACATCCCTGAGCGACGACTCCGACTCGTCCCAGTCTTCCAGCGACGAGCTAGATGAAGATGAAGTACCTGACACCATTCCAGGCTATAGCATCAAGCAGCCGGACATAGCCGCAAATGATTCGGTTGTTTCAGACAATAGTCTCACGCCGTCCAACTCCGCCTCGCAGGTTGAACCTCAAGGGGGAAACAGTACAAAACCCGCTCAACCTGCGCAGAGGTTCATTGCATCCGTCTCCTACTGGTTTAGTAGGAAGGGAGTATGGAAAGATATCAGCCAGGGCGAACCGGCATCCATAATCATTCGTCCCGGCTTCATGGAGGTACACGAGCTAAGCGAGCGGAGTTCCAATCACCAAGCGTACCCGTTGCAGTCATCGGGCACGTCCGAGGTAGATAACACAAACAAGGATGCTGGGAGCGTCTTGCCACTAGTCGGACTGGTTTTGACTCCAGTGGTGATGATTCGACGCAGCACGGCCCTGGATCTCGAAGTGCGCAGCCCAGCATCCCCAGAATCGCGGCTGAAGATTGAGGGATGCATGTTCAGATTCCGAGCAGCAACACAGGCCGAGGCTAAGAATCTTTACGAAGCGGTCCACCTGAGCCGTCTGAACAACGCCAGATACATCCAACTCAGCGAGGAGGCACGGTTCCGTTCGTTTGGACAGGCGCAGCCAATGGTAGGTGACGGCAGCGCAGATGACGACAGCTCGAGCCGTCGACGGACCTGGTTCGGACGCAAGAATAGCTACCGCGCGTCGACGCGGGCGCCGAGCGTATCGCAGGGGAGCATCTCCACGACCATCTCGGCGGGCAGCTTCCTCCGGCGGTTAATGGGCGGTGGTAACACAGCCTTCAACATTGATGAATCCACCGTTGATAAGCAGTCGCGGCCTGGGTCCGTCGGGGCGGGCGGCGGTAGCCTCTACACGTCGAGCGCGTCTTCAAGCGGCGGCGGCGCCTCAACGCCTCCGCGGAGCGTGTCGGCCTCGCTGTCCGGCTCGGGCAGCCGCTGGAGCAACGGGCTTGCGAAGCCCTTCTCCCCTGATCGCCCGCTCGAGATCCGCTGCCACCTGAACGTCCAAAACAACCGATGGCTCGACAAGGGCGACTGCATTCTGCACATTACGCGGCCGCCGCCAGGGGTCCGACAGGAGCTGTCGCTTTATCACGGACTTGAGAAGCGGATCATCGTCACGCACGCGACCAAGAAGAGCGGCAGCGACAAGGACAAGCCCCTGATCCTGCTAGATGCGGTGCTCGGGTCCAAGTGCTTTAGCATGCTAGGCTCCAAAGGGGTCATGTGTAGTGTGTGGGAGAATCTGAGAGACGAGGAGGGGAATGTCGGTGTTGCTCCCCGGAACGGGGCAGTCGCTGGAAAGGTGACCAAGTGGTGCTTCCAATGCAAGAGTATGCAGCAGGCGAATTGGATCATGGGCATGGTGACCTCGGAGGTGCCGGGGCTGATGATGGGCTAGGAGGCCCACTGCCAGCAGCCTACGCAGGGAAGGACTCGTAGGGGGGAGAAATGGGAGAGGCATTTGGGTGGGTTGTGGAAACGGGCCATGATTGGGCGCAGGTGCTTTTCGTAGCTGGAGACTGGGCTGTGAATTCAAGAGGAGCACTGGACGCGGAGATGGGTCGACCCCTTGCATTTTTTTCTGACCCCATTTCATTGTTTTCTCAATTCCCTTTGTCAGTCTGTCTTTGTCTCTTTGCTCCTCGGGGGTTCCTCTCCTCGGCCAGGCTTTCACCGTTTTCAAGTTCTACGGATTATACCCATGTCGGAGATGATAGAGCGGCGCTGCTATGGCTGGTTAGTGATTGTCTTGCAGGGTGGTTTAGAGCGAAACAATAGTTGCTAATACCGATAGATTCCCTGAAGAGTATCGATACAGCTTGAGATGATGGTGATGGCACGGTCTTGTCTGTCGACTCAACCAGCAGGCTAGGTGTACTGTACATATGGTTGGTAGGCCATTACCAAAGACGTTAATGATTCATTACGGCTCTTCACCTAACAAATTCTCATACCCGTCGACTTGTGGAGCTGTTCAAGTACGAAGTTCATCCGTTGGTACGGAGGTACTACATAGGGGTATAAGCTACCTAGGTACTTATTGCAAAGTCGTCCCCGTGCTTTTCCAGGCGAGGTATCCAATATCAAATAATATCAATCATGTTAAAATTAGGAAATCCTCCACATGTGCTTGTATCTTAAATATGGTACGCTGGGGCTCTTGGCCTGGGAGCTTTGATGTGTACCACTCGAGTAAGTACCTTAATCGAGCAGTCAGTCTTCAGGCCACAACCCTAACCCTTTGATGCTCATCTCGCCGACCATTGGCTGGCCGACAGGGGTTTGGGTGCTCTGGATTCCCGCGCCTCTCTGGAATTGTTGCAGTACCGTACCTAACCTTATCCATCCAACCAAACGACGCGTTCTTTGCGCGCCTATTGACATTTCAGTTCAAACAAAGGCAAATACGGTATCCATAAGGTCAGTTCTCGGCGCCAGCTATCTGGACAACAAAGGACAGCAACAACACCGACAAAAACATCGACATCAAAGAACAACTGATCTCGACTCGCTCTTCTGGAATTGCGCGACACCAAAGCTCGCCAAGTCTATATCGTCTCTTCCGCCACTTGTTGCGCGCTGCGACGTTCAGCGCCGCGGTATACTCTTCGCCATGGCCGACTACAGTTCGATGAAGGTTCCCGAGCTCAAGAAGCTGCTCGGCGAACGGGGCCTTCCTCACACTGGAAACAAGGCCGACCTGATTGCCCGCCTCCAAGAGAACGATAAGCAGCAGGCGGCCAGCAATCCCGAGCCGCAGGCCGGTAAGCGTTTCCCTCATTCATCATGCCCACTGCAGTTGCTTCCTCCGCGATGCGCCCGCGGCGACTCCATGAGCGACACGTTATTTCTTTTCTTTTTGTTTGTGTCTCACCTTGCATCGCGGCCATCTGTGGCTGTAGTCTTGTCTTATCATTGCGCGCGATCTGCTGCGACTCATTCCGACTGCTCCGCAAACTCTCTGGCACTTTTGGAGGGCGCCACGTACCAGAAATCAAACCAAGATGTGCAATCCCGCTGACCTGAAGCCCGCCAGACTCCAGCAAGCCGGCCGCTGCAGAGGATGAGATTGACTACGATGACGACGACCTCCCGGCGTTGAACAAGGACAAGAAGGATGCGACGGCCGAGAAGCCGGCCGCCGACAAGGCGACTCCTGCGGTTCCCGAGAAGAAGGTCGACGGAGCCGCCACCGCCTCCGACGAAAAAAAGCCCGAAACAACCGCCACACCAGCCGCTGCCAACGAGACCGACGAGGAGGCGCCCGCCGCTACTGCTGCTCCCGCCGCGCCCCTCTTCACTCAGAACCTGCCCCCGACTGACGCCAAGACGGAAGCCGAGAAGCGCGCCGCCCGTGCCGCGCGGTTCGGCATCGACCCGGAGTCTGAGGAGGCCAAGAAGGCCGCGCGCGCCGCCCGTTTCGGCGTGGCCAACGACCAGGTCGCCATGATAGACAGCGCGCTGCCTGAACGCGGCCCCCGCAAGCGTGGGCGCGGAGGTGACGGCGACAAAGACAAAGAAAACAAGGAGGACGAGGCCGGCGAGAATGCGCGCGCCAGTAAGCGGAGCAATCACGGTGAAGGGGGAGGTGGTAGAAGTGGTGGGGGACGGAACCGTCAACGGGGTGGTGGTGGTGGTCGCCGTCGAGGTGGCGGCAGAGGAGGAGGTCAGAACCAGGGCCGCGGGGGCGGGCAAAAGGGCAACAAGGAATCCAAGCCTGTCACTGTTGACCCGGCTGAAAAGGCCAAGATGGAGGCGAGGGCGAAGAGGTTCGCTTCTTGAGCGGGTTGTCGCCACTTTGCTGCTTGCTGAACCCTTGGGCGCCCCTCTCCCTTCGTCTCTGGGACTGACACAGGCCGTGGACTGCTCACTTCTGAGGCTGCGCCGCGGTTGTTCCTTGCCGTCTTGCGATGTATGACCCCGAGCCCGGATTTGGTCCTGGTGCATATAACTGGCTCTTGTCTACTACGGGCCCGGCTCAAACGTATTTCTGAGGCTCAATGAGGATGATTATGCCAGGGTCAGGGAGGCTTTACACAACAGCTTCAGTGCGCAGGGCCGGAGGAGGAAGAGACTCGAGAATCTGTATTTATAGCACCCCGTTCATTGCTCAAACAATCAGTGCCTTTCGTGATGCAAAGATAGGGTGTCAGAACAGGGCATTGGACCGGAAGGGGGATTGCTAAAGCTTGGTTTCTCTCAGGTACGGCGTACCGGGCGCTGCTTTTCCCTCTGTTCCACTCGCTTTTTACTTTCGATCCGTTCAGGAGGCTTTCCAGAGCTGGCCGAGTGGCTGTCCTACGCTAGGTTGGCCAGAAAGGAGGTTCTTGAATGCGGGGAGCGTGCCAGTCAACAGTTTCAGCAATACCCAGCCTATTCCCGCAGTTCTTTCCTCCCCAGCTGGAGACCGATGATGAGTGGGTGAGAGGCAATCTTGAGTTGGCCGTGGATGAACACCTTTGGTCAGGGGTTGAAGTCAAGACCTCTTGCTGTGTACACGATAAGGTCGAATCCCACCATGGCGGCTGGGCTATCTGCACAACTTACGCTCTAGCAGCTGACGGCGCTTCATCAAGAGTTAGAGGTCCGTTGAGTGCTTGCGGTGTCCCTAGCTGCCTCTGCTGTCAGGATAACATGCCCACTCCTCGGATTCAAAAGACGAGTCCCGATCTCGTATGTGAGTGGTATGTGACAGGACGGGTTTAAGGGCAGGTTGGAGACCACAGACCAGCTTTCGCATGAATAGCTGCGGTCACTTTACCTGTGGTAAACTCGGGGCAACAAGCACTCCTGATTAAGAGGATGGCCCAAGGACTGGTCGATTCAGGACTGGCGGAGATCATATGGATTGGCCTGTAGACGCGTCTCCGATCAGCATGGGACGGCTAGCCTGGAATCTTACATCCCAAGCCAGGCCAGGCGTGCCATCTCATTCGTAGACAGTCCGCGATGCGTCTATCCTCATTCCTCACCGCAGGCGGCTCACTGGGCAGCGTATATGCAAGACAGCGGCTGAGGAAGCGAGGTGCAGACAGTAGTCCGGGCAGTGGGGTGTCGCTGAGGCGGAGAAGTACGGAGAAAGACTTAGCCATATCTGACCGAAATCGTGAGCCATCGCTTGTGACATTTTTTTTAGCAAAAGCCCTTCGATGATTGCCGGCTAGGTGAGGAAGGGAGACATGCTCGTTCGGGTCTCCGGAGACTACTGGTTGTCCTGCAGCACTAGAGTCGGGCTGATCTTATCAGAGCCCTGTGATGGTGCACGAAAGAGGGAAAGTTAGCGTGGCATGAGGCCCAAGAATTCGTCCAGGAATCAGCACTTCAATCTGAGCTAACGAGAATCAGCTGCCATCTCTCGGAACACAGTTGTTTGGCGTTGTTCGGAGAAGTCAGAGAACAAGAAAAACGGAAGTCAATTCGCGGGGAGGAATGGCATGAAGAAATCTACGAGCCAGTAGCGAAGGAAGTCCCTTACACCCAGCCAGCCTCCGGCTTCGTGAGCGATACTATCTTCCAGCCGGCAGGTAAGGACCACAGACGTCTTGATTCTTAAGAGTCCTATAGGGAGGATAGAAGAGGCTTAAGCGCAGGGGCTGATCGTCGGCGTTGACCACAGAGTAGCGCACGTGAGAAGCATCATCGGCCGTCGACAACGTCAGACTCATCGACGGGATTGGAGTCGTCGGGGGTAGGGTGGGCGGAGGAGAAGCCTGTTCAGCTGAGTAAGTTCCCGCCACACTCAAGCATGAATACCCATAGGTAAACCTATGATATGTATGCCATGCGCATGAGGATGGCCCGGATGAATTCTGTTGGCTGCGCGATGCACATTCTGTTGGCTGTTGGCTGCGGTTGGTGGTGGCAGAGTTCCCAGCTATCAGGGAGTGGAGTCCCGCGAACCAAGCAGACGGGATCGGGATTTGCCGTTTTTACCACAGGTAAACTGTACGAGTATCCGTATGCAGCCGACTATTTATGTTGGTCGCAGAGCAGCATCACCAACTAAGGTATCTAGGTGTAACAGGATAGCCAGGAGAGAGGACATGTATGTACTGTACAGTACACTATTACGAGGGAGATAAGAAGATATTTGACGATGATAATTGCACTCACACCATCTCGCAATCACGTTACTGAGAAAGAGCGAGGCGAGGAGGGCTCCCGGGAAGGGAAGGCAGATCCTGCTAGCCGGGGCGTCGTTCGTCCCACCAATTGGGCCTCGAAGGATCCCTGCTAAGTCGGCCACCCCTGTCATAGCAGGCTTGGCGGGTCTGCGGGGCAGTTGACAAGATCAGGGTTTACCGACAGACGACCACAAACTGTGGTAGTGCTTTCTGTCCAAAACGGTAGCAAACGACCTCAACGACCTCAAACAACCTTCGAATTTACACGTAGATCAGCAGTCGCCTTCTGGCAAAACTCTTCAGAAGCATCCATTGATGGAATATGGAAACCGTTGATGCCACGTCACCAGCCTCATCTATCGGAATCGGCGACAGCACAGGGCTGGCCGCATAATCAGGCAGGTATAGACGGGGTCTGTGGCGAAGTGCAGATTTTGGACAATTACGGCTAACAGTCTTGGTGACGGACTCGCCACATACCTGGTAAACGTTCTTGAGATTGAGAATTTGCCCGGCGTCGGCCTGACTGGCTTCTCTGTACCTGAACAAAAGGACAGAGAAGATGGCATCTTCGAATCCGCCTTGCTGCTGCGCGCCAGGATCGCCAATGCAATCCTGCAGCATTCCAGTCCATGTACGAAGTATGTATGCTTCACCGCGCGTGTCCAGCTGTGCATGGCTGTCGCCCAGTGGTTGTGAGTTGGATTTCTGCGTTATAGGCCTGCAGACACTGGGACCTGCAGCACCGGGCAACCTTTTGTCTTGGACCATCGCAGATATCACGGGAGTGTTATACTCCACTGTGTGTCGATCAACCTCTCGGAGTAGGCCCGCGACACACCCTCCGCCAGGGAGCCCGAGCATCCGACAGATGGTTCGCAGGACAGGCTGAGACATGCATTGCAGCATGCAGCAAGCCAAGGTCAATCCGGCGTTGGGCAAGTGAACGAACCCCTCCAAGAGACATCCATCTGGATAAGCAGCGCTCAGAGAACCAGTTGGGGTGATTGAGAAGAGGTGCAGCCCGTCACGCAACCCGCTCTTGAAACGGTATTTTCCTGAAAGGGGTCATTCTTCTCATCTTGGCTGTCTGATCGCAAGCGCCGGCTCGCCATTCAGAATCAATGATTGGCTCTAAAACCTGATATTCTAGCCAATGAGAAAAAAATGAAGCACAATCTGGAGATAGCCGCCGAGAAGTCCCATCTCTGTTCGACCAACCAGGACAAGCACGGGGCGGCTCTGCTTCCTTGGCTTGACTGCTAGGTATAGAATTTGCGAGGCGGGGAGGGGACGAAGCATCTTGTGATTCTTACACTTATATCTTTGTCCGTACATGCTATAGCATCTTGCCTCGTATCTGCTAAAACCGGGTCCTGAGACCGGTGTACGAAGTTCTCCCCTCTCTCAGCAGAGTCGTCGCGGGACTTATACGTCCTGGGTAGCGGGGGGCAGAGGGCTTTTGATCTTATTAGCCAGCTCATTCGCCACTGGCAATGGACTCTTTGAGTCTTTAACATGGTTCAGCTAAGGTGCTTACATTTCTGTCTTCCGTATCCACAAGAGGAGCCGAACATGGGTGCCCTGATGCCGGCCACCTAATGTAGTCGTCGAGATGGCCCTGGCAGCCACAGCAGCTGGCTAGGTCCTTGTTGACTCAGAGCTGCCAACGGCTGTGAATATTAGAGACAAGTAGGTAAGTGTCAGACCGTCGCCATTATCCGAGATCTTTGCCCCCAACTTACGGTGTCCACGTACACCGGTTCACCTGATCCATGGTTCCTTCAGGCACGAGGTGGAGGTGGCGGGCCGCTAGCTTGTTCTTAACCGCTTGTCATACTATCCCGGCCTATATATCCGTATACAGAGATAACTACGTACAGAAAAGCATCAGAGAAAGAATCGCCTGTTTCTTGGATCAGCGTTACGTACCGCCGCTAGGGGGATACGAATAGAGGGTATAGGTTAAAGAATATAGTCCACGAGTTCCGGATCCTGAGCCGAGAAGATCGGAGACCTTCTTGAGGGGTTCTGAGGGAACCAACTTATGTAGCGGGAAATCGACTGGGTTCTGAGCGAATGCTGCCCAATGGTACGGCAAACTACGCCTTCTGAGCCCTCATAGGACATGTACTCATGCAATTCCCAGGGCTCGTCTTTCTCGCATAGCGGCGCAGTGCAGCTTCTCCCAGTGGAGACCAGCGCCTCACAAGGGAACGACAGGGCCTGAAGGGTTCGCGAAGACGGCACTGGGGAAGGAGGGACCAGTTGGTGGGGCGGGTGCACACCTTGGATCCCCGCTTTTTTCATGGCTCCACTCCACTCACGTCGCCTTCCGCCCAGCTCCACCGCGCTTGTTTTCCATTCGCACCGCTTTCGCTGATGCCGCTGGTTGCCTCGAACCACACAGCAGCCTGCATGGCTCGCCTCGCCTCGCCCGTCAATGGCTTCGTCTGCGTTTGCGCATTTCCGCACCAAGTTAGTGATTGGATTGAGAGGCCCACCCACCGCTCATCTTTTCTTAGGAGACCCAATCCAGGCGCTTTCTCGGCCGGGCCTTCCGCGTCAAGGCCACCTGACTTTGCCGAGCGACAATCCGTCGTCGAGGCCATTGAGGCCGCAGCAATATGCTTGGGCAAAGATGGCTACGCCACTCATATCCAAGATATGGGAATGTTGGGAGCATCATCTTGTACCCCAGGTATCTTTTCGCCGCTTAGTTAATATCTAGTTACAGTCATATGGTTTCCCTCGCTCTCTCACTCTCACTCTCTCTGTGATACATATCGGTAGCCCAGCGTCGTTTCCAGTCGACCGTTTGCCCTTTTGCCGCTCGCGATCTAGGCATCTCATCCCGCTTTTCTTGCTTGGTTAGCTTGTTTCCTCCCCCCCCTTTTCAGTCCGCATCAGTTTTTGCGCGGTCTACGTGAAGAGATCGCCAAAGGTCACTGGCCTAGCGCTTGCTGACCCCCTCCATCTCCCCACCCTCGCAACCCATGTGCGTGGGCTTGCACTACACACCCTCTTACACCAATCTGTACTAGACTAGCCGTGATTGATAACTGTACTCTGGTCCAGTCCCAGAGGCTCGTTAGACTCACGTCTGCTTTTCTCTCTTTTGTCTGTTCTGGCTTTTCTTCGCTTCTTCCTGATAATTTTTACTCCCTACCGTTGTTTAGGGGGGACTACAATTCCGAGCCATCAGGCCACTGGATGGGCCGACCCTAATACATAACCGCCTCGCCCCTTCAAGCGCTGGATGAGCCGGGGTTGAACTCAAGGCCATATACCAAACCCAGTGGAGCATTCCCGCTACGGCGAAGCCGGATCGTCATTTTCGGGGACCGCAGGCCGCAACGACGCCCGACGAGAGGTTGTTCCCGTCTCCATTCGCCACCGGCTCTGATATGTGTGCTAACCGATGTACCAGAGACACTGTGTATCTTTTCTTGGGCCGCCCTTCATGTTGTGCACTAGTGAGCCGTGGTGATTATGACCGAGACACTCGGACTTCAGCCAGAAAATAAAGGAAAACGATGGCTTCGAAGCGGCCGGGACCGCACACCTTCGGCTGGTCGGGTGACACTGGAGCTAGGAACCTGGGCGCCCCGAACGGAGAGGTCAAGTTCAAACTCCCTTGGAATGATGGAAAGAAGGCCGAACCGAACCGACAGCCCGGGCGGGCCATTCCCCAGCCAGCTCTGTCCAGCCGATTGCCGCAGCCTCTTTCCCATCGTCGCCCCTCTGACAGCCAGCTGGAGCAGCCGCGTGTTGGTCAGCCGGCACAGTTCCGAACCTCGATCGGAAGTACAAGCAGTTTGGCCATAGCTGGAGTCAACGGTCCAGCTTCATCCATCCCAGCCTCGAGCAGGCTCCCAGCTCCTAGCTTAAAGCCGCGAAATGTCCTGAGGCGAAAGCGATCAGGACTATCCCAGGACGCAGGCTGCTCCCGCAACGAGTCTCGAAACAACTCGACGGGAACCGGCTCTACCGATTCAAATCCGCGTTCGCAGACGCCTCTAGACGCCATCTCCCCTCTTGACCGCGAGCTGACCCAGAGTCCCCTGGAAATTCGAGTAGCACAACAGGTAGAGATTCCCAGGACAAGGGCGCAGGCCGTGACAATATACCCCGAGTTAGACAGGTACCGAGATTCCCAGCTGCCTGCTCAGGACGAGGGCCCCGGTTTCAATGTTCCATACCGAATTGCGACACACGACCTGCCTCCGCCCACGCCTCTCTTCTCCGGAACGAGCAGTCAACTCAGTGCCTTCAGCGGGAGCCCGTCAACAAGGTGGTCGGAATCACCAGGTCCCGGTCCATACAGCCGAGACACCACACCAACATCTGTGTCGTCGCAATCCCCGGGACTGGTGGTCCCATTGCGTATCCCTCCGCCAGGGTTCAGATTCCGACATGCGGATCCGGCTTTGGCGCGTCCTCCGGTGACTCGAAGGAGAGGGGGGAGCATATCGAATGAAGCTGCATCTCTAAGCGCTGATCCACAGGGTCTGGCCGCTGTAAGAGAGTTGTCAACATCGTCCTCGTCCAACTCGACGGTCCGCGCCGATGGTAATACCAAAGAGAAGAAGAAAGGTAAGAGGTCGGCATCACCCCCAAATCCTCCGCCTCGGAAATCGTCGCACAAATCGAAGGAGAGCCGCGATCAAGAACCCGCCGCCTCCCAGACCCGCTCCGGGAGTGATAGACCGCATGGAGTGTTGTCTTCGTCAGCCAAAGCCGCCTCTTATTCTCGACCGCGGCCTACTCAGGTTGCACAGCCCGCCGCTTCACACAAGCCAACACCGCCCGTTCGACCCAGTCGTGAGGGAACGCTCGACCTCCACACCCAGTTGGACCATCCCATCCCAGTCATTCAGAGCAACCTGTCCTCAACATCGCTCTCCGAGAGACGACAAAGCAGTTTCTTAGCCCCCGGCCCTGCCAACCGGCTAGCCCCTTCACCGGCTATTTCTGACGGGTCAGCCCAAGCCCCGAGACGAGTACCCGCAAGAGAACTCGACCCTGCGCCCAGAGCTGCTACTACTGGCGAGGTGGCTGAAGCATCGAAACAAGAGCCTGGGAGGGGCATTCGAACTCCAAGCCCAGGCGTGTCGGTGTCGACTTTCAGAGCTCGGTTTCCCCTCTTTGGAAGACGGACAAAAACCGCGCCAGAGTCATCCACCCAGTCGGATAAAAAAGAGAAGGCCACCAGGAAAGGGCCCGCAGCAGGAACAGGCCATGAGGGTTATGGCCGACTAGGCTCAGTGCGCCGGAGGAGCAGTAGCGTGGCAAACACGGCTCGTGTGATCCCGGGGACTATGTCCTCGCAGGAAAGCTTGAGCAGCAGCCAGTCTTACGATCCCTTCTTGATGGAGCGGATGGCGCCGGTTATTATTGCTGGCGGGGAAGTCGTTGAGAACAGGAATACGAGCTCGGACTTGACACGCACCACAAGTAACCAGAGCTCAACTTTGAGGAGACCCAGCGTCGAGTCTCACAACAGCTCTCAGTTGTCATTGTCACCTAGGGAAGCCGCCCGCGGCACACTGTGGCCGTCACCTTTCCCCCGCGACGTTACGCAGACACCTTCGCTAAGCAGTCGTAGGCCTTCTGAGAGCAGCGAATCCGACGCTCTCGCCATGAAGCCTACCTTAGCTCTTAGGCGGTCAATGCAGCGGCTGAAGTCTGGTGGACAGGAACTCCCACGACTGCCAACGCCCATCGCAACCCGGTCTCGGGTTGTCTCACCCTCTGTGACGAGCCTGGATGCGAGCATCAACTCTATCGACTCTACAATCGATCCTCTGGCAGAACCCACATTTCCCAGCCAGCAATCAACAACCGTGGCTGGCTCATCTGGGTCGAAGAAGCTCTTGAAACGAGCTCGCTCCCCCCGCAAGTGGAATCTCTTTAGTCGGTCCCACACCCAGCCTGCTGCTGAGAAAAAGGAGGCAGCCAAGACGGTGGCCGCAACTGTCAAAGTTGTGCAGAACAAGCCCATGGCGTTTTACACAATGATGGACTCATCAGAGCAAGACGATGCCGGGACGCCCGATCTGGAAGAGCTGCTTCGCGAAGCCAAGGGCACCGAGACCCCTCCTCAAAAACCTCCACCCAGAGAGACAGAACCTAGACGGCGTTCCGTGACTCAAGAATCTAAGCCAGCGGACTTGGCAGGATTCGACCCTGGCGTCAGCCAGCATTCACTGAACCCAAAGCGGGCTGTCACGGTTCCCACGCTTCTGACCAGGCCCTCACCCATCCCCCAAGCGAGCGCTGTAACCGAGCAAGTGCCGAATCCAGGCAAGCAACCGGCACCTCCACGTCAGGTTTCTGGTCGACCCAGCAGGCTCCCTCAAGTCGGCCGCATTCCCAAGGTGGTTAGCGCCAGGGCTGAGCAAACTTCTCCCAAGAGCTTTTCGAGACCGTTCCATAGACTCAGCATACAGGCACCTCCCAAGAAGCCCGATCCTCGCGACCCGGATTCGGTGGCAAAAGGACCAAGCCCTCCTAAGCCGTCCACGCCGGAGCCTGCATTCGAGAGAACAGAGGCTGCGTACGATTCTAATATATCAGCTTTGATTTATGGCATACCGAGACTACCACCCCCGACCTCTACCGCCGCCCCACAGGAATTTCTCTCCTTTCCGCCCCGGAAGGACTCTCAATGCACCACGACAACGTCCTCTAGCAGCTCCGGTGGCCTTATAGCGTATGCAGATGCCACTGCCATCGTTCCCTCACCAAACGCACCTCTTGCCGATGACGAGATCTGGGATGAGTATAACGATCTTCTTGGAGAGGACACTGTTCAGCTAGCGACATTCGAACAGCCATCCTTGCCGAGACCGCTCCCCTTGCAGTTGGCTTCGCACGACCACGCCAATCTAATCGAACCTTCTATGGAGTCACCGACGCTCAGTCCTCCTCCCTTGCCGAGCATAGTGCAAGCCCTACGCTCAGGTATAGAGCAGCCGTCGTCGAGCATCTGCGGCTCGGACATGATTGAGGAGGTCAGGCGAATGCTTGACAGCGATCCGGCCCAACACTCGCTAGCCTCCGTTCAAGACACCTCTAGCAGCCATAATGAGCAGCTCCGTAGCTCTGATGTCGGCAAGCAAGTAGAGGAAGCAGAACCTCCGAATCAGGACGGGACTTCTCCGTCTGGTCACCAAACTCGACGGTCAGATGCGAGTGGCAGCAGCCAGGGCTCGGAGGACGCTTCACCGATATCCCAGGTTAACCTGCGGGTGGGCTCCATGACTGTCAGCAAGTGGCTTACATTCGGACATGTTCTCTTCAGCCCCGTGCGGGATGGATTGGTCTCTGTCGTTGGTTCACTCAAGCGACCCTCAATACTTGTGGTCGACGGTCTTGGGAACGATGACTGGTCTTTCTATGCTGCCGAAACATATCCGGAGGCGACGTTTTTCAATCTATCGCCCCGCCAGCCTCTCTCGGCTGAACACAGAAACTCATCCGCCTTCCCTCTCACCCCTCCGAACCACCACCAGATCGAGTATCCTTCCCACACAACCAAGTTTCCGTTTGGAGCTCAAAGCTTCACAGCTGTAGTTTACCGCTTTCCGGCTGCAGCTCCAGAGTCGCATTACCGCAATATCATCTCTGAAGCACGGCGAGTGTTGAAACCCGGAGGCTTCATCGAGCTCTCAATCCTTGATGTGGATTTGAACAATATGGGTAATCGCGGCCGCCGCGCGGTACGCCGTCTCAAGGAGCGCATTCACGCAAGAGCCCCGGACACTAGCCTCGGGCCAGCGTCTGATCTCATCCTACGGTTGATTGGCAGGAGGGGGTTCACAGATATCAAGACATGCCGGGTTGGCGTCCCTGTCGCCAGCATCGTTGCCCGGTCATCTGGTAGCGAGACAGGCGTAGGCGAGGGGAAGAGGAGCTCGACGGGCGCTGCCAGCAGGGGCAAACCCACGAAGGATGAGCGCAGCCTTCCGGAAATGATCAATGACGAGGGGCCGGTAGCGGACGAAAGCATCACCAAGTCAGTTGCCAGGGTTGGCCGCTGGTGGTACACACGTTGTTACGAAGGCGCTGCGGTTCCCGGCATCAGCGCGGGTTCACGATCCAGCATGTGGAGCGACAAGGCGCTGCTCGCTGAGTGCGAGGAATGGGGCACGAGCCTCAAGCTGATGGTATGCCATGCGCGAGCGCCGGATGGGAGGGCGCGCGTTGCAAGCATCTGAACCGGGACATTGCTCCCTCACTAATCGACCCCCATCTTCCGCATCTCAACCTATCCGGCTCCATTAGATTCGCATTTCCTGGTCACACGATTTTCATGGAGCATTTAAGGGTCCAAGGAATTATACATGCGCAAACAAAATCAGCAAGACCAAGAGGGCGCAAGCCCGACGGTGTAATATGGCATGACACTTAGCAAAGAGGGGGATGCTCAACGCTCCTGTTCAGTCCGATATGGCCGGTTACAACAGAACGGCGCAGTCTTTACAGGGCTTTTCCACTTCTCCTTTCCTTTTTCGTTTCCCTTCTTTCGCGTTACTCCTGTGGAGGCTACATTACATGCATTACCTACCTAATACTGGGAGTGGAAAGCTTGGGCTTAATAATGAGGCAATGGGTCGGTTTTGCTGCACTCGAACCGCCGGTTTTGCTGCCTGCCACACTCTGGCAAACCAGCACAACGGGGTTGGTGGGGATGCATTGACAGCGGCGAGTGCGAATAGAACCTAATCCCACTGGTTGGGCTAGGTTGGATTTGGGATATTTTGTTTGGATTATTGGGATGGCTGGCGAGGACGCTGTTGCCAGCGACTTATTACGTTTTGGATTGATGGCGAATGGGGTTATGAGTGTGCACGACCGGCGTTTTGGGTGTTGGGTAGTGACGGGTGTGTTGGAAGGTTATGGCCAACCTGAACCCGAGAGGCGATGCTGTTGACGTTGACGAGAGAATGTTCTGAAAGATACCCCAACAAGTCTATCCAGCAGGCTGGCTGGCTGGCTGGCAAGGAAGGATGCATGCATGTATGTACATATCGCTAGCGGTATTGTTACGAATGATGAGGCGGTAGCATTAATTGTAACTCTTTGGAGTGTATTCCAAACATTTTGTCTTGTGTGTAGATGGCGGATATTCTTGAGAAATGGCCACCGATACTCTGTACTGACGATGAACCATTCTGACACCCTCTTGCTCCGAAGTCCAACTCATTAACTCTCTTATAGACCGCTTTTACACTGTCCACAGTGACATACGACCATACCTACTGGGAAGCTCGGGATCCCGTCCGCTCTCCCCTAGATAAACCAGTAAGGGCCAGATTAGTAGTTGGGTCGGTGACGACCAGCGAATCCCTGGTGTTGTATGTTTTTGTTTTCTCTTTTCTCCTCATTTTTCCTCGCACCTCAAACCTACACCTAGAGGAGCATATATGATAATTTGCGTGCGTTTACACTTATTAAAGCTTCTATGTCGGGGTAAGATCGTATGAAGTGAGTATTGTGAGATTGGGCTGCCAAGGAGGTCCACTGTTAGTTACGCCGTAGCGACCATTCCTCTCTTGGCAAGACCCCTTCCCCGGATTGGCGGGGCCGTCGCGAGCGCACAAGCCGGATCTTGGCGTCGCGACCCACTGGCCCAGGCCGTTCAAGTTCTCGACTTCAGCACGATTTAGCGGATTTCTTCGTCTCACCAAACAAAGCTAGAGGCCCAAAGAGACAGAACCAGAGCGACACTCGAGGCTCCCGTCCCCTTCCAGGTTGGCTCCTCTACGCAAACGGGCCGCTAAACTTGGCGCTATCCATAGCAAAAGCACAGGTCTGATTCCTTGCTTGCCGTGTCCGTGACATGGTCTAAGATGGGCATTGTGCTGCATCTCGTGCGAGCCTTGTTCGACAGAGACCAGCGGCTGTCTTCTGCTCATTTACGCTTTCGACTGAGGTAGATCTCGAGGACGAACGAACGATCGAAGAATCGAAACCTGGCGAGACTCTCTCGTACGTCGAACTGCTGCTTAGACAGGGTGGACGAGCGCGGTGGATGCTCGGTGATGCTCTAGGCACTAGGGCCCATCGACCTCGCATCATTCATCCTTGCCATATCGAATCGGCACCATGACGCGACGCATTGTCCGAACGATAGTCCAAACGACGACTGCCGCCCTCTTTACCTTTATTGTCCTTTTCTTCCTCGACCGCAACTTCCGCGTCCTGCCCAACGCCATACACGAGTACCTGCCCACTCACCATGCTGGACTGGTCATTACCGACGTTGCCCTCAGGCAATGTTCCACCCTTAACGTCTTCTCCAGCTGCAAGCTGGACCCTGCCGTCTGGCACCGCATCGACAAGGACCTGTACCTGGGGAAAGGCTTGTTCTCGAGCGCCTACCTCCACGTGCAGCACAAGCGGGAAGAGGAGCTGACGGCCGATGACAAGGTTGTCATCGACCTGGCCGTGGGGAGGCTGAACCCTGGGGCGAACGAGAAAGGGGGAAAGGGGCAGGAAAAGTGGGAGGCGAGGCCTGCGGGGCTGTGGATCAAGAGGTCGAATAAGAGGGGGGCTAGCGACTCCAAAAACGCCGTCACGGCCGTGGACGTGCTCTTTGGGGACGATGCCGTCGAGGCGAGGCCCGGGTGGGCCATCACGGGCACGCCGCTGTTGCTGGATACCGGCTCCAACGTGCCGGCTGCCCACATCACCATCAGGAGGGGGGTCGCGCAGGAGCCAGTCAAGCCCGTGCTGAGAATCGGCGAGAATGGACGGTTCAAGATCATGCAGCTCGCCGATCTGCATCTGAGCACAGGGGTGGGCCATTGCCGGGATGCGTTGCCTGAGGATTGGAACGGGGGCAAGTGCGAGGCCGACCCGAGAACGCTGGATTTTGTTGCCAAAATGCTCGAGGAGGAGCGGCCCAACCTGGTCGTTCTCAGCGGAGATCAGGTGAATGGAGACACTGCGCCGGATGCGCAATCGGTACGTGCTCGAACTCACGAACGAAGCATATTTCGCTAACACCGTCGCCAGGCAATCTTCAAATACGCGCAGCTCCTAATCAAGCACAAGATTCCATACGTCTCCATCTTTGGCAACCACGACGACGAGGGCTCCATGTCGCGCGCCGCGCAAATGGAGCTGATCGAGACGCTTCCGTACTCGCTCTCGCGGGCCGGCCCGGCCGAGATTGACGGGGTGGGCAACTACTACATTGAGGTGCTGGCCCGCGGCGGCTCGGGTCACTCAGCCATCACGGTCTACCTGCTCGACACGCACGCCTACTCGCCCAACGAGCGCAAGTTTCCCGGCTACGACTGGATCAAGAAGAACCAGATCGACTGGTTCCGCAGCACGGCGCAGGGCCTCAAGAAGAAGCACAAGGAGTACACGCACATGCATATGGACGTGGCCTTCATCCACATCCCCTTACCCGAGTACCGGGACGCCGACATACCGCGTGTGGGCGCTTGGCTGGAGCCGAGCACGGCGCCGGTTTATAACTCGGGATTTCATGACGCGCTGGTGGACGAGGGTGTGGTGATGGTCAGTTGTGGACAGTAAGTAGAAACCCAAAACACAACCCGCCTTACATGCTCCTAAGTCCTAATCTAACCCCCGCTCCCAACCACACAGCGACCACGTAAACGAATTCTGCGGCTTGTCCACGACGGCAGAGGGCAAACCCGCGCTCTGGATGTGTCACGCCGGCGCGGCCGGGTTCGGCGGCTACGCGGGCTACGGCGGCTTCCACCGCAAGATACGCGTCTTTGATTTCGACATGAACGAGGCGCGCATCACGACGTGGAAGCGTGTCGAGTGGGGGCCCGATGTGGATAAGAAGATTGATGAGCAAATCCTGGTTGATGCGGGGAAGCCTGTCTTCCCTGAGCAAGAATGAATGAAGAGTGAAGAAGAGGGGGGTATTAAACAACAACACATGATATCTAAGTACGACTAGGTTCGTTGATTACTAGTTCGTTTAAGCTGTCGTTTTAGGTACTCATTGGCATATATATATGGAGGAGAGAGGCAAAAGAAAACACTTGCACTGGTTGGGATTGGCGTTATTGGGGTGCTCATCGACGGCTTTCTGCGAGTTTTATTGTATTTTTGGTGTCTGTTATGGCTTGGTTGGTTTACCTTATGTTTCCACCAGCGTTTTAGTATTGTATACCTTCACACATCGTGCTGCAGAGTCGAGCGAGCTTTCGGTTGTGCATTGGATAGTCAGTGAGTGGCACTTGTTGTTTCTCAGGTGCTCAGACAGTTAAGGTATACGGGACAAAGGGATTAACTTGGCAGCTGCCAGATATTATCTACTGCATTACTTGATTAATGGTATATTCCAACACAAACCTCCCAAACGATTGCCGTCATCCTCAACTCCTAGTAACCAAGACTTCCACCTTCTTGACGATGCCAGGCGGCGGGCTATCATTAGCCCTATCGCTATTACCCATAATCGACTCAGTGCTATCGTTTGCCCTGCTGACCGCCCGGGTCTCAAAGCTGCCAGCATTGGCCACTTCGTGCACGCTTCTACTCTCCAGCACCCTGGAGAGGCGGGAGACCCTTGACATAGGCGTCCGGCCGGACTTCCATGTCTGCATGGTGTGCCGCGATTCCACGTCGACGGTGTATCCCGTGCGCCCGCTCCTCCCGCGGCTCCCGTAGCGAGATCGCTCGTTGTAATACTTGACCAGGGGCGCCAGGGTGGGCACGTTGGCGACAGTGATGCCGAGGTTGTTCTCGACGGCGGACCAGAGGATGAGCGGGGCCGAGTCGATATAGTTGGATAATCTCTTGACCGTCTGGATGCGGATGATTTGTATGATGGTGATGAATAAGCCTAGCCCAAAGAGGCCGAGCAGCACGATCTTCTTCCGCGTCTTCATCTGGAGCTTGAGGAGCATAGGGAAGGGGAGGAGCATGCTAGTTCAAGGTTTAGCCATTGTTAGAAGAGCGGCTGGTAAAGGCGACGACAGGTGTGCCGCAGAGGCGAGCCCTAGGAAAGAGTACTCACACTATTACGTCGAATACTATGGTGATGGATGCCATTGCCGTGTAGAATGGAACACCCGGAAGGCATGAACCGTCTGTGATGGTCCGGTCCCATTGCTTGCTGGCAGGCTGGCAGAGGTTGATCTGAACCAGAAGGAATGATAGATGGAACAAGACGCATGCTACAATGACGCCAATAGTCGTGCGACGGTAGAGGCCTTTTGGGATAAATCGGAGATATGACACGAGGAGGGTAATTTTGAAGCCCAAGATGCTCGTTATGTAGCTGTAGCGGATCGCTATTAGTCTTGACCATGACGATCAACTGCCATGAAGGACTGACAATGGCGCGCCCATGTATTGTAACTGCACCTTGGTCAGCTGGTGAGCCCGTTGTCCTTCAACGGCTCGGGCAGGCTTACAAGGCCAAAGTTGTGAATGTTCTCTTCTGGCAGGTCATTGATATGGTACAATCCGAGACCCCATCTAGTCTCTACCATAGCGGTTAGTTACACCAGACAAGATAGATAGAAATCGACTCTGATGTATTGTTCATCTAGTATACTTACGGGCGATCGAGACGATGGCGAATCCAGCGGCGCAAATCTGGTTCTGTGAGCACTTGGACACTGCCGGCAAGCGAAGCTGGTAGCTAGCTATTCAGGGGCCGACTCACCCATGTTACCACAATGATGAAATCATCTGTCGAAGAGTGTTAGCAAGCTTCCCGATTTTTCCTTATAAGAGAGAAAGGAGAAGCCAGAATGTCTTACCTATACCAAAGGCCTTGACCATGGCCGCCCGGACGTAGGTACGAAGGCAGACGGTAACGAGCGAAATGAAAGTCAGGGCGCAAGCGACACCCGTGATCAAAGGCCCGGCAGTGCGGGCATTGGGATCTTTGGTGTTGAATGTCCAACCCATCTTGGCGGGAGCTCCAGCGATGAGAGGACGTGGGGGAAGCGCTGGTTCAGTATCTCATGCTAATAGGGGGTTCGATATATCTCCTTCATGTTGGCGATGCTGTGGGATCGTCCTGTCTCCAGACCCGCTCCTGGGGTCTGGGAAATCTCTTGATCGGCACTATGAGCTAGAGTCATGGGTAACAAAAACCAAGGTCGACGATTAGGCCTTTGCCCCTGGCAGCGAGGAACGGCATCAGGATATGGGGATGGCGTGTGCGCAATGCACCATATGTTTGAACTACAGCAGCCCTGTCTGGTAAGAGTGTCGCCGCCATCGGGTATGGCCTGGAGTAGCGGGCCTCGGTAGTTGGATCGCATCTTGGCGATCGTGTCTTGTGTCCCTTGGGATTCTTCAGCTGGGATGATGCTTGTCACGGGCTGGTGATGCGCCCGAGGAGAGACCTCTCACGGTTATGGCGCGATATGTCACGAAAGCCGACTCTGATGATTACCATGACCTTGACTGGCTAGCCATGCCGCAAGAAGGCCAAACGCTGCAGAGCAACGCGGATCGGAGTGTTTCGCACCAGTAGATCGGGATGCCCCTTGTAGGAGGCAGGGGAAACGTCAGCCGTTTCGTCCGAAAACGGGCCAGGCTGAGTCAAGCTTTGTGGCTTGAAGTTGAATGCCGATCAGTGAGCATCAAACCCATCAAGATGAGATGTCATAAACGCAGAATTTGCTAATGCTTAGCTGGCGAATATTTGGACATCACGGGAGGAGAAAGAGAAGGTTATCCCGGCATCAGAGGGGCTTCCGAGCCTTCAAGGTGCTCTCCGTACCTGCATCTACAACACGATTGGCCAAGAAGATCGCAGCATGACCATCAGTCACCAGTCTGGTTTAGGCAGGAGCGATGTCCCGGGAGCGGAGGAAATGGGGAAAGCGAGACCGGGGCCCTATTCACTGCATTTGCATCCAGGTCGACATTGTTATAGCCATTTTCTCAAGCGTGCGGCCACAAGTCTGGTTTATGTCTGTCCGCAACTGCTCGGTTCAGGGGCTCTCGTTGCCCTGCAGATGTGTAAAACTGGCGACGGCCGCTGCGAAATACCTACTATGTAGAGCTTCGGCAGAAGGACTCAGGGGAAAGGAGAAGCGACTCTGAACACAGTCCGTACTGTGTGAAAGAAAAGTACTGTGGTAGTGGAGTAACTACTAGTAGGTAATCAAACTTGAACAAGCAAGAAAGTAAAAAAGTTGCGAGTTTCGCCAGGGACTACATGCCATGCCAGGGACAGGCCGATCGGATCGGGATCGGCAGCGGCCCATCCGGGAACTCGGGCTACCGGACATGGCTTGACCCGGGGTTTTTGTTGACGATAAGATTCGCAACTGCCAGACGAGTGGAGCCTTTGGCCGCCGAGCCCACTGAAATTCCCACATGGCAGTTGCGTGTGGGTCCCCGACAGCCACTCCACCCGATGCTGATCTCTCTTTCTGCATGTTGTGATCCCTTGTCCTCGCGCTCTCATGAGCGAGCAGGAGAGGGCGACGAACATGCCTGAGATGCCTGTGCAATCTATACTGCACCACGGAGTTATCTTCTACACTTGTATCGTACACGTAGCATATCGTTAATGCTCGGCATCTCGAGATGCTCCGACTTTTCATCGAATGCCGGTGTCCAGCACTGACTGGTGGAGATCATCCAAGGTTGTCTCCTATTCGGACCCGGAATCTGTCCAGGACTCCAGGCTCCCATATGCCGGTCTTGCATCTTTAGCTCCTCCCAGGTTCCCCAGGGACTGGCTGGCTAGCCAGATTCGCTTTTCCTATGTATGATCATCTGTATTCTCCGCACTCGCAGCCCCCATGACTTGTCAACCGCGAAGGAGAGGCCGACGATCCGGAGAGAGACAGGGGCGAGTGGGCGGGCGTTAGAAAAGGCGCCCATGCTGTCTCTTCGTGCTATTGCTGTGTTTCCGTGGAGCCTCTCCTTCGAATAACCCTCCACTACACTCCTTTTTTTTGTTCTGATGCCCTCACCCTGAGCCACTCGTTTGAAGCAGGATGAAGGTGCCGCTCCTTACCGCCAACTTGTTTACAGCATGCGCGCTCTGCGTTAGCATTAGCATCACGGCCGGCATTGCCGCGGCGGGCGATGCCACGGCAGGGTCGTGCAAGTGCTTTCCGGGAGACCCGTGCTGGCCATCTGTCAGTGACTGGGACAATCTGAACAAAACGGTCAACGGCCGGCTGATCGCCACGGTGCCGCTTGCCCAGGCTTGCCACGACCCTGACTACGACGAGGCGAGATGCCAGGCGCTACGCGATGGCTGGCAGAATCCTGCCACTCAGTAAGTTATAAGACGCGTCGGCAGACGTGGTTGTAGATGAGCTCTGTCCATCGCTAATAGTGTACGTGTCGGCATACAGTATGGACGACTCGGCCTCCGTGATGGCCCCTTTCTTTGCTAACCAGAGCTGCGACCCTTTCACCTCGCAAGCGAAGCCATGCACACTCGGCAACTATGTGAGGTATGCCGTGGCCGCCGAGTCCGCTGCCGACGTGATCGCGACCGTCAACTTTGCTAGGCAGCACAACATCCGCTTCGTGGTCCGAAACACTGGCCACGATTATCTTGGCCGGTCCACTGGCGCTGGTGCTCTCTCTGTGTGGACGCACAAGCTCGACGACATCGCCTTCAAAATCTGGGACGATGCGTATTACAAGGGCGACGCCGTCAAGGTCGGAGCTGGCGTTCAGGGCTTCCAGATCCTCGAGGCTGGTCTTTCAAAGGGCCAGATTGTCGTTGGCGGCGAGTGTCCGACTGTCGGGCTTGCTGGCGGCTATACTCAAGGTGGTGGCCATTCGGCGCTGAGCACCTCGTTCGGCCTGTCAGCCGACAACACCCTCGAGTTTGAAGTCGTCACGGCCACTGGCGAGCTCGTTACTGCTTCTCGCACACAGAATACCGACTTGTACTGGGCTCTTTCTGGCGGTGGTCCCGGCAACTACGGCGTCGTCGTCAGTATGACGGTCAAGTCTCACCCCGATAGTCATGTTGGTGGGGTCACTCTGTCCTTGTATGCTCTCAACAACCCCGGTGGCACTTTCTACAATGCCATTGATGCCTTCCATGCCGCCCTTCCTGCCATGGTCGAGGCCGGCGCCATGGTCGTCTACTACTTCACATCGAGCTTCTTCATGATCTCACCTTTGACCGCCTACAACAAGACGTCTGCCGAGGTGGCGTCGATCATGGAGCCGTTCCTAAGCACACTTAACTCAATGGCTGTAAAGTACACTGTGGACTACAGTGACTCCAATACTTACTATGAGCACTACGACAAGTACTTTGGCCCCTTGCCCGTCGGGGCCATCCAGGTTGGCATTGCCCAATATGGCGGCCGCCTTGTCCCGTTCTCAGCATGGGAGAAGAACAGCACAGCCATGTCCAAGACAACCCGCTACATCGCCGAGAAGGGCGTCACCTGGATTGGCGTCGGCACCAACGTCGCGCCCTTCGGCAAGGACGGGGCCAACGCAGTGCTTCCTGCCTGGCGCACACCGTTAGTGCACGCAACGCTCACGACTCCCTGGTCCTTTGACCCCGAACGCTGGGAGGAAATGCTCGACAATCAGCGGCTGATGACGGACGATATCATGCCGGCCATTGAGAGAGTGACCCCTGGCTCGGGCGCCTACATGAATGAAGCCGACTTTCAGCAGCCTAATTTCCAGAAGGAGTTCTTTGGCACCAACTACAACGATCTCATGGGCATCAAGCGCAAGTACGACCCTGACGGTTTCTTTTACGCTAGGAATGCCGTCGGTAGTGAGAGGTGGCGTGTTGACCTTGACGGCCGGATGTGCATGGCTCAATAAAATGAGACGCAGACCTTGCGTGTAATACTAATACTAATACCCATACCGCTGTGCGCCCTGGTGTTGTGGTCCGTATCTCGACAACCGTCGGCGACAGGACAGGCATCCAAGCAGTGGACTTTGTATCAATGTCAACAACAGCATCTCCACACTACATACACACTCGCTACCTAATCTACCTATAATAGAGAACGGGCACACAAGCTTCCTTATCATTCCAGCACAGAGCGTAATCAACTGTTGTCCTGCGTGATCTAGCTCTGCTCGCATTTTAGCTCGGTAACTCGCTGGACTAATGCGATGATCCGCCCAGATCAAGGAGGGGAAGGAAGCTTGTCGCTTCGGAGGAAAGTTCCAGTCCTTCCAAAACCCACTCTAAGTCTCTAAAAAGCACGCATTAATAATGAGTTGCCCTGAATGGGCCAATGTGACCGATGCGTATAAGCGTGTAATTTCTAATCCCCGCCAGTCGATGATGCACGCATGCTTCAGTGATTTGTCATGACAGGTTCTTGTATGTATATATGTTTTAGGGATGAGTGGAATCATTACCATCCCGAAATTCACATCTGATCAGTTGGTACAGCGAGTCTCTCTACTAGGATCAGACTTCTCAAAGAACGCTGACTCCACCATCACCACGAGAACAGCCAAGATGACCGAGGCAAAGTCGGATATTCACCTCTACACAGACCAGACGGCTAATGGCATCAAGATCTCGATGCTCCTAGAAGAGCTGGGGGTTCCTTATAAGGTACCGTGCCACAGCCGCCTCTACACTTGGATCAATTGCTGATACGACAGCCTCAAAGGTGACGGCCATCGACATCTCAAAGAACACCCAGAAGGTAGGCAGAGAGATATTCTTGGGCCATGGATGTCGCTGGAGAGCAGCTGCAGTGGAAACTGACCAGGCTTCCTACCTAGGAACCATGGTTCCTGGAAATCAACCCAAACGGACGCATCCCAGCCCTCACCGACACTTTCACCGATGGCTCGCCCATCCGGCTGTTTGAGAGTGGCTCTATCATGCAGTACCTGGTCGACAGGTATGACACGGAACATAAGGTTTCGTATCCGCGTGGCACGCGGGAATATTGGGAGGTGAACAACTGGGTATGCATGCCCTACTCAGCGCAAGATGAGAGGCTGAGAGGCAGCTGACGATGGCGGCAGCTCTTCTGGCAGATGGGCGGGCTCGGCCCCATGCAAGGGTGCGTTTGAGCGAAAAGTCTCCTTGAATGCGAATTCTGATGTCGAGGCTGACCGCGAACTATCCAGTCAAGCAAATCACTTCGCGAGTAAGTCCAAACTGGAGGGCGGTCGAATGCACTTCCGGAGGGGAGGGCCCTAACAAGAGATACGACAGGATACGCCCCTGAAAAGATCCAGTACGCTATCGACAGATACCAGAACGAGACTCGCCGCTTGTACCGCGTCATGGAGACCCAGCTGAGCAAGTCCACGTCCGGGTATCTCGTCGGGGACAAATGCACCGTTGCCGATCTAGCCTGCTGGGGCTGGGTGGCGGGTTCTAGTAAGTTTTGCTACGTACCTGTTTCTGTTGAAAAACCATCACAATAAGTTGCTAACAGAACGCGTCTACCCGCTGGAAAAGACTGGGCAGGTGTGTCACTGGATGACTTTCCCCATCTGAACGCCTGGCTTGACAGAGTTCTGGCGCGTCCTGGCGTCGAGAGAGGCAGGCATGTGCCGAAGAAGCATACTGCCTTGGAAAATAGGCACAAGACGGAGGAGGAGATGGACAAGGAGGCTGGGAAAACCAGAGCGTGGGTGCAGCAAAGTATGGCGGCCGATGCGAAGAAATGAGGATGTTCGCCGACTGGACGCGATATTGGTAGAGAGTATTGCGGTTGAAGAATAATTAGTAGCGTAGATTGTTCAATTTATAAGTGAAGCATCATGATGCATAGTTCAATAATCGGTGCATGAGTGATCTGGAAGAAAATGGGAACGGCTCGAAACTGCAAGGGGAATCTGGACCACCCATCGGATGCCAGACCCTAACCCTTACAGAGAGGCAGGCGTGGACGGTCACGTGCATCAGCCCCGTCAGGCCTCGATTTGGTTAGCGGCCCAGAACTCAACAGCTCTTTTGACTTGGCTTGCGCATTTGCCACGGGGTAAACTTCCCAAAGATTTTTGCCTCTCACCATCCCACTCAACGCGCCTTTGTATTTGGCAACGTCTCATCCACCAAATACCGCGCGAATTCGAGACGAGCAATCGGCAATATGGCGTGGAGAAATCAAGGAATTACCGGATCCAACAATATTCCCTTGGGAAAGGTGCGGCGCTTCGGTGGTGGTGATGCCGATGACGACAGCAAGAGTGCGACTTCGTCTTCGAATGGCATCGTAAATGGGGACCGTGATGTCAAGCGCGGCCGCAGCCCCGAGCGTAAGGCTTTATTTCTTTCCACCGTCTTTGTTGATGATGCATGGTACTGACGTGGTTTGCAGGCTCCGAACACGATGGCCCGAGGCGTCGCAAGAAGCGCAATCGCTGGGGCGAGGCCACCGAGAACAAGGCCGCGGGATTGATGGGCCTCCCCACCGCCATCGTTGCCGACATGACCCTCGAGCAGCTTGAGGCATACACGCTCCATCTCCGTATCGAAGAGATCACGCAAAAGCTCAAGATTGACGATGTTGTTCCCGCCGACGGAGACAGGTATGCATTCTGTCCCTATTCTTGGCAACCAGGGATACTGACACGACATGTAAGGTCGCCATCGCCTCCTCCGCAGTACGACAACCATGGCCGCCGTGTCAATACTCGAGAATACCGTTACCGAAAGCGCCTTGAGGATGAGCGCCACAAGCTCATCGAGAAGGCCATGAAGACCATCCCCAACTATCACCCGCCTCAGGATTATCGCCGGCCGACCAAGACCCAGGAGAAGGTCTACGTGCCGGTCAACGACTACCCAGAGATTAATTTCAGTATGATTGCTAACCCTCTAACCCTCCTAACCACTTTTGAATCCCTTTGTCCCTTGGTGCTTTGCTGGCTATCCGCGACGGCATCTCACCGTGATGCTGCGCTTTGCGGGCAAATCCTGCCCGGTTCTAACCTGATCACTGCTCTGCCGTTTGATCCAGTTTACTAACACTTAGCTCTCCCTACTCAAGTTGGCTTACTTATCGGACCTCGTGGCAATACTCTTAAAAAAATGGAAGCAGAATCAGGTGCCAAGATCGCCATCCGTGGCAAGGGCTCCGTCAAGGAGGGCAAGGGCCGTTCAGATGCAGCGCACTCCAGCAACCAGGAAGAAGATTTGCACTGTTTGATCATGGCCGACACCGAGGAGAAGGTTAACAAGGCGAAGAAGCTGATTCACAATATCATTGAGACGGTGAGTACTCCTTTCAACAGCATCTGGCAAGTAGCTGTACTAATGGTGTGTTAGGCTGCCTCGATTCCTGAAGGCCAGAATGAGCTGAAGCGCAACCAGTTGCGCGAGCTGGCTGCCCTAAACGGAACCCTGCGTGATGATGAGAACCAGGCGTGCCAGAACTGCGGACAGATTGGGCATCGCAAGTACGATTGTCCCGAGAAGCAGAACTACACTGCCAACATCATCTGCCGTGTCTGCGGTAATGCCGGTCACATGGCCCGCGATTGCCCAGACAGACAGCGGGGCGCTAGCTGGCGCAATGACGGTCCAGTGGGTGCTCGGCCTGGGGGTCGTATTGGCGGAGGTGGCGATGCTGTTGATCGCGAGTATGAGGTATGTTGATAAGCGTTTTGATCGCCCCACTCGGCAAACCGGGGTAGATTTACTAACTCACATCACAGCAACTCATGCAAGAACTCGGGGGAACTGGCGCTGCCCCTGCGCGCATTGAAGCGGGCCCCGGCTCGCACAGCAACGGTGGTGGCGGCGATGCTCGACCATGGGCACGCGGCCCAACTGGCGGACCTGCCCCTTGGCGTGCCCGGAATCAGGATCGCGACGGCGAGGGCGGTCCTACCGGTGGTCCTGCTCCCTGGGCGCGTGACCGCGACCGTGGCGACCGTGACCGCGACCGTGGATACCGCGGCAGCGACGGGCGTGATGGAGGCGACGGCTACTACGGTGGCGGTCAACCCTCATATGGTGGCGCCGCAGCCGCTCCGGGAACCGCTCCATGGCATCAACCACCCCCCGCAGGCCCCGTTGGATACGGCGGTGCGTACCCTGGCTACAGTGCTTATGGTGCTCCCGGTGCTCCTGGTGCTCCTCCGGGATTGGGCGGAGCTCCTCCTGGGTTGCCTCCCCCGCCTCCCCCACCGCCTGGTGGTGCTCCCCCTGGACTTCCTGGCGGTCTCAACGCGCTGATCCAGCAATATGCCAATGCCGTTCCGCCACCTCCCCCTCCGCCGTCTGGAGAGGCGCCGCCTCCCCCGCCACCCATGGACCTGCCGCCTCCTCCACCGGGTGCCTAGAGGACACAGCAATTACTTGCGCTAACCTTCTGCGATGAGCACGGCATATGCTACTGACTGATAGGGCTCGTGATTTTCTTTTTTACTTTTCCTTTGATTTCCTTTGATAGCTTTGCTCTGGCTCACTCTCTCCCATAGTTGGCATTCATCCTCGACTGTGTGATGGACACCACGGCCCTTCCACCGCGAGGGAGAGAGATGAGGGAAGGAGAGAAGACTAACTGTATAGCTAGTAGAGTGGAAATTGTTCTTATGCATTAGGCTCTGCGTGTTCATCTATCCTCTGGGGTGACATACCTATATATTTGTTTCGACTTGTACAAGAGTCCCTCCTATCCGTCCTCCACGTACCGTATATTCTTGGGAAATCCGCCCTCCGCTACTGCACAGTCTAAGCCAAGCGACGTCTCTCGTCATGTATTCCACCCACTTCAAACCCTAACTTCAACCTCACAACACATCGGCAAAGTTGAAGCGCATTGCATAGTGCAAGGCTGGGATTGGTCGCCCAGGTTTAAACTGTGCAGTAGCGGAGGGCGGATTTCTCGCGAATGTACGTTAGATTACCTAAGGTACGTACCTCTGATGCTGCCTGGTGACATCACCGGGTCACCCTTAGGAGCTTGGGCCACCTGCAGTTGGCAGGGGAGCTCTTTACCGTTGTGGATGACCCCCGCAACTGTATCGACCGTTCTTGCAATGGTCGCTTGCGACATTCTTCCACGTGCGATCTGGTCAATTAGGTTGATCGCAGCGTCGTCTAGTGTTAAGGGGCCCGTGTATACATTGGCAGAGAGTAGCAGGACGACCCAGGCAGGTGATGCTGTGTATGGCGATCTGACGGACGGCTGGTGTAGCACCACCTTCAAGGTGTCGCAGTTCCGTCCAAACTCTCAGCGTCGTCGATTGAGTTGCCTAATGGGTTCAGCACCGCACCTTCCGATATCCACCAGTTCTCTCCCGGAACCTAGAATCTTGCATCCGTCCGACTGTTCTCGACCTGTCACCTCACCCTCGCGGTCCCCTAAGCGAGAGGTCGCCTAATTAACGCGTTACCGCATCACCTTTTGCAAAGGGCGCCGTCAACACTCACATCCTCGTGGTCTCGCCTTTCCTTGCCCGTGTTCGTGTCGCCGTACCGCCCTACCGCCCTGGGCGGGCTCACGGCACAAAATATAGGCCATCATGATAGCCAATCCATTCTCATTCCGGACCGGGCCTGTTACTTTCTGGACCACTGTCACCTATCTGGCCCTCCTTATTCCCATCATCGTCATCAACGAGGCCACCCCTCCAGCACCGCGTGAGCCCTCCCCAGTTGCTGGCGTCAACCTCACCCAAGCTTGGCTCGACCTCTCCACTATCACTCGGGCATACCACCCATACAATAGCCGATACAATGAGGTTGTCCGGGACTTCCTTCTGGAACGCATCCGCTCTATCCTGGCCGAGAATGGTGTAGCCTGGACAACGGACCGGTGAGTGCGAGTGGTCGTGATCGTTCGGGACTAGAAGCTGCTGCTAACCCCGGGAATGCAGCTCTGGCCAGAGTAGCCAAGATGCTGCCGTCACAGTGTTCGACGACATGACATCGAATTGCACGTTTCTCATGGCCACGAGCATAGTCCCTGATCCGAACGCCGCCCAGGTGGCTGCTTACTTTGAGGGCACCAATATCCTTGTGTACATCAGGGGTAAAGCCGATGATCAGGGAAGCTGGTGGGATTCCTATGGCGTTGATGAAGCTCGGCGCAACCGGAATGTCCTGACGCTAGTCAACGCACATTACGACTCGTGAGCCCCATTATCCCCCGTCAAATCTTGAGCAATAACCGGACTGACCCCCTTGCAGTGTCTCTACAGGATATGGCGCCACAGATGATGGCATGGGTGTCGTCACTTGCTTACAGCTGGTTCAGTACTTTACTCATCATGGCCATCAGCCTGAGAGGGGCATCGTGATCATGTTCAACAATGGAGAGGAGGATTATCTTTACGGCGCCAGAGCGCTCGGCCAGCATCCTTTGATGCCGTACATCCACACCTTCTTGAATCTCGAAGGAGCCGGCGCCGGAGGCCGAGCCAATCTTTTCCGCACCACTGACCGTGAGGTGACCGCCGCCTATGCGGGGACATCAGACCCCTTCGGAACCGTCATCGGCTCCGACGCATTTGGCCTCGGCTTCATCAGGAGCGGCACCGACTACTCAGTGCTCCATGACGTGTACGGCCAGCGGGGACTCGATCTGGCCTTCTTCAAACCCCGTGCAAGATATCATACCAACCAGGACGATGCGAAGCACGCGTCCAAAGGCAGCCTTTGGCATATGCTTTCGGCCTCCATACACACTGCAACGCGGCTATCCAGCGACACCGGGGAAACTTTCATCGGTCCTAGGCCGGATAGAGCGCCTGGAAAGGTTCATAACGGCAGCCCGAGCGATGGAGTGTGGTTTGACCTCTTCGGCAAGGGGTTTGTGCTATTTGGTCTGCGGGGTCTGTTCGCTTGGTCGCTCACGGTACTGGTTGCCACCCCCTTGATACTGGTTCTGGTCACATATATTCTCCACAGATTGGACCGGTATTACCTCTTCAGCTCGAGCATCAAGACAAGCTATGGGGAACCCGACAATGAGCCCGTGTCGATTGGTGGATGGAAAGGGTTCTTCCGCTTCCCTTTTGCTCTGGTCGTCGCCGGAGCCCTCACTCTTGGAGCAGCTTTCTTGATGCGGAAGGTGAACCCCTTCATTATCTACAGCAGCCGATATTCCGTGTATGTATTCTTCGCTTCCCCCGTTTCTTCTTCGGTCAATGCGATCACTAACAAGAGGAAGCTTGGCCATGATGCTCTCGCTATTCTACTTCGCCTTCTGGGCCGTCATGCGAGGTGCCAGCTCTGTAAGGCCAAGCGCACTTCACCGTGGCTACGTCAGTATTTGGTTGTTCATCTTGGGATGGGCTGCTCTCGTTGCTGTCACCGTAGCCGAGGACCGATTTAGGATCAGCGCTGGGTATATGTTTGTCTTCCTAGAGTCGGCCGTGTTTCTATCCACTTTTATTGCACTTTGCGACTTGTTCGCATTGCCGAAGAAGGTGGCCTGGGCGCAACGAGTCCGAGAGGATCAAGAGGCAAGGGAATTCGTTCAGGATCGCGGTCGCTCGCCAATGCTTCGCCAGAGATCTCCAGTGCCTCCGGGTACGAGAGGGTCAAACGCTTCTGCCTCTGTCTCAGCCTCTGCCCAAGGTCCCCACAATGCCGACCACGGTGACCAGGACGACGACTCGAACACAGAGGCGCCAACAGAACGGACACCGCTCGTGGGCGTGAATGCTACTAGCGAGCCTCCCCGCACGACGTTCGCCACGAGATACCGACGCTCCATATCGGCCCTGGTGAGTAGTGCTCGCGGATCCAGCGACGCTGAAGCCGAGCCATATGAGCACGAGCAGGCCTGGTCTGGGCGCTTGCTCTCATGGACGTGGTTCCCGCAGTTTCTGCTGCTCGGCCCCTTCTTCATTATTCTGGTTGGGCAGACCTGTCTGATGCTCGTCGATGCAATCCATCAGACTGGCGCAGATGGCAGCAGCCTCCTCCTTCCCTACATTATTGTTTTCTTAATGACCGTTCTGCTCTTCCTTCCCGTGACCCCATTTATCCATCGTGTCAGCCATCACATACCCGTCATTCTTTTTGCCGTTTTCGTTGCCACCTTGATGTACAACCTTGCCGCCTTCCCCTTCTCGGATGGCAACCGATACAAGGCCTATTTCGTGCAACGGCTTGACCTTGACAGCGGCGAGAACCACGTGTGCTACTCAGGCGTCGAAGAATACCTGCGCCGTATGCTTGCTGAGATCCCCTCAGCTTCTGGCCAGGAGCTCTCCTGCAGCGAGTCAAAGAGGCCGGGTCTCGTCAGCTGCTGTTACGACGGCTCGGGAGTGCCGCCCAACCTGGTGGACTCTTCCGGGGAAGCCAGCCACAGCAGCAGCCTTGTGACTATCAACGCCACGCGCACGGCCGAGAACCGCGCTCGAATTGAGGTCAGCGCCAACAATACCAAGGCGTGCTTTTTGGAGTTTGAACGGCCCGTCTCGGCGCTTCACGTCCACGGCAGCTCTGGATGGGATGGCAGGTTTGGGCAGTTCCCTGAGAGTGGCGTCAAGACTCTCAGGCTTTGGCATAGGTCGTGGAATGAACCCTGGGTGGTGGATATTGAGTGGCCAGGTGATAAGAGTAATGATGGTGTTGTTCACGGCTCGGGGGAAAGTGAAGGGCTGAAGTTGCGGGACCCCGGTTCTGTTTTTCACGGGGCTGCCGTATGCATGTGGAGCGATGCTAATGTTCCTGGTATGATACCCGCGCTGGATGAAGCGCTCATGTTCTCGCCTACGTGGTCGGCCATTACAAAGTTTGCGGAGGGATTGGTGGAGGGGAGGAAGGGCTTCTCGGTATGAGCAGTGGAATGGCGGACGGTCTTGACTGTTAGGTTTGGTTGATTGGAGTGTGTTTTGTCAGGCGTTGTGGTTGGTTAGGAGCGCATTTCCATCTTCGGGCGTCTCTCGATCATCCCGTAATCAGGGATGTTTGTATCGATGGGATGAGGTGGGTGATGTACAAAACAATGCAAAGAACCTCGAGTGTGCCAGGCTGTACCGCACACAAGCGCCTTCTGGGATACAGGAGAATTCCTCAAGGATATGAATACATTGTTTTGAATATATAACAGGGTGCTAGTCGCTGATAGCATCATTTAGCTCGCCGTTTATCCAATACCGGCACCCCTCTATCAGCATCCTCTAATTCTCATCAACGTCCTGCTCATCATCAGCACCACCACCCACCACCATCCTGCAACTGCACTAGGTACCCCGTACATCAGATTACTATGTGAATACTACCGAGCACGATCTTGCCAGTGGCAAATACGATATTTGAGCTTTTCAACGATTGGTCTATCACCTGGTATTGTCCCTCAGGCTGTTGTGTCGGTGAGCGATGAGGGTTATTGGCTGTTTCCCCGATGCCATGATAGCCGGATACCACAAGCATCTACGATACGACAGCGTACAAGTACAAGGTAAACAGGCTTTCAGGCTCTAGATTGCTCTTTCCTCCATATTCTAATGCCACCTTCTCTGTAAAAGAGCGGTTAAATACCCACGAGTAGTGCTTTAGTCAAAAGCTAGGTCCTCTCAAGCCTATTTACTTCCATCTTGAAACCAATCATCCATCCTCCTTTGGTGGGTTCTCTGCTTGCACTCACTCACAGTTTGCCATTCCTCTATCTCATTTACCTACACAGTCTTGAGCCACTTAGACAGTTATAAAATCTCGGAAGAAAGCCTCAAGACGAGCACGACCATGAAAGGGATTCTCCGCTTCCTCTGGATCGCCCTCGCCCTCGCGGGGAAGGTTGCTGCCCGTGACACCAGGGGGATAAACACTCCTAGCCGCTTGTTACTCGTCAACGACGGCCAAAGCAAGACCGATGCTGCCATGGATGCGGTTTGCACCCAGGGTCTGCCGGCTTCGGCGCAGCACCCAGACAGCGACTACCCCATCGACAACTACACGGTGGTCACGCCTGCCCAGCATTGGTCGTCGTACACTTTGCGCCAGGACTGGTACGATGAGCACTATCTTTCGGGACCGCATGTAAGTCAAGAACGTGGTACCCTGACTCCATTCACAGTTGGATGATTTTGCTGAGCCGCGGTTGACACTTGACAGTACATGCCCTTCACTCATGCGAGCGATCCGTATGGTGCTTTCAAATGCCAGTATACCTGCAACGCTGCTGAGAACTGCAACTCGTACTTTGTCTGGTACGGTAAGTCACTGCCGGTTTGGAAGAAACCGATGAGCTGCTGTCGCGCTGTTCGAGTGGTGCCGAATCTTGACACCTTTCGGCCACAGAGAAGGTCGGGACCCCAGACGAGCACCTCAGCTGCGTCTTGTTTGATGCCATGTAAGAGGAAGCCAGCCAATGTATGTGCGAGTCTGTTACTTACGAGTCGAAAAGCATTACACCGTCCATCTTCGTCGAGGCCGAGGGCACCATCGCGACCGGCGCCTACGATAGGCTCTGCGATCAGCAGTAGACGGAACAGACAGGGAGATCGCCAGGCCAAGGGGTGGCGGTTGGCAAATTTCGGTGGCCGATATGGCGTGCTGCGGAAGCTTACTCCTCCAGTCCTCTCGCTGACGTCTCGCCATCGGCTATGTCTGTTAGCAGCCGCCACTTGTCTGCTGTTTCAATCTAAGTCCTGGAGAGGGATGGATGCTATTTATGACTTACTAGCCAAGAGTGGTGAACAAAAGGTCAGGATTGCGAGCCTGACCATTCACCAGGCAGAAAGGAGACCGCAAGAAGTAGAGATGGATAGTTGAGTGTCGGCCGGTTTTCGGGTATCTTCCACAAACCCCTGAATTCCATAACGCCGCATCCCTTAGGAGTCGCATAACACCTGCCAAGTGCCAACCTAACAACCCGGGAACCTCAAAATCAACCCCCAACCTCATTCCCCTACTACTCCTTCATCCGATCCTCCTCCTCTTTCACAACCCTCTCAAGATGCTCCCTCGCCCGGCGCCACAGCTCGGCCTCAAAGTCCCTTTCGACCGTGCTGCTAGCCATGTTCAGCTGCCCCACATCCAGCTTCCCATACCGCCCGATCCCGTTGGGCTCCAACCGCGCGGCAACAGCAGCAGCCCCGTCGGCGGCCTCTCCCGATTGTTGCTGTTGTTGCTGACCCTGGCCTTGCTGTTGCTGTGTTTGCTGCTGGTCGCCAATGTTAGTGGTGTTGCCGCGTAGGGTGATGATGCCCGCCTCCTCGAGGGCGAAGATTTGGCGAGTGAGCTGCTTGTCGATCCGGTCGACAGTTTGGAAGAAGGCTGCTTGAGCTGCTCGGAAGCTCGTCAACGGGCTCGATGAAGGGGGGGCGGCTCCAGGGCTGCTGTCGAGGATAAGCACGTCGCCTGACCCGTCGTTGTCGCTGCCGGCTGCTGAGGGAGGAGTAGCCAGGGCGCGAATCGCCGAGGAGAGATGGTTCAGCAGGGAGGCTATGTCCTATTCGCATGTTCAGGTTTGTGGTTTTGAAGGGAAAGGAGGGGAGGTATAGACTATAGAGGCAGGGAGGCGGTGGGACAGGGTGGATGGGTTGACTGACATTGTCGACTTGACTGAGCTGTTCGATGCGCTCAGCTGGGGTGAAGGGTTGGTGAATGTCGACTGCCGGCCCTCCGCTAAGACCTGCGCCGCTGAATTGGGGAGGCTGCGCTGAGTCGTTCATGGTGGGGGTTTTATTCCCATGAGGATGGGCTACTGTACCAGGCAAAAGGAAACTTCTTGGTGGGCTATAACTTGGGAGCTAGTGTAAGGTATTTGGGGTCATCAAGGCTTAGACGCGCCTACTACTAATCTGCATGTGTACTTAAACCTGAACTATGGCTCATTCAAGAGCTTCCTTCCAGTCGGGTCTTTCCCCTCATGGTTGTTGAGTTCAAGGGCCCTGCGGGGTACGACAGGGGTGTGCACGGACTTCTCTGCAAGCCAAGAGAAACCCATCGTTGTCTCGGAAAACTCCGAGCAACCCTAACGCTTCAACTTTACCTTACGTTTCGGGCCCCATCGAATCGTGCTTCGGCTCATAAACTCATGAATGTTGACTTTGACACTCAACGCGTCATTCTGTATTGAGCAGTCGACTGCAACCTTCTTTTTTCTTTTTCATACCAAAAGATGATCCGTTATTACTAAAGGGATTTGGTTCACACGGACAGGGAATCGATCACGATAAGTTTGAGATTTCCCAACATGTCGAACCCTTCACCCCAGGTGCCGGGTCCGGCTGGAGCCTCTTACGGCGGCCAGCCTCAATCGGCAGGAGGAACTGGGAGCGGTGCTGGGGCAGGGACTGCGAGCGGCGGAAGTGCACCTCCCTCAGCCCAGAATCTGAACCAAATCGTGAGTAAACAGAATTTTTTGGTTCGCCCCTTACCAGCGTTGCCGCTTTTCCGTATCTCGTTGTGCGGGGCATCTTGTTCCCTACTCTTGCGAATTCGATGCGAGCACCAGCCACAACCATATTCGTGAGAACACAGCATTAGGGCCGCTTGAACTTCGATGCGGGTTGGCCGCGGCGCCATGGAATCTCTGGCCAGTGGGCCGCTCAGAGTCATATCTGAAGCCCATTGTTCACCGAGCGCGGCACCGAGAAGTTGACGAACCGCCGAAGGAGCCCCCTTTCTCAACACCCTGCGCTTCTTCACCCTCCGTACTTCAAATATCATCTGCCCATCCCACCACTCGGACTCGCCAGCCACCGCACCTCTTGCAATGGACCGGGGGTTTCATCGTGTCCCAATGAACCACATCCTGAAGCAGCCAAACTTACAACTCGGTGATGAACAGGTTACCGATTACCTCAAAAAGAAAGGGTTTACCAAGACTGAAGCCGTTTTCCGGCAGGAAACAGCCAATCTAGGTCCTGACGGGAGACCGGCTCAGCGGAGCGACGACCCGGGCCCAAAGCGATACCTCAAGGCCTTCCTGCTGCTGAGGGACTGGGTCGAGAACAACCTAGACATCTACAAGGTGAGTTCACGTGTGGTTTGTTGCCTTATTGGCAGCTGACCGAGACGTCTCTTTAGTTCGAGCTTAGAAAACTCCTATGGCCCGTCTTCATCTACTCGTACATCGAGCTTGTCAGCCAGGGCTACAACGATGATGCAAAACGGCTGTTGGACACATTAAGGCCGCATTTTGAGGCCGCGCACCAAGATACCTTAGCTCTGCTGGCCACTGTCACACTGCCCCAGCATATCAATGAGAATCGGACTACCCGGCTGTACCGTGAGAACAAATATCGCATTCCCCTCAACCAATCACTTTCCGGCAACCTCTTCCACTTCCTAGAACGCGAAGCGGATGAAGGCGGCACTACCATCACCTACATCCTCCAGACGTACTGTAGCGTCGAGACAAGCGCCCGCGGGCCGATCGAACCCTACAGTTTTGAGGCCATCTACCGCCGAGCTCAAAACCTCGATTTGGACGAGATTGATGCGCAGGAGGGCATCCCCGGCGTTTTCACCGGCATTTCTAACCGCGATGTGCTCGACACATCGGCAAAGCTCAAGCTTGGGCCCATGCCAATGGAGCCAGAGCTGAGAGACGACGTCCGCGCCGAATTAGAAGAGGAGGATCAGCGCCACCCTCCGACAGACAATAGGTCAACTCTTGTCGAGGAATTTGATAAGCGAATTAAGCGTGAAGAGAGCGCCGATGCTCCCGCGCGAACCGAGCTGCCTCTTCCACCGTCCCGAGCGCGGGACGTCGTGATGGAAATGCAGAAAGTTCGCGAGAACCGGGACAGGTTCCGAATTGAGGGCCGTACTGGAGGTGTCGGGCTCGCCGTGTCGGCGTGCATGTTCACATTTCACAACACTCTAGGGAGGTAAGCTTGATGCTCGCTCTGGTCATGTATCGGAGGTTGCGCTCAGCGGTGCTGACAAGGCTGTTCGGCTAGCGTCTCTTGCATGGATTTTTCCAATGACCACCAGCTTGTGGCGATTGGCACGATGGATTCGTATATCCGCGTGTGGTCGATAGACGGCAAGCCGCTCAAGACCACGCTTGCGAACGAAAAGGATCTCAAAGTAAACAACCGCAAGCTTATTGGGCACTCCGGCCCAGTGTACGGCGTGTCATTTTCAGACTCGATAACTAACCTCGACCGGAATATTTACGGAGACAGCGACGACAAGAAGCCCGACACGAGCTCGAAACTCCTTCTCTCGTGTTCAGCAGACGGTCAGGTTCGGCTCTGGTCCTTGGACGTGTGGGCTTGTCTTTGCATATACAAAGCGCATGACGGCCCCGTCTTCCGCGTCCTCTGGGGCCCTCATGGGCACTATTTCGCCACAGCCGGCTGGGACAGGACGGTCCGCGTCTTTTCCCAGGATCATGCCTCGGCTCAGCGTCTTTTGGTCGGCCATGATACGAGCATCTCGGCGCTGGCCTGGCATCCCAACGGAACCTATGTCTTCTCGGCATCAGATGAGGCGGACAAGTCGATTCGCATGTGGTCAATAGTAACGGGCAACTGCGTTCGCATTTTCATTGGCCATACGCACTACATCAGTGCCTTGCAGTGTGCCCACAACGGGAAGATTCTAGCTAGCGCCGATGCTGGAGGGACTATCTTCCTCTGGGACATTGAGAAAGGCACCTGTATCAAGAGGTGCCGCGGCCATGGCAAAGGCGGCATCCCGTCTCTCAGCTTCAGCGCTGAATCAAACGTCCTTGTGTCGGGCGGCCTGGATGGCACAGTCCGCATCTGGGACATCGAACTGCCTGCGGATCCCAACAAGGCCAATCCTCTCACCGGCGGCGTCACTCCAGGACCACAGAGCGACGGAATTGCGGTGGCTGGCGACACGATTGCAGTGGGAGGAAGCTCGGATAGCCGCAGCATCACGGTTGGGGGTCAAGCGGTGCCAGCAGCTAGCGCCAGCACATCAGGGGGTGGAGTTGGCGCTGGTGGAGCGAGTGTGGGCAAGAAGAAGGCCAAGGAGGTCCAGATAACCCCGGACCAAATTAGCGCCTTCGCGACCAAGAAGACGCCCGTGATGAAGGTCCAGTTCACGCGCATGAACTTGATTGTTGCGGGGGGCTGCTACGATCCAGAGAGATAGGAAGACTCTGATTAGGCGCCTCCCTGCATGGTCAATCGTCGTGATTCAGAGATATGAGCGGGTTAGGGATATTATATGGAGAAACAGGAATTGGATTATGGACTTGGTGATCAATGTTCAACTGGGCTTGGGGGCAATGTTTGGCAAACAAGGGCGGACGGGGAGCACGGAGTTTCGGACGTGTACTTGTGCTGTATTGTACTTGTACCGTGGAAGGAGTTTACAGCGGCGGTGATATCCCGAGGTACATGATAATTCCAGCGGCATGTTTCTGACCGGCGCTGTACTATCTCGTAGATATCTACCTTTGCTTTGTGCTGTCTGTGGGTAGAACTGAGGTTATGTAACTTGTAAGGGGCAGTTGTAACTTGTAACTCGCTCCGAAAATGAAAAAGGTCTCTTAACCCCACATTGATCGGCTGCCGTAGCGAGGAAGGCGCAGCGGCTGCAGTCGACAAGCTTGCGCTTGCATACTGCCTCATACTCGCACCCACAAGGCGCTGCTGGTGTTCAAAAACTAGTACTGCGTACTTTAGACAGGCGCCGAGTTTATTGCCTAGCACACGACGCCTGCATATTATTCTCATCTCATACCAAGTTAGCCGTCCAATTGCACTATCCCGGTGACAATTCACGTCCGCATATCCAGCCACCTCCGTCACAATGGAGGATCCCTGGGCCGACTCGGCCGGTAGTTCGGCGCCCCTCGGTTCGTCCTCACTGGGCGACGACAACAACAACGCTGCTCCACCTGCAGATGCTCCCGCCTCTTCCGGAACGACGACAACCACGGCAGGGGCAACGTCATCCCCCACAGCCTCTGCCCGCCCCTCACGGTCGACGCCCCGTCGCCTTGTCGCGCAGCCAACCCGTCTTCAAGCCGTCGAGGACGACCCCCTCGGCCCACTCGGCCCGCTCGGCGCCCCTTCAGCAGCAGCAGACAACGACGATGCCGCGCTGCCATTGCCGCGTGGGACGGCGGCAGGCAAGGCAGGAGGAGCCAGCGGCGCACCCCCAGTTCCGCCGGTCAAGGAGCAACTCCCGCTCCGCACGACCATGGCGACGGCCGCCGGCGCCAAGCGGGCAGCTCCTGGCCCGCCGGATCCGCATCGCATCGATGACGACGATGACGAGGATGGGGATGATCGCCTGTTTGCCAGTCAGAGACCCAGACAGCCGCCGCCTGTCCAGCCCGCGCTGCCGAGCCCCGTGCGCAGCTCCGTCCAGCCAAGCGTGAGCGTTGAGCAGGCGGCCAAGCCGAGTTTTCAGATTACGGTTGGGGACCCGCACAAGGTCGGGGATCTGACGACAAGTCATATTGTTTACTCCGTCAGGACAGAGGTATGTAGCTCTTGTTACTTTGTCTATGAGGGTTTGTTAGGGATGGTTGTATGCTAATGTGCCCGGCTCGGCAGACGACGTCGAAAGCGTACAAGCAGCCCGAGTTTGAGGTCAAGCGTCGCTATCGCGACTTCCTGTGGTTGTACAACACCCTCCATGCCAACAACCCGGGAGTGGTGGTGCCGCCGCCGCCCGAGAAGCAGGCGGTGGGCCGTTTCGAGAGCAATTTTGTTGAATCGCGCCGTGCGGCGCTGGAAAAAATGCTGAACAAAATCGCCGCGCACCCGACGCTGCAGCTCGATGCGGACTTGAAGCTGTTTCTGGAGAGCGAGGCGTTCAATATTGATGTCAAGCATAAAGAGCGCAAGGAGCCCAACTTGGGGGAGAGCAAGAGTGTGCTTGGGTCGCTGGGATTCAGCGTTGGCAGTGGGAACAAGTTCGTGGAGCAAGATGATGTCAGTCAGCCAAGGAGAACGCTATCTGCTGGTTGAGCTCCGTGCTAACTTGGGCAAAATAGTGGTTTCACGATCGCAGGGTCTACCTTGATGCGCTGGAGAATCAGCTCAAGGCTTTGCTCAAGGCCATGGACAGCATGGTGGCGCAGCGCAAGGCCATGGCCGAAGCCGCCGGCGACTTTTCCGCCTCGCTGCACGCACTGTCGACAGTAGAGCTGTCTCCAACACTTTCCGGGCCCCTCGACGCTCTCTCGGAGTTGCAGCTGACGATCCGCGACGTCTATGACCGGCAAGCCCAGCAGGACGTGCTTACCTTTGGCATCATCATCGAGGAATACATCCGGCTGATTGGGAGCGTCAAGCAAGCCTTCTCACAGCGCCAAAAGGCGTTCCACAGCTGGCACAGCGCCGAGTCGGAGTTGCTGAAGCGCAAAGCAGCCCAGGACAAGCTCCTGCGCCAGGGCAAGAGCCAGCAGGATCGACTTAACCAGGTCAACGCCGAGGTTGCCGACGCGGAGCGCAAGGTGCACCAGGCCCGGCTGCTATTTGAAGACATGGGCCGCCTGATGCGGTCTGAACTGGACCGATTTGAACGCGAGAAGGTGGAGGATTTCAAGTCGGGTGTTGAAACTTTCTTGGAGAGCGCAGTAGAAGCGCAGAAGGAGGTGAGTTTTTTTTTTTTTTTTTTTTTTTTTT